GCACTGATCGCAGCGAACGCGATTAAATCTTGAATTAGAAATCACAATCTCAGGATATAAATATAATCTGAGTTTGTGAGAAAGCGAATTCTAGATCTCAAGATGACGTACGATAAAGAGAACCTAACCCACACCAACCCAATACCAATTCGTCCTCTTCAAAATCGGTCTTTAGTCGAATATGTATGGTTGAAAGGTACTATCCCTTCCCCGGGGCACGACACAGACCTATAACCTGCTCAGACTCGTAGACCAACTCAATCCAATCCAACACAACTCAATCCAACCCAACAAAGCCTAACTCAACTCAATCCCAACACAATACCAAATTGCCTCTCGTGGAGTACGTTTGGATGAGAGGTCTTTGTCCTCCCCTGGGGCACAGCAGTTAATATTTGGGTTGAATTAGGTTGAATAATGATTTGGGTTGCAGTAGGTTTTGGTTTTGGCTTATCTAAATGGGTAGTTTTATGGTTTGAGTTGAGTTAGGTGGGTTAGTTGAAGTGAATAAGTGGGGAGAGTAGATAGGATAAAATGCGTAATTGATACTGGTCAATTTAATAAGATAATGATTGTGGTTGTGGGGTTTTTGCCACCTTATTTTTATTTGGAATTGGTATGTTGCTATCTCTATCGATGAATTCAGGTTTTAGTGCTTGTCTCTTGAAGGCTTGTCAGTTAGATATTTGGGACTTGCTTGGTCGTTTGGAAATTAGAGATTGGGCTGGTGTGGGATGGTTGCGATTTAGAGTAGTTGGGCTGGGTAGATTGATGGTAAGTTTGGGGGTGAGTTTGGTGTTCGTGTTGCTACTGGCAGTTGGTGGAGTTAGTGGGACAAGTGGTATTGAGGAAGGGTATACTAGTGTTCGGACTGGCAATGGACCTTCCGATTTAGAGAATACGCGGGCGTTGTTTAATGCACTGGAATCAGTGGGCGTCATCTTTGCTAGATACGATAGTTGGACTCGGATTCAGCACTATGTATATGATCGGTCGACTGAGCCCATCCTTAATTTGGAATCGCATTCTGTTGGTTCAAATGATTTCTTACTAAACATTCCTAGGTATACTGTTGAGTGCGTTAGGGGTTGCGTTAGCTTTGAGTTGCAGTCTTATCGAGATGTTGAGGCCGCTCAGTTGGGTTTGAAGACGTTGCGGATGTTTGCGGTAATTAGGGCTAGGTCTGCTCGGCTTACTTATAAACTGGTTGAGTCTAATTGTCCACAAGTGAACATGCAAATTCTATCTCGTGTGTTTAATATGCTTGATTGTGTATCTATCGAGCTGGCGATTGAATCTTCTGCCCTGAATGTGGAGTTGTCATTGGATCATCTTGATGCAGGGTTATGTTGGGAAGAAGCTTGGAATACAGCTAAACACGCGAAGATTCAGGATAGTTGCTGCTTGGGATTGACGGGCTTGAAAGCAAATAAGTGCCTGAACCTACTGAATGTGGGTTTTGTGGCGCTGCGGCCAATTAAGCATGTGTCGTTTCGCCAAAATGATTTTCAGTTTATCTCTTTGCTGCGTCGGTTGTCACTTACAACTCACTACTCCCTTTCTTTTGTTGATTTGCCTGTGTTGGCTGAACTTGATTTCAATCTTTTATCAACAATGCCGATGATTTGTGATAAAATTAACATTCAGTCGCTTAGTGAGGCAAGAATATCGATAGTTGGTCTTGAAAATGCTACTGCTAAGCATGCAAATCTAGTTTTGGAGATGACGTGGATGCTGTTTTTTTATCTGTGTTTGAATAATAGGTCGTTAATTCGCGTTCATGGTATCACGGGGTTTTATGTTAATTTGGAATCACTTCTGGTTTTGGACAAGAAGTCCTTGCCCAGAGAGCCAGTTGAAACAAAAATCATTGTTGGTTATTTGCACTTCTTTATTGGTCGTTATCGGCCTTGTAAGGCCTTGAGTTACTATAGCCAGTTCTATACTCGTAAGGCCTTTTCCCGGTATGGAGTATCGGTAAGTGATATTCAAATTGAATATGAACCTGGCCGGAGTGACTTGGACGGGACTCTACAGCTCTTTACGAGGTTAATGGCCATACCAGAAATGCCGGTCCAGGTAGAAGATGGCCTTGTGGTTTGTTCTGGTATAGGCCTTAGTGGCCCTAGCTGGACTATAACGAAGCATGTTATTGTTCATCTGCACCATCGTTTACTGAACCGGATAGTATCTTCCTATCGAGGCAGTGTAAACTCCTGTTTCTGCCAGCATATAACCTATAAGGATCTTGCCATTCGTGGAACCATACTGCCAGCCCGGGGGCAAGTTCGTCGGTGCCTTACTTTGTTAGGGCTGTTTCAAAACATTGTAGCCCAAAGATTTCGGATCATTAATGTGAATGATGTTGCTAAACCAAACCATGACTTTGCGGTTAGTATTTTACATAATGAGCGGGCTAAAAAGCCGAAATACCGGTTGAATGCAGCGGAGTTGGTACTTGATAATGTGTCCAGGCTTGTTCTTTATTGGGTGTTCGCCCACTATGTCTTTGTTGATCCAATTGAAATATACCTTTTGAACATGTATTTCAGGAACCTTGCTATTGCCCAGGTGTTATCCTTGAAGTTAGCCCGTAATATCACTGGTTTGATGGTTAATAGCTTCCTGGGATTGAATGAGGTCAAATATTACAAGAAGAAAGATCAAATCAAAGGCTTCTCATTATACAGGTATGTGGCAGCTATGGAAGAACAAGGTTACTCGCTCGATGAACTTGGTCTGCCTAAACTATCTATCCAGATGAATGTTGGCTACCTTAACTCGTTTTCTGATGTCCTGCTCGAGCTCTGGGAATCTAACTTACTGCCTCGAGTTATACCCTTTATGAAGTACATATCTAACACTTTAAGTCCATCTACTATTGTTGTTCTGAATGAGATTACGCTTTATATGGCTACGATCTTGGACTTGAATGCTGATTTGCAGAGGTGTCTTTCTCAGCCGGCTCAGTGGTCAGATCCGCTAGTGACGAATTTGTTCTTGCACTTTAGTGACGCGCATGTCTTAACTGAAGCCGATTTGTTTAATATTCTTCGATGGGTGGCTTGTCGGTTTTCTAATCTGACTCATTTGTTGCTTGCGAATCTTACTGTGCCTGCGACACTTCGTCCGGTGCTCCAATCACGTGACTACCTGGTTCGTGGATTGGACTCACTTAAATCCATTCAAATAGAAATGACAATGCGAAACCCAGACAGCCCAACGATAACATTGCCAGTCCGGCCATATCGTGTTAGTTTATTAGCCAATACTCCTAATACAGTTGCGCAGTTTACAGCGGTGGCATCTAAAACTCTGTCCTATATTCTATCACATCTTGATGGCTTTGGTACAATTATTCCTAGATATGTTGGATGCAAAGCATCGCTTGAAATGGTTATCGAACGTTTAAAGAAACAGGGGGCGGATGTTCGCTGTCCCGTCTGTCTTAAGGATCTTTATTTGCCCTCTTCTCCGGGCTTAGTTGACATTGAACTTGACCCTAACTTTGACCCCGACAATAGCTTCACTGGTATTTGCTACTCCATGTGCGGCCATCCGCTCTGTGCTCCATGCGCCCAATCAATTCAGATTCAGGATAGCAAAACGTGTCCACTTTGTCGGAACGAGAGTTTATATGATAGTATTCATCAGCTCGTGTCTCTTCCGCTTTCTAGCTTTGTCTTTGTTGAAACTAACAATAAGGTGGCCCTTTCTGATTTCCGATGGCTCCGGGCTATGGCCTGGAGTGATAACCGTATCTATTTCTATTTGACCTATAAAAATATCGCCAATCTTGAGGCCGACTTTGAGAGAAAGGAAATCAACAGTTCTACTCATCAAGTTTACGTTATTTGAGCTGCAGATTAATAAACCTCCTAATTGCGTATTTAGATACCATTCGTCTATGGCGCTTAAGTAAACTATTTTGTTCTACTATCATTTATTGGGTTAGAATTAGGTTAGGTTAGATTGGCACAGTTTGTTGATTATGAGGCATGTGGTTTTGGTTTGGAGCTAATATTGAGCTGATTTCATATTTAGCCAATGCCAACTTAATCCTAACCCAATACCAACCCAATGGAACGATAATAATTGGTTGGATTTGTAGTGATGTTTTATCCCTCATAAATACTTAACTTGGATCAGTTTTGTCTTTGTATCTCCATCAGCTTAGTACACTTTAAACTAACTTAAATTGGTATGACATCTAAAACCAATTCAGAACTCTTCTAATTGCAAATACAGAACAGATTAGTTCGGAAATTTAGGAATAGATTAGGCTAGCTAGTAATGCAAAAGAATGATGTTTTGATGGCATACTTAATTAAAACGAAGTGTAGGCAGGATCTTCGTTACAAACTAGGCTATTATTTAACTTCTTTAGCCGGATCATTATCAATCATGTCATATCTAAATTCTCGCATAATAGGTTGATGTGAGGATTCAAATTAGGCTAGGATCAGAATAGATATGCTGATGGGCGGGCAAAGATGCAACAGGAAAAAGCAATGCGGTAGTTTGATTCTAGAAGGTTTATTGCATCAGATAGCTCGAATATTGTTGTCCATAAAAACAGTTTGTTTTACGGGTTATTAGCATTCAGGGCTTTGTCTAATAAGTTGTAGTAGCTGGTAGACCAGATTGTAAGCCCAATTAAACCACAAAGTACTGTGAAGATGCACACCAGCGCGATTAGTTTGTAGAAGACGTGATTAATAGAAACTTCCTTCTCGCGTTCTTCGTTGGAATAAACAGTCTGCCGGTCGAAGACATTAGTTAAGGCCCCTATCACCAAGAGAATGGCAGAGATTGTTAGAACGTTTGAGTTGAGGAGTACCTGGGCATATGTTGTGAGAGAAAAGATAGAGAGTAATGGGACTGATGCGGCTAACAGGATAGATAGACCGTAAAGCACCCAGTATACGTATCTAGTAGCTAATGGCATGGAATACGTAAATACCCATCGGGTGGCAATACTAACCATAGTGATAAGCAGCACCACACACTGGCCGCCCAGAACTATAGCTTGTAATAAAGTTCGATCATTGCTGGCATAGTAGGAGGCTCCATTAAGTCCAAGAATGACACCGAGGCCGCTGATCGCTAAGATAAAGAAGACCCAAATAATTGGCCGAGATCGCGTTGATGTCATGTGAGCGTTTAACTCCTTATCATTGAAGAGGAACCAAAGTGAAACACCCAACCCAACAGCTAGTATATTGAAAGGGATTAGATAAACCAAATTGGCGATAGAAAAGTGTATGACAGCCGCTATAGCAGTTAGGTATAGCGGTGCTCCCAGTAGCCATTTACTAGAGGTGATAACAAACAGTATTTGCCCCTCGACAGCTTCAGCTTTTTGGCGCCTTTTATCTTGCTTCTCTTTTCTCAGCTTAGAGTACTCGTCAAATGTGGTGATGGCCATGGCCTTACATTGTTTGAGTTCTGGAATGCCCTTTGAGGAGCGATAGCTTCTTACCACTTTCTGGAAAGTCTTAAAGTCTTCATCGCTCGCTAATACATTGCATGGGCCCTTGGGAGAATGTCTTAACATGACCGCAGACGCAAAGGTGAACTTAGCGACTGAACAGATCTCCTTAGGAACCTTAGAAGCCCCAGGAACCTTAGGAGTCTCAGGAGTCTCAGAAATCTCAGGAACCTTAGAAGCCTCAGAAGCCCCAGGAACCTCAGGAGTCTCAGAAATCTCAGGACAACTTGAACTAATATTATTGTGGCGAATGACAACGAATAGATCCTCTTCTGGGTCGTATAGGTAGTTTAGGCCCTCAAGATAGAGTGCTGTATTGAGTGGGTGAATATAATTGATTATTTGGCAGCCGCGTAGATATTTAATCATGTTTTCAGATTCGATAAGAATGGGTTCCATTGGGCCTGGGAATGTATGTCCCTCCTCAGCAATCTTCCCAGTATGTGATTGATATGTATCCCAATTGATACATACTCTTTCTAAATCATAAACAAGATTATAAACACCTATCTCATAAATATTCTGAGCAAGATTTTCAATCAAGATATGATGTGCTTGCTCGATACTTGGCGGGTCATATCTGCTCTCCATGCGGTTGCCACCTAATTCAGTATATAGCATAAGAATAGATTCTATATTCGGCCAAAACGTATCCACTGAAAACACATCTACCCTATTAGACTTAGAGAGGCTAACGATCAAACTAGCTACCTTTTCAACTAGTTCTAGATTCCTTGGGGTAAATCCTAAATCCGCATAAAAACCCGACTTGATATATTCATCCTCTACAAGCTGGGGCTTGGAAGAAGATGGGCTCTCTGTTATACTTTTAGTCATACTAGACCCACTTTTTGCCTTCGCAACCAACGAATTGTGCTCATTTAGTTTAGATATCGCCCACTGAAACTTAAGATCCGCCAGTTCTTTTAATGTCGGCGGCGGTGCTAGTGGTTGTTTAGACCCACTGTCATCAACAGCAGTAATCGTAGCAGTACTACCAGTAATACTATCAGCAGTAGTACCATCAGTACCACCAGCAGCAATACTATCAGCAGTACTATCAGCAGTATTAATAGCAGCAGTACTAGCAGTCGTTTGGTGACTTAGAATAAGCATTCCAATCATCAAAATAATTAGCTTAAATGGGTGCTCTCTCAATTGATTGAACATTTTTAAGTTGCTAAATCAGCTATAATTATAGCGTAAAAATTACCATATTTGGAAACCTGCTATTTTTGCTAATTGGCCCAAACACCCCTTCATTATCCCAATACTGGCCCAATCATTCAATTGATTACAACTACGTCCCGCCTTTATTCAGAGCAGGCACTTCTACATTCACCCTACTCTATTTCATCTCCTAATAATACTACTTATCTATACATATTGTAGTGCCGTTATACAACCACTAACCCATACTAACCCATACTAACCCAATCCCAACATGATTACTACTTAGTACTACTAACACCAACCCAATACTAATCACTCACACACCCTTATTTACTTAATAAATACTAACTCATACTCGCCTTAAGGAACCCCTTTAATAGAGTATGTATTAGTTAAGTTGGATTTAGTATTGGGTACTACACATATCTATTGCAACCTATTTTAGCAGGCCTTAAAAACACTAACACAATACTATACTAACCCAATAGAACCCAAACTCTTTCTTCACACCAACCCATCTCCTCCTTATCCAATACTAACCCAACACATCTCAACATCTACCACTCTAAAGCAATCTCTACTTTTCTCTTACTACCAAATTACTACCAAGTTAGATTACCAAGTCAGATTACCAAGTTAGATTATCAAGCCAACTTCTAAGCAATCGACTAAATATCAAATTAACACACCCATACAAAGACCTGCCCCAAAACCAACCTATCCTTTTCTCTTATTTACAACACCGTCCAGCTACTCCATTACTTACCACTTAACTTACCACATCTCAATTTAACATTATATTACCACCCATACCATCCACCAGACTTAATCCATCCACATAAACCCACATAAACCCACATAAACCCACCCAAACACAACTCAATACTAATCTAATACCTATTTAATATTTATGTGCTTTTTATTTGTACTATGAGTATGGAACACAGTGGAGAAACACTTTTATACAGTCTAAGCACCTCTGAAGATGGATCATTATTAGCAGGTGCTTCAGAAGACGGTTCAGTTAAATTATATAGACTGGACAAAGAAGGTCCAACTTTGCTTCAATCCCTGTCCTTTCACAAGGCAGCAGTGTTTGATTTAGTCTTCTACCAGCAGAGGATCATTTCGGCCTCTTATGATGGTACTTTAGCCTTTTGGAAAAGAGATACTTTAGATTATGTTTTTGAGCGTTCAATACCTGTCTTTCAAGGTGCTATTAATACTATTTGTATGTCTGGTGATCAAATCGTCTGTGGGTGCTCAGATGGCAAAATAAGAGTGATTAGTTTAGAGGGTGACGTGCTTAAGGAAGTAGTTGGTCATAGACATGGTGTAACTGGAGTTTCAGCTTGGAAGGAGTACATTGTATCTGGGGGTATGGATGGTGCAGCTAAAGTATGGAGTAAGGACTTATCTCTGTTGAAAGAGATAAAGGACCATTCAGGAGCTATTAGGGATTGTCGGGCAGCACCAAGTCCGTACTCTTCTTTGGTCTTTGCAACCTGCGGTGAAGATGGCCTGGCTTATGTGTACACACAGAAGAATAAGATAGGAAAGAGTGAGGATAAGGATGAGAGTAAAGATAAGGATGAGAGTAAAGAGGAGGGTAGTGAGGAGAAAGAGGAGGTAAGTGAAGGAAGCGAGTTGGTCTTTGGGAAGGATAAGCTGGATTTGGGTGAACGGTGTGCTAAAGTATCTTGGAGTAAATCAGGGTACGCCTTGAGTATTGGCTATGGGACTGGTAAAGCTAAAGTCTTTCTTCCTAATGGACCAACCGGATGGAAGGAGTCGCAGGTTGTCCTTCCATAAATAAAGTCCTTTCATCTGTTTTGGGTTTGGAACGTTTGGTGGCTGGCTACTTACTAAACTGCGTCGTAAATGTGTTTTACCTGGGATGTTTTATACGGCTGCGCTAGAGTGAGCCATGATCCTAGTGAAGAAGAAGGGAAGATACTCAGGCGCTCTTATTTGGCTAAGTTACATAATGAGAGCGCAAGCCTCGACTACTGTGCATGAGGCAGGTGTTTATACGCCTTATGATGAACGCCCGGGAGAAACAATGGCAGTTGATTACCATTTGACGCGAGACACGATTATTCCGCACTATGCGCCAGGGGTTATTGCTGATGTGGATGGGGAGAAGCAGGTTTGTTTTGATAATGGACTTTGTCGCTCCCTTGGAGACCGCACTGATGTGGTAGAAACGAGAACAGGCACTATTCTGTCTCCGCCGGCCCATCGGTTTCCACCGGGTTGGCAGCCTCAAGGTGGTGGTGTCCCGGGAGGTCCTGGGGATGCGCCTGGGATTGGCTCGGGGGTTCTGCCACCTTTCAATCCAGACAATCCTTCAGATGGTGCTACCGATATTCATGATGTAGTTTCGCATATAGATACACCCGTGCCGGTTGTTCAACCAACTGGTATTCCGGGTGGACCTATTCCGGCTTTGCCACCAATATCTGGTATGCCGGGCAGCGTCGTGGGTGGAGGTAGTTATCCGGGTAATTTGGTTTCTGGATTTGGCGATGGCCCAACTAAGGAAGATGTGCTGAAGATCCTCTTTTCAATTGGAGATTTAGATAGTTACTTGCTTTTTACCGGTATGTCTTTGGACTTGCCTCTGCAGACCTTTATTAATAGCACTCCGGTGACTACGGATGAAGTGTATGCGCAGGACAGGAAGGATTACTTGGCCGGTGAATTGGAAGGGAAAGGAAGTTCTCTTAACTTGGAAAATGGGCTGAATACGCTTTATTCCTCTAAGATGTACTTCTACATTCCGAAGAATGCTCTCTCGCTAACCATGGAAAGGGGGCGCTTGGTCTATCCAGAGGCTTTTATTAAGTTCTTGCAGTTCTTGCACCTAGACACGACTCCGTTTGTATCTTTATTAGATAAGGACGGATCTCGAGTTTACTACATTACGGTTTACAATGCTACTGTGGCTTTACCTAACCCGCAAACTCCAATCGTCAGTCAGCTGCTGATCACTTCGGAAGGTTTAGCCGTGTCTCTTCTTAAGGTTAAGCGCCTGGAGATAGACAAAGGTATCTTAGTGCTTACTCCTAATGCTTACGACCATGAAGATCTTGCTAATGCCACTGCTTCCCTCCAGGGCTTCACCAAAGGCCAAACCACTAATCCTTTCGCGTCGATGACTCATATTTACTATCCGCACGAACAAACGGGCGATCTTGATGATGAGTCTACCGAATCGGACAAGATGAGCGGTTATTCCGGCGACATTTCTGAGTCTTCAGATTCAGATTCCGACTCGCAAAGTGACGGCTCTAACGCGGCGCAGTTTGGCTCTTCTAGTTCAGACGGCTCGGATGACAGCTCTTCGCTCAGTGGTAGTGATAGTGATAGTGATGGCAGCAGTAGCAGCGATGACGGTAGCTCACCACGGCACAGGGGCAAGGGCTCTGGCCCGAGCGCGCAGAAAGGGACTAAAGATCCTTCTCGGCGCCGGCACGGCAAAGGCCCTGATACTATCGATGGCTATCTCGAGCAAGCTCGAATGTGGCGAGAAAGGGCTGCAGCTGCTGCTAAGGCAGGCTACAGGAAGTATGCGCTCAAGAAGGCTAAAGCCTATGAAAAGGCTGCAGCTAGATTACAGCGCGAAGCTTACAGCACCCAACTTCTCGAAGCAAGACAAGGTTCAGCTAGTTCTCGCAAAGCGGCTAAGTGTGGTATCATGGCCGGCACCTCCTCTAACACAGGAAGTGTCTCCTGGTTCTCCGGCAGCCGTCGTCATAACAAGGCTTTAGTACGAGTTGTGTCTTCTAAAGAATCTAGTGCCAGTGCTAGTATGTCCGCTTCGGCTTCGGCTTCTTATGAGGCCAGCACCAAGCAAGCGGTTAGCACGGCCTTCTCTTCCAGCGCTGCTTCGGCTGTTATTATGGCCCACCAAAGCAACGAAATGCACTACAAAGGAGTTTCTGCTGTTGAGTATGCCACCCGAGAGATCAAGCACTCGTTGATGGGCATTGCGATGCAACACGCTATGTTTAGTGTGCAAGGTCGCATGTACAAGAGTCAGCAGTATTCTTCTCACGGTGTTCGTTCGGCTAAGTCTTCCACTCGTTGGCTAACCAGGCGTATTAGCAAGATAATCACGACTAGAAAGTACACTACCAAGACCGCCAGCAAGTACATGAAGAACAGTGCTACGGCCGCTTCAGTGGCTGCTGCTGCCGCCAAGGAACAGGCCGCTGCTTCTGCAGCTATTGCTTCCTACCGCAAGGCAGCAACCGCTAGCAAGAAGGCCGCCGCTGCTACTTCAATGTACAAGGCTGCTGCTGCTAAGGGTATGACTAAAGCCGCCAAGACTTACAAGGCCAAGGCTGCCGGCTACCGACGTGTTGCTTCAAGAAGCACCGCCGCAGCCAGTCGATTTGGCGCGGCAGTCGCCGCCTATAAGGCCGAGAAGATGCAGGAGTGTGGCCGTCAGGCTAAACTATTTGCGGACCGAATGAAGAATCCAATGGCCAACTTTAGCCAAGCAGACAGCGTTTCGCTACAGCAGGCAGTTGCCCAAATTCTAACTAGCTCGCAAATCCAACTGCTCAGCAAGGCTTTATCACCAGTCCAAATCCAAGTTCTTAGTAAGATGCTTACCCCTCAACAGGTACAACAAACTCTAGTTCATATTGGTGCTATGTCCGCGGAACAGCTGCAACTTCTCCTTCTGAGGCTACAGATGAAGGGACTGGAGCTGCAAAGCGCGCCCATCCAACCACCCATGCCACTTCTCCATTCGGCGTTTGTTCCCATCGGAATCCCAGCTTTAGGAGTAATGAATGCTATTGAGCACGGTGCCACCGGTACTACGGTTCAAATGGGTGAGATGGACATCAAGAAGTACTTACTGCAAAGTCAGTTCCTAATGCAAGGCAAAGAAAACCTCTTAACCCCAACCCAGATCGAAGAGCTAAGAGCCCAAGCCACTGCCCAAAGTACTGCTATCAAGAGGTTGATAGCAGAGATTCAGTCGCACAAGATGGAGATCGAAGGGCAAGTTCGCATGAAGCTAGCTGGTGGCAACCGACCAAGTGTGTCTGTTTGTAACCCAATGCTAGGCATGCAAGCTGGTATGCTCAACGGTGTCTTTGATGGTCTTGTCTCTCCTCCTTCATTAAGGCTGGCTGGTGATGTCTCTCTTGGCCGCAACTCTTTCAATGCCATTCGCCAGCTACTGATTTCACCTGCTGTTTCCTCCTACATTGGTATGGACCCAAATATTCTGATGCAAAGCCTATACAAGCAAACTGGCGACAACGATATGATGTGCCTTCTAACTAATTCAGCCGCCCATTCCTCGGCCTACTCTGGCATAAGTCAAGCTGAGTTGTCTTTGATTGGGGCCCGGGCTGCTGCTTGCCAGCAAAAGCTATCAGGTGTCTATGGAGGCTCCTTTGACCGATTGCAACAAGCACTTCTATCAGCCTACAACCTAGTCAAGAGCTCTTCCGTAAAGTGCAATGGTGGCGGCTTCGGCGCATCTCCTATGCAGATCCCTATCTGCCAAATAGCCCCGCTTTTATCCGCATAAATAAGTAATAAACTCTTATGATTGATTTGGCTTGGTATTTGTTGTGTTTGGGTGAAGTGAGGTGAAGTTCGGTTTGGGTGAGATGAAGTTAGGTTTGTATTGAATTGTGGTGTTATATGACATGTTGATTCTATATAAGACTGACTAAGTTTTATCTAGATTGAATTTATAGCTAACTTAATTTAAGAACAAAAACTCAACTCAACCTTTATTCTTTCAAAATCAGAATGCAATAGAATTCGTTTTAGTTTTACTTTTGTTAAAATAGATAACTGCCATTTTCCTTTTATGGTAAGGCGAGATATGATATTTGGGTTAGATTTTCGCTCTAATCCGCCAAAGCAAGCACCTTGACCTAACAATAAACACAAAGACCACATTATCCCCAACCAACTATACAAATCAGCAGAGGTAGATATGCGTAGAATAAAGGAGGAGAGAGTATAACAGCATCTATACTGGCTTACCGGCAAAAATTTCTTATGTTAGCACTAATCGGCCTGGGTCTTGAAGCGGAGGATATCTCTTTAAAAGGACTAAAGCTTGTCCAAGCCTGTGATACCGTTTACTTAGAGAAATACACCAGTATTCTGCTAGATGAGTCTGAAATAGAGCGAGTAATTGGACGAAAGCCTCTGCCAGCTTTCCGCGAGGACATTGAAGCATCTTGTACTGATCCTAAGGTCCTGCAAGAAGCCCAAACCAAATCCGTTGCTCTTCTAGTTGTTGGTACTCCTCTCTTTGCCACCACCCATACTGAGCTCCTTATTCGTGCCCAGGAACTCAATATTCCCGTACAAACCATCCATAATGCTTCCATTCAAAGCGTCATGGGCTGCTGTGGATTCAATTCCTATGGCTTCGGCAGAACTGTTTCCATTCCCTTCTTCTTGAAGGAGTGGCGTGTCTATGACTTCTACCAGAACATTATGGCCAACTATCAAAACGGCCTACATACATTGTGTCTTCTTGATATCAAGATAAACGAGCCAACTCTAGAGACTCTAATGGGCAAAGAAAACAAGCGATACACGCGTTTCATGAGCATTGATGAAGCCATCAACCAAATCCAAGAGGCCGCCCAGCACTGGCAGTCCAACGACCTTCAAGACCAAAAAATCGTCGGTGTCGAACGGTTCGGGCAAGCCACCGAGCAATACACTTACGGCACTCTCCAAGAGTTAGCCACACGCACATACGGACCTCCACTGCACGCCATTATTATTCCATCAAACAAAGGCAGCAGTATGGAACGCGAGTATGTCGAACGTTTCTTCAACCACACCAGCACAACTCAATAAAGACTCTATAGCACATAACAACCACTTTAAAGACTCCACAGACAATCAACTTAATTTATTCTTAACTATTCCAACGGATTTACTGTCTATCCAATTTTTATAAAAAAGATGCTTTCACCAGGGCTCGAACCTGGGACCTTCGGGTTATTAGTCCGATGCTCTAACCAACTGAGCTATGAAAGCACACCATTCCTTCAAATGGGCTTCTCGACTCACTAAACTATACACTTACTTCGACCATAAGCATTACAACCCATGCCAACTAGTACTCTTCCACTACGCATTAGCGGTTAGCCCCCTGTCTCTGCCACGACTAAAGCCTGCCAATTTTTTCGAGTATCTAATGACTAAGCAGAAAAGACTGATTACTTCAGCATTGCCTTACGTAAACAACTTGCCCCACTTAGGGAATGTTATTGGTGCTGTGCTAAGTGGTGATGTCTTTAATAGATACTCAAAAATGAGAGGGTATCAGACAACTTACATTTGTGGCACAGATGAGTATGGGACTGCATCGGAGGTAGCTGCTGATAAAGAACAGATCTCGCCTGGGGATCTTTGTGCGCGAAACAGCGCTGAACACAAACGGGTCTACGATTGGTTTCAGATCGAGTTTGATAGTTTTGGCCGCACGTCAATGGACAATCATAAGGAACTCACCCAGCGGATCTTTAAAGAGAATTGGGAGAACGGGAACTTTGTTGAGCGAACTGAGCAGCGATTCTTTTGTTTGCAATGTGATATGTTCTTAGCTGACCGGTATGTTAATGGAAGCTGTAAGCTTTGTGGAGGCGACCAGGCCCGGGGAGACCAGTGTGATGATTGTGGGTCAATTCTGCAACCAAGTGATATCTTATCTCCAGTCTGTTCAACTTGTAAGCAAGCACCAGAATTACGCGATACAGTGCATCTGTTCTTTATACTGGACAAGTTTAAGGAAAAGGTAGGACTTAAGATAGAGGAGGCCAGTCCGCAATGGACATCGGCAGCTCGGCAGATTGCTATGGACTGGAAAGGGAAAGACTTACAGGAACGGTGTATTACGCGAGACTTGAAGTACCAATGGGGCGTGCCAGTTCCTTTACCGGAGTATAAAGGCAAGGTGCTTTATGTCTGGTTTGATGCGCCGATTGGGTATATAACCTTTACCGAGGCAATTGGACGTCTGGACTGGTGGACAGATAAGAATGTTGATTTGTACGAGTTTATGGGAAAAGACAATGTGTTCTTCCATAGTGTCTTTTTCCCGGCTATTCTGATGGGAACTAAGTCTGAGTACAACTTCCCTAAGGTTATTTCTTCTACTCACTACCTGATGTACGAGAAGGGTAAGTTTAGTAAGTCGCAAGGTCGGGGTATCTTTGGGAAGGACTTGCTTGAAGATAGAATGGGCTGTGCAGGTGCATGGCGGTTCCATTTATTGCGAACTAGGCCAGAAACAAGTGATAGCAACTTTTCATGGCGCGAGTTCCATGAATCGTACCATACCATGCTTATTAACACTATTGGGAACCTTTGCAACCGGGTTCTGTCTTTTATCACCAAGCAAGCTAATGGCTGCATTGTAGCTACTTCTCTTCCTGAGGCCGAGAAAGAGACTCTTAACCAGCTTCTTAGCGAGTACAACGAGTGCATGGAGAGGACTGAAATCCGACCGGCTGTGGCTAAGGTTATTGAAATGGCCGTGGTTGGCAACAAGTATGTGCAAGAGGCCTTTGATCGCAAGCTTGCCAAGGAGGAAAAGATCAAGCAAATAGCACCAGCGGCCAACATTGTTCTTCTCCTGTCCCGAGTACTCATGCCCATTATTCCAGTTGAAGCCAAACGACTGCAAGATATGCTGGCTATTAATGAAGAGCCCACTATCCCCGACTGCTTCCAGGAAGATCTTCCCCAAGGTCACCGCATTAACCAACCCTCCGTTCTCTTTACACCACTCACGGCCGAGCAAGTAGCAGCTGTGGCTCAAATCTGCCCAGGCGAGTGCCCTTTCACCCTTCCCCACAAACAATAAAGGGATAAGATATGAATTAGTTTAGTTTATTATTGCGTTGTATTGGGTTGAGTTAGTATTAAGTTGAGTTACTATTGAGTTGAGTTAGTATTAAGTTGATAGTAAATTATATATGAATGTTAACTTAACTTAACCTAACTTAACCTAACTTAACTTAACACCACATTAACTTAACTTAACCTAAGGCATACTTTAATTTAAAAACACCAAATTGATATCAAAATGTTATCTCCAGCAAGATTAAGACATAAGTAGGCGCCTACTGGCCTTTTTTTTAATGAGTAAATTAAGTAGTTTTAAAGCCTTAAGTCTTCTTTCTAGTCGGGCCGAAACAATATCTAAGATTTATCTTGGTGAAATTGATAATCAACAAGCCATTTTGCTTTTGAACAAAACACCCTTTCTAGATAGTGTTCCAGAAGCTTTGGAGGAAACGGCGTCCAATACGAACGATATATACTCTTATGGCACAGTTTCTATCAACGACACAGTCAAGTACACAATTATACATCCAGCTACGCCAGCTCTAATTAAAAAGTATACGGAAAGCGACCATGTCATAGTTAAGGAGTCCTATGCCCATTATAAAGAGGCCGTGCTGCCTTTAGCACTTAGTAAGGGCCCGAGTTCTCTTTGGATTGAGAACCTCTTTACTGAGGCGGCAGGGAAAAAGGCTCCTTATTTAACTAGCATGAACGAGCACTTGCTCTACATCGACCCGGATTTCCTTATCTGCCCAGATCTTAAGTGGGATCGGGTCAACTTAGACTCACTCTACTTAGTAGTTCTCTTCAAGGACGCATCGCTTTATACAATTCGAGAATTACAGGCGCAGCACATACCATTGCTAAAAAGGGTCATTAAGGCCGTAGAAAAGGTCTTGAGCACATACGGACTTGATCTCAACCAAATCAAAATGTACTTCCACTACTACCCCACTTTCTACCGCTTGCACATCCATGCATCGGCTCTGAAGACTCTTTGGAAGGGCACTACAATAGGATCGGCTATTATGTTGCAAGATGTCATCCAGAACCTTACAATCTGCTCAGATTACTACAAACGAGTTGAGCTAGAGATATCAATCTCGACTGCTTCTTATCTCTACCCTGTTTACCAGCCGGAGCACAGTAAATAAAGAATCAGGTTAGATAGGACGGGTTTTATATACGACTTAGATTATTTATACTAAATAGTTGCTTTTATTAACGTGTTACCTAATATTAGGTTAGTATTGAGGCCAGTGTTTAGTGGGCTATACGCTTCCGGGACTGGAAATCATCATGGCCGGTAGTAATGGAATGGGCTGAATTTGGGTAGTAGGCAAAGGTATCACCAATGAAAATAGGAGCGACCGAGACTTCTTCCTCCTTGGGGGTGACAGTTAGCATGATTCTTTGGTTCTCAGGAAGACCAAGGAAAATCTTAGAAACATCTGTAGTGATAGTGCGTTCAATATAACGCTGTAAGGGCCGAGCACCGTATTCGGGCGTGTAAGCCGAGTCCATAACTCTTTGCTTAGCACTGTCAGTTAGAGCGATCTCGACTTGGTTCTTTTGCATACGTGCATTGATTTCATTAGTGTAGATGTCAACTATTCTAGCTAGTTGTCCAGCTTGAAGTGATCCAAAGATTTCAACGCCATCTAGTCGGTTGAGGAATTCAGGCGGGAAGTACCCCTTAAGAATATTAAGAATATTAGCTTTGCTGCTATCCTCAAGAATTTGGGCCGATCCAATGTTAGATGTCATAATCACGATAGTATTGGTAAAGTCTACAGTCCGACCATGACTATCAGTCAAACGCCCATCATCCAAAACCTGTAAGAAAAGATTCACAACCCGTTTATGGGCCTTTTCAATCTCATCAATCAGAACAATGGAGTAGGGCCGGTTTCTGATCTTCTCAGTCAAGTACCCGCCTGTTTCGTAACCAACATATCCAGGCGGCGCTCCAATCAGCCGACTAATTGAATGTTCCTCCAAGAACTCACTCATATCCAAACGCACGAGTGCTTTCTCATCATCAAACATCTCAAAGGCTAGCGATTTAGCCAGCTGAGTCTTACCAACTCCCGTTGGGCCTAGGAATAAGAAAGAGCCAATCGGCCGATTAGGTCGAGAGAATCCGGCTTTTGAACGAATAATAGCATCAGACAATGAACGGATAGCTTCGTCCTGGCCAATAACGCGTTGTTGTAATCTGGCTTCCATTTGGAGTAGCCGCTGATTCTCGGAAAGAGTCAAGCGAGTGGCTGGAATACCAGTAATACTCGATACCATTTGCGCAATATGCTCCGGACGAATGCATATCTTTTGATCGGTCTCACCTAGCAAGCGGATTTCGTTTTCAATATCAGGAATGGCGAATTTCTTAATGTCGTAAGCAAGTGTACTATTACCCTCACGTTCAGCATTGCCCAATTTGATCTTAAGCTCTTCCAGTTTCTTAAGAAGTTTCCTTCTCTTGATAATGTGGGCCATACGCTGTCCGTACTCTTCTTGAATAGGAGCTAGTCTTTCCCGAAGCTTTTCTATCTTCTGCTCAACCTTCTGTAGCTTTTCATCGTTATTCACTTGGGTGTCTCGGGCTTGATCAGATTTGATAGACTCTCTTTCCAGTTCAGCCGCCCAAATCTTTGATTTCAAAGCCAGGACTTCAGACGGTTCACTTTCCAGTGAAATCTTGACCGAGGCACAAGCTGCATCCAGTAGAGTAATTGCAGTATCCGGCATGTGTCCACCTGTCATGTAGCGAGATCCCATTTCAGCGGCACATTCTAAGGTTTCATCCAAGATATTCAGCCCATGGAAGGACTCAAATCTCTCACGAAGACCTCGCAACATAGTCACTGTATCTTCAACGGAAGGTTCTGCTACATTAACGGGCACAAACCGTCTTTCAAAAGCCGGATCTTTTTCAACGTACTGTTTATACTCACCATAAGTAGTGGCACCAATGCAACGGATAGCCCCAGAAGCCAAACTAGGCTTAAGCAAGTTAGCTGCATTCATGGCACCTTGTGACTTACCAGCACCTAAGACCATATGAATCTCATCAATAAACAAAATAATCTGACGGTTAGATTCTTCCGCCTCCTTAATTAAGGTCTTAAACCGCTCCTCAAACTGTCCTTGGTACATAGCACCAGCTACTACCGCTCCTAAATCCACATTGTACAACCTACAATCGGCCATTCCAGGTGCTTGGCCCGAAGCAATTAACTGGGCTAGTCCATTAGCAATAGCAGTCTTACCTACACCCGGCTCACCTAAAAGCATGGCATTAGCTTTGATCTTCTTAGTTAGAACTTCCATAACCGCCCGAATTTCCTTATCACGGCCAATTACTGGATCAAACAAACCATCTCTGGCCTGCTGCACCATATCAACCGCAAAGTCTTCCAGGGAAGGTTTGCCACGTTCGTCTTTGGACTTGAGTTTTTCAGTCAGTTGGGAAATGTTCAGACCATTGAGAATCTCTTTGATTTTGGCACACTGAAGAACACCGAGTAGAATATGAGTCTCTTCAATCTCGCTGTTCTCCTTTCGTGCTAGAATAGCTGCAGCTTCGACCACCCCAGTGAGTTCTTGCGAATTTACACTGGGAAGAACCATACGCGACGTACTCTTAGGCTGTTGCTGCAGATAGTCTTCAGCTCGTTTTTCCATCTCACTACGAAGATTACCCAAGACTTTCTTGGTGGTTGCATCGGACGACTGGAGTAAAGCTAACAAAACATGCACAGAATCAATAGAAAGGGACCGCCTTTCAACCGCAAGTGCTTCTGCACTAGTCATTACTCGATTTAGTCTTTCTGAGTTAAGTCCTTGACCGAATGTCATAAAACTATTTTCACCTTCTCTATATATACTTGGCACCTTCTTCTAGACTTTTCTGGAGAATACGCGCGATCAATAAATTACCCAAAAAGGAAATGTTTAAGAAAAGATAAGGAAAGATAGATCAGGAGAACGTTGTCTAAATAGACAAATATTTTATTTTGAATGGAACATACGTTTGCTAGCGATATCTTTTCGATTGAAAGTTTTGCGAAACCGTTAGTTGTCCTACTTGATGGTGAAATATATCAGTTGTGTGAAGGAAAGTCGCCCAAAAAGTTATTTGATCTAAAAGAACGAGTTAAGTTAACTTTGGTTAAGGACGAAGTCTTATACATCTGCACAGTGGCCGAGGTGTATCGTTTAGAGGCCGGGCAGTTGAAAGGTATTCTGAAAGGGGAGTTTGAGCAGGTGTCAGCTATGGACATTTCAAGTTGTAGGACGTACTTGGGAACGGGTACTTATGCCGGAAACGTTACGATGCATAACTTGGTACTACGCACTAAGATTACTTATCAAGAACATGAAGATAGTATTGTCGGATTGGTGATTCGGAATAAGTCTTTTTATACAGCGAGTGAGGATGGGATTATTAATCGTACACGGATTGATGAAGAAGAGCCTCGGGATACTTTTGGCATCGGTAAACTGTTGCGGTATCTGGGTATCTTTAATAAGGTTTTACTTGTAATTGATGCTCAAGGCTCTCTTTATACGTTTGATAGTACTATTAATGACTTCTGCCGGGAAAGGAAGGTTTTACCAGGTGTAACTGAGGTGTATCCGATCAAGCAAACAATTTATACCGTTCATAACCAGGAAATAACAGAGTTACTGCCCAATCGCCAAATCAACAAAATGCCCTACCCCGAGATGTACTTCGAAGGTCTTTTTGCCTACCGCAACCAACTCTATCCCTACAGCGGCTGTGCAATTCTTAAGTGGAAATCTCCTAAGGCCGAAGGTGAAATAGATGACTTCTTTGAAGACCTCTAATTGGTAAGGCTAAATACCAGCCAAAGAACGCCAAGTTGCCACCATAAATTATAAGCCAATCTATCTACTTCTCCATTTATACTAATTAAATGCGGAAGAACCAAAGACCTACAAATGCCATAATTGGCCAAGCAAGTAGCTAAATACTAATTAAATACTAATTAAAGACTATATAAGCATATATTTATACTATCTCGGTAACTGGCATGGTTACTACTTACGGTTCATGCAATTTTTGTGTAAATGAGGAACTGTGAATGGATAGTGCCTACTATTATAGCCATTCAGTCGCATATAGGCGAAGCCTGGGTAGAAATAGGACGGAACATTATGCAAGTAGACAGTGCGACTCAGCCTGGGAAAGAATTACTGAATGTTCTTTCCATAGATCCATACGGGATAAGTAGACCGCATATTGGTGCCGCCCGCTTAAAATATAACGAGTATATCTTTCGAATTGAGCAGGTGATTGATTCATCGCCGGATAAAGCCGTTCTTCTAATTAGTGATGGCCGGCATAGTATTACAGCCATACTTGATCCTGGTGTGCTTCCTCAGATGAAAGAAGAGGATCGAATTGAGCTAGAGTTGGTTTCTTTAAAGAATGCTTGGTGTTTACTCCAAAGGGGATATTTCTTCTTTAGTCCCAATAAGTCCATTATACTGTACATATACTCGATGTCTTTGACGACTGATCCGCCTTTTTACATGGACAAGGACCAAAGTCCTCCAGCAGTTGCTAATGTTCCTTCTATCAAACGGATTACTGCCAAAGTATTTGAAGGACTAGAAAGATGTAGGATTGCTTTTGCTTTGGACAAGAAGAACCAACCTGTATCATCTCATCTCTCCCAACCACAGGCCTTTTTGCTTAAGACTCTCCGCAAGCTTGCTTCCAAATCTACAGCCGCATACAGTCCCATCTCAGTGTTCAAAAGCAATCAAACCACGATCTCAAACCAAGAAGTCGCCTTTTTCCTTAACGAACTACCTGATAATGATACTGAAGATGACACCACTACCTCGGACTCTGCCAGTAGAAACAAGAATGGCACCACTACCACCACTGCTTCGGACTCTGCCAGTAAAAACAAGAATGGCACCACTACCACCACTAACTCGGACTCTGCCAGTAAGAATAACAATAACTCAAGTAAATCAGCCAACCAACAGAATACCGCCACTATCAACCTGTCCACCCCGCCCAACATAGACACTATACTGCCTAAAATAGAACCTGATATTTCACCCACCATACCAAGCCCCACTTTTGATGATGCATTTGATGATAGTTTTAATGCAAGTTTAGACACTTCCTTATCCGAGAATATTATAGCCACTACTAACACTAGTCACAACTATTTAAAGGACAAAGCAAAACAATTAACACCAACTTCACCACTGGTAGCTTCTAGTCCGAGCAAGCCAACAACAGCAATTCCTCCCTTAACTCATCCCACGCCTAGTGTTGAATCTTTCCCTCACCTAATCCCGCGTAGCCATGAATACTCTACCCCACCAAAACCAGGCGCCAATTCCAGTCGGATTCAATTTGTGACTCCTTTCTCCACTACCTTTACTTCTACTTCTACTTCTACTCCTGTTTCTTCATCCAAACCGCCATCCATGCCGACGTCCTCCATTCGTTCTCAGTCACCTATCCCACCTAATCCTACGCCAACTCCTTCTCAACTACCCAACACTATCCCTCCTCGCTACAGCCACTCGTCCCTCGGCCCAACAAATAAGCTATTGTCGTCCTCGCACATACTAATGTCGCCATCTAAATCATCAATAGCACCGCCTCGGGTAAGATCGTCGCTATCACCATCACGATCAACGACACCCCATCGCGTCCCCTTATCACCTTCTCGTGCAACATTAGCATCAAACGCCTCCTATCATAGAACATCACATTCTCAAGTGATTTCACCAAGTGTAATTGTTACCATTCCTTCCCCTCCACCCAGTATAGACTCTCTTGATGACTCTTTCACTGTCCAGGATGTTTACAACCCCAATCACTCGATCACTACCGATGTTCCAATCTCGGAACCCGAACACCAAACTGCAGCCCAACAAATCTTCCGTTCCAACACAGGCACTATCACCTACACCCAACCCCCTGTTAACCCCAAGGACCCGGACTTCTCAGACAATGAAGACACCATCCTAGATGAATCTACTTACACCGAAATGTACGATGAAAGTTGCTCTAAAAAGAAGCGGGCAGTCCCTCTATCTAAATACAACAAAACACGCTATATGTGAACGAATTGAAGCCCATCGCTAAAATTCACCGTTGTAACAACTATATTAGGTTGATTCCTCATACCAACGTTAATCCGACATAGAAGAACGAAGTATGAAATAAAGCAGTTTTATCATGATTAATGTAGTTGATAGCGCAAGGCTAGCTCAGTAAGCAAATAGTTGCGACAGAATATCACCTACTATCCGATCGTTTCGTCTTAGGCCGGTAAGATGCTTGCTGTACAATCCACAATAATTGTTGTAGCGCTACAAATTAGAAAGTAGATGCGGCCAAAGCAGAACACTCTTCAAAGCGAAATGATTTTGTCTTGATAGTATTGGGGTAATGAAGCCTTTATTGTTTAATATTCCGAATGAGGCGAAATCACTAACTACATCTCATCAAGTACAAGTTTAGGTAGACCAATCATCAGTGTGATTTTATATCGACTAAACACATCTAAGATCTCGCCATAATGACCAAAATCAATACCATTTAGTCTCATATGAAGCTTATCTAAATGAAGGGACTCGATGTGGCTGTGATTATGGGATTTGACATAATTGAAGATTGAGAAGCCTACAATGTTCTCTTCCTGCGTATAATAGATGACTTCATTTAGTTCAAGAAAGTCATTGATTGCAATAAACTCGATGTGTTGGCCTATAGGTGTATTTAAAACTTGAGCAATACCAAGGTTCTTGAACCGCTGATTTAGCATATATATCTTCACGGGTTTGGCAAACTCGTAATGTGCGAGCATCCAATAAACAATACAAATGTCAACATTATCTAGCACCAAAAGATTAGCATTAAAAGACCATTTATCTTTAACAGACGCGAGTTCCATCATATGGTCGAGAATAAAGTTGCATGTGGGTCTGGTTCTAGTTCTGACATTCCGAATCATAAGCGTATTAACATCAAGATTTCGGAATAGCGATAGAACCTGAATACATCTTAGGTCTTGTTTCTCTATTGGAACCTTCGAACCACTAATCTCAATGCCGCAATATTTCATATTCTGACAGAAAGGAATGGAATTACGAATGTAGAATCCTAGGTGCTCCTCAAACTTGGGGTGATTAAGGTCGATCGAGATTGGCATATCAAGTCTCCAATTGGTATCGTTTAGACTTTGGCCATCGCAGAAAACCAGGCGGCTGGAAATTATTTGTGGGGGTTTCAACAGGGCGTTAATCTGACAAAGTGCTAGTGTGGTGTTAAGCACGTCATCTCGTGGTTTCTTATAATAAATTGTGACTGTGGATGCTTTGATACCTATTTTAGCCAGATTCGTCGGGGTGTATAGCTTTCGATGGTGGTCGAAGAGCCGACATGGAACACCAAACTGGACTTCAGCTACAACTTTATGCGCGATAATCTTAATGGGCGACGCTGTGTTCATACCGGAAAGTTGCTCCAAATGTATGACAGTGTCTTTGTTAACCTCAAACCCCAATAGTGTATGGATTTGAATTTCGGCAGCATTGTAAAGGCACAGATGCTTAATAGTATCACAACTAAGACACAAGATCAGCTCTGGGTGTAACTTAATAGCATTTTCAAGGCCTGCTATGAACATCCGGGTTGTTGGATGGTCGTTAATAGTGATCTGGCTACAGGTAGGGGAACTGCTTAGAAGTAGCCCAAAGTCAATATGTACTAGCTCTGCTAAAGGTTCAATAATAAGAACGTAGTCTTTGGCTAGCGCTAATTGACCCAGCAAAGAAATCGCTTCAAAGCATCGGCTTCGCAGAAAGACACTTGAGATTGGCCGCAATGGCGCAACTCCAGACATTATTAAACTCAAGATATCACTATGCTCGATGATCCCAAAACTGATCTGACAGGGGATGGCATAAGTTACATCTTGGACGGTATTATAGGCCTCAGTCAGAAGAGCCGTATAGTCTATCTTATTGGTATAACTTAAATCTGCTATATCCCAGCCCAGCGAAATCGACAAGTACTCACAGTCAAACATGTTAATAATACGAGACAAAATACACAGTGTTTCTCCATGAAGTTCAGGACTATTCGGTTTATATCTCACCTGAGCCTGGACCACTCTAATACAAGAAATCATTCTTAGTGTACTCTGGATATGCTTAACCCAGTGCTTATCTATAACTTCAGGCGGTTCAAAATAGACACTACCCTGTGAAAACCCAACCCAATAGTCCGGGACGTTTTCTATCGGGACAGAAAAGCTCGAGGTTGACCGGCTGGTATGGGTCGAGATAGACGGAGCCAAGTTATTACAAAAGAGTGACGGAATATTACCAGAGTTATAACCAGCTACAAATAGAAACCCAAGCTGTTTTAAGGCCGGGATTATATCAGCACAATCCAATTGTCCGGGCTGTCCATCGTTATAGTGACTATCTCGCCAATATTCCTTATCAAGTCCGCCTGTTGCACAGCAACCATCTAAATATACCATACTAATCGCACACAATATAACCCCATACCACCCCAGTCTGAAGTCAAACCAAGGTTTAATCCCATTAACCCAAATACTAACCACAAACCCAAGCACACCTATTACCAGAAGAAAACTCCAGCACATCTCTTTCAAATCTCGAGTAAATTTATCAAAGCATGTGATTGATATCCCAACCCAGAGTCTATCGGCCGCCCCCACCCTCACTACTAATCCAATACCAGCCCATACCAACACCAATCCAATCCAACACAACACAAACCCTACCCTCATAATCAATAAATCGAACCCAACACAATACTAGCCCAATTTATCTATTTAGCAAAGTTGGGCCTTTTTGCCACCACCAGAATCACAAAGATAATTTTGACATAAATAGATACTTGAGTCTTACACAGCAACCCAAATAATATCAACATAATACTAACCCAATGTAATGTAAGTGTATAATCATTTAATAACTTGAAGAGTCTACTACCTTGCCGGCCCCAACTAACCCAAACTACTTTCTATCTTAAAGCAATTACAACAAACATGGTTATCCGCCAAAGAAGTATCTTCGTTATGGTCTTTCGATTGAAAGTAAGCATGCACTCTTCCTCCACACCGAGTACATTCTTTCGTCCTAATCCGCTTCAAAGTCGGGTCGCTTGCTATTTCCATAGCCGAAATCCCAGCTATCCCCTTTGCCCCACTTTCATTCTTATACTGTACGGAATAAACCATCGGAGTAACTGCCTCTTCAAAATGTTCACAATTTCGGCAAGCCAAATACAATACCTTCTCCTGCTTATCTTCCTTAGGATACAGCATATTATTGCATTCTCGACAGAACTGTTTTGTCTCGCGCGACATAAAAAATTGGATGGCTATTCCTCCGCTACTCTATCTCCACCTTCTTACCGCCCCAACACCACTCTAACTAACCAATCTCATCACCCCAATACTCCAATAACTCACTATCCAAACGGATCAATGTTAATTGTAAATTGTTGTTCTTGAATTAATTGGGGGTTTTCTTCTATGCTATCCATACCATTCATCGCAATATCTAACAAGGAATTTCTATCTATCTCTACTTTTACATGAATTAACTCTACAAAGACAAAGAACTTCATCATTTATTGCGTAACCTTAGATAAGCAAGTTACTCCTACAGAACTTGTCAATGCTATCTTTAGTTTAAGGCAAAGTAATTAGTATTGGGTTAGTATTAGTCAATAGCAATACCAACTCAACTCAACCAAAGACAAAGAAATGTACCGGATTCTTCATATGGTATTAGTTGGGTTGTCAAGAAGGTGCAATGTCTTGAGCATTCCCTTTAGATTACTCAGTTAGAAACTCGTCTTTCTCTTCAAAGATCCAACTTTCATCTCTTTGAAATCTAGATGAATCTCTCCGAAAGATCTCTCTACTCATCTCTAGCCACCTTTACCTATCCCAACCCACCTTTACCCACCTTTACCCACCTCAACCTTATATTAATCTAACCCAATGTAACTTTACTACCAACTACTAACCCAATCATGTAACCCAGATGATGTCGAACAATAAATACTAATCAATACCAACCGAATACTAACTCGCCCACTAACCCAATAGGGTTGGGAATTCACATACACAACACCCAGAACCAATCCAGCAGCCCATCTTTATTCCTCTTAATACCAACCCAAACCAAGCCAATACCAATCCAATTCAACCCAATTCAACGCATGGCTTTTGCCAAGACTCTAATCTAACACAACGTCTATTTTCAACCGACCACGATAAAGACTTTATTCAAACTCACCAATTCATTACGCTCCACCCAATACCAACTAAATACCAATTCAAACTAACTAAATATACCAACTCAAACTAAATATCAACTAAATACTAACTAAATACTTTACTTAAGTCAACTTTTAACGGTTGGGTAGATACCAACTAAATACTAACTCCACCCCACTCAATACCAACCCTATTTTAATCTAACTTGGTTTTAACGACGCCGTGTGCGAGGAGCCCATTCCTTATCCCGTTTCCGAGCCCGATTAGGATGCTCCTCCCTTAGCCTCTTCTGCTTACTCACGTACTCAGCCCAAGTCGATTCGGTAAAGCCATAATTAAAGTAGTCCGTTATATCCTCACCCGGCCGTCGCCAAGGCTTATCGCTAAAAGCATCACAATCCAAGGCATAAGCCTCTAACAAATCAGCAGTCTCGGGAACTTCTTGCTCGTCGTTCAAGACGATCTCAAAGTCCTCACTCGAGTCCCGCTCCTCCTCGTAGCCCGCTTGCATGAAAAAAAGAACGTAGACCCTTTATTATCATCGGTAACGCAAGAGCGACACCGTATTCTGCCGCCGCCAGCAAGCATTGCGTGACCCACCAATTGTCTTGTTGAACCGCCGACCTTTGCCTAGACCTCTACTCTTCTTAGTAGCAGAAGTAAGTCCACGGCATTCTCGGTGCTTCATCTTACTACTGCAAATCCAGTTTAAGCGACTATCCCGTCTAATATTCTCAACCATAGGATCAACCATAATCACTTCATAATGCTTATAAGTCGCATCTTGACCAACCCAGTAAGAGTTTAAGAGACGTAAACCACCAAATTTGCGACCAACTTTGATTTCGGCCAAAGCTTGTAAACTCTTCTTCTGTTTTTGTTGGAAAATACCATGGTTAACCGGCTTACCATTAACTTTACCTTTACGGGCTAGTTTACGTCTACCTCCTCTGCGGACCTTAACGCGATAAATAACTATACCGGCCTTGCGTATATATCCTAATTTGCGGGCCTTATCTGGACAGGTGGGTCTTTCTGCCCGGTGAATCATGTTGCGCTGTCTGTACTCCCAGCATCTAATTCTTAAGAGGTATCTCATTACATCCGACTGTTTGTGTCGGTGTATTTGGGCCATGTATTCGTAGGCTGACATCTTTAACTGGGGCTAAAAAATAAAGAAAATAAGACGGCCGATAGCAATTGGCTGTCTAATCGATATTTGAAAGTAAGTATGTAAATATCTAACTTCCAAATTAGGCATAATGAATTTCCTGGGTTATAAATAAGGAATAGTTGTGGGTAGAAATGCTAGATGAGATAGATGGGGTGCTCTATCGGCGGAAGAGTATGGAGGGCCGGGATGAGGCTTACCTTGAGCAGGTTATAAGCGATAAATTGATTCCTGATCGTGGACTTAGTATTGGGTTGGTATTAGGGAGTGTAGATGGATTGAGTTGTATGGGTGGTAGTAGTGGTCTGGGTGGTAGAGATAGTTTCAGTGCCAAGTCAAATGTAATTAGTAATAAGTCAAATGTAATTAGCAAGGCAATTAGTAGTAGTGTTAGTTTAGGTGGTGTTAGTTTAGGTGGTGGTAGTTTGGGTGGTGTTAGTTTGGGTGGCGGTGTCAATGTAAGTGTTAGTGTAAGTAAAGGTTTAAAGAAGATTGGTTGTGGTGGTGGTGGTAGTAAAGAAGTGAATAGTAATACTGACCTAAATGGACATAGTAGTGTTATTATGAATGTAAACAGTCATGCTAACTTAAATGTAAATAGTAATACTACTCTTAATGGTAGTAAAGAGGGTGTTAGTAGGGAGAGTAGTAGAGAGGGTGGTAGTAGGGAGAGTAGTAGAGAGGGTGAAGGTAGTGGTAGTGGGGAGAGTGAGGGGGGTGGTGAGGTTGTACAGTCGGAAGGAGGAGAGAGTGGTGGAGAAGGGATGAAGGAAAGTGTGGGTAATGAGACGGGTGGATGTTCGGAAGAAAGTATGAATGATACTGTTTTGGGTATTTGTCCTCGGCAGTTGTTTGATTCGAAAGATTGGCCGGGGATTCATTTGGCTGAGATAGAACTGAATGTAGATGGTATTTTGAATAGACCTAAGAGTGCTCAGAAACCGCCTTATTCTTATGCTATTCTGATAAAGAAGGCTTTATCGGAAAGTAAGGATGGGCAGCTGAGTTTAAGTGCCATTTATAAATGGATTAAGGAGAACTTTGCTTACTATAAGACGGCAGATTCGGCTTGGCAGAACTCAATTAGACATAACCTATCTTTGAACAAAATGTTCTTGAAGGTTAAACGGCCGACTAGTGCTCCGGGTAAAGGTGGATTTTGGCGCATTAATCCGGAGTATGATGCCGCGCTGGCTAGAAGTAAGCGGGATAAAGAGAACTTCAGTAAACCAATCTAGAAGTGTAAATAAACAAGCGTGTTGAATTGTGTTAAGTTAGGTTGAGTTGAATTATGTTATGTTATGTTAGGATTTAGTTCTGTTAAGTTGACAGTTGGATTGGTATTGGGTTCGTTTTATTGATTAGAATTGGATTGGTATTGGTATTGGGTTAGGAGTGACATATGACTTGTCCTGTGATTAGATTGGGTTGGGTTGAGTTGAGTTGGGTGGGTTTGTGGTGGTATAGAAGAAGATAGAAATAGTAGTGAATTAGAAAGTAATGGTTTATTGGTGTTAAAATAAAAGGAAAGTGTTTAGTTTTGGGATGAGGTTGGGCTAGAATGAATTTTTAGTTTTTATTTGAATTAGATTAGATTAGATTGTAATTAGATAGAAATTAAGTAGATGGGCTGGTGTTGACTTCTTGAAGGATAAGGAGGATTGCTTTGTCCTGTTGGATTTGAACGGAGATGGGTTTGTACCAACCGAGAAAAAGTCGTTCAATCATAGCTGGGATGATAGGAAGGGCATACTCTGGAAGAGAAGAATCCCAAAGCGGCTGAAGTTTAATAACTTGCCGGCCAGTTTGTTTAGAGAGGCCATAAGTAAGTGTTTTAACGCCAAAATGAGTCAGAATGTCTTGGGAAATGACTTTAGGCCAGAATTCCTTAGTTTGCACATGTGTGCGATCTAGGTCAAGAATAAAAGGGAGTTTACTACCAATGCGCTGACCAATTTTATCAAGAGAAATAGCCGAGTGCCGAGGCTGACTAGCAAACTGGGCAGCCACCGATAGCAAGACTTGAATGCCTTTATGCTCAGCCTGTTTTTTCATTTACCAAACAGTAAGATTGCATTGAGTTAAGTTAAGTTAAGTTAAGTTTTGTTGGTGTTTAGTTGAGTTAAGTTAAGTATTGGGTTGATATTTAGTGAGTTAAGTTGATATTAAGTTAGTATTTAGGTGAGTATTAGGTTTAGATTAGCCAAAGTGAGTATTAGATTTAGATTGGGCAAAGTGAGTATTAGATTTAGATTAGCTAAAGTGAGATAGTATAATAATGTACTAAGTAGTAAGTATTCATAATAATAGTTTATTAAAGATATAGATATGGTTAGATAGTTGTATTACTGTAAGTTCTTCTCTTCTCGGATGAGTTTGTTAAGGAGAGAGATAGGCTGCTTAGTACGGTCTAGTTGGAAGGCCAGGAGTTCTTGATACTCTTCTTCAGATTTAAAGCCTTGGGGTAGAGCTTTAATAGCATACTTTGCATTTCTGGTTTGCGTTGCTCGTTCATTATAGATCACATGAGATACTTTAAAGTCCTTTCTCTTTCTTAGTTCAATTCCTGATCGCTTATAAAGAGTTGTATTAGCACTAGTTTTAACTGGCTTAATATCTTCACCACCCCAAGAATTCCAACCCGGTAGAACTCTTTCTTCTTCTTTAGGCAAGTCTTTAGCTATCTCTTGTTGTTTTTCTTCATCAAAATCAGTATTAATCTCTAAGATCTCTTCTATCTGAGTATGTTGAATAGGCTGGGCATAAGATTGAAAGATATCTAAAGGTTTTGGCTTAGTATTTGGCTCAGATACTTCTGGAATAGATATACCACTATCTATAATACCATTATTCACCATAAGACTCTTATCTACTATACGATTCTTATCTACTAAACCTACTTCATTACCATCTATTGTATCTATTGCATCTACACCACTAGTTACAGCATGTTGTACTTCAGCTAGGGCAGCTGCTTTAGCTACTCTTTCTTCTCTTTTACTCTTCCGATAAGATCTGCTTTTGATCTTTTTGGCCCATTGATTCTTTTGAACCTGATGATTTAGAGTTATTCTTCTTCCCCTTTCCTTTCTGGCCATATCTATCTCTTCTCTTGATCTAGTTACTCGGGCAATAGCTAATTCTAGCTCACTTTCTAATGGTAGGTCGAGAATTGAAGGTTTATCTGGTCTTTCTGATGATATTTCATTTGCTTTTTGTTTTCCTAAAAAGGAAAGTTTAGTTGGTCGACAAAGATATGCAGTTTCCTTTTGCAGTCCTTCTTGGTCAGTAGGCAGAAGATCCGTTAACTGAATGGCCATAAAAAATTTAATGGATGGCTACAGTCTAAACGATACACTAATTGTTGGTTCTGTTTTTAAAGTAAAGATTAAAGCAGATTTAAGTAATCCTTATCTAGAATCTGTTCTTAAGGGTCGGAGAGTGGAAAACAAACGGGTTTACTTGCCCTACTATATGATTGAGTGTTTATTAGGGACTGAGTACATTGAAGTTGAGCCAATGCTAACGAAGGAGCAACTGCTGGAGATAGACGGGGCGCCGGAACATACTAGTCTGGAAGGAACGGTGGTGTATGGATTGGCGGCTAAATTAGCAGGAAGTAGTTTACTGCCGGAAGAGAGTAAGCGGGCCGTACGGGCTATGCACTTGCGTCGGGCAGTAAGAGGGGCACGATCCTTAGGAGATACAGAGAAGATCAGAGGACTGAGTCGGGAAGAGGAGGAGACTTTAAGACGAGGAAGACTAGGCTGGCAGTTGTAATAAGATAATGTCTTGAAAAGAGATAGGGTTTAGTTGGGTAGAGATAAGATAAGGAAGAGGTTAGGATTGAGTTGGAGGAGGGTTGGATTTGGGAGGGTTATGTGTAGTAAATAAATGAGTTATGTGTTAGATTGAGGTGGTTTGGTGGTGGTGGAGGAATAGGGAAGATAAAAAGAAGAGTGGTCGTGCCGAGGATCGAACTCGGGTTATCAGATTCAGAGTCTGAGGTGCTACCGCTACACCACACAACCGCACTGAAATAATTGAGAGGAACTATTGCTATAGGTATCTAATTGGGTTAGTATTGTTATAGGAATGTGGTGAGTTAGTATATGGTGAGTATATGGCAAGTTGTATTGTATTGTTATAGGAATGTGGTGAGTTAGTGGTAAGTTAGTATATGTTGTATTGTTATAGGTATATAGTGAGTTAGTGGGTGTGTATTGTATTGGGTTAGTTGGATTAGAGTTGGTGGTGGCGAAGGATGGCTGCGGGGGTGGGGAAAGTGTTATGTTTGTCGGGGTTAGAAGTACCGATGGCCTTGAGGGCCGTGCGGTGTGCTTTTTGCTGGAAGTGCTTTTGGTGGGCGGCTTGGGTGGTCTGAGTGCTGTGGCAGATGTTGCAAGTGTAAGTAGGCGGGGATTTAGTGGGTTTGGGAGCAGTGGTTGTGGTGGTTGCAGTGGTGGCGGAGTATGGATGAATGGATACTCGGCTGAGGGGAAGGACTAGTTGGGATTGCTGGATAGTGATTAGGTGGGATGTGTAGTAGGGAATAACGCGTGAGAATTTGGCAAGGACGGTATAGGCTGATCCTTGGGTATGGCGGGAGTAGATAGGAGGAGTTGTTTGGTGGTGCTTGGAAAGGGCGTGGCGTTTGCTCATTTTGTTAGCAATGGGGCGGCGACAGGTTAGGCAATAGGAAGTTTGGGAAAGAGGGGGTAGTTGGCGGGGTTTAGGAGGGCGAATAGGTGTGATTAAAGGATGCTTGGTTTTGGCTGGTTTGATTTGGGATAGAGAGATAAGAATCTCTTTTTTGACTGTAAGTTCTTCATAAACGGAGCGAAAGATGGAATCTTTGGAGTGGGGTGTGATAAGAGAAGATATGAAGGTTGTGAAATCAGTAGTTATTTTGTATTTTTGGTAAATGGCTGATAAGGCTTTGGCTAGGAGAGTGACTTTGACTACTTCGGAATTAAGAGATAAAGTAAAAGGTCGAAGAGTAATGGTTTGGCCTTTAAGGTGTCGTTGAAAGAGAAATAAAGACCTAGTGATGTTTTGGCGGCTCTTTTTGGCTAGTTTAGTGGTAATAGTGCGAAAAGAAAGAGTATAGACTAAAGCTGAAAATGAAGTGGCAAGTTGATAGGAGTGATAGGATGAGGCTATTTGCATAGAGACAAGCTTAGCCATAGTGAGTTCTTGTGGCATTCTGAATTTTTATTAGGATGAAAATGTATAGAGTCTGTATGCTAGCAACTAGTGCCTTTGCCGAGGCTAACGAGTCGATTAAGCTGGTTTTAGGAAGGCCGGGCTTGATTCTGAAAGGCAAGGAGCAAGCCCGAGAAATAGCGATAGATCAAATTGAAGAAATTGAGTACGATGAAGAGGTATGTGAGCTGAGTATATCAGAAATCAGTTCGGGCGAGTTGGTAGTTTTAAGAATGCAACTGCTGTATAAAGTTAGCGGTTGTGATACGGAGTGTGGTAGTAGCAACGATTGTGATGATAAGGATAGTGAGAATCTAAATAGCAGTGATAATTGTGAAAATGGAGATAGTGATTGTGATGATGGTTTGGATGTGCTAGAGCAGTTCAAAACTGATGTAACCGGATGGGTAGAAGACTGGGCTGGTGAAGAATGGAGTATGGATAAAGTGCGCCGAATGGGTAGTTTGGGGTGTAATTTAGAACGAGTGGGGGAGTGGGTTGTGCGGATGAATGGTTTGCAAGAGGTAGAGAAACTTTATCGAGCAGGTGCAGTGGCGGCCGCTCAAAATATGCTTAAGGAACTTGGACATATTGAGAGTTCGCGACTGATTGAAGCTCTGGCGGTCAAAGAAGAGTTGCTTCAGGAAGTGCTTGGGCTGAGCCAGGATGCAGAGATGGGACTGAGTGCTCAAACAGACCGGGCCGAGACAGAAATGAGCCGCAAGCTGCATTGGATAAAGGAGCACTTTTATAAGGATGTGATTGGTATGGCACGAACACCTGTTATTGATCGGATGATAGTGGAATGCCAGGCGAAACTAATATCCTGGCTTGAGGCAGGTCAGCCAATGGTGCTTACTAAAGAAGAGATTAGAAAGAGTTTGGTGCAACTACTTCATTGCAACCCCCAGGGGTTTTTAGATATGTGTATGGCCTTGCGGCCATTGGACTTATTGCGACAAACCGAGGGGCTGGGCGGTAGTGAAGAAATACACCTACTAAGCATTTTGAGCGCTAACTTAAGTGACGAGGCCTGTAAGTACTTTAGCGCAGACGAGAAACGTGTGCTGGCAGTCTTTCGGCGGTTCAATAGTTGTATAGAAAACCAAGAGTGGGAGAATCTCTTTTACCTACACAAAGTTGTTTGTCTGTTGCTCCTATCAGAAGATAATAAGCTGGCTTTAGTTGTGACCGAAGCATTACCCGTGCTTTTTGAAAAGGAAGGCCGGGCCGAGATGCACAGTATTGGCAAGTGGAACTACTATGGCACAGAACATCGGCTGAGTTTGTTCCATTTAAAGGTACTACAGCAGACAATTGAGTCAATGTCTAAGCATTTGAAGTTATATTTGCTGACGTCCGGTGCCTTGCTGAGCATCGAGCAGGCTTTTAGAGAAAGAATAGGCCCAGATAAGATTGTATTGGGTAAGATAATCAAAGAGATTTTGGAATCAAAAGACCGGGTACTACGGAAGTACCTCCGCGAAATACACTTCCCCGAAAAGGTTCAGAAAGGCATTTCAGAAATAGACATCAAAGAAGTAACGGCTTTAAATGGAGTCGCCGCTTCAATCGAGAATATTATTCACCGTGATTTTAGCAGGTAAGTCTCTCTTGTGTTAGTATTAGTATTAGTATTGGTTTGGTTTGGTATTGAGAAGGCGATATCAAATAATCATTTATTGTTGGTCTATATGCAATGGGGAGTGAGTTTATTACAGTCTATTGCAGAGGATGGTTACTGTAGGAACTGCTCAAAGTATGCCAAAGCTTCGGAGGCCGTTATTCGATACTTAGGATTGGCTTGAAGCATTTTACTAAGCAGAATGGATATGTGGTAGGAATACTCAGCAAAGTAGTTTTGAACATAGGAAGATTGTCCCGATTGGACCGGTAGACTAAGCATTTGTAGGCCTAGCTCGTCTATTTGGTTCGCTTTGAACATCTCAGGCGTTAAATCACCGCAGAGTTCGGCAATTTGTAGCAATTGCTCTGTTTCGGAGTCACTATAGAACAAAGGAGAGCCAGTAAGCATTTCGGCAATAACACAGCCAGCTGCCCAGACATCAACACCCGGGCCATAGATTGACCCGTTTAAAAGCAGCTCGGGGGCTCTATACCAGCGAGTGACCACTCCAGGAGTCATATTTCCCCTGGATACTTCCCTGGCTAGCCCAAAATCAGCCAGCCACAGTTCATTCGCCTCACTTACCAGAATGTTAGCGGGTTTAATATCCCGATGGACCACATTCTTAGCCTGTAAGTAAGCTAAGGCACTAAGTAGTTCACCAGTGAACTGCAAAGCATGCGGAAACTTCACTTCTTTCTTATTGATCAAGGAAAGCAAGTCGGTTTTCGCGTAAGCAAAGGCGATATAAAGCACAAAGGAAGTTTTGGCCAATAGCAGAACCTTAGCTTCGTCTTCAATAAACACGTCAAGTATTTTGATAATGTATCGATGCGAAAGTTGTCGCAGAATGGATATTTCGCGTAGTAAAGATAAGGGTAGGCCATTAGCTTCATCTTTAAGCACTATTCTTTTCAGAGCCACCGACTGTTTTCCATTAGGGCAAACGGCCAAAAAGACTTTCCCAAAAGTACCTTCTCCAATTGGTGCTACTAGTTTATAGCCGTTAACCACCTTCTTCTCTCCCTGGGCACCCAAAGGCCTTCGTCTTAGATCGCCCATCTAACTGGACAAAGAAAATTTGGGTTGATATGGGTTAGTTAAGTTGTGCTAGTTAAGTTAAGTTGAGATAAGTTGGGTTAGTATTTGAGTTGAGATAAGTTGAGATAAGTGGAGATAAGTTTAGTTGAGTTGGTATTGGGTTGAATGATATCGAACATTGATACTATCTACTTAAGTTAGACCCAAATACCAACTCAAGACTAACTTAACACGAATGTTTTTTCACTAAACAATGGATAGTTCGTCTCTCCTGCCTGCCTATGCACTGAAAAGGACGACTTTCTTCAAAACACAAGCGGGAATCAACCAACTCTTACATACAGAAGAGCCTTCATTGGCCAGTATAATGAATATCTATCTGAAAGAGAAAAGAAATGGATCTTTAGACTATGCGCGCGCACTCTTGAGACGACGAGGGATTGTATATGCCTCTTTGAAACGCGAAATCTTCCAAATGGCAGTTCATAAGCAAGTCTCTGGGTGCATTGAACTAGTGATTCAACAAATGCATGCCTGCGGGCTTTTGGAGCGCACCGATCTGGTCAAGGTTCTTCGCCAACTCACAGAAGAGCATCCACAGCAAGTCTACCAAGTAATGCACCAGCCCCAAAACACTCTACTTGGAATCTTCAAAATTATTGATCTGGATACTTTTGATGCCATGGCTATCATCTCACGTACCGTCCTAGAAAAGAACAAAGACCGAGTTCTAGACTATATCAACGAGCAAACATACTCCCAGACGCTTAAGTACTTGACTAAGGACGTGCAAGGTATCAAGTACTTAATTGATACGATTTCCCAAGCCCTTATTCAGACAGTCGACCAGCCGGCAACAATCAAAAACATGGTTGATCGTGCTATCTCGCTTTACATCAGCCTAGAAAAAATCGACTACACTCGTGTTCTGCTCACTCCAATCATCACCAACCTGAAAGAAAGACTCGCCAGAGCCATTCTTACCTTTGGAGCTGAAGTTGGCGCCGAAACCTTCTTCCGGGCGATTTCCCGCCGACTAGAAGAAATCATTGCCCACTCGGGAGCGACCAGTCCTATGTGCCCAACTGAAGAAAGACTGGTGCACCAAGAAGACCTCCTTGACTTTCTTTTCTCACTGATTCCCTACAATAGCATGGTTGAAACTCTTGCCCTTAGTATTTCTCGTGATTTCGTGCTTAATCGGGCCAGTCGCTACCAGTTCCTCCAAATCCTAGAGCAGAAGTTCGGTACTCAGCGCCTGACCAACATCAGCATAATCAAGAACGATTTCCAGTACTTCTCACAAGTCCATATTCCACCGGCACAAGCTCTAGCAGCCGTTCAAACCCGACTAGCATCGATTGCCGAAATAGAATTCGCACCCAAACCCCAAGTTAGCTCCTTTGTATACTCCTGCCACTACTGGCCCGAGAACAATTATGCCTCCCCCGAGGACGTTTTCTCCACCACAATTGAGCACACTCCCACCCAGCCAAGCGCACATCCGCACCCTAATACGAACAACACACTCGCTCTTGACTATGCCCGTGAGCACACATATGCCAACATAACAGTTACTAGCCACGGCCGCTCACAAGACTTCACTCTCCCTATCATCTACCTAGAGTATCTAGATCCCAAGTTCAACACCACCGGAATCCCCGAAAGCACTCTTATCGCCATTGAATCTTTCTGGAGCGCCCATGACGACTAACTAATCACCATCTAATTGCTTCAACCCGCCCTAAACTACACCACCCCAAAGCACCCCAACCACGCCACCCCAACCCAAACCCAACCCAATACAAATCAAACTAGCTTACTACTATTTCAAAATTATACTACTATCAAACAAAAATAAGCCGCCCATTTCAATAACTAAATACATAATTATATAGTTTAAGGTCATAATATAGCATTCTATTACTTTCTCAAGCCTAGCCTCTCTTTTAAACTCCAAACAACCTTTTCCAGCACCTCATAGTCATCGTAAACCAGTCAAAATACATACTTTTTCTATTTATTCACTCTCTACCCCAGACTAATAACCCAACATGGTCACAAATACAACTACCAGTAAACCTTTTAGAATAGCTATTGATGGCCCGGCCGGTGCTGGAAAATCAACTTTAGCTACTGCTCTGGCGGCTAGACTCTCTCTAGTCCATATTAATACCGGCATCATCTACCGCGCACTCTCCTATGTCTTTCTGCATAGTTATCCCCCCAATACACCCATTCAGACCATTAAAAGCGATCTTGACCAGGAAACTCCAGCCATCATCGCAACTATCAAACACTTCAACCCAGATGTCAATGAAGCGTCCGTTTATCTTAATCACACCGACATCACTCCCTTCTTGCGCACCCATGAAATTGATGCGGCTGTAGGTATCATTGCCAAGTACCCGGCCGTACGGGCTAAAGTCGGCGAAATCCAGAAGGACCTCATTCAGAAGTACCTCGTTCCAGGCGTGGTTGTGGAAGGTCGAGATATCGGCACTGTCATTATGCCTGAAGCCGAAGTCAAAATCTTCTTAGTTGCTAGTGTGGAAGTCCGAGCCAAACGCCGCGCCCTAGAGAACCATGAGAACAACATTCACCAAATAGAAAAAGAGATCAAACAAAGAGATCGCATGGACGTCACCCGGGAAATAAGCCCCTTAGTCCGGGCTGACGATGCCGTTATTATTGATAATAGCGTCCTAACTATTGAGGAAACAGTAGATAAGATAGCCAAGCTAGTTGCTGAGAGGCGGAAATAAAGGACGCCTTAATTTTCTGTTTTTGGAATGAAAGCCGAAGGAAGAATAGACAGCGTAGCTCAATCAATCTGCCGGGGCTTAGTTATGGCCGAAGATAAGGCCTCCTCACTTATTTTGCTAAAGAAGCATTTAGTTGCCCATCCTGAGGCCAAGGCCCAAATCTGGAGCTCATTTGGTGTTCCTGCAGTCCTTTTACAAGAGATTGCGAAGTCTTATGTCTATTTCCAGCACTCAACTATCAGTTCTCTTCCACACTCGCTCTTTTTAACACTAGAAATAATGATTGAAATGTGTCCCTTGCCTGAATTCCGTGAAATGTGTGTTTCAGCCCAGTTGCCGCTTTTTCTCTACCCCATTCTTAATCTATCTTCACGTGCTGATAATATTGAAACAATCAAAACACTTTCTTTAACATTTATCAGTATTCTGTTGGATGAAAAAGAAGATAACTGTAAGCCTATTGAGTTCTTCAAAAATACTGAGTTAGTGCCGCTTTGTTTGCGCAATATGGAGTTGGGTAGTGAAAAGACTAAACTAGCTGCTAGCCAAGTCTTTTACTCTATTATCTCTACTCGCAAAGGTCTGGAGTATACTTGTCAAACGTATGACCGGTTTATGGCTACTTCTATGATTCTTAATTCTGTTCTTACCCAAATGGAGACTTTGCAATCTCCTGAGTTATTGGAGATAGTCATTAAGACCTACACTAAACTCTGTGGTATGCCCAATGCTAAAATTGTCTTCAGTAAGAACCGCCCGCAAATGCTCTATGCCGAGCACATTCGCGAAATGGTCCGTTCTAACCCCGCCGTCAAAGCCGCCTATGAAGACTTCCTCTATACCCTCCAGAACTAGAGATTGACCAAGCAGTGTATTCTCACCACCAGGCACTACCCAGTACTAACCACACATTACATTACACCACATCAATTCAAATACATATCATAAACGTATAACAATACAATACAATATTATATCTTATTATGTCTTTTAGTATTTAACTTAACCCAACTCACTACTTAACTCAACTCAACTCAATACTTAACTTGTTGTATGTCATAAATGTTACTTGCTAGTTCATACTAACCCAATGAAGATGGTTGGTCATACTAGTCAGATATTATTTGTACTTGATAATATCATCTGATGATCATAAAGTATAAATAATGATGACGTCACTAAATACATTATAATCTCACTCCCTGACTAAAACAACCCAACTCAACTTAACTCAACTCAACCCAACCAAATACTAACTTAACTTAACTCAATTTAACTCAATTCAATTCAAAATCAAATTTAATACTAATTCAACTCAACCCAATACTAACCCAACTCAATACTAGCTCAAAAAGGAAATCCCCAGGCAATTTCCTAATAAGGAAAATTGTTCAGCTATTTCCAATTCTAACTCGAATTCTACACGAGAGTAGATAACAATTAAAAATAAAATAGCAAACCAATGGATATAAAGGACCACAAGGCAGCTACACTTTCCCCCTTAGTAAGCGATCATATTTGGGCATGCAATGAACCGACTAAAGACTGGAAGGTCATTGGTCATTCTTCGCTAGGCCGTGCGAGATCGAAAAGCATTGTTGGAGATATTGTATCAGGACGAACCCCGGCAGGGGTTATTCCATGGAGTAGTTTAGAGGACCCCTTGTGTGATAAGAAGCGGAGTATGTCTACGTCGGCCATTTCGGGACTGGCCCTTAAATTAGGCCTAGAAGAGAATGGCAGTAAGTACAAAGGTCTCTGTACAGCCCTTAAGGAGGGATTGGTGAAGCCCGAAGCCATTAAAATGGAAAAGGGTACTTTAACCTCTTTAAGACGGCACTCATTGGACCCGACTGTGTTCTATGAAGTCATTAAGGCCGAAAAGCTCATGGCCAATAAGAATAGGACGAACGCCTTTCCAGCTAAGTCAACGACTGATAAAGTATGTTTAGTCCAGTTTGGAAGTGGCAGTAAGTGTTTTGGTATTTATAAAGGTGTGTTTTTGGCCAAGGGGACTTTTGTGATTATTGAGGCTGATCGAGGTGAAGATTGTGGCGCCGTGCTTTTAGAGTGTCCAACTAAGTGTATACCAGAGATTGCTCAAAAGTACGGACTGTCTTCTTTAGAGATCAAGCAAATCTACCGCATTGCTACGGAGCAGGACAAACTCCTTTTGTTGGAGCAGAATGAACTGGAAGCTGAAGCTGTGCGCAGCTGTCGTGATAAGGTTGAGGCCAAAAATCTAGCGATGGAAATAGTGAGTGCTGAGTATCAGTGGGACCGTAATAAACTCACCTTCTATTTCAAAAGCGAGAAAAGAGTGGACTTCCGGGATCTGGTTAAGGATCTCTATAAGGTTTACAAAACGCGTATTTGGATGTGTGCAGTGGAGAAGAAAGGTGCACCTCTTAAACCAGAACTCATTGAGGACTACGGTCTTGATGATACCACCGACACTGAAGACCTTAGTATGTCCCTAGACTCCCAACCCCTTTCCCGCTAATAAACTGTTCCTATATAGTACTTGATTACTTGTAATGGGCGGGATTAGTGGACTGGCCGATCTCGCTATTTTTGAACAGCATGCAGCAACTGGGGTGCAGAAGACCATGCAGCCCTCTCACCAAAACTATCTGGACCACCAATTGAGTTAGTATTGCCTAGGGTGGAGTGGAGTGGGTTAGTGTGGGTTAGTGGCACTTGTTGACTTCGCAAGGGCTAATAATGTACTGAGCTGTAGAAGAGCAAGAGAACGATCTAGAAATAAAGCACTATTAAAAGTAAGGCGAGGCGGGGTGTTGTTGGGATAGGAGGATACTTTATTCCGTGTTAGTATTGGGTGTATCAAGTGCAGGTTTATCTTGAATTAGGTTGGCATTGGTGTTGGTATTGGGTTGGGTTGAGTTGGTGTTGGATTGAGTTGGAGTTGAGTTAGTTGGTGTTGGGTTAGGTTGAAATGGTGTTGCATTAGTTGGTGTTACGTAGGGCGCCCAGAGTTGTTGATGGTTTTGCATGATTGGAGCCGTTAGGAGCCATAAGGGGTTTTGGACGTAAGGGGGATAGTATGGCTTAATTCCATACTTGGACAACCTGTCCAGAATCACAACATGTCGTTTTCCAATCGGAGCTCTCAACTCCAAAAATAGCTTGCTGAGGCCAAGAGCCCAAATCGGAATATGTTGAGCGCGTGCTTCCTTGATATACTTGAAAAGTGAGAATCCTTCGATTTGGTCGCTATTTTCATAATGCATGACCTCATTTACTCCAAAGAAATCATTGATCGTGAGTGTGTTAATGTGGATGGCAATAGGAAGGGCAAGAACTCGGGCAATGGCCAGATTTCGGAACCACTGATTCCAAATGCATATGTCCAGTGTGTTAATAAAATGGTAGCGGCCTAGCATCCAGTAGATAATATGATCATCAACATGGTCAAATACTAAATGCTTGGCTTTGAGCTGGTATTTTTGGGAGACTTGGATCTCGGCCTCTAGAATACTTGGATCAAAGGTGCTGTCAGCGTGTGCATGGCAAACATTCATAAACTTGAGTATATTGGTTGTGATGTCCTGGAATAAATGTAGCAGAGCAATACAATCGTTGACTTGATTTTCGTATGGCAGCTCGGCACCATTGATTATCAGGTTGCTGTAGCATATGTTCTGGCAGAAGCAAATATAATGTTCGCTGTTGTATGCCGCGATCTGATGGCGTATATTAGGATGGCCCAGGTTGATGCAGACTATCGCTTGAAGTCCAAAGTTAGGATCGGATAGTTCGTCGCCACAACACAGGACATTATTCTCCAGACAATCTTCTGGTATTCCCGGGAAAGCATTGATCTGAGTGAAGAAATTTATGGTATCTATCAAATCGGTTCGTTTGCCTTCATGTTTGAACAAAATGACACGAGCCCAAATACCATATTTAGCAAGAGTCTCTTTGGTATATAACTGGCCGTAGCGAGATAAGGGAGCACATGGCATATTGATTGGAATCACAAGAATGACCTTTGTGGCAAAAATCTTAGATAGGCCTGGTGCTTTTTTGTGAGGGGCCTCAGCCGTTAGTTTGCAGTAGCTTTGATAGGAAATCATACATCCGGCAATGGTTTTAACGCGAATTAATGTGTCATTGTTCTCAGCCAAGTATTGAAGAATCTCCCAATTTGTCTCTAGACTTATTTCAGAATGAGGACCGACGACCTTCTCAAGACCAGTTACGGTTAGTTTCGTTCCAAAACGGCCCATAATACGAATCCGAGCACAAGTCAAAGAAATGTTTTGAAGAATCCTAAGATCGATATTAGCCACGTCCGGCAAAAATAGGAAGGAAACTGTATAGTCATTCGTTAGTATCAACTGGTCCAGAAGAGAAGCATGATTGACTCTGACGTGTGTCAAAGATACACTGGAAACCGGCCGCAACAAGACAACTCCAGGACAAATCAGGTCCGAAGGAGTGACTGATCGACCCGAAAGAACCACGCGGCATTGCAAGAGGTACTCCGCTCGTTTAAAAGCATCCATTGCTTCCTCTCGACAAGCACCCAGGTAAACAGAAGTATCCAGGACTTCTAAACTAGCATTCACGCATATCTCCAAAACCAAGCAGTCAACCAGGTTAATAACTCGAGATAGAATGTGTATGTTTATCTGGTGGCACTCTAAGTTAGCCTTTTCATAAAGAACATAAATATTAGAAGCCCTAATAACCGTAATTCTTTGTAGCTCATCTAAAGCCACCTTAGCCGTCTCGGGATCATTGTAGTAGGGCAGTTTAAACCGAGGCGATGTGCTTAAGCACTCTACCTTATAGTTAGGCACGGCTATTTTCGGGCTAGGCGTATCAGGAGATAGTGCTACTGTCTCACTAGAACGCATGGGCGGTGCATTATTAAAGGTGTAGGTAACTTTCACTTCCGGGTTCGGCTCCTCAAACTCAAACCCAATTAAGCCGAGAACAGCAACTATATTAGCGGACCTCGGCCAAATCTCCGAATGTTCCGTACGCAATCCCATCAACTGAGTAGATCCACTAGCACTAGACAGCAACCCCAACAGGATACACAACCCAATTTTAAGCCAAGATCTAATCACAAAAAGCCGAGAGCCTTTAAGCGCAGTAAGACAAATCACGTTAAATCGATAATCTTTAATCGAAGTAACCGCAATCATCAGAAAATCAAACAAAACCTTAAAAAACTTAACTTCCCAAAGAGACTTATTTCCCAAAAAGGAAACGGTTAACCCGGCCCCAGCCCAATATCCAAGAAAGGAAATTTCTCAACTTAAGCCGCCTATCCAACTACCATCACAACTACCACTACCATTCCAAAGCATTCAATGCGTATTATGTAATGCGTATTATGTAATACGTCATAAGTACTTAAATCTGCACTACATACTCAACTATGTAATACGTCATAAGTAATCAAATCTACACTACATACTTAAATCTGCACTACGCATTCAAATCTGCAATACGCCATAAGCATCTAAACTCAACACAACCGCCAGCAAGAATAACTCAAGTCCGTATTAAGTTGAGTTAAGTTAAGTTGGTATAACTTAATCCTAACTTAATCCTAACTGAATACAACCCAACTTAACTCAACTTAACCCATTCCAATACCAAACTTAACATATCTAAGCATAATTCACTTTATTTAGATGTTTTAGTTTCTCGTAATCTTAACTTAACTCAACTTAGTACAAACTTAGTAGAAACTTAATACAACATAGTACAAACTTAATACAAGCATAGCCCAACTTATCTTAACTTAACTTAACTTAATACAAACATAACATAATATATCATAATATATCATAACTTATTTTATCTTAACTTAACGTAATACTATTATGACGTCATAGCATATTTTCTCTTTTTTTTACTATCCCTGTAATGAGTCATCGTAAGTATGAAGCACCTCGACATGGATCGCTAGCTTTCCTTCCCAGAAAGAGGGCAAGAACAATAAGACCTAAAATTCCATCATATCCCGCCGATGATGAAACAATGCCCGTTCATTTAACTACCTATTTTGCCTACAAGGCCGGTATGACCCACGTCTTAAGACTTGGTGAGCGTGAGGGCAGTAAACTCTCTAAGTGTGAGATCGTTGATCCAGTTACTATCCTTGAGACTCCTCCTTGTGTTGTTTTCGGCCTAGTGGGATACAAAAAGACTCCTCAAGGCAACGTTATTGTTCATACTGTTTTAGCCGAGCATATTGATGAGTCAGTTAAGCGTAGATACTACAAAAGGTACTACCGATCGCAAAAGACCGCCCTTTCTCAGTATCCATTAAAGTACAAGAATGGAGTGATTGACCAACAAATTCAAGCCATTAGAGATAATGCTGATATTATTAGAGTCTTAATTCACAGTCAAGTAACCAAGATTAAGGGTCTTAACTGCCGTAAAGCCCATATTATGGAGTCACAACTTAATGGAGGTAGTGTTCAAGATAAGATTGACTTTGCTTTATCTCATTTTGAGAAGGAAGTCCCAGTTGGTACTTTCTGTGCTGAAGAAGATCAGGAGATGATTGATGTGATTGGAGTTACTAAAGGTAAGGGATTCCAAGGCTGCACCAAGAGATGGGGAACTACTATTCTGCCGCGTAAGACTAACAAAGGTCTGAGAAAGGTAGCTTGTATTGGTGCTTGGCATCCTAGTCGAGTTATGTACTCAGTAGCTAGAGCTGGTCAGACTGGATTCCACCACCGAGTAGCTCAGAACTTAAGAGTTTACAAGGTAGGTAATGGTCAGGACGAAACTGTTTGCCAGACTCCTTACGACTTAACTCAGAAGACGATTAACCCTATGGGTGGATTTACTGGATATGGTCAAGTAGTTAACGACTTTGTGATGGTTAAGGGATCAGTAATGGGACCAAGAAAGAGAGTTTTAGTGATGAGAAAGGTTATAGGCCGACGTATGAAGGGTAAGAATGCTGAGAAGATTACTTTGAAGTTCATTGATACTGCTTCTAAGATTGGAGGAGGTCGCTTCCAGACTTCAGCTGAGAAACAAGAGTTCTACGGGAAACTCAAGTCGCAATTAGTGGCTGAAACCCAGAACGAATAAATCTTCTTTGCTACTTATGAGCCTCTCGGTAAACCGATGCTCTTCTCATTAGTTAGATTTAGTTTGTAATTTGATTTTGTTTTGATTTTGATTGCGTTATGTTTTGATTACGTTATGTTATGTTATGATTACGTTATGTTATGTTATGTAGATGCCACTTACGATACTAACTCAATATGTTATGTAGATGGCACTTACGATACTAACTCAATATGTTATGTAGATGCCACTTGCGATAGTGGTTATGATGACAGTTACGATAGCAATGCCATACCATACTAACTTAATACCAACTTAATGCAATGGCAATGGCAACTTAATTAGATATAAACAGGGGTTGTAATTAGATATAAACAGGGGGTTGTTTTATTAAGAAGTACTTGCTGAGTACTTGTAATGATGTACATCTGAATGAGTTAGTATGGGTTGAGTAAGTGATTGAGTGGGTGAGTAAGTGAGCATCTAGAAGGTATTGAGATAGTCAAGTTGCTTTTTGTTAAAGGTTAGGGCATCTTCTGGTGAAGGCCCGGCTTTGAAGAGCTTACGAAGACTGCCAATACTCTTGCGACAGGTATAGAGATTAGTGAAAGAAGGAATCTTCTTATAGAAGAGATCGTTTTTGCTGAGGAGTTTGGTGAATAAAATGTCCCGTAAGATAGACTCACTAATATTAAGAACTCCAATATCAAGTCGTTTGTTCATTTCCCGACAAATACTGAAGATAGATAAGATTGAATTAAGATGTTGTAAAAGATAAGTATCTCTTTGTAAAGTTAGTTCAGTCAGTCGTTTGATCATTTGTAGATCAACTTTGATTCTCTTGATCTTCTCAATAGACGTATCTGGTTTACGGGCTTTTCTCAGGGTTTTTACTTCCCGCTTACGGAAACAGACATAAGGAGCTAAATAAGTAGGAACTGCATCTTCTTTCAAGGCAATTTGTGTGTCTGGCTGATTAAGATCTGGAATGGGAACATCTCCAATATCGGGTAAATATCCATCTGGGACTTCTTGTTGGCTTAAATCTGATCTTTCTCCGGACATCTTTTGTTTCTTTACTTGTGGTGGAGTGAGTTTCAGTGCAGCTGGAGTAGGAATACTCTTCTCTCGGCCTAGAATGACTTCTTTTAAGTGATGTTCTTCCTCTTCTTCTTTTTCAACCCCAGTTGCTGTTATAACACCAGCATAATCTTGTAGTTTGATTGGATCTAAGTCTCTTTCATAAAGAACTGCTAACTTCTTTTCACTTTCAATCTTCTTACTACGGACACGCTTCATTCTAGTAAAAAAGTAAAAAGGAATATTAGCCGAACAGAATTCAAGATAGTAAGGGTTGTTTTACTTTTATGTTTTAAATTAAATCATGTCTTAGTTAAGTTAAGTTATGTTAGATATTAAGTGAGTACTATGTTGGTATTATGTGAGCACTCTAGTAACATAACACATACTCTATTGGGTTAGTATTGGCGGCTGCTATCAAATAAATATGTTGTGTTGAGATAGGATTGCGATAGGATTGGGTTAGTATTAGTATTGGTAGGAGTACTAAGTAGTAATCAGATTGGGTTAGTATTAGATAGTGGTCGTATAAAGACACTACAATTACATACTACTCACGTAATACTCACATAATATCTAACATAACTTAAACCACACATAATACTCACATAACATAACACAAACCCAACCTAATAAAGAACAGAAAATCCAGGTTGCTTCTTATCAGTAGATGCGTTAATATTGACTAAGAGAGATCTTTCCTCCCATGTATATGACACTAGATAATACTAAGTTGCGATTTAATTAATTGATTGGCGGTTAGCGGTTGAGCTTGCGGAAGATTTCAAAGAGACGGATAGAACTCTTGCGAATGCCGCCAAAGGTGGTGCCGGAACGGATAGAGCTTCCCTGGATACTACTTTCGCGGTTGCAGAGTTTGTTGTCCTCTTCTAAGTTATAAACGGTGCCTTCAGAGATATCTACATATTTGCTACACTCGTCCAGTCCGGAAACTTCATTGATAGCGGAAAAAACACCGGCAACTGTGCGAATTTCGGACTTGTTGATGGTCGGTAAGGACTTTTTAAGAAGAGTAGTATAGAGGCCGCCATGAGCTACTGCTAGAGTGCGCACACGGGCAAAGACACTCTTGCGCTTGTGCTCTTCAAACTGAGAACGTTTCCCTAGAATTTCTCTCTCAACCATAATTCCTAAGGCTGAGTTAATGTGCTCGCGGAATTGCAGTGAGGAAGACTGGGCAATATCAAGGAGAAGCTCAAAAAGACTAAGTGAAGTGCACTTTTCCGTTTCTAAGAGAGACTGTTCCAATTCTTTAGCGATAAGAAGTTTAAGATCGGAAGGAACAGAAGAACTGCCAATACCTGCTTCTTTTTGGAAGGCTCTTCTAAGCAAGGAAAGGAAAACAATCTCCTTATCTTGGCATTTAGAGATAAAAAGCTTAAAATACTTAATGGTTAGAACACGTTCTTGCATATCGTTATCAGTGATAGCTACTTTACGGAAAAGAGATTTCTTGGGGTAGAGGGCTCTTAAAAGGAAATAGAAACTCTTGGTCATTCTAGCCGGAGGAATAGCTACATTAATAGTGTTGAGGAAGAGGGTGGTTTGTAATAGGAGAAATATAGCTAAGTGCCGAGACTTTTCAACTGATACGCCGCCAAAGATCTTAGTACGACAATTACTTAGAATAACATTTGATTGAATCAGCAAATCGGAATACAGATCAACATTAATAGTATTATAAAGAATCTTATGAATGTCTTCAATTTCACGTTCACTACTGATCTCAATGATCTGCTTAACCACGGCCGGAATAACAGTCGGTGAAAGCATCTGGAAGTAAGAGATAAAGATCTCCTGCCGGATTTCTTCATTAAAAGGAGCCGCTTTAACTACAGTACGGTTGATACCTAAGATCTTCTTCTCTGTATGATGGACTAAAATACCGGCACTCTTAATGATGGAGGAGAGAAGAGAAAGTAAGAATGCATCCGTTTGGGCAACACGCGGCTCATTAGGATGAACGACAAACTGAGCAGGTGAAATAAAGCCCTGGGCCATCGCGCCTTTCAAATGACCAGAGAAGTTGTTCCTACTAATAGCTAAGCCACTAAGTCCTTCGGTCATTTCTAATGAACTGGGCGCCGGTTGAGTTAGATTGGATTGAGTTAGGTTGGGTTGAGTGAGGTTGGTTTGAGTTGAATTGACATGGGATAGATTGGTTAAGCTGGTTGGGGCTGAATCTTCCGGGAGAGTGTTGCCGTCTTCACGATCAGCATCCTTAGCTGGGACTAGAGGTAGATCTGGAGCCGAAAAGAAGGACGAAGAAGAAGAAGACTTATCTTCAGTGTAATTACAAGACCCATCAGCAAAGTTATAGGACAAAGAGGCATCGGTGCTATAGGACTCACCATCTACTTCTTTACCAGGTGAAGTTTTCTCCTCCTCAGTTAGCTCTTTCTTACGCAAGTGCAAGGAAGAGAAAGTACTCCACTTATTAGCATACAGCTGAGTTAAGGCCTCGTACATCTGCGCATTACTTAAAGCTTCTTTCCGGACTGAAGTGAAGCCGGAATCAATAGCTGTGCAGAGGGCTAATAGAATATGAGTAGAGACCTTTTCGGCCTTTGAACTTCGGGTGCCGGCATAAGTAAAGAGGTGAAAACACCTTCGCATCTCTTCTTTGCACTTGGAAGGGTATCCTGGTGGAAAGCTAGACTCGTCCTTGGAAATGATCTTTAAGATCTCCTTGAGATGAGTCTTAATAAGCTTAAGAGCTGAAATCTCAAAGGAAGTGCAAAACATCGCATAGTCTTGAATTAAATGGGACGAAACTATCATTGTTGTCATATGCTTTTCATAAGATTTAGCAATAGCATACTTCTTAGCATATTCCTTAAGGATTCCCATGGTTTCAGCTATTTTCATTGGCTTTTGTTGTAGATAGTGTTTAAAAAAGGACAGTTTCTGCTCATCAACTGATCCGTCTCTCTTGTAGATATCACGAAGAAGTCTTTCGTGCTTAGGACGTAAGTTCATAATCATCCAAACTTTAAAGAATTTTCACAAACTAGTAGGTAGTATTGAGATGGGGTAGGTTTAGATGGGCGGGATAGGGCTAGAGAAGGTTAGTTTTGGGTTTAGATAAGCTGGAGTAAGTTACTGAGAAAGTTGTTAAATATGTAAGTTTTTAAATGGTTAGGTTGTTAAGGGACTAAATTAAGTTAGTAGATTGCAAAATGAATAAATTGTTAAGTTAAGTTGAGTTGGATTGGGTTGGGTTGAGTTGGGTTGGGTTGAGTTGAGTTGTGCTGGGTTGAGTTGAGTTAGTAGTGATATAGTAATGGGATAATGTAGTTTATCAAAATGGACCCATCGCCATCATGGACCCTTTTTATTTGTTTGGGGGTCTATTAAAGGTCTATAATCGTGATATCTGGCTAGAATAAAACTAACTCAACTAATTCAGCTAATTTAAAGTAACTTAACATTAAGCCAATAAACAAAATGATTGCGGATATCGATTGGAATTTATATATATTTGGCTTTTGAATCCAGATTATGGAAATGCCGAAGCTAATTCTGACTATGGATGAAATTGTGCAAATAACTCAGTATTTAAAAGATAAGAATACTAGACCATCTGGTGTATCTGCTCGGGAGTGGTGTCAATTTCAAAAGAAGGCCGATGACTTTCTGGTTCTTAATAACAAGCTATACTATAATAACGTTGAGAAGAAAATACGGGGTAGTCAGTTGCTGGAGGCAGTTGGTGATGATGATACTGCGAGATTAGAAAAGCTCTTCCAAGCTGCGCATACCGTGGAAGGGCATGTGGGGCCAGAAAAGGTTTATCTAAAGCTTCTGCGTCATTATATGGGCTTCAGTCAAGAGACTATTCGCGCATTGTCTGAGCATTGTTCATTGTGTAAAGAGTACACTCCGCCAAGTCAAAACAGTCCTATGAAACATACTGATTGCCGGTATCCATTGATGCACCTGCAAATTGACTGTATTGATATGCGCCAATATGCGGAGGCAAACAATGGTTATGGGTGGATCTTATCAATTCTAGACACTTGCTCTAAGCGTTTGATGGCTATACCAATGAAACAGAAAACAGGCAAGACTGTTGCTGAAAAGTTGGACTTCTACTTTACCGCAGCCGCTGTGCCGTGGATAGTACAAAGCGATAATGGCGAGGAGTTTGTTAATGATGACGTTATGGCTCTTATGCGGGAGTTGAACATTGAGCACAGACACGATGGTTCTCGACACTTAGAAAGCCTGGGCCAAGTAGTGCGTGCTAATCAAAGCCTAACCCGGAGTCTGTTCAAGAATGCACCACGTGATAACCCAAACCGCTGGATTGATGTCTTGTCCAAAGCCCTAAGAGTCCAAAACCACCACTGGAACCGGGCCACCAATCAAGTGCCGATTGAGGTATGCTATGGCTGGCCAGTGACTGACGGTCGCCCAATTCTGAGCGATGAGTGCCAAAAGGTCTTTGACCAGGAAGTTGAGCGAATGTACCGTTGTGAGCTAGAGGGGGATTCACTCGTTGACCCGGTGCTGGAATGGAACAAACCGGTCGAGCATCCAACTATAAAGATTGTTCCGCTGGAGAGAACTCCAGTGGAGGAGCGGATAGATGTCAACTACCGAGAGAAGTACTTGAGTGGGATGAGCCGGGCTAATGGTGCACGTATAAAGGCAAAGAAGCTTTCCATCGGGGATAGGGTTATGATCGCTAAGGATTATGATAGTGACACTAAAGTTAGGCGGCCGACAGGTACTAGCTTTTATCTTCCGGAGCCAGGAACTATACTGCGTAGCGCCGATAAAGACAACTGGATTGTAGAGTACCAGGGCAAGGAGATACTGGTGCAACAGGATATGTTGTTGCTAAGCCCTGATAAGAGCGAATAAAGTGTCTTTTCAGTCATTGGGTTAGTAAAGTGTTAGTAAAGTGTTACTTTTCGCGACTAAACCCTTTTAATAGATCTATGCTAGGCCAAATGATGGTATTGGGCTGAGTTAGTACTTGGGCCGAGGAGTATGGGCTGGTTATTAATCTATATTTTGATTTTTTATACTATATCTAAATGAATAATAGGATTGCTTGTATGTTAGTTGTTATCTTGCTAGGGTTAGGACATAATTGGGTTAGGGGAGCGAATTTCAATAATTTAGACGTGAGCCGTGGTTACCCTTTCTATCGCGCCTTGATAGATCATCCCAACCAGAATATGGGTGGATATAATATGGGTGGATATAATATGGGAGGATATAATATGGGAGGATATAATATGGGAGGTCCTAGTATGAGTAGTCATAATATGAGTGGATATAATGTAGGAGGACCTAGCATGGGTGGATATAATATGGGAGGGCCTAGTATGAGTAGTCATAATATGGGAGGACCTGGTATGAGTGGATATAATATGGGAGGACCTAGTATGGGTAGTTATAATATGGGAGGATATAATATGAATGGATCTAGCGTAGGAGGAGGCCCTAGTATGGGTAGTTATAATATGGGAGGACAGAATATGATTGAGTGTAATATGGGAGGTCCTAGTATAGGTAGTTATGGCGTAGGAGGACAGACTATGAGTGTGTATAGTGTAGGTGGACAGAATATGGGTGGTTATGGTGTAGGAGGACCTAGTATGGGTGGATATAATATGGGAGGACCTAGTATGGGTGGTTATAATATGGGTAGTTATAGTATTGGTAGTTATAATATGGGAGGACATAGTGTGAATGGGTATAGTGTGGGAGGGCATAGTGTGAATGAATATAGTATGGGAGGATCTAGTATGAGTAGTTATGACGTGGGAGGGCATAATATGAATGGATATAGTGTGGGTGGTCATAATATGAATGGGCCTAGTATGGTCGGACCTAATATGAATGTGCATAGTGTAGGAGGACACAATATGAATGTGTATAATATGGGAGGACATGGTGTGAATGGGTATAATGTGGGCGGACATGGTGTGAATGGATATAATGTGTGTGGACATAATATGATTGAGTGTAATATAAGAGGTCCTAGTATGAGTAGTTATGGCGTAGGAGGACAGACTATGAATGTGCATAGTGTAGGTGGGCAGAATATGGGTGGTTATGGTATAGATGGATATAGTGCGGGTGGATATAGTATGGGTGGACAAAATGTGAGTGGTTATGGTGTGGGTATGCAGAATGTGAATGGATCTGGCGCGGGTGGATATATTATGAAAGAGCCTGCTGCAGGTGGGCCTAATGTATGTGGTTATAATGCCGATGGTTATAGTGTAGGTGGACAAAATGTGGGTGGCTATGATGCGAGTGAACAGGCTGTGAATGGATCTGATGTCAGTAGATATAATGTGGGTAGATATGATGCAGATGGAGATAGTGCGGATGATTGTGATGCAGATGGATATAGTGCGGATGGATATGATGCCGATGAATATGAGAGGAATGTCTATGATGATATAGATGACCAAGATAATGAAGATGACCTAAGTCAACAAGACAGCGATATAGGAACAGAAATAGACAAGGCTGCGGGGGAAACGAAACTGGAACTAAGCATTATGCACGCACTCTTTTCTCTGGGCAAACTAAAAGAGGATCGTAATTCAGCAAATCATTTGAATTACATCCTGACTCGCAGTAAGGAGATAAAGCAGATGTACCATATAACCATCAAGAATCGCAAAGTCGTGCTAGAACTTAGATCTAAGCCAGCAGCCGATAATCCAGAAGTGGCTCGATTAAAAACGATCCTGATGTCTAATGTGGCTTCAATTCGAGCTAATATAATGCGCATTCGCTGTTTAGTATATGCCACTTCAATAGACGAGTATGTTTCGTTGCTGATCTTTATTCGTCTAGTCAATGCCTTTGTCATTATTATACAGGATTGGATCCCACCTAGTGTTGCTGTGCGGCATTTGAACTTTAATCAGACCATGACTAACTTCCGCGAGGCCCTTTCTCTAGCTACTAGGCCAAAAACGACTTATAATGGCACAATGGTCCTTTCGTTTAAGACCTTTCCCGCCATAGAAATAGGCTTTTTGATCTGCCAATTCAAAAATGCCACAGATGTCGTATTCCGGCAACAATATCATCCTAACGGCTCGTTTGAGATGAGAATGAAGCATGCAACAATCCAAACTTCTCTTTTGGGTTCGCAAAATGATAGTGCTAAGATCTTGGTTACTAACCTCTTGTTAGCGAATAATGAACAGTCCGATCAGTTGATTGAATATCTGCAGAAGAAAAGCGATCTCAAATTAACTCTACATATATATATTGCGAGCTTCATTAAATCTGCTAACTTAGATAGTACCCGCTCTTCTAACCCAAATACTCTAGCCCAGACGCAGTCCGACCAAATCAATCATGAGCAGCTGAAGGAAATTACCGATGACATCTGCCTTTTAGCTCGTAAGTTGCCATACCAAAGCATTGAGATTGTGCCTGGTAGTTTGCCGAACGTTATGTTTTCTTCCAATCATCTTATGCAATGCATCCACGTGTTTAATGCAATTAGGACCACAAGCAACAAACCTCGGCTTGCCTTGAAAGGCTTTCTTTATGTAGACACCAAGGACAATAAGCCTTTGCCACCTAGCATAATGTGCGAGTTTAGCCATATATTTCTCATCAACGTCAGCAATGTGTTTGTCTTCCTGTTGATTGACATGATTGATGCCACTGAACCACTTGAGATCAGCTTATATCATGGCATGAATTGTAACGAGTCGCAAAACATCATCGATGCCTTAAAACGTGCCGACAAGCCGAACCTCACTATTTCCTTTTGTCCTATATGGAGATTCTTGCGGGCGGATTATCCAACTATTGAGTCCATAACCACCATGGCGCAGCAGCTTAGCGAGCATATGCATTTATTTATCCCTATCACAAACCATAAGAACTCCTACAACCTAATTGAGTTCGCCAACCTCTCCATTTGGGCCAACAATCCTTTTCCAAATCCAGAGCTTATTGACAGGTGCATATTTAAATCGTCTCTCTTCTCCCCTGGCAGTCATACAATTAACCGCATGTTCGACTTCCGTGATATTCGCCACTGTACTGGCCTAATGCCTATCAACAAAACTATCGAGTACTTGAACACAATGCTTAAGTACATTCTTTCTATCACCCCTACGACCCCGCTTAAAACATACCATAGAATAACTTCTATCAAAGTACGGGTATATCACTCCATATACAAATGCGATACAATTGAGTTACCACTGACCATTCTTCGGTTTATTATTCAAATATATCCTACCATCAGGAAAATCAGTCTCACTCGGATTGTTGCCGATGACAAAACTGCAGATGTTTTTAAGACCGCACTAATCCGGGAATGGAAGAGAATGAGAAGCAACAACCCCGATCGGTCGCTACCCTATGTTCAAATCCTTATCTTCAATCCACATAACAGCCAACTGTACTTCTATCGGCTCGCGCGGATCTCTAGTACTGGCCAACAAACTCAACCTATTGTCGAAAAGGTCCTAGACATCAACCCTCACAGTGAGAAACATCAAATCATTATGCAATAAATCCAAGAATGTCGTTTAATTATGTCTTGCTAGAATTACTACGACCGAAAGCAACGTGTTGCCGTCCTAGAACACAAAAGTTACACAAGATATCAAGGTTGTTTATTATAAATCTAGTAACGACTTCGGTTTCTAATCTTTGGATCTATGCAATCTATTTAGAAGGGTGGTGGCTAAGAACAGATTGGACTTCGTGGTAGACAGTGCGGAAGTCAACAGTATTGTCCATAGGGTGGAGGGGATGAATATATGGATGGAGCCCAGATCGACCCTCAGTGGCAGTATCCACCCAGAGGAAGCTTTGAAGGATTTCGTACCGCCACGCCTGAAGAAGAGACGTGCCAGGAGTGACTCGCTGGGCTAAATCTGCAGGGTTCAAGTGGGCGAAAGACTCTTCTGGCACAGCCGCAGTGAGGTAACCAATAGCGTATCCCTCAGGGGCAACGCCTTCGCTAGCACCAACTACTAGTAAGAAAAGATCACTGGGCTCAGCGGTAATCAGAGCCTGTCGGGTGGTTTGGTTTGAAGACTTGAGAATATAGACCCCTCGAAGAGTATGAACCTCTTTAAGGTAGGTATTTGGCAGGGCACTATAGTAGCGGTCATTAGCAATCACCTGGGCCGTTGTAATTTGGTCCTCCTGACCTTCCGTACGTAAGCTAAGGTGGTACCCAGCGGGACACTCCTTAAGATCTAGTATTTCAGTAGTCATACGCGTTGTACCACCCCTAACCGCAGCCAATCGTGCAAACCCCTGGGATATTTCACTTATGCCGTACTTGGGATACAAAAAGGGCGAATTCCCACCCGTGCGCGCCGGATTAGCCCGGGCCACACTCCGAAAGTAAGTAGTTAAGCGCAAAATAAACTCACCCGGCCTATCTTCCAAGTAAGCCTCCGAAGTATAAAGAGCAACCCCATGCCCTAAAATCACCTGAATAGAAGTAGAAATACCATAATCAGTATACAAATCACGCACAGTTGCCCATTTGCTAGCAATCTTTACACGTTCCGACTCCGACGCCTCATAAAACCCCTTGATCATACCCACAAAACGGTGCAAGCGCAATAACTGGATAGGCCCGCACAAGTTACTCTTTAGAGCGGCTGTTTTTGTCGTAGGAATCAAAATAGTCTTGCCATTAGTTACAATGTACTGCTCTTCAATCACATTAAACTCAATACAGTGTCCTAGATTGTGTTCAGCAATGACTTTAATCAGACCTTCATCAGCCAAGAAGATCTTTGGAGTCAAATCAATATAAAAAGAGACGCCCACAGGTCCTAGCGCATCAAAAAACTGAGGGTCCTGAGATCGAGTAGTCATCTCTTGTAAGAACTCATCGTAGCGAAGTGTCCGAGAAGACGAACCGTACGAAGATGCATCGTCCATTTGCAAGACTTTTAGACCACGGGCAGATAGGAGGCCAGCTAAAATAGATTCTTTGATTCCTGTACCCAAAATCGTGCAGTCATAATGTTCTAGAGAGTCTGTGTGACGAGTCATTATTTGTTTTGCGAAATTCTCCTTTTTAGAGAAATGGATAGTATTACTGATCAATCTAATCCATCGGGACGGAGTTGGTTACTTAGAATGGTTGATGCGACTAAACTGTTCGTTAAAAGTCATCGGATACTCAAATACGGGCTGTATACCTTGGGCGGATTTCTGTGTACGGGGGGAATGACTATTGTTTACATTAATACGATGACGTCACAGCCGGGTGATGAACTTCAGGGGCGCGGCGATCCACAAGACTTCCAGGAGATCTTGCGCAACGAACCAGTGATTCTTCCGTCTAGTGAAATAAGCATATCTTCACTGCCAGAGACTGTACCCGAAGCGATCAGCAATTACCTGAGGGACACGCAGCAGATGATTTTGAATTTAAAAGAAACCGAAGTAGACAAGTTAGCCGAAGAATATGTGCCAGAGCGCAGTGTAGCTGAAGTAATGGAAAGCCAGTCTTTAATCATCAAATCGATTATTAAGCCGGAAATGTCGTATGTGGATTTCACTAAGATCTACAAAGACCAAATTTGGGTCAAGCAGCAGTGTAAAGACATTCTTTGTGGGCGGTGCCACTTATGCTCCTGGGTTGATGACAGCACTGTCTTTTACGAGGTATTGCGTGAAGCAGCTGAAGCTATGCCCAGTAAAGAAGTTCCTCTTTATGATTCAATCAGTGCGCTGGGGAAGTACATTAAGGATACGACTGATGTCTTTGCGAGTATCGATGAAGAGGTAGTTCGTAGTGTTACTAGAATGATGATGAGAGATGAGCTGCTTTATATGCGGCTAGAATTTCATGCGATTTCCGATCAGTATTTTGAGCGCATTCCTATGGTTTGCTGGGTTTTTGTAGAAAGCACTAGTGGGTGCTTTGCCCATCGGTTTCGGTTCCGGAATACTTTGATTCCAGATTTAGCCACTTTAGAAGACATTATCAAAAAGCTTGTGCCTTATCAGGGCTATAGTATTCCTCCAATTATGAAGGAGTTGGCAATGAAGATCTGTAGTATGCAGAAAGGCGAAAGAATTACAGTTGAGGCCACGATCAAACCCAAAAATGGACCAGATGGGTTCTACTCCAAGGATCCTATTGCTGTCCGTCGAGAGGGCGAAGTATTTAAGTATATTGCCGCACAAACCGAGCCGATGAATGACGTTTATTTCCTGTTGGCTATTTCCAAAAACGATGAGTTGGATGAGGCCTTACAAATCATCCCTAAGTACCGGTTTGTTCACTTCATTAGCCAGTTTGGTGAAGAGAAAGAGAAGATTGTGCCGGGTAATTTGTTGGCCACTTTAGAAACTAGTCCGCTTAAGGCTGCCCAGGGCGTGTTTGATTGGATGCGCAAAGGAGCTTTAACCCTGATCCGGTCCGATGTAAAGGTTAAGAATGATGGCCATTATGATTCAGAACAGGCCCATGCACTAACAGTGGCCTCTTCACTATGCAAATGGGAGTACCAAGCTAAACGACCTGTTAAAATGACTGCGGCTATCTACAATGGCGGTCTTAAGTATCTAGTTTGTACGGGTGTTAAAATCACTATGCTGCCCACTAAGGCTACCATTACCTCTTTCTTACAACCCTTTAGAACCTCTATGCTCTTCTCCTATTCTGGGATTGGAACTTATATCGCCCGAGCCCTATCTTGCCTGGTCCAATCTGGAGTCTATCCGGAGCTTAAGGGGGTTATCTGTTTGGAAGCCAAAGAGAAGGAAGCGAATGGATTTATCTGGTGTCGCAGCCCGCAATTTAACCTTCAAGAAACCTACTCCTTTACGATGTTCGACAATATAGCAAGTTCCTTAGGGGCCGAATCCAAAGAGCAGTGGGTTATCTTACTGTTCCGCTCCCTGTTCTTTGCCAAAGAGGTCAATACTCTAGCTGTTCCCAACACTAAGCAAGAATCAATTCAACTTCACGAGTTCATGGGCATCAAACAACCCGAAAAGGACGGTGATAAGAAGGATGATAAGAAAGAAGAGGCGGTTGTTGAGGAGACCGAAGAAGAGAAACTCGCCAAGCTAGATATTCTGGATCTTGCCTATACGTACATGGATCGTTCAGATAAGCCTAAAGTCAACTATGCAGTACTTATTCTTGACACAACTGTCTTTGTTCAGTTTATCCAAGAAACTCCTACCGAACGAACTGCAGATATGCTCAGTCTGAAGGAAAAGTCCTTCTCGGGCACAATGAGGGACAAAGTACTTGAAAGTGCCTTTGTTTTTGGAACTTTACAAGCCCGAGCCATTAGTGGCTTTACTACCCCTATTCTTGTCTTTACCAAGAAGTTGCCCGATTTTAACAACACCTGTCTAACTATTCCCCACTATGCCTACACTCGGCTCTATGCCCTTGGACGCACTACGATTAGTCTTCTGGAAAGAGGAACTACCGCCGGGTTTGGTCTTAAGGACGATGGACATAGTTACACCGAAACATTCTTCGGCTGGCTGGACAGCTTGGGTAGATTCAGCACACTTAGTTTGCGCCACCGCTTTTTATATCTTATCTGTGACTTCATTCCAGGCGCTAAGGCCAAGGTCGATGTCTTTTTGCTCAAGAAGACCGTGAAGGACAAGGGCGAGGAAACGTCCTGCGAAATAGAGTTCCGATCAGGTGCATTCAGAGAGAAGTGTACGCTCTACTACATTGAGCTACCCAAAAAACTCGACGACAAGAACAAGATCGAAAAGCCAATCAGAAAGCTCTTTGCCAAGATTCTTGAACTCAAGCCGAACAACGACAAATCATTTATCACCATCAACCTTGATAGTTTACGTCACTTCCAAGATGTTGACATATCCATCAAAAGCAAGGACTTCCCAGACAAACACGAGTTTACAGTCAATCACACCCGCACTCTTGAGCTGGCAAAAAGTCTCAACAAATGCACTGAAGATATCAGCAAGGCCCGACTACCTCTAACGATCAATGGCAACATAAGTATTCCTATTGCTATTCTTGAATAAGTAATCAGCTCGAGTTAAGTTTTGTTTAAGTTAGGTTATGCCAATACATCACATACCTGTCCACCTCACACATACCTTTCCATCTCACCCATCACATCACATCACGCCACATACCTAACCCAACACTAACCCAATAAAGCCGTTTTTCTTATCTATTGGTTTCTTTTAGCACAAAACACGTGCCTTTCGATCACCTAATGCCTGTATCACCATCAGATCAGACAAAGTATCAGAATCCTAGTTCTAATCCCAATAACAAGCAGCCAACAACCAATTCATCCGCTCAGCCCCCCACACACTTACCCCCATCAAAACCAACCACGCCATCAAAACCATCAACACCAACCACACCATCCACGTCAACTACACCATCAAAACCCTTCAAATTCAAGGGCTTTCATATCGCAGAAAGCGCTGATAAAGATAAGATCAACAAACTTCAAGAAGAAATAGGCGAGGTCACCTGGTGGCAAAAACCCATAGTCAAACTTCTCAGTCTAACAGTCACCCGTGTCATTGAAGTACTCATTGATTTGTTCATCTTCTTCGTCGTTCTCATTCCCGAGAATTATGAGTTCTTCCATATTCTCAAGGAAAGGTTCACCTACCACCAAACAAAAACCAAGGGATACACTGCCCATACACTCGCTGAATCCTTCACTATCTGGTGTCCAATTATTGAAGGCATTGTCTGTGTTATCCACACCATTATCTTTGTTGCCGAGTCCTTCCTAGGCATTGAAATCGAGCACGGTCTCCTTATCGCTCTATTAGCCTCTTTCTTCACCTGCTTACTTATCTGTATAGATGTCGAAATCATTGACCGACAAAAGAGTAAGCATCCACCACGTGCCATCCTTTTCATCGAAATACTTGTTGCAGTCCTCAACATTCTCACTATCTTCTGCTACGTCACTACTGAAGAAAGATTCCGTACTTTTCTTCTTCTAGCCACCGTCATCACTCAGTATCTCTGCCGAACTCTCACTCGACTCGTTGAAGACTCCCACAACGCCCTCCGCAAACACAACAACCGCCTCGAAGTCCGAATCCTCATCGGCGTCTCAATAATTCTACTAGCCCTACTATTACAAATCACCGCTCTTTATTATCAACTAGACTAATTACAACTTAACACAACTTAACACAACCCTAACTCAACACCAACTCAACTCAACTCAATACAACCCAATACAACACCAACTCAACCCAATACTAACACTAAAACGACAAAAGATGTGAAAGTACAAACCCATCTATTTAGCCAAAAAATAATTGTGCTCCATGCCGGACAAGTCGATACAAACACCAGCTAGTCAAGGAATTGAAGAAGATCTTTCTAAACTCCATATTGCCCCTTCACGAACCAGTAACAGTCCTAACAGCACCGGTTTTGATAGTGCGAATTCAAGCCATAACACTCACAATCAGTCCAATACTAATGCCCGCAGTAATACTCAACAAAAGACCGATAGTGATAGTGATAGTGACGACATGAACAACAATAATAGTGATGATTTTGTCCCAGTTGGTTTTGATTATGATGGATTTAATAGTATGGCCGAAGGTATTCTACACCTAGAGAAGCCTAAGAGCAAAACCGAAACCAAAATCGATTCACTTTCTTACGAAATGCTTCTCTTACGCATTGAGAAGTATCTTAAACCCTCTGATCGTGAAGCCGAGCGTAAAACCAAAATTCCAATCTCCATTAAGAGAGATGGAGCTACTAAGACTTCCTTAAACATAGCCGAAATCTGCCAAGTCCTCGGTTGTGAAGTCGCACATATGAAACAGTTTATTGAAGTAGAATTATCTGTCAACTGTTCTATCGATGGAGACAACCGACTAATCCTCAAAGGTATTTTCCCAGAAGCCCAACTCCAAAAGATCATCCGTTCTTACATCAAACAGTACATTTCCTGTGGTGTTTGTGGCTCTCTCCATACAGAACTCAAAAGAGAAGACAAACTTCTCTTCAAGCACTGTCTTACCTGCAATGCCACCCAATCAGTCAATAGTATCCAGCAAGGCTACAAAGCCATCACCACCAAGCGTTCAGTCCTCCGCCGCAAAGCAGAAGTCTAAACCAATCTACTACCTACTACCTACTATCTACTATCTACTATCTACTACCTACTACCTATCCATATTTGGGTTAGTATTTCCACTACCTCATCTCACCTCACCACCCCATCTCATCACACCATTCTATAGCAACACCATCTTAATCTAGTACTACCCCAATAGAAACAGTAAACATAACCTTTTTACTAACTTAACTTATTCAATTGAGACTTAAGCACTACTAAGCACTATTTGGTTATTGGGTTAGTATCCATTTATTCGATTAAATTAGATTAGATTAGATTAGTATTCTGTTAAGTGAGTATTCTATACCTTTTTATTAACTGCCGTACTTATTATCATACGTCATCTTGAGATCCTAATCAAACCAATCCTAACCCAACCCAATACTAAACCAAACTAATACCAAACCAATCCTAACCCAATACTAAACCAAACCCATCTGAAACTTTGATCTCTAATATCAACTTAACTCAACCCAATCCTAACTCAACCCAACCCAACCCAACCTAACTCAACACCAACTCAACCCAATATCTTCTTATACTCTAATCAAACTATCTTAATCCAATCAAATACTAAGTCCTTTTTGTTTTTTATTTACAATGAGTCAGTGGTCCGATTACTTTCATGAGAATATGCAATATCCTGACGTAATTCTTCAGGCCTATTTACTATGCCAAGAAAGTATTTTAGCTTCAACTGCTGAACAAGAAGCTTTAAGTGCTGAAGCTATTGCAGGGGCATGGAAAGCAGAAGTGCCTAAACCTCCTATTGTGATTGGTGAGAGTAAGTTCATTTACGTCATGGAAATGTTCAATGAACAAGACGGCTTAAGTTTCTGTCTCTACCAGAAAGTCAAAAAAGAAGGTGAGGAAGAGAGTTCAGATGCTCCTAATCTTCTTTTTGTTGTTAAGATGGATAGTTTACTTTGGATGGGCCGATTTAGTAATAAGCATAGAGAAGCTGTGATTTCTTATGTTAAAGAGATTGCTTCCACTATTTTTGACTATTTAGTGCAAGAGAATGAATAGAAGTGATCGGTATAAGGGTAGTAGTGCTAGTGCAGCTTCTAATGCGAAGAAAGTCTGGCATCCAACTAGTTTTCGTACTCGACAGCAAGTAAAACGACTGAAAGAGAGTGGTTGTAATAGTAGTAGTCCTGCTAGTTCAGTGGCAACTCGAGTTAGTCGTTTTCTAAGTCTAGCTCAAGTCTTATCTTCTGAGCAGCGCATGTCTTGGATGACTGAGAATTAAGATTAAATTGAGTTAGTTTAAGTTAAGTTAAGTTAAGATTGAGTTTGGTTTGTGTTAGTTTAAGATTGAGTTGAGTTGGCGTTTGTTGATGATAGGATTGAGTTAAGATAAGATTGTGTTGGTTTAAGATAAGTATTGAGTTAAGATAAGATAAGTTAAGATTGAGTTAAGTTAGTTTATATGAAGTTAAGATTGAGTTAAGTTAGTTTATATGAAGTTAAGATAAGATAAGATAAGTATTGAATTAAGATTGAATTAAGATAAGATAAGTTAAGATAAGTTAAGATAGTTTATATGAAGTTAAGATAAGATTGAGTTAGTTTATGTGAAATTAAGATAGGTGATTGGATGGTATTGAATTGGGCTGGGAGAGTAATATAATGCGTGGGTGGTGGTAAACAATCTAAATAAATTGATGTGAATGGTAGTGGGTTAATTGGCGGGAGTCTTAGGAGGTGTAATGAATTGGGTTGGATTGAGTTGAGTAGTTAAGAGAGAGGAGATGGGGGTACGCATGGAAAAAGTTTTAGCGAAGAAGAGAGCCATTGTGGAGGCTGTTCTAGCCGATACGTCTGAAACATTCTTATCTAGTGCTTTGGTACTTGCTCAGTCCAATAGTTCAGTTTTGGAAGAAGAAGAGGACGTTCTTTTTGCTGTGATTTTAGCTTACTTAAAGATTAGAGAACTTGAACTTGATTCTGATAAAGTGGCTTATGATAAACGTCGTGATCGAGTTGAAGAGATTTATGTGAAGTATTTGAAATTCCTGCAAGATTTAGTCGATTGCCGGTTGGAATCAGAATTACCAGATACTGCGAAGCTTTGGGGAATTGTGGAAGAGGTTGTGAAGACTAAAGTAGTAACAAGAGAAGATAAGGTTTATCTGTACAATCAAAAGAAAATCTATCGAGAGAAGTTGTTAAATGACTTTCGGGTGGACTGGCTAGTTGTTTTTGCTGCATTAGAAGCTACTAGAAAGATTGAAGTTCTTCATATTGAGAAGAACATTCTTTCTTTATCTGAACAGGAGATAAGAGTGGCTGACCACCAAAAAACACCACTAAACATACAAAAACTCAATCACGTAAACCATCCAGTACGTCTAACCGCCCGAACCAGTAAGGAAGATATGCAACGACTACTTACTCCCACCAATGCTCCAACTATGACAATAGAAGAGTATGGCGACCGAATGTTAGCACAGATGAAGCAACAAGGCCTAGCAATTCCTTCTAGTACCAATCCAATTCTTCAAGAGATAGATTCAGAATCTGAGAGTGGCGATATATCTATTGAAGCTACCGAAGCCGAAAGAAAGCGAAAGGAGCAAGATCCAGGTCTAGTTACAGGTGATGGCAACCGTATGGGTCGTAAGTAATTCAAAACCTATCTTATTTGTTTTAGTGATGAGTTAACTGCAACTACCAATCTTGATCTAAAGATAAAATCCAGTGTAATAGTGTATTTATTGGCCGAGTAGGAGATACTAATTTGACAGTCAATAAGATAAGTAGATGCTAATCTAATAAGATGTCCTATCTCTTCCCCATCAATACTAACTCAATCCCAACTCAATCCAATACTAACTCATCCTAATCTAACTCAACCTAACTCAATTAGTGTCTCATGAAGAAGTAAAGGACTAAGAAGAGTAGAATGATCAGACCGGCATAGAACAAGTATTGGGCGGCAATGGACTCAATATGCATTTTACGACTGCGCTTGCGGAACTTCTCAGATACGTTCTGTAATCGCTGGCCCAGGACTTCTAATTGCTCTATCTTGTGTCCTCTTTGGAGGACATTCGTGTAGTTCTTAATGCAGACTTCTTTTGTCTCTTGAAGAGTATCAATAGTCTCTTCTAGACCTTTGTCTTTACTATGCTTTCTACTTTCCTCTCTAATTACCTCCTCAAAGCGAATGTATGCTCCATCATTGGATAGATCCACTCCATAATCTTCTACAAACAAGTCTCTGAGTCGTTCAAAGTACAAAGATACTGAAGTCTTTGATAGTCCTACTTCCACTGCTGCAAGAATAAGAATACTCTGATACTGCTTAAAGTAGATAGTAATGTCCTCAGAGGATGATTTCGTGCTACAGAAGTGCGTTTCGTTTACAAACTCTTCGGCTACCTTCCGCATATCTTCAATCACGTTTTTGTGCTTACTTTCAAAATGCCGAGATAATGGACATTCGGCCGAAACAACCACCCGTTTATCGCTAAGTCGAACAATTTGCGTATACAAGATAGCCATACAAATTAAATAAAGAAAATTAGCATATGTATTGATTTAGGTTGTGTTTATGTTGATATGGGAGTGAATTAAGTGAAGTAAAGTAATGGTAAGTCAGGTAAGATAAAGATGAAAATGAAATTTGATTGTTAGGAAATGAAGAAGTACTTTGATTATCTCTTTTTGTAGACACATGGCTTCATGGGAATGGGAGGAAGAGTCTGCGATCTTTTACCGGCCTTTTTGAAATCAAAGAAACAGAAGAAGTTACTTTCTAGATCCTTTTTGAGAAGTGTAAACCCATGGGATATAACTGGCTTAACAAAATGATCTATTTTAGATAGTCGACTGCGAATTTCGGCTATTTTCAATACTCCGTTGGGTTTAAGAATACGCCAGGCTTCGGCAATGTATGGAGCTGCATCCTCACCCATAAGTGCTAAACATAAGACGGCAATATCTACTGAGTTGTCTTCTAGTGGTAAAGCTCGAATATCAGCTTCAATAATACTGTTCTTGCCTTCGGGCTTAATCAAATCAAAGGAATAAACCTTTCTGGTTCTAAACTTACGGGCAATTTCACCCTCTCCACATCCTAAATCGGCAATTACTAGTTTGGCATCAGCTTTAGTCAGTTGGCGGATGACGGTGGCAAGAGGATTGAAAGGCCACTTTTCTACTTGGTGTTTGAACCCTTCATGGTACTTTTTAAAGAGTTCTGGGTTGAGTTCTTTCTCTTTCTTACGGTATAGGATCTCATTGAGAATTCTGAACTTAGCGCCCTTTAATCCAGTTTCTAATTGGTCTACTATCTCGGCTTTGTTGAAACGACCCATAAAAAATTGTCTAATTGGCCGTTATATTGAGTTGGGTTGAGTTGAGATTGAGTTGGGTTGGGTTGGGTTGGGTTTAGGTTTGGAGGGTATTAAGTTGAGTGTGTAGGTTTAGTCTTTTGTTGTTGGGAAGCTTGTTAAGAAATTGAATAGTGGGGAAGAGCTTGCAACATAAGATGCCAAAAAGATCTTTGGCAAATGTTAATCTTGTGATAAGTTTTCTTGCGAAACTAATCTTAATCTAACTCAATACTGCCCTAGCACCTACCCAACTCTATCTAAACTCTATTAAAGACATTATAAGTATTGTCATTTATTGAATAAATAAGGGTGAGTGAGTATGACGTCATATCAAAGTATATAATAGATATGCAAAACTAAACTGGTTAAAGCATCCTGGTTATATTAAAGTTATGTGTTAGTAGTAGTATCAATTGATAGCTATTAGTGTGTGGTTTGCCACTAGTCAAATTTGGTTAGTATTTGGTTAGTCTTTGGTTGGGTTGGTGTAATGTAATGTAGTGTAATGTAATGTGATGTAGTGCTGTCATCCGATCACTACCCAATACTATTCTAACATAAACTTAACTTAACATAAACTTAACATAAACTTAACTCAACTCAATGGGTTAGTGTTAAGGTTTAAAAACTAGCTTTGTTAGAAAAGATAAGATGAGAAGATTTAGGATAGTTGGATTGTTTGTGCTAGCTTTTACGGCAGGAATCGTTGGGATTGTGTGTTCTGGTGGGCATAATATAGTTCATGATATAATGTATAATTATCAGCCAAAAATTGGTGCTTCAGGAAATTACTCGATAGAAGGGGCTGAAGCTAATATTGAATATTGGTATGGATGGCCGGCTAAACACAAGATAGACCAATGTTCTTTGATTTGGCTGAAATTGAAGAAGGATAGTATTGGGGCATCGGATGCTACCGCCATTTGTGCTGATCTTCGTAAACTGATTAGCAAACTACCGATTGAGGAACTACCAATTAATTCCCTTGGGATTGAATGGTGTAACTCAATAGGTGATGGAGTTAAATGCTTAGATGCAACCAAATACAATGAAATATTTAAGCTAGCTAGAACTCAAAAGGATCGCCTAAATATAATCCTATTGAACGCGCCACTGTTTTACATCCCAACTGTCCCGCAAGAAGAAAAGGCAATTCAGGATGCCAAGGCTATTATCGATATGGTTGTGAGCATTAATCACTTTCACAATATTTATGAAGTATGTTGTCTCGTAAAGGAATGTGCTGATCCCGAACGGATACCTAATCTTGCAGAATTACCCTCTTTAGTTCCAAAGGAATACTTAGCTAATTTTACTACTGTGATAGCTGATCCGTCCGTTAAAAAAGCTGTCATGCTCGTGAATACGATGGATGATTTGGAATCCGATGAAGCTCCGGTGTATGAGTTGCGTCAGTGTTTTTATTTACCGCATGTTAACATAGATAAGATTAGCTTGCCACCCAATACTATTATTCCTTATTTAGAGATCTGGGTTAATAATTGGGAAGAGGTCCTAAAAAGCACTTTGGGGGTAATAGATGCCGCCCTATTATTTAATGCCAATATTGCCATAGGAGTTCGGGAAGAAAAAGTGAACGTATGGATTCTAGCCGATATGGAAATCGTCGGTGTCGACAAGATAATTTGGAAACTTGAAGTCTATGACGATTGCGAGCCAACCAACCAACTCTACCCACCAGCTATATTCTCAATCCTTCGTCGTTTCCTTTCAGCCATCGGAATAGACCGTATCTCAGAACAAGTCAAGTATCTCACCATCAATACCACCGACTATACCCCAATGTTCACCGGAAAGGAATTCAACCCATGCTACAAGGAATACTTCTCCCTAACCAGAGTCCAAACTCTATTAGACCCCTCCTAAGTCTAATCCAATACTAGTCCATACAAACACTACTCAATTCTAATAAAGACTCCACCACCCATAACTCATTTACAAATCCAACTTAACACAACACCCACTAACTACCTTCTATTGAGTTAGTATTGCGTTGTGTTAGGGTGGGTGTGGCTTGGTGTTTGATTAGGTTGTGTTAAGTTGTGTTTGATTATGACGTAGTTGGTATCTAGTTGTGACTAAATGATTATGACGTAGTTGGTATCTAGGTTGAGTTAAGTCAAAGTTAACTAAGCCCAACCCAATACTAAGCCAATACTAAGCCAAACTCAACTTAAGCCACATTCTAACTTAAACTAACTTAAACTTAACTTAAACTCAACATAACCTAAACTTAACCCAACCTAAACTTAACTTAACTTAACTTAAACTTAATTTAATCATCATCTAAATCAAACATCGGCGACTTTCTTGTATAGATAAGAGTTTGTTTTTGTTTTTCAGTCGATTGTAAGATTTGCTTAAATTGATAGTCGTTGATACTTGACACTCCCTGACTTTGTTTACTCAGTAGAATGCCTTCTATGCGGTAGTATCGCTCTAAATCAACAGCTTTAATATTAATAAGTCGGGCTAAAGACTCTTTGGAAAGAAGACTTGCCAAGGCCAATTCGATGCGTTCAGCAACTGCCTGCTTATCTACAGCTGGGGATGAGGATGGGGAGTTACTAGACATGCAAAAAATTGTCCTCTCAATTTTATGGACCAGCGTACGTACGAGGGCATGTCTGCCCCAGAGAAAATTCCAATGATGGACAAGAACTTACGATTTTACTTAAGGAAAGAGATAAAGAGTTATACTCCTGTAAATCCGGATGAGATTATAGATAAGATTGAGGAAATGTCACGTGAAGATATACCCAATCCTCGTATGGCGTTAATGTCGACTTTTGAAGAGATCTTTCAAGATAAAACACTTCTCTTTGTAAATAGGTTGATGGGATACCAGAGGAGGCCTTGCCGAGATGGAGCTAATTGCCGGCGATTAGGGTGCTACTTTAAGCATCCGCCCATTGATGAGAACATGATGGAGATTGATGAGCGGCCGATGCATCCACGTCGTGAGGAGAGGTACAGTATGGCTGGGGGTGAAGATCGGCATGGCGGGGCTAAAAGCTTACTGGATAAGCAACGACGGATTGTGGAGATTTTAAGTAAACGGTTGGACTTGCCGGATGATGTTTTAGGCTTAATTGAGCAGCTTAAGAAGCTGACTGGGCGGATTAAGCCTGGTATGTTGGGACAAGTTATGGCGGATTTAAACAATACCAGTACCCGCTTTGTAATCAGCAATAGAAAGGGGTGGATGACGAGAGAGCATTTGATGACGTATCCTGGGGTTGTTTGTGTGGGTGATGATGGAGTAATAGAATGTGCTACTCGGCCGGATGCTGAACAGGTCTTTGATATGATTTCTAAGATAGATTACAGTGCTAAGCCGACTTGGATCTAAATAAAGATAAGATAATAAATTTTGAAATGGGAAGTAAGATAGCTTTGCGGGTTAGTTTTTATGGCGTACTGCTTTATGTGGTGCTGTTGGGTGGACTTTACTATGTAATGAACCGATCGGGGGTGCGAATGATTAAGCGCGGGGATCGGGTGGATGGTGAGTCTTTGGTGGTGGTATCGAGTGAGGACGTGCGTGGGGGTATGGGTGAGTGTCGGTGCTTGTTGGGCTGTCGGTGTATGGAGATGTACATGCACAGTGTAGTGAGTAAGTTGGCTCCGCATCATTGTCAGGTTGATGTGCTGGTGGTGCGGCCGTACGAGATAGATATGATGTTTAAGTACGGCGTGACTAAATCGCCTTTTCTGCGGCTGCGGCCTAAGGAGTATTGTTGGCGGCGGGTTAGTTTAGGCCTGACGGGAGCTAAAGTACTGGGGTTTATTGGGACAGAGAGTGGTCGTATGCTCTATCGGGTGTTAGGGGAGTTATCAGGGGTTGTGTCTTGCTTTTTGGGAGGTTTGTGTTTGTTACTGGCTTATGGGCCCGTGCTTTATTATCGCCACGAACTAGTGATGTATCGGTGGCTGGCCCGTATGGGATGTAAAAGCCGGCAGCTTGTCATAGAGTAGTTGTGTTGTGTTAAGTTAAGTTGTGTTGAGTTGAGTTGGGTTGTGTTGAGCTAAGTGAAAGAATAAAGTGGATGTTAGTTGGATTGATGTTGTGATAGTTAATTTTGCAATGACAGTTTGTTTGGAATTAGAATAAAGATATGTCTTGTTGGTCATTTAGAAGAATATGGTAGTAGTACGAAGTGGTGGGGAGATGTCAGTGATGAATGATGATAGTTATCATTGAGTTAGTATTAAGATGACGTTAAGATGACGTTAGGATGTTTTGTTTGGTAAGAGAGTAGATGTCAATTGGAGTTGGGTTAATCCAAATCGGGCAATTGTTATATTAAGGCGATAAGTATAAAGACGCATCGAAGTAGCGAGGTATGAAGATTAGTATTTCCTTGGCTTTAGCCTACATCTCATTGGTCCCCTGGATTGGTGCTAAACCTAGCAAGACTAAGAAGAGTAATCAAAGTGTTAAGGTTAGCAAGCCTGTAAATATCTGGGCTGAGAAAACTAGTTTGGTCGAGTTGTCTCCGGAGTTAGAGATGGCGAAGAAGTTCTTTACCCAAAAGTTGAAGCGGGGCTCTGCCTCAGTTGATTATAAGGATCTATTGACTAAACAGACGATTTTGACCCAGTCCGTGCCTAAGCTGGTTCATTTGGTTCAGGAGTCCTATGGAATTATTGACTATGCTTATTCTGAAGCGAAGGAGTCTCCTGATGTTGATCACACCAAGCTAGTTGATCGAGGCCGGTTGGTAACTGAAAGTATAACTGCCGTTCTTCAGCACAATACTGAGTTGGTTGGGTTTCACGCATACGTTCTGAATGACATGCGCCACTCCAATAGGACTATGATGCCTTGGTGGGTCGTTTCTCAGCTAGTTCAGAAAGAGAAAGATGACATCGATACTAATGCGATTGGTATTTGGACCGACCAGCTGACTTATGGTTTGTTTAACAGTCGAACTAGCCCATGGGCTATTCTTTGCAATGGAGTGACTACCATGAAGCTATTACTGAATTACAGACACGAAGGAAAGCTAAAGCGCTGGTCTCAGGCAAAATTGATCGAGGAGATTAATGTAAGCCATCTGTCTAAAGCACCATACGCTGCGTTTTTGGCACGTGCCGAGATTCTGAATGGGTTCGTAGAGCGCAACTCGGCATTTCTCGCTAAGCTCGCTGTTCAGTACGACCGGATTATGGCCAAAGTATCACTAGCTGACCTAGAAAAACTAATTGGTGATTTGCAAGACCACCACCGCCGAAACCCTTCAATTAGTTCGACGAATACGTTGCACTTGCAGCATCTTACTGAGTTTCTGATCGATCTGCAAAAGTGCATAGAGTACACTAAGGCTTTGCTAGACCTCAAGGAAGTCTTTGCTGCCGCAAGAAAACTAGCAAAACCCTCCAATCGCATGTTGTTCTATCTTGCTCAGAGCCATCACACGATCTATTGGATCTTCTTGGCCCAGCTAATCGAAAATACCCCTGGTACTATCAATAATAGAGATCTAAAAATACGCAACTACATTCGGCGTATGATAAAGGTAAGAATCAGCCAGATTAAGCCGGCCTTGGCCAGTAGTTTTATTGTTAAACTGAGTGAAATCGTCCGATCGCAGGTTCCTTTCCAGACCGAACTCAATAAGATTTTCACCTACGCTGATCAATGCTTGCAATCAACTGCTCACCCGCTTTTGGTATCTAAGCCCCGCCAAAAGGATGGCTTCTATGCCGAGGTACCGGCAATTGTGATTTTCGAGAACCTCGTGCCAATTGTTCGTCGAGCTGCTAACATCAACTTAAAGCCGTACCAGGACATAGTAGCTGAATACGATCCAAGTAACATCAAGCAATTTGCAGACGGTTTGGCCATAGCTCTAACTAAGGTGCGCGCTTTGATGTCGTCTTTGCAGAATGATGTGCTGGCCGAGAAGTACCAGCCATTGGTTAATTTCATCCAGCACATTTACCAGCAAAACCCCAGCCAGCACATTTGGCCATTAGAGCTTGCTAGGTACCAACTTATTCGCCGCCGCTGTCTCAAAGCTTCAGCAGCCGATAAATCCGTTGGCATAAGTAAAGCCCTACAACACAAGTCCGCAATCAAGCAATTCGCTAAAGAACAAATCGTTCATGTTTTAGCCAGCGCCTTAGTAACTAAGGGTGCTTATATTACTACACTGTGCGACCATATCCACCATCTCACCAAGAGCCTTGCCTATAGCTGCCGCCTGCCAAAAGCACATGAAATCACTCAGAATGAATACTCCCTCTACTGTCTCAAAAAGTACATATACCAGCTGAATATCATTGACATCTTCTTTACCACTGTCGGCTTTGACCTGCCTACAACAGTTACTGCTAAAGAGTATAAAGAGTTCTACCAGTGCTTAGCTGATGTTCTCAATGATAATGGTGACACGGTCAACTCAGACTCAACAGATATGAATGCCCAGTCATCAAGTACCACTAAAAACCCTAGCCATGATATGCAAACCAGAATCAAACATGCCATCCGAAAAGTCTATCGGCTCAACCCAGGACCGTTTTATGCCCAGATTAACAAGTTCTTAAACCATCTTCCACTAGCTTATATCACCGACCAAAGCATTCTTGAACCCGAACTTAACTCCGCCTCTTTTGTTGCTCAACTCAAAGCCGGTTACGACCACAATGATGACATTACTCCCGATCTACTGAAATAATACCCATTGACAATAAACACAATTTAGCTAATTGACTTACATTGGTGCCAAGTTGATGTTATTCTGTTTATTTAAGCGACATTACTAGCCGTATGCTAACCCAATACTTAACTAATACATACTCTATTAAAGACACACCTCGATACGACATACTAACACATTTATTGAATGTAGATGATGATATGACGTCATACTCAAAGTTCAATAATCTGGCTACTACTGAGTTAGTATTTGATATGACGTCATACCTTACCAACCCAATACCAACCTAATACTAATGCGATCGGACAATGAATAAACGATTTAGTGTGAGGAAGGAGTAGTGGTTGTGTAACGACGCTAGACTAAGTGATTATTGGTGTTTTGGGTTTCTATTTTTAGATACGGAGTGATTGCATAAATTAACCGTTGGCCCCTTTTCTATGGACTCATATACGCAATCACTTCTGAAAACAACCCATACATTCATGCGCAATGAAAGGTCGCTTCTTTCCTTAGCAAAGAAGTCTTCCGGTACACTAGCCAAAGAGTATCAGAAAGAACTTACTAGATACATTAAGGATCTTTCCTATCTTGAAAGAAAGTTTTCCAAAAGAGGAAACCGGCTTAACAATAGCGCTATTCACATAGCTTCGCTCACTTCTTCTAGTGATCCTAAAGCTCTTCAAGATTTAATATCTCACAAAGTCGCTGACTTGCTCCAAAGAAAAATCAGTCTTATCAAAGAGATCATTGAATGCAAAAATAACCTCAAACAACACAGCAAAGTAATCAATGCTTACATCAGCATGCTGGATGATTCCCCGACTAATAACTCCGGTTTGTTCTTCCCAAGTAGTTCTGATTTTCACTCGTTCTCCATTGAGAACCTCACCGAGGAGCAACGAGAAATGAACCATAAGATTCTCGAGCACTATCGGCAATACAACAAATTATTAGCCGAAATAGAAGATATTGCCCAAAGCACCAATGTTAGCAAACAAGATCGTAAAACCATCTTCTCCATTCTCTTCCCCACCTCCTCACACGACTCCTTTCCCTACCTCTCTAAATCCCTACGATCTTTATTTGGCTCACGCATTGCCTCTTTTGATGGGTTTATCAAAGAGGTCTATCATAAGAGTGCTAGTAAAGAAATCTATTTGACTGCCAATCCCGATGGTTTAGATGTGCTCATCTGCTTTGTCCATTTCTGTCGCAAACACCTTATTTGTGCCTCTGGGTTTCTACTCGGTAGTATTTCCACCTGTGTGTTGGTTAATTGGCGCTTATTCGATCTATTTGCTTCTTATAAGACTTCTCGGCTCACTCTTTTTTCCTACTCCTTCCTCAGTCTTAGTGTCTTGTTCTTTTGGGTTAGTGTCGGTGTTGTTAGCTTCTTTTCTTCTTGGGTCTTTGGCTACTCTCTACCTCCTAGCTCGACTACCACTACTTCCAATACCGCCTCACCAACCAGTAGTTCTTCCTCCGCCCACAAACTGTATCTTCTCTTTGCTCTTAATCTCGGTGTCACCATATCTTCCTCAGTCTTAGCCGCCTCCCTAGTCTATTTTTTATCTATCTCCATTACTATCTCTCACCATATATCTATCTTCCAATTCGCCTCATTAGCTCTAGCCAAATTCGCTCTCTACTTCTACATCATTGGCTTCCTCTTCATGCTAAAGAAGTCTCGAACTATATCTCCTAAACCAAGTGGCACCATTTTACTTGCTATCTTCTCCATTCTTCTGACCACCGCACTATCCGGATACATTTCCTATCTCTCCCTCTACGGCCTCTACCAACTCATTCACTAGTAAATAAACGCCCATTCAACCAGGTTCAGCTTAATTATAACCCACCACTACCCTTCTAGTCACTAAATTGAACCCAACCCAATCCTAATCCCAACATAACCCAATAAATTGAACCTAATCCAATAATAACATAATCTAACTCAATCTAATCACAATCCTAATCCAATATCAACCCAACCCAACTCAACCTATAGCTCAATTTAAATCCCAATACTAACCTAATACTAACCTAATACTAACTCAACTTAAATCCCAATTCAATACTAACTCAATACTAACTCAATACTAACCCAACTTGATATCAACTTAGCATTTATAAAACATAATCTAAAACTAAACCCAACTCAATTCAATTCAATCTGAAGTTCATTTAAAATTGTTATTTCTTTTATTAGAATGGAACAGTTCGCCTTAGATGACCTATTTCTACGGCTAATGACCAAAAGAAAAGAATGTTTACACTCTCTTTATCTTGCTTATCAAACCAAAATAACTGAATTTCTGGAAAAGGAAAAGGAATTACAAGATAAGCCTTTAAATGACTACTTCAATGCAATCAAACAAAAGCAGATAGAAGAGGAAAAGAGATTAGAAAAGGAGAGATTAGAAAGGGAGAGATTAGAAAAGGAGAGATTAGAGAAGGAGAAAGAGGAGAGGCTTAGAAAGGCTGAAGAAGAGGAGAAGAGAAAGAGAAGACGATCAATGATAGTTCATATTGATGATATGTCCTTCTGTTTCGGAAAGGAAGAGTTACAGCAACTAACTGGCCAAGAAAAGGAAGTTGATCCACAAGTAAAAGATGTTCTACATAAGATGAATGAATTATTCAAACAACTCAATACTGCTAAAGCATCTAAATCATAAGTAGTCCATATTACGTCATCTAACACAACACAACACAATCTAACACATTGGGTTAGTATTTGATCAAACGCATTAACATGGCTGGACAGCTAACATCAATAAACGTAACCACATACTAACTTATCTATTTATTCGGGCATTAGCTGCTGTACTGCTGACAAATAAAGGAGCAGAGCACCTTTTTTACAATTATCCTCCGACCATCTAATGAACTCTGTTTCTTAAGGACGGTGCGTGGTTCGTAAATGAACCATCTTTTGCAAACATCACACCATTCACCCCTACTGGCCTCAGTGGAAGTAGTTCGGTGTAGGAAGGCGGTTGGGGGCATATAGAGAGCACACAGTTGATGTAAACTGGGGCATTTCAAGGGGGAGATGGCTTTTTCTTCTTCATAGGGATTCCCGCCTGCTCGGAGGGTGGCTAAGGCTGGGAAGGAAGTAAAGAACTTATAAGGAATGTGTTTGAGTCGGTTTTCACTGACATCAATCACTTCAATTAGGGATTTACCCGATTCGGCACCTTTGATATCAATTTCTTCTAAAAAGTTGTTTTTGACGTTGATATACTTGAGGTTTTTGAGAGCAAAGATACCCTGGGGAATTGTTTTGAGCTGATTGTTGCTGAAGTCGAGTTTTTCGACCTTTTCTAGCTTACAGACCCAATCGCCTAGTTCTTCTAGTTGGTTGCGATATACTGGGAGAATGGTAAGCTTTTTAAGGGCACCAAGATTTGGGAGTCTTTTGAGGGCATTATTACCCAGTCCTAGTTCTTGTAGGTGGTAGAGCCGACCCATTTCTTCGGGTAAACTAGCGATCTTATTATTACTGAGATTGAGCCAGACAAGTTTGGAAAGGCGGCAAATGTCTTTGGGGATAGTGACAATATCATTATTGCTTAGATCAATCTTGGTTAGATTTTGGAGGAGAGCAATTTCAGGGGGTACGGCCCGAAGCTTGTTGCTAAAGAAGCCGAACTTACAAAGTGACTTCATGCCAAAGACACAATTAGGGATCTTTTCAAAGCGGTTTTCACTGAGACCTAAACCGGCGATGTTTTTTAAGTTGGCTAACGAGTCGGGCAGATCTTGTAATCTGTTCCTTGTTAAATCAACCCAGGTAAGGTTTGTGATTTCCCCCATTTCTTCTGAAACCCGTTCAATCCAATTATCATTAAGGGCCAGCCGAGTAAGGTTGGTCATGTGCCGGATTTCATTGGGAACTTCTCTAATCTTGTTATTAGATACGATAAGCCAGTTTAGTGCTGATGAGGAAAAGACTTCTTCTGGGATTTTCTGTAAGTCTTTACGGCCTATGTCCAAGGAGAAGATCTTTTGTTCGGAATGTGCCTTATTGATGTAGCTGACCTTTCCACCCATGTATTTTGGGCAACTTCCCTTTTTAAAACACCATCCTGAAACCTAGTTTCATTGTATCGCCATGACAATAGTCCAAATACCAACTACCTTAGCAACTGTTTATTTAGTTGGTTGAACTGAGGTAAGTTTTAGTAGGTGTTTAGATAGTAAGATTGCGTTAGATCGGATTGGTTTAGGCGGGTTTGAGTTAGTTTGGACTGGTTTGAGTTGGCTTAGGCTAATATTGACTATACACATGTTTAGCTGAACTTTGCTCTATTCAAGTGAGTTTTTGCTATTAGTGCTGAATAATTGAGATAGTATCGGGTTGGTATTGGGTTAGTTTGGCTGGAGTTCAAGACTTGATGTGGTTAGTATTGGTATTGGATTGGGTTAGTATTGGATTGGTCAGAATAATGTATTTGTTTTCATAGTCGGCTAGTTCGGGACACGTGCTTCATCAGTCTGTACAGCTTCAGAGCAACATTATTACCACCAGCCAATAAAGACTTCCCCTTAATGACTAATGTGCTAAGGGGACTGCTTAAGCAAGATTTATCGAGAAAAGCAGTCTAGACGAGATTAGATTCATATATTAACAAAAGCTTTGGTCTCTTAATTTTAATCCACATGGGTTATAGCCACAACCATACTGAGATGTCTTTGATTATTATTGGGATATTATTGGGTTAGTATTCTATTGAGATATAAAACGATCAAAAAGTTTTTGTTTTGATTAGTTTAATAAAATCAATTTAGATCTAGTTATAAAAATTACTATTTGGGAGTAAAAAACAAAAAACTAGATATGCGCATTAAGAATGTTTTCTTGGGTTTAATTTTAAAGTGTCATTGGATGTATGTTAATTGTATCATGGATTCATTGGAAGAACATGATGGTTTGCGTAACTCGAACGATTGGGAAAACAATAATTGCCAGCCTGGTTATATACCCCATAGCGATATGTACGAGGATATTAGCAGTGCCTCTGACAAACAGAATGAGGATGGCAATAACAGTCAATTAGATGAAGATGTTATGGAGCTAAGTGACACTGATATTAATGTGGTTAGTGTTATTAAATATGCCAGCCGTCTTCAAGACGATACGGCCAACAAAGCCGTGGGTAACTATACGGAGTCTATTGGTGCTGTTACTGGTACTAACGCCATTGCCGGTGATGCCATTGTAATTTCTGATAGTGTCGCATCCGATACTGAGAATAATGGGAATGAAGAGAATATGGTTAGGCGTAAAGTTGCCAAAAATGCGGCGATTAATGGGGCTGTTATGGATAATAGTACAACCATGCAGGGCAGTTCTAAAGCCAGCAAGGATAAAAGCTATATGATTGCCAGTCCAATAACTGATCCTGATAGGATTGTACCGCTGTTTATTACATCAGCAAGTCATCCGTTTTTATCTCCAGAGCATATTATCGCTCCATGGAAAGGTGTTAAGGCTGCCGACATCAACTTAAGCTCATCCGAGGAGATTGTAGGGGATTTAGGCTTAACAGAGATAGCTCTTATATCTCTCTACACCGAGCAAGATATCCAAAAGCATCTTATCAGCAGTGCAAACATGATTCGCAAGAAATTAAGAGACACCAAGTCGCTAAGGAAAGAATGCCAAGACAACGTTGATTTGCTATTCAATAACCCAAAGATCCTCTTTTTCTTGTTAATGGAAGATAGGACGTTCTACCGCATGTTTTATTCGTTTGTTAACGAGTTACGGGCTTATTTGAGTGAGATAGCAGGAAAAGAGATTTCCCAGACGCAAATGATCTGGATATTCTCTCTGCTAGATGACAAAAACAGCCCGCAACAAGAGAAATGGCTTGTTAATTTGGTAAGTACCATATCAAACAACATGGAGATTCTTCGCTACTTTAGCATGGCAAAGCAACCTCTTAAAGACTACTGTTGGGCCAAATACTTTGGAGAGGATAAGAGTTGTTGGCTGAAGTCGAATATCCAGCCAAGCACAAAGTACCAAAACAGAATCCCAGGAGCTATTACCAACGCGAACTGCGTATATAACGTATTGCTTTATACTCTTTATTATGAACGATCTTTCCATTTAACTATCTATGGCCATTCTTTAATGGACAACGGCAGCTGGTATAATAATATTAAGCAAATTGATATGGACCTTCACGCAACAATAACGAACATCTATAGGCGAAATCCCATTCAAATAGTGTCCCCAGAAGTATGGAAGCGTTTACAGGCGGCCGAGAATAAGCGGGCAAAGAGTGTCGAGTACAGCAAGCTTCAATGGTTTGTTGTTAAGCACATAAAAGACCTATTTGAAGGTTTTGGGAAGGTTTGGATCTGTCAACTTGCAGATACCTTCAAACTAGCACTGCCTACCCAAGAGTCACCAACCGCACTAGGCAAAAGACCATATAATACAATGGCCAACAATAATGCGCCGAGTAACCAAAACAGCAACCAGCAGAGCAATAAGCAAACAAGACTAGAATAGAATAAAGGCAGATCTAGGTAGAGCATTTCATCTAAGCACCAATAAGACAAATCCATAAACTGTCACAATCAACCACACCCAACCCAACCTAACTCAACTCAACTCATCCTAACTCAACTCAACCTAACTCAACTCAATACAATAATACTAACAGGTTTATTTATCAAGCTTCTGCTTAAATCGAGTCAAAATATTAGCACTAAACTGATTATCATCCAAAAGAAGCAAAGTGGTTGCCCAACCACCACGCATCTTCAATCGATCGTATAGACCATCAGGCAGCTCATTAGAGTACTGGGCCGGATTAATACCAATTTTACTTGCCTCCTTATCTAGCACCGCATACACCTCTTCCGATAAGACATACATCTCTTGTAGTTTCGCCGCATCTTCTATTTTGAACCGTTTCAGATTAACAAAGAGCGAGAAGAATTCCTGGGCCAGTGAAGTATTGCCCAGAAAAAGAGCCGTAATTATTTCAACCGCTCGTACTCGGTTGTACTCAATAAAGAACCAACAAAGTAAAGATAGTGTTTCCAATAACAAACTCTCAGTAAACACAACTACTGGCCGTCGACTTACTAAGATAGAAATAAGAGAAAACAAACGCCTAATCTCTGGATCCGGATGGGAGCGCACACCAATAGTCAATCGCTGCCTAAAAAAGACCGAGCGGTCAAAGTATTCATAATCTGCATACGTACCACTCAACAAGTAAGTAACTGCCACCTTCTCTAGCAACGCCGATCGAACACAACACTCAAACAAATCCATTTGCACCGAAATCAACATCCGCTTTGAATACTCCCCTAACTTTCTCTCCTGTTCCTGAACATCAGTACTGGTCTGACATACATCCGAGATCGAGTGGTCAGTAATCCGTGATAGGTCTAAAGAAAACTCATTCCCATCCGAAAGAGCCATACGCTTTATCTCGCTATACTCCCGACCCCGGCCCGATTCACTTATTTCCGGAGTCCAGCCATCGCCATTATTGTACTCAGAAACACTCACCATCCGGGCCGCCCGATAAAAGTTATCCTCAGATAGACCAGATAGTTTAGTCTTCACCAAGTCCATAAGCTCAGTAGAAATACTTCCCTTAGGATACGTTTCCGCCAGCATAATCAAAAGAGTACCAGGAACTGCTTCAGTTAAGTACATACTAGATAAGTCCATCTGTTCCGGAGCCAAAACCTTCTTCAGAATAGCAGCATTACCCATATGCGATTGACAGACAGTCACTAACTCGGGTAAAGGCAACTCTAAAATACTAATAGCAGATGCACAACCAGTTAAGTGATCAACCGATTCTACATCTCTCTGCACCCGAACTAGTATCTCTAAAAACACCCACTGTCCTATACATTCAATATTTTCACTCCCAACTACTTCCCGCCATTGTTGCACAAACCGTTTTAATAACTCAACCTGTTCCAAGTGATCATCAATAAAGACCGAAAGAAGTAAAGGAACAAAGACTTCTTCTTGACCCCGTACTTCACCATCACGACATATAAAACAAGTAGACCGATCATTCCATTCACTTTCCCTCCTTACTTGCCACTCTTCCTTCTCTTTCGCCAGTACTAACTGTAAAGCAGCCTCACGCACACTCCGATCAGTATCTCGTACTCGTTCTAACAACCGCTTCCAAGCCTCAGATACGCCAAGAATATCCTCAATCTTAGTGCCTTTGATAGTACTAGCCCGTACTACAGCCGTTGGATCGTGCAACCGCCGCATCCAAATAGCAACCGCCGCTTCTTTAATCTCAGCAGCTACTGCCGCCGTATAGAACGAATCCCGAGCCTTCCCAAAAAGAATGCCAACTACTGCACACCGTACCCATCCCGATCTATCTTCAGACAGACCTTCTACCACCTGTAAGATCTCCCGCCGGACCGAAGTACTCCCAACAAACTGAATAAACTCTTTCTTACTCATTAAGTCCGCCACACACTTTTCCGCCACTTCTCTAGTAACCACTTCCTTACTTATACTATTGAACTTCCTTACTAAACTAACTCGTTTCTTACTGGCAACAATGTACTCCTCAATCGGCTGCATAAACAATAAAGGATGCTTTTCAATAGACCGTTCCAAAACCACACAACCTTCAGATACTTTCTTAACAATCCGCATCTTAACATCACGGCCTAAATCTTCTTCCTTCTCCTCTAGAATTGAGTCGATCATTTCGATGGCCCACTTCTTTCCTAAATTATCTAAGGCCAACTCGGCCAGTCCGTTAACTAGTTTTGATTGTTCAAGTAAAGCTGCCATCCGATAACTACCTACAATTTCTAAAGCCCGTCGACCTTCAACTTCACGTGCTCCTCTAGTAACAAGATGGCGGAAGAGTGTTTCTATCTCTTTTTCTTCAAAAGGATTACGTGGCGCGGCTATTCTCAATATCTCAACCATGGCATAGATAGCGTACTTCCGAGTTTTTGTTTCAAGTAACAAGTTTTGGGCTAATACTCGGCCTAAACCCAGAATACTTTCACTATCCGTTTGTTCTTCCACCCGACAAAGTCCTTCATAAATATCATGGACAGATTCAGTTTGTAATTTCAGAAATAGATCGGAATCGGTCATGGGTAGCAAAGAAAGAAATTGCAAAAAGAGTGCGCTAACCGGGAATCGAACCCGGGTCTTAACCTTGGAAGGGTTGCGTTCTACCATTATACCATTAGCGCGTTCTGATTTTAACAATTGAGTCGTTTCCCAAAGCCTGAAACAGCTATTTAGTTTTGCCAAAATTTAAGAGGTATGCCCCGTATTAAGAAGAAGCCTGAAGACCGAGGTGGCCATGCCTCCTCATTTGATACCAAAGTAGTTGTTTTGAAGAAAACTCAACCGACAATTCCAAAACCTAAAAATATTCCCGGAGTCTCCTCTTCTGTTATGTATAACGAAGCGACCGATACCTTAGTGGTTAAAAAGTTCCCGCGTGGCTTTGGGAAAGCTGTACGTATGGCACGTGAGAAGTTATCTCTTAATCAAAAACAATTAGCTGCTAAAATCAGTAAACCTTTACCAGTTGTTTTTGATATTGAAAAAGAAGATGCTATCTATGATAAGGACGTGTTAGTACGACTGGAGAAGGCCTTACAAACTAAATTCGACCCAAAATTCACTCTTTGATTGCTTATTACGTTAGTATTGAGTTAGGATTGAGTTAGGATTGAGTTAGTATTGTGGTGGGTTTGGGTTAAGTTGGTAGTATTAGTGGTTCAAATGAATGTGTGCTTTCAATAAACGGCCTGAATCCATATCTTATCTTTTGTTTTTATTTGGTTAAGTTAAGTTAAGTTGGGTTATCATATCTTAATCTTAATATCTTATTTATTTGAGATGGGTTGGGATGAGATGGGATGTGTTTTTAAATAGATAAGCAGATATTGAGTTGGTAGTGGGTTATGGCGTTTCGTCTATTCCGGCAGCTTCAAGTAAATCTTGCCTGCTGATTTCGGCACTTTCAGAAACACTGTTAAGCATGTTGGTAAAGAGGGCTTTGCGCTTCTTTCGTTCGGCTAGGAGTTTCTGATGCTCGACTTGCAGCTTCTTGAGATAGTCTGGATCGATGGTTCCTACGGATTGGGAGAATTGCTCACATTGGGCGGTTTTAGTAGCTAGTTCTTGTACTAGTAAAGGAATCTCTTGTTCTAATTGATAGTCTGATGGTATGTTTTCCAGTTGTTTGAGTGTATCTTGAAGTTGTTTAAGTTGTGCTTTTTGGCCATTTAGTTCCTCTTTAAGTTGAAGAATCTCATCTTCAATTACATCTATTCCGGTCAGATCATTGTCTTCTGGCGTGTGTTTAGGAGAGTAGAATCTAATGGCCCCAAAAGTCTTTTCACAGATTAGACCTTTAGATGCTAAATCATGCAAAAGAACACGAATACTACTAGATGCGATAGCTGATCCTTTTTCTTGGAAATAGAAAGCAACATCATTCACACTCATAGGCTTATTCTTGCTTTTAAGAAGAGCTAGTACTCGTGATTCCTGATCATCTAGTTCAGAGGAGGATACAACCCCCCTCTTTCTGGTTGTTTTAGGCGCGGCTTTAGTGGTTTTAGTAGTCTTAGTGGTTTTGGTGGTTTTGGCAGCAGCTCGTTTGGTTTTAGTAGTAGGAGGTTGTGCACCGGCATCAGAAGTGACCTCATCAGCCGCATAAGAGTCGTTCTCTTGTTCTGAAATATCAGATTGACTAGCTTCTAAATCTTCTTCTTCACTTATTACGTCATCGAATGTCTCATTATGTTCTGAAGTCAGATCTTCATTCTGAGGTTGGCTTTCAGAATCCTCAACAGAATTGTCTTTTATATCGGGTATTTTCTTACTATTAGCTCTCGTGTTAAGCGCTCTCTTTCGTATTGCCATAAAAGATTTACTAGTTGCCGGTCTTGAGTTGAGTTAGTATTTAGTTAGTATGGGGTTGAGTTGGTATTTAGTTAGTGCTGAATTGAGTTGGTGTTTAGTTAGTGTTTACTTGGGGTGGAGTAAAGTTAGATTGAGTTACGTTACAGTACGTTAAGTTGGAATTAGACTAATAAGTTGTTAATGATTAATGGTATGCCCATAGGATGGATAATAACCCTCCTTATCAAATACTAACCCAATTTATGACTATCTTAAGACTATTGCTTCACTTCTGTTTAATGGCTTATCTCTGATCCTTCAAGCAGGATAAGTTCACTATCTCTGTAGCTTATGTCATAATAAAGTAGTGATTTATTCAAGTCTCTCATTGGGTGCTGAGAGGTCTCATGTAGACTAGTTAAATAGTGAGTTGGTAATGAGTTGGTGCTGAGTTGCTGCTGGGTTGGTATTGAGTTGGTTATTGAGTTGGTATTGGGAGGAAGTGATAGAATCTTAATAGGTCTTTATTTTCTTATATCTAGAATGATCGGGCGGGGGTCTGAACTACAGATAGCTAGTTGGCCGGTTTTAGTACTAAATGAGACTTGATAAATACCAGCATCAACATGGAACTCCTTGGCTATTTCATTAGAACGAACATCCCAAAGTCTAAGGACCGCATCTAGACCGCCTGTAGCCAGTAAATCACCTTCAGGTGAGAATGCAACAGAATAAATAGGTTTAGTATGCTTATCTAGAATAGCTAATGGCTCTTGTCTTTCTAGGTCCCATAAACGAGCCGTTGAATCAAAAGACCCAGAAGCAACAGTGGTGTCAAAACAATCAATCGTATAAACCTCTTTACTATGTCCGGATAGAGTTCCTAATGGAGTAGACACGCCGTACCGCCAAAGCTTAAGCGTTTTATCATCAGAACACGAAACAATGGTATTCCCCGCCCAGCGAATGGCATTGACCTCTTCCGTATGTCCATTTAGCCGCGTAACTGTATTGGTTCTATCTACACAGCAAATAGTCTTATCTACACCACAAGTTACAAACCCACTATCTAAGGAAAGAATGTCCATAATAGGACCTTTATGCAACAACCACTTCTGCCGCTCAACTAAAGTATCTTCATCAATATCCCAGCGCTTACACGTACCATCCCATCCCCCAGTGAGAAGCTCTTCATCCTTAAGTGAAATGGCCACCACAGGACCCTTATGAGCAGTCGCACTACGCCATTCTCGGTCGCCTTTAGCCACTAAAATAGCTCCAGTATACGCAGCCCCAACAATTGTTGTATCTACAGGCAGTCGTCCAAAGACCGAATTAGACTCAATCGCTAGCCCAGTAATACCATGCGAACTGCCTTCATTCTGACCAATCTCCCATTCTCTTAGAACCTGCGTCATTGACCAGTGTCTTAAAGTACAGTTCTGACTGCCAGTAATTAGCTCACCATTAGCTGCCCAAGCACACAGACTGATATCTCCCTTTTGAGATTGGAGAAAAGTCGGCTCTATCTCTATAACTTGCTCAACACATTTATGCGGCGTAAATATACTGTAATGCGCTACACACTTTCTAATTCTATTCTGATTATCCGTGTGTTTTTCAATATACTCCATTTCAACTCCTTTAGTTATGTACTGCTTGATAGCATCGTGTGGAATGGGTGGAATATCAGGAATATCTTCAATCATACTTTCTCGGCCAAAAGTATATGCTGTATGTTCATATCCTTCTTCTAGTAGATAGCGGTAAATAAGATAGTTCAATTCGGTACTTGTTAGCGTAATCATAGGGCAAAAAAAATAGGCGAATTTAAGACCTGTCTGGTATGTGTTTGGCTGGATTAGAGCAAGGCTAAAGCAATTAGGAAGAGTATAATGTAAAGATTGTATAAAGGTTTTGATTCGCGCAAGGCATAGTTATGTTCAAGATGATAGTAAAAAAGATAAAAGCCAAAAGCAACGGCTAAGGTAGATCTTTTAAGTAAAAGAATGATATGTGTGTATAGATGGGGGTGTTCATAGATATGGGCTGTGTACTTTGTGCAAAGAAAGAGGATAGAAAAGATAATAAAGATAAGTAGAAGAATTCTTTTGATTCTGAGTAATTGGTGGAGGGTGAAGTGTTTGACTAGAGAGTGATGGGTGAGAAGTGAGATCAAAAAGGTGGTTGAGGAGCAGAAAACGATGAAAAGGGTGAAAAGAAGGGGGACTAGTTGATGAATTGGGTTAAGGGAGAAGTAGTAGAGAATGGCATAGGCTATGTTCCAGAAACAAAAGATAGTAGTGAAGATGAAGCGGAATTTGAAAGCAGGTTGGGTTTTGGCATAGATGCCAAGTGTAATTATGAAAATAAGGAAGAAGATGAATATGGTAAATAAAAGGGATTCAAGATTGGGACTAGTAGTGATCGAGTAGATGCCGGCGGCTATAACAGTGCTGATGTAGAAGGTAAAGGACCAGAGGGAGTGTTTGGTGTGGTAAGTTGGGACGATAATGTGTCTATGGGTGGGATTGGTAGTCCTGGGACTAAGGGAATAGTGGGGCTCATTAAAGTATTCCGGATCGAGGTAGTTGTTAGTGTGAGGGTGGGGGTGAGGGTGAGGGATGAAGTGGGTTGGTATAGGTTGCGATGGAGTGGACTGTGTGGGGATAGGTTGAGGTAGAGTGGGTTGAGTGGGGACGGGTTGAGGTAGGGTGGAGGGATTGCAGTCATCAATGACATTGCCGTAGTTGTCTGTGATTTGGCCCAATGGAATAGGTTGGGATGGCATGCGGCCGGTGGCAACGTAGGTGGGAACCTTTGCATGTGAATTGGCAAGTGTAGTTGGTATAAGATGGATAAAGATAATAAATAGACAAGTCCAAAGGTGCTTGTTCATGATGGGAAAAAACCAGGTCGGTTCGGAGATGTAGCTACTCTTTATTTACCATATTAGGAAAAAGATCAAATCAGTAAATTAAATTGGATTAGTGTGGGTTTAGGTACAGTCTAGAGCTAATTCAATATTAGCTGGGGGTAGTAGGTTTAGGGACTGGTTGGTTGAGGGCTTGGGCTGATCGATATGCTTCTAGTAAGGCCGTAGTAATTGGTCCTAGACCTTCATAGTCGGACTCTTCAATGTCTATACACTGATAGAAAGAGAGAAGAGAAGTAGTCTGGGTTATATCTTGGGCCAGTTTGCCAATAAAAGACGGAGTTTCTTTCCAGAACGCAGCATCACTACGAGCCGTTGTTTTGATTAAGTTGAGCATTTGGGCGGGAGTATACTTGGTTTGTAAGAGGGGATTGGGCTTGATTTCTACTGAGCCAAACGCCAGAAGACGTGGCAGTAATGATTCAAGGACAGATCTTTGCACGGCAAAAACCAAAGTGTGTCGGTTCACCCAGGTATACAGCCCCGTTTCTGATTTGAGAAGGCGTTTATAGATACACTGCTTGAACTGAGTCTTAGCTAAAACTGGCTCAATAGTTACCACCTGGAGAAAGACGAACTTCTTCTTCTGCAGAATATAGTTGGCCTGAACATACCTAGTAAGGACTGTCTCTAGACTACTTGAGGTTGAAGGCGTGACCGAGAGAGTGGCCGACTCTGATTGGTGTTGCTGACTTGGTCGCGAAGTGGCTAGGTTTGGTTGAGTAGTAGAAGATTTGGCTTTGGCTTTCGATCGGGGTTTAACCATGGAACTAGAAGTTATCTGGCCTGAAGTGGTGGATTGTTTTGAATTACTAGTTAGCACTTTGGGTTGGGTTGGTTTGGAGTGAACTGTCGGTGCTTTGGTAGAAGCAGGAGACGAGCTAGACATGGGATTAGACGGCGGACTAGAGTTGGACCGCTTAGAACTGTTTAGTGGGCCAGAACGAGTACTAGGCAGGACAGTTATATGGGGCAAACTTAAGTGAGAAGGAGAACTACTTGGTCCACCCTGACTACTCTTCTGTTTAGACTTACTATTCGCCGGCCGAGTACTACCTACATTCTTTTTGTTAATTAGTTTTTGATTAGTCTTATCAAAGATCTTGTTAATTAGTTTTTCATCCTCATCCTCTGGTCTAGATTGGGCCTGGATTGGATTTGTAATTATCCCGGCAACTTCATTAAGATGACCCAAACTTCCCAATGAAACTACTGACCCCACACTCGACTTACCACCACTACCTAGTTCTTTACTCAAACAACTACCCTTATTACTACCAACCCGATCATTACCATTCAAATCAACCGAACTAAATCCGCGACTAACTCGAGAGTGATCGAACTTACCATTTCTTTTTTGATCAGATAACGATAACCCTATTTCTTCGCTTGTTTTTGAACGGGCAAGATAACAGCTAATGGGGTCATCAGACTTCCCAGAAAGAGGTAAATCACTATTGGACTTAGATAAACAAGGAGATGTAGTTCTATCGCTAGGAAACATACAAATTAGATGACCAAAATAATTTATTTGTTAATGAAACTCGGAACTCTTCTAGGACATTTGCCTTTCGCTTCGCTTATCTTCTCACCCACCGACCTTGAATACTACAATACAGTGAAAATCCGGACTTTGTTATTACAATTAGTAAATGCATCGTATCTAATATGTAGTGCTTATATGTTATGGAAAGGGATAGGAGTGTTATGTAATACGGATAGTCCAGTAGTAGTAGTTTTAAGTGAAAGTATGTATCCGGGCTTTCATCGTGGAGATATTCTTCTCCTGGCTAATTGGAAGAAGACTGAACGAGCAGGTGATATTTGTGTCTTCCAGTTGAAGAAGAACGAGATTCCAGTGGTGCATCGGATTATTGATAAGCACTATGGTATTCGTGGGCCTGAGGCTTTGCGTATTACAACTAAGGGAGATAATAATAGCACAGATGATATGTTTTTGTATACGGCTGCTGGACGGTACTATCTGGTTAGAGATGATATCAAGAACTATGTGTATGCTAGTTTTCCATTAGTTGGTTTGATGACTATTTGGGCTAATGCCTGGCCGGGTTTGAAGTATGTGATTATTGGTATCTTGTTCTTGGATGTCTTATTTAGTCGGGATGAGAATGCGACTGGTGCGAATGCCGCTCAGAAGAAAAAGGTAGAGGGAGATAAGGAGCAGGATAAAGATAAGGATAAGAAGAAAGATTAAATTGGGGTTTATTTGGGTTGGTATTGCGTTAGTGTTTAGTGGTATTGAGTGGTGGTAATAGTAGTAGTAGTGTTTACATGAAATAGCTAATAAAAGACAATTGTGTAGTGGTTAGATATAGTTGGTGTTTAGTGGGGTTGGCATTGAGATGGTGTTTAGTGGGATTGGTATTGGGTTGGTATTGAGATGGGTGTTTGGTATTGGATTGGTGTTGAGATGGATTAGGAGTGAAAGTGGTGGGGGCGGAATTCTTCGGCATAGAAGGGTTGGGGCTTTTGTGGGAGGAGAATAGGTGGAGTGGTGAATGAATGGAGGTTTTGGTTCCAGGGGTGTGTGGTTAGGTAATTGGCTGGGGATGGCTGGACTTGGATTGTGGTAGGTGTTTGGGGAATGAGTTCAAAGATGGAATGATGGGTGTTCTTGACCGTGCAGATGGTTGTGGTATGTTCGCCGGTGGTAAGGTTGAATTGGATAAGGAGAATAGATGAAGGAAGAGAAACACCACTATAAGTAAAAGTAAGGTCGTTGGAGAAAGGAGTAGTGGTTTGGAGGATAGCTTTAATGGAGTAGTGGCTTATATCGCTGGTGGTTAGAGTAAAGTGCTTAGAAGCAAAGCTTTGAGAAGGAACAATTAGTAGATCATAATGATTGGATAGAACGGTCGGAGTTGACTGGGTTATTAGAGCTAGAATGGGTACTAAAGGGTCGGCGGCCGCCAGTAAGGTCGAGAAGAAGTCGAGTGGTATAGTTGCGGTGGGTGGAGTAGATGTAGGTGTGGAAGTGGAAGTGGGCGGAGTAGATGTAGATGTGGAAGTGGAAGTGGAAGAAGTGGAGGTAGGTGGGAAGAAAGGTACTCCAAGTGCGTAGCGGTCACGCCAATTGATGATAGAGGTCCAGGCGTGCTTTTGAACAGTTGGGGAGACTAGCCGGAATTGGGTTCGGTCTTGCGCGAATACTAGGGCTTTGAGTGTATCCTGGGCGGTCTCTTCTTCAAGAAGAGCTTCACCGAGTATATGCATTCTTTTGGTGGCGGCTAGGAATAGATCGGTGATTAGCTGGTTTTCAATGGCAATCCAGTGGCGATCCGACTGGGTTTGGGTGAGATAAACGAGAGAGGCTGGGTTAACTTCTAAAGAATGCCTGAGAATAAGGGCTAGGCGGCAGAAAGCAGTATAGGGCGACAGGCCGGGCCAGTGTGTATAGAGTTGGCTGTAAGGAAGTGGCTGGGTTAGAGGAAAGCTAAGAAGTGAACGGGATACTGTAAGAACTCGGCCTGAGTTGACAAGAAGGGAGTAAAGTTTATCTTCAGCAAAGATATGCTGGCTGGCTGAAATACAAGGAAGCGCCCTGAAGAGATGGTCAAAGATTCGGACTATCTTCTCGCCTTTAGTGATGGGAATAGATAAATAAGCACCGGTGGTTAGATTAAGGGAATGAATGGCTTGGGGGCTTAAAACCATATAGATAGAATTGGGCTCTTTAAAAAGATGGCTGGGCTCGGTGGCAGTTGTTTGGGTTTCGAATAGAGAGGGATTGAAGCCAGCGAGGGAGCGAATGCGTCGTTGGAAGACACGGAAAGTATTGGCAAAAGGTAGAGAGGAAAGTAATGAGTGTTTGATTATGGTTGCTGCCGGTGCAATGGTTGGATGGGTGGGAAGAACACAGCATTCTGCTTGAGAAATATCGAGAAGAACTACCACGCCTATCTTGCTATGGATAGGAGCAAAGTTGTCGGCTATGGTGATCATTTCGCTGGCCCAGGACTCGGCCTCTTCTTCGAGTGCTGGAGAGTCAATGTTGCCCCAACGCAGTCGAACAATAACCCAGGCTGGTAGCGCAGCGGCTTCGGTGTTCAGCCGTACTAAAAGCGAAGGGGATGTGGCGGCTAAGTATCGGGGTGGGTCGCTGATTGATTGGGAGAGACTGGCTAGGGCGTAGTGTTCAGGAGAATAGTTGCCTGAATCATTTGTATGAAGATAGGATATGTTAAGCGCAAGGGCATTTCTATCTAAGGCAGCAAACACTAAGCTAATGGCTTCGGCATGCATGCGCGGCCAGAGATTATCGCTGAATAGTTTTGTGTAGCTAACTCGGAGAGAGGAGAGCTTGCCTGAGATATAGATGCCAGTATTTTCCACATGGACGGGCTGACCAATATTGACGTGGCTGCGATTGATTACTGGACTCCACCAGAAAACAAACATTCGGTTGGGTAGTCGTGCGAGTTCACCTAGTTGGGCTCGGCTATGTGTTTTGTGCTCTATGGAGTGCATTATACCAATAAGAGGTGTGCCCTGGGAGAGATCTGTTTTGGTGGGTAGGGCTGCTGGTTCAGTTGGGGTTTGGGAGGTCCATCTTTGGATTGCGGCAGCAAATAGTGAATGGCGCTGGAGATTTTGGGCTTTAGGTAGGGTAAGTTGTTGTTTATAGGCATCCCAGAACACCCATCTTCCGTCGTGGTTTTCAGATGTCCATCGCTTTACTCCATAGCGAATGTAAAGTCGCGGGCGCCAGCCTTGCTCAAGAGCAAGTTCAGGAGTTCTTTTGAGAAAGAGGGAAAGGCGAGGGATTCCGGTGCTGTGGATTGGAATGCCTTGGGCGGCAAGGTGTTTGATGGCATTGTGAATGCTGGGCTGATCGGAGTCTTGCTTTTGGCTTTCAAGATAAGATTCTATTTTGGTGTAGGCAGCTTCTGAATGTGCGATTTCGTCTGCCCAGGAGGGACAGGCGCGAATAAGGGCTTTGGCTGAGATTAAGTTGAGACCGCCAACCTCCTTTTCGGCATAGAACAGGAAGGAGGGGTACCTTTTCTTTTGGCGGGAGTTAACACCTTGCATGATTTTGTCGCGAACGGCCTTTTCGGCTACTATTATGGCGGCTATGAACTGGTCAGAGAGTGCTTCTCGATAAAAGAGGACTGTGCGGAGCAGAAGAGAGTTCCATCGCCGGACTATGGTGGAAAAGGCTGATCCGAGTGCATCTTGGCGAATTTTGGCAATAGCGAGTTTGAAAGGTGTAATGGCTTCGGGTGGGGTTTGTAGTGAGACTTTGGCTGGGTTGAGGATAATGGAGAGGTGTCCAAGTGGTAGGGATATTGGATGGTTGTGGAGGGGTATGTTAGTTAGGATGAAAGGCTGGGTTTGACGGGATAGCGGTGTTAATTGAGATAGCAAATAAGAAGTTGGTTGTTGCGTAGGTAGTTGTGTTGGGGTTTGTGTTAGGGCTTGTGGTTGTGTTAGGGTTTGTGGTTGGGGTGACGAAGGTGAAAGTGATTGCGTGATTCGAGCTAATATTTGTGTTAGAATGGCGGAATGAATAGTAGGGATTGGTACTTGCGATCTAGAAACAAGATCGAGGAGAGTATTGATGGGCGCGGCTCGAGGCGTTTGCTGGTACTGGGTTAGTATTGGGCTCTGGGTGGGGGTTGCTGGTGATGAATCTAGAGGATGGTTGGAGGAAGTATAGATTGCATAGGCTATGGTGCCACACCTAATATATCCTTTGATGGGACTGGTCTGGCTGGTAAGACGTGAATTGGCATGTAACATGATGTTGGTCTGGTTGAATTGAGTCAGTGAGGTCTGAATCAACTGGGCATCAACAAACAAGAGGTAGTATTGCAGAAGGAAAGAATGAAACTCAAGACCTGGGAAGAGTCCGCTTTTTTGAACATAAGACATGTCCTTGTAGGTGACAGTGGCTGCTAGTCGGCGGCTAATGTAGTGAAAGAGTTCCGGTGCCAGAATTGGTTCAAGAAATGGCAACAGAAAGCTAAATTCAATTTCAGCAAGGAGTGGAGAGTAATCAATGGCGATAAAGTGAAGGGGCTCTGTGTTGGTTGTTGCCCAATGCGTGAGATGAGTTTTGATTTTGTCACCGATAGATAGATAGGAAACGGGAAGAGGTTCACTGTCGATCGGAAAAAGATGGCTGCCAAACAAGTTGTTCTTCTTGGCAAAGTGCCATAGCATAAGCTCAAGAAACCGATCTACAATCTTTTCCTTGATTGTGGAGGAATAAATGATGTTACTGTCAAGAAACTCAATTTCGAAGGCCGAAAAGGTCTTCTTCTTCTCTAGAGTGGCTCGGATGTGCTGAAGAAGGTCGGTGAGGTTGGTTTTGCATTGGTCTAAGTAACTAAGTTCTGCTTTGTCTTTGGCCGTGAGCTGTTGTCTGATAGTGTATTGAGATCTAAGCTCTTCAATGGCGTTGAGGGCAAAATGTTCTAGGTCATTGGGGGAGTAAGAGTCCAGTGAGAGTCGGGTGGGTATTGCATTGGATGGAAGAGCTAAAGAGAAGAGATGGGCTTGTAGAGGGTTGAGTTGGGGTGGTTTTGGCGGTGCGGACGAGTGAAGGAAGTGTAGAGCGTCGGCTAGGTTAAGAGACCGGTGTATTTTCATGATTAGTCGAAGCATCCGACCTTGGACTTTCTTGACTTGTTTCTTATCGGTAGCTTTCCCACTGAGAATATGCTTCCATCCTTGTAAGGTTTCGTTGATCCAAAGAACACTCTTTTCTTCGATATACACATTGACTAGCTTGGCTAAACTCGGGTTGAGCTTGGGCTGGTGCTCTTCGAATATGTTATCGGCCTTCCATCTTTTCCAGGCTTGGCTGAATGCTAGCTTGACTTTTCGTTCTTCTTTCGGAGTGATGTCATGTAGTAAAGCTCGGCATTCACGAATAAGCTGGGCTTTGGTTTCGATATCGGTGTTCGAGTCTTTTCTTTGCTTGGTAATAGGTTTGAGGCGTTTTGTTCTGCCTGTTCGCCTTCTTTCGACGTAAGCTGCTAGTCGGCTAGAAAGAACCGGTGCTAGACCTTGTAAGAAGAAGACCCAAACTCGCCAGACCTCACACCAGAGCATTGTTCCGTACTTCTGGGATTGGCTGAGGATTTTGGTGATCCGATTAGTCTGTGCAATCTGCTTGACGACTGAATATTTATAGCGGTAGATGCCTGTTGTAGTACCGACTGATGAGAACTCTTGGAACAGGCCTTGCATAAGATCTGTCTTGGAAATGGTATGGGCCTGGTGGTCTTCAAAGAGTGCGACTATTCGGTCTAATAAAGTGAGTATTTCTCGGAGAACATGATAAGATTGACCCATTCGACTCTTTTTCTTTTCTTTAGTGCTTATCTTTCTTTTGGGAGATGGTTGTTTGTTCTTTTTGATGTCACAATACTTGATTTTGCGCTCTTCTAAGACATAACTAAGCACGCGGCGGCCAAGAATGACGACCAGACGGGCTAGCTTGGTCCACTCCATGGTTGAGCAAAAGTCCTTTTTGAGTGAAGCGGGTTGCTTGGTAGGGGCCGAAGTAGTGGAACTAGCGGTATTCATAAGCAGTTTCCAATCGGAGTATGGGGATGGGACTGATTTGACCTTCTTAGGAGGCTTTTCTTTAGGTAGAAACGAAATAGACTCTCTAAGAAGAACTCGACGGGGATTAGGAATAAGGTCGTTGGTGATAGATTGGGTTGGTTTTGAGGTTGTTGTTGCGTTAGTGTGGTTGGTAGAGCTGGTGTGGTTAGTGTGATTGGTAGAGTTAGTGGAGTTTGAGCGAACAGGTGTCTTTTTGGGCAGGTTTAGCTGGGCTTGGAGTGATAGATACTCAGGAATAGACCACTTTTTGGGGTGGGGTGGAATGTCAATGTTCATTTCCAGTGCTATGACTGAAGAGGCCCAGTGGCAGAGATAATTGACCTCATCTTCGGAATGTTTGCCTTTAAGACTACAAATGATACCATCTGTGCTGTAGTAACAAAGCATCTTCTTGCTGGACTCCCAGGGCATGGGAATGTTTTGTATAAGACTCGATATTACGGTCGGAAGAACAGTTAAACCATCTAAAAGAGAATTACGGTTACGCCGTGGTGGGTCTGTGATAATCTTCTCTAAATACTCTTCACAAACCATACACGGGCCTTGGCCAAGTAAGTTATCCATGGAAAAAAAGAGGCTGGTGGGTTTATAGTGGCTAGTGTATTGGGTTAGTATTGATGTGGGGTGGGGTAGGGATTAGTTCGAATAATAACCGTAATGGTAAAAGAGATAAGTATTGAGTTAGGTTGAGTTGGGTTGGGTTGGGTTGGATTGGATTGGTGTTGGTATTGAGTTAGATTAAAGTTGGTGTTGAGTTGGATTAGTGGTTGTTGTTTTTAGATGACGTATTGGGTTAGTATTTAGATCTAAAGAAAGAGTAGTATAGTTAGTGAATTTAAAAATTATGAAAGGCTACACAAATTGTGAATTGTTGGGTTTTATTGAGTTTTTATTGCCAATGTAGATAGTATTGTGTTAAGATTGTGTTAGTATTGGGTTAGGATTTAGGTTGGATTGGATTGTGTTAGGGTTGTGTTAGTATTGGATTAGTTGATTAGTGAATGGCCGGTCATGGCGTCGGGGATTGGTAGGTTCATAAGACGAAGAACAGTGGGGGCTACATCAGCAAGGCTTGGGTTTGACTTGGAGGTGGTGACGCTTGCTTGAGTGCTCGGGGAGATAATGATAATGGGAACCTTATTGGTGGTGTGGGATTTGACTGGGCCTTGTGCATCTTGCATAACCTCGGCATTGCCATGGTCGGCTGTGATGATGAGGAGGTAGTTGTGCTCTTTGGCGGCTAGGTAGATTTCGTTTATGTGCTGGTCAAGGACGGAGATGGCTTGCTTGGTGGCTGAAATATTGCCGGTATGGCCAACCATGTCGCCGTTGGCAAAGTTGACTAGGACAAAATCGGTGCCTTGTTTGATTTCATCCAGAACAGCTTTGGTGACCTCGGGGGCGGACATTGCGGGGGTGGTATCGTAAGACTCAACTCGCTGGCTGGGAATGATTCTTTTGAGACTGTTCTGGCGATTGATATCTTTACCGCCATCAAAAAAGAAGGTCACATGGGCGGCCTTTTCAGTTTCTGCAATGCGGACTTGGCGAAGACCTTGCTCTTCAATTACATCTCCAAGAGTCTGCTTTATTTCAGGCCGTTCAAATAAGACTTCCTCATTCTTTTGGTCGGGCAAAACCCGGGTCATGGTGTGGATCTGGGTGACTGGGGCCAGCTTGGCATAGATTTGTCTGACTCGATCGACTCGAAAGTTAGTAATCAGCAAGGGACTTTGGGGTGTTATCTGGCATCCTGGTAAGCAGAAGGGTGGAATAAATTCATCTGTGATGTTTTGAGCATATTGCTGTTCGATGTAGCTAGTTATTTCAGTGTAATTTGGTAAAGATGGCGTTTGGGTGGGTTTAGTGGCCGAGAAAAGAGTATCATAAGTAGCAGCTGTTCGTTCTTCTCGCTTGTCGCGGTCCATGGCATAGAAGCGGCCAGAGACCGAGACTATATAGGCATTGGCGGGTAGTAAAGGTTTAATCTGAGCGAGATAGTTAAGATACTCCGATGGGCGAGTATCGCGGCCATCAGCAATGCTATGAATGTATACGGCTTGGCATTTTGGTGAGATTAGAGTAGCTATGTCTAAAATATCGCGCCAATGGCTGTGAATATTACCGTCTGAAAGCATGCCTAGTACGTGTACAATTTGGTTGGCAACAAGTGAATCGAATAAGTTAGATAGCACGCTTGTTTGTTCATCCGAACCAAGATCACCACTCAGTACTTTTCTAATTCGCACACTATCCTGAAGCACCGTTCGGCCCGCTCCAATGGTTAAATGGCCAACTTCTGAATTTCCCATATTACTATTACTAGCTAGGCCAACATAAGTTCCGTGGGCCAAAAGAAGAGTGCTGAAGTAAGTAGCACGTAACTTGTTCATATGGCAGGGATTGGCTTGAACAATTGCATCAACAATTTCTGGGTTGTTCTCTTCATTCTCACCCCAACCATCTAAGACCACTAGACAGCACTTCTCTCTATTTCTATTCTCTGTTTGCATTCCAGATCAAACAGGATCCTATAAATACTAACCTGAATATTCAAAGGATACACATACTTGTTTTGGCCGGGTTAGTATTCGATTAGTGCGGTGTTCAGAGTATCCATCACCACTCTTTGCTAGTGAACACAGTCCCTTGATGCCAGGGCAGTCGCACTAATAATAAACCACAGCCCAATACCAATCAAATACTAACTCAATACCAACTCAATCCAATCTAACACTAACTTAATCCAATCTAACACCAACTCAACTCAACCTAATACCAACCCAATTCAATACCACCTCAATTCAATCTAATTCTAATCCATTTAAACACGGCAATTTTATGTTTGCTAACCCAATGATCTTGGTTAATGCTGCACCCGAAGATCAGTCCGGAAGGTCCTTTGCTCTGGCCAACTACTTCTCTAAAAACACTCACCTTGTTCTTCTATTAACGTATCCTGGCCTAAGACAACCAGACACAATCTCTAAAAACATCATCAAAAAGTACTTATGGCACATCAATACTGACAGCCAATTCATAATACTGACCAGAATCAAACAGCTCCTTAAGTTTATTTACTTAAACATAGTCACAACTTATTATCTGCTTTGGTATTTCATAACCAGCTCGAACACCCATCCAATTCCAAGTCCAACTATTCTCTTTGTAGTTCCACCACTTCCTACTATTCTTCTTCCCTTTATTTGCGCCTATCTTCTGGGCATTCAGCCGACCATTGATTGGCATAGGGTTACTCCTACGACCTTCAATTCCTTTCCTGGTTCCTTTCTCACTCGTTATGCTGCTAATATAGCTGTTACCACAGATATGGCCAAACTTATGAAAGCCCGCCATTTGCGAGCCACTACTATCACTGATGCTGATCTCTTCAGTTACGTTGATACAGACTCCCCTCTACCACAGCCATCTTCAGATTCAGCCTTCTTTCAATACCTAGCTGCCAAGTATCCCGAATACCGCTCAGCTTTTCAAAACCCAAGTCGGCCCATTGCTATTTGTAGCACCAGTAATTCACCAGAAGAGGATATCTCTAGCCTACTACAAACTCTTTCTAGCATCCCAGTCAAAGGCACTCTCTTTTTTACCACCAAATCACCAATATCGCTCACACACCTGACTCTAAACGTACATTCAGTTTTTCTTGACCATGCTGATTATCTTCTGCTACTAACACATGCCAATTTTGGTATTTCCACCCACGCTTGCAGCTATGACTATCCTCTCAAAATCATAGACTATCTTCGAGCACGTCTTCCAGTTATTGCCCATTCTAGCACCCCGGCAATTCATTCTCCGAGTATTGAAGCCACTATCACCCGATACACAACTCTGGCACAACTTGGCACTGAGCTCCAAGCTAGCTTTAACAGACACCAACTCAGCAGACACCAATTCAGCAGACACTAATCCACCCAGCTAAATTATACCATTCACGGCAACTCTATCTGTAATTAGCTTATTGAGCAACTACTCGCCAGCAGGAGTAAATAGAAATAGCTACTAATTACTCGGATCACACTAAGACAAAGAAGTAACTATAAATCAGACAGCCAAACTAGGCTAGTAGTTGTATTAGTATATTAGTAGTTTTGTTGGGTTAATATTGGGTTGGTAGTTTTATTAGTAGTTGATTGGGTTGGTAGTTGGACAGTGTTTACCGAGATAGACTTATTGACGGGTTGCTTATAGATGGCATTGCGGACGCATCGAATAGAAGGTAAGGGAAGCACTTTAGCATAACATTAAGATCAATAGGATCTTGGGGGTGGTCAAACGATTCTAGAGAAAAAGTCAGGCGGTTCACTTTGATATTGGGTATGTACAGGGTCGGTGCGGGGTCGGTGAGAGAAAGATAATTGGGCCCATTCCTGTAGATGTCATTCAGTTTAGTATGAAACTCCGCGCTATCTTCGGGAGTGAAGGCGAATGGAATATTCAACACGAAAAGCTCATAAATGCATATTGATTGATCTAGATCAATGGTGGCATAGGACATTAGAACATCAAAGGAGAGGTATAGGAAAGCGACTACTGCTGTGTTTATAAGGACAGGATCGGTCGGATGGAAATATTGGGTAAGCCCCAAAAGCCTAACCAAGGGATATTGAATGTATGTAGAGTGGGGGGATTGGTTCATTTGAGAAATAGTGATAATACGTAGCTGCGTGCAGATCAAGGGCTTTTTAGTTGTTTTATCTATGGGCGGGGGCGGGAAAATGATAGTGGTATTTGTAACACAAATGTGCAGTTCAAGGGTGTAGCTGTCTTGCCAGTTGATCTTATCAAGAAAATCTATCTTTTTAATCTTGGGGGCTTCAAGCTTAAAAGCGGTTATTGGAAGTTTGGTTAGGATTGGATGGACAATCTCCCCAATGGCTTTGGTATACCTTTTAATCGTTAGCCCAATATTATACATCGGCCTATCTATCATTGACATTTGGGCTTCCATCATCTGTTGCAGACGACTTCGTTCGGGGGACAAAGGAGCAGGACAGATTGCGCTACCCTTTAAATCTATGGTAACATAGAATATAGTGCGCTTACGAAGATCAGGAATTCGGATTATTGACAAGAGTCGATATAAAATAGAACCAACTAAGTCCAAGTTAGGATGACTGATAGAAATGCCATGTGCCTTAAGGTTGAACTGGTCGAGTCTTTTCAGAATATTCAATAAGTTTGTTAAATCGTGGTCGCTCCACATGTCAAATATTATAATACAGTAATTGTCCATTCGATTACGAACATACAGTTCAAGCTGCCCAGCTGCCCCCGAGCTGGCATAGAGCCTACATCTTTCCTGAAGCAGTACCCTCTTGCCTAGGCAGCGAGGGTTCTTATCAGCCAAGAAAAGGAAGTAAAGAAGTAATATCTCCTCATCGGTGAAAGGCCATTCTAACAGTCGTTCTTCTTCTTTGGGTTCAGAATTATCAGCCGCGCTCGTATATAGTGGCCCTAGTATACATTGGTCCCATCTCTTTTGTTTCGCTTCTTGATGAGCAATTTGCACTTGGAGTCGTGCTTTTGCTTGGACTACAGCCTGGACTTGGTCAACATGCAGATTGCTTAGCAATCTATCGACCAGGCCGGGTTGAGAAGGACTGTCTGGATTAGCTTTTAGTGCTGCCTTCTTTTCTTGGGCTGCTATTATATCGTCGGCTAGAACCGCTCTTATGGTTTTAGCGGCGTCTGCCAACGCCGGTAGCATTTGCGATGTTGTCACACCTACAGATATGGCCATGAAGCTAGCGAGATCTTCTAATGGCCCCCTGAATTCTATTGGAAGAGGCGGGGTATCGTTGGGCGGCGTAACTTGATCTATCAATAGCTGCAATATCTCCTGGGCGGTCTGTCTCGATAACAGAGTTAGTCCACCAACCAAATCGATGATCTCATCAACATCTTCTAGTAAAGCCCGGATTAACCACGCATTTAAAAGAATCCGGGCTAGAGTAAATGCTTCTACGTGAAGCCGGGTTCGAATTAGTGACACTGCGTCTATAGTTAATTCTGGTTGATACTCAATTTCATCTTCATCGACTTCTATTAGCTGCGGTGGTTCCTCTTCTGTTTCTTCTTTTGCTATCTCTTTCACTTCGGCCATCTCTCGTGCGTCAATCATCCACAAACCAAGGACAATGCTCATAATCTGACAAACAACCATTTTCTTTAGACAAACCATGCACTTACAATCCTTTAGAGTAGCAATCTATATTTATATTCTCAAATCTGATTTAATCTTACAAGTATAATATCTCATTGCCATACAAGCCAGCAGCACACAACTGCAATTAACCACAATTTCATTCAAATCCCATAACCACATTCACTCATTAAACACACGCTCAATAAACACACCCAACCCAATACCAACCCAACCCAATCCAATCCCACTCTTCCTTTAGTCTTTACTTCCATTCATCAGGCAATCTCTAAATATAATCGCACTCACAAACCCACAAACCCACAAACCCAATACCAATCCAAATCATACAAATCCCTTTATTAACACCATACCAGTACCAATACCAACACCAATTCAAATATCTTTCGAATCTTCTACCACTTAAGCATCTAAATCCAACTCACTTCAAAATAAACACACCATCAATTAGATTATTCCACACTATCTCATATTATCTTATTACACACTATACCATACCATACCATACCATATCAAACCAAACCACATCAAACCAAACTACACCCCACCACACAAACTCTACTTAATCTTATCTGAATTTAAATTCAACTCTAAAATTCCAAAATCCGAACTCAAGACATTACCATATATAGACATCTAAGCAAATTTTCTTTTGTTATGCAGGCCCCAACGACTCTAAACTGGATATTCAAGCTATCTCCTGAAACTTCGTATCTTTCCATCTTAAGTAAGTGCTATTCTAACATAAAAACTCATATAACTGAAGAACCCGAGACTCTAATTAAAGATCCAGAAGGTAAAACAACCAAAGGCCCAGGTAAAGCTTTGTCCCAATTTCTACCCACTCAGAATATCTCTGAAACTGCCATTCGTCGTATTATTGATATTATTACTTTAAGACCCCAACAAATGATTGCTTACACACCAGCCGAAGAAGATGGGTTAGATCTTATCATTGCTATGGCTAAGATAAGAAAGTGGCTCTTTGAAGGTCAAATTACCAACAAAGTTCCAGAGAATGTTATTGAGAAACTCGTGCTTATTCATACTCGCCACCAAGAAGTCTTCTGTGCCCGAACTAAAGAAGTCTTTGTTCCAGCCGATCTTATCACTCCTATCGTTGATTTTTACAAAGTAGTTGTTAAATCAGGTACAATTGAGTCTATTATTAACCATCCAGAAGCAGATACACTCTACATAGAAATAGTTGATTTTGCCGGCGAGAAAAGAACTATAGTCAGTGGACTCAAAGGCAAAGTAGAAAAAGAAGCCTTACTTAGCCAGCACTGTTTATTCACTCTCAATCTTAAGCCCGTCTCATTTAAAGGCACCAAATCATTCGGAATGATCTTATTTGCCAAAAGCACAGATAAAGAAGGAGGTTCAGTTATCTTTACCAAATCATCAGGACAACAACTAACTCTCAAAGACTATCCATTAACTTCTCTTATTCCTTTCCCAATCAAAATCAGTGATTGTACCAAAAAAACCCTCGAGTCATTCTTCCCTCGTCTCCAAGTCACCAACGAACTCCTTACCTACCACGGCCTCCCCACCCAAGTCGACCAAGACCCAGTCATTATCCCCGGTATCCAATCAGCCACCATTTCCTAAATCCTACCACCCACTACCAACTTAATCTTATCTAAATCAAAACCAAAACCCAACTTAATCTAATCAAAACCAAAACCTAACTTAATCTAATCTTATCTTATCTAACTATTTATTGTTATGATAATAATTAAATAGGCAATGCATCTAGCCATGCCCGTTTCTCATCTTCTCCTAACTCAGCTTCAGGTGTAGTCTTAAACAGACTATCAATAACGACAATCTCAGTACTAGTAGTCTTCTGACCTACAAAACAAGCAAAGTCATTAAGTACTACTCCACTACCAACCGTATCAGCCCCCCGATTAACCGTCCCAGGCACTACTCTTAGTCCTAATAACTCCGATAACTCAGCCACCTCATCCGCACTAGTTTTAGACCCACAAAGCATAGCCGTATTATTCATCACCGCATAAGTACCTACTAAGCCATTATCAGCTAAAGAGTACTTAAAAACATCAACACCTAAAACATCAGAAATACTCTCAATAGTCTCAGGAGATAAGTCAGCATTAGCTAAAGCTGAATGATCATTACAAACAATAACATTACCTAAAGCATTAAGACGTTCTTCAACTCTTCTTACTTTTACCTTTTCAGGTAAAGCATTTCTAATGTGTTGTAACTCTTGATCGGTCGTAGAAGAAGAGACAAGAAGACCTTTGGCATTACCAACGGCTTGAATACCAACGGCTTTAATTCCATTGATCGTACACTGCACAATAGGTATATCTAAGGCCTCTTCAAAATAAGAAACAAAATTAACGTTATCTGTAGCCGGGACTAAAGCATATAAATTGGTTAGTGTAGAATATACGCCTATCTCTTGGGCGCTTTCGAACGATATTCTCTGACTCATAAAAATTTGCGACTAGCTGGCTTTATTCGACTAGTTGAGATTAGATTTTGATTTGGTTTTGAATTAGATTTATATATTATTGAGTGGGGTGAGGTGGGGTGGGGTTGAGTGGAGTTGAGCTAGGTGGAGTTAGATTAGTATAACAGTGGGGTGGGTTAGGGTGGAGTTAAGTTGGGTTAAGTTGGGTTGAGTTTGGTAGTCGGTAATTGTAGTGCTGTCATACGACCATTAACACAACACAATACAATACTAACCCAAATCAATCTGATCACTACTTCGTACACACTACTTAGTAGTACTGCTACCAATACTAACACCACTCACGCTTATATTTACTTAATAAATGGTACCACTACTTATCTCATGGAATGTCTTTAATAGAGTATGCATTAGTTAAGTTATGTGTTAGAATTGAGTTGAGTTATGTGTTAGAATTGGGTTGAGTTATGTGTTGGAATTGGATGGTAAATAGTGAAGTGTATTTAGATATATATTGAGTTGAGTTGAGTTAGTAGTAGTTTGGTATTGGGGTGGCACAATAGTAGGCGATACACCAGTAGATGCTATACCAACTCAATACCAACTCAATACCAACTCAATACTAACTCAATACTAACTCAACTCAATGTGAATAATTAGCGGATGAATTGGGTGGAGTTGAATCGTTGGGGGTGGTTGCCGGCGAGGAGGAGATAGGTGGTGATGCTGGCGTTGTAATGGTTGAGGGCATTGAGTATGGTTTCGATCATTTTGGTTGGGTCAGTATTGGGCTGGATAGTATAGATTTTACTATGCTGAGCGGGTGTAATGGGGCGTTGTAGGATAGTATGGGAAAGAGTGCGCTGGCTAGTAATGGATAAGACATACGCTTCAAGATCGGCTATGTAGACGAGACAACGATTGATTTCTCGAATTAGTTGATTGTTGTAGTATTGGAAAGGGGCGAGGTAGTTAGCAAGAGTTTGCTTGGTGGGGTTGATGGATAGGTTTTGGATGTGGTTGTGGATTTGGCTGAAAAGACGCTTAATGCGGGATTTGGTGGCGGTATTAACATGGGTGTAATGGGTGATTAAGTCGAGACAACAAATAAGTAGTTCAGTAAGGTAGGCAGCTGGTTGGGTTGAGAGGTTGGGTAGATTGCTTTTGTAGGAGATAAGTTGTTTGGTAATGATCGCTCTTTGTTTAGTAAAGGGAGCGAGTTGGAGTCGTTTGGCATGGGCGGAGGAGCAGCGTTTGAGGGCAACGGAAAGTTGAACGGCATGTGTTTGGGGTGAGCCATGGCATTTTAAGTCCTGGTTAGCTGTGCTAATCTCGGTAGTGAACCGTGATAGTTCGTTGATAGTGTTATGATAGAACATCCAACGAATGGAATTGGGCGCAGCAAAGAAGATGTATAACTCGATGCAATCTGAGAAATCAGAGATGCTCTGAGGGGTTAGTTTAAAGTGGAATGGGTCCTGTAAAGTAACTTGGCTAAGACCCTCCTCAATCTCTTTAATGAGGGCAAGTTTGGTCTCGCCGGCCAGTTTGAGAGTATTATGAATGATTAGAGGTTGAACGTAGTAGTTTATCTTACGGGTGTTCTCTATTTGGGATTTCTTCTCCTTGGTCGTAAGAGATATATTTGAGACGGATGAATCGTCCGAGACAGTGTTGCTACATCGTATAGGGATTATATTCTCTTTCTTGTAGAGTTGATCAAGATGCTCCTTGTTAGTCGGTTCAAGTCTTGGTTCTATAATAGGCAAAGTGACTAGCTCACAACCGGGCGCACCAATATAAGATAAAGGCTTTGGTGAGTAAGTTGGTGCTTTGGGAGTTGGGGAACTGTATGTCAGAAATAACCAAATCAATCCCATGATTATAACTATGCCGCATTTACATATTAGACGGATTTTACTGTTAGTTAAGCCCATGAGATAAATAATAGCATATTAATTTTGTTATCTTTATTTTGAAATACAAAATTAGGGGGCGTATCATATTGATGTAATTTATTGGTTATATTAAGTTAGTTTTGGGTTGAGTTAGGCGTCAGATAATGCGATATGTAAAGTGATTGGATTAGCATTGAGTTGGGCTTGGTTGGGATGTATTAATGAATGGGGAGGAAATGAATGGGGAGGAAATGAATTTGTAACGAGGGGTTAGTATTGGGTTAGGAGTTCAAATAATATGGCTGGAGATTTTGGTCGTATTCAGTTATGACGGACACAAGAATATTCTCTATTTCAGCAAGAGGCATATCCACGTGAATGGCAGATGCATGCGGCTCGATCTTAGTGCTGTTAGACGGCATAGCAGAGGATTGTGTGTTATCATTTGGGGTTGATTTGGAAAAGGTGGACATTACATGGTTGAAGTGATTAGCGAACATAAGGCACTCGTTAATTATACTAACCAATGACTTACTAATGTCTGGAGCAGCTTGTAAAAGGGGATTTTCGACCAAAGGTGTGTCGCGGTCTACTGGCTTTTCCGAATAAATGGTAATTCCATTCCAAGTAGTATATATTGTCTGTAGTGTCTCATTGGTAATATGCACGAAGTTAGTCAAGATCTCAAGCCAGTCAGAGAGCTTTTCAACCAGAAGAAGACTATCTAGGCGATCCTGAGCCTCTAGTGATGTTTTAAAGGTGTGTGATCTGTAGATTGATCTATAATACCTGTGTAGGACCACATTAAGAGCAGGTGGTCTAGTCACTGGGCTAAGCAAGAAAGTACGTCGGCCATTAGCTATAAACTGCTTGAAGACCAGATCCCAAGTTTTAGTTGGAGTACGATCTCCTTTGGTCAAGGCATTATGGGCATGTTCTTCCGCCGCCAAGAGCTTAAGCGTAGCACTCGAACAAGTAGCCAGTTTAAGACGAGTCAGTGGACTACTAATTTGTGATATATAGTACCAAATTATCCAAGTAGACCGTTCCGAGTGCGAGCGGAGTGCGTCAAAGTCAATTGCCGAGAAGATATTATAAAGGCCTTTAACAGCACCATTCATTAAAGAAGTAGTACAAGGTGCCCGATCGACATTGTTATTGAACATATAAGGAACAAGATAGGAGTCAAACAAATCATAATATTGAGGATCCAGTCTCTTCCTAATCTGTTTAACCGTAATTGGCGAGCGGTTCGGTATGACTAGTTTCCGTGGTTTCAAGAAGTAAATTGGCGGAGTTCGTAGGGATATCATCTGGTCCGGAGACAAACTACGTTCAGATGGATTCGGAGACAAGCTACGTTCAGATGGATTCGGAGACAAGCTACGTTCAGATGGAGCCGGTGAGGGATTGAGTTCAACCGGGGCAGGAGTTGGGTTGGGTTTGAATGAAGCAGGAGTTGGGATAGGTTTGAAAGAAACAGGAGTTGGGATAGGTTCAAATGAGGCAGGAGCTGGTTTAGGTTCAAATGAGGCAGGGGTTGAATAAGGTCCAGGTGGGTATTGTGATGGCGGCCGAGTTGGTATTGGGTTAGTTAGAGCCGGATCTTGATTAAAACCAGCGTACCTTCTGGAAGCAGATCTACCTTTACCTCTAACCCGTTGCGACCGAACAGGCATAGCTACTGCTTCCATCGACCGACTAAACCACCGGGAGTAGATATAATACAAGAGAGCACTCACTATAACCACCCCACCACCAACAATTCCTATCATAACAATTCGTTTTTTGTTAATCTTATCGCCCTCCATTAACAACCCACCAAATTCTATTTTAATACCCCATTACTTTTGATTACAGACTTACCAGATGAAAATACCACCACATTCAAACCAATCCACTCTCACCACCACCCAAACCCACCAACCATACTCCATCCCCACACCAACCTAACTGTCACTTTACCTGTCACCTAACCTGATACAACCTGATACAACTTAATACAATTTAGTATCAACTTAGTATAACTTAATACAACTTAACCCAACTTAAACTTAACGTAATATTAACATAACCCAATACTAAACTTAACTTAACATAATATAACTCAATACTTAACATAACCCAATACTAAACTTAACTTAACATAACATAACGTAAACTTAACTTAACTCAATCCTAACTCAATACATAACCTAATTCAATTCGGATCTTTTTATTTGGACAACTTTGTGTAATCACGGCAACCTCTGATATGTACTTCTTGCGGTCTTACACGGGATTACTACCTCTTTTGATAGTCCTTACCAACTACTTGCGATAGTACTCATAAAACTTATACAACTCGCCCTTAATCATATCAATCTCCTTAGCAGCCGACTTACTGCTCTGAAAGATAGCCGTTTGCAAGAAAAGCATACCCCGAAAAACGTACTCAGCTATAGTCGGTCTATAATCCCGTCGTAGTTCTTCCTCTAAAACATCCGCATCAAAACACTTGATACATGGCACCTTCTTCCGTCCCCGACTCTCCTCAGTATCATGACTTACACAAGCCACCTTCCCCCCATTAATCACTTTCAACCGCGCTAAAACCAAACTAAACTCAGCTACCCACTTAGACTTATCCCGAGGCGACCTTTTCTTAGGATACTCATGAAAGTCCAACTTAAAGTACTCCTTCAAGGAAAACCCCATTCCACTCGTTAAACTCTCCCCAGAATCTTCACCTTCCTCCATATTCTCTATCTCTTCCATTTCCATCGCACTTTCTTCTCCCAGTCGTTGCGCCTCTAAAGCCGACGTCTGTTCTAGTGTCCAGCGAAAGAACCTTTCAAAAGCCACCGGATCAACCGAAGAGACAGATAAGCCATAATTAGATACTTCTAAAGAAGTCAGAATATCTTCCAGTTCTTGTTCCTTCTGAGAAATAGCTGGAGTACATTGACCATCAAAAGAAGACTCATCATCGGCTCCTGATCCTACTTCAGGTTTCGGACCTGGTAGTTCTAAATGAGGAGGTAGACTGCTTAAGGTAGATAGATGTAATAAAGTAGTAGATAAAGGATTACTTAAAGACTTAACACCCCAAAGACTAGTTGAAGTACTATCACTTAAAGCTGCTATCTCTGGAGATAAAACAGGCACTGGATCTTCTTCTGATTCTGAATGTTCTAAACTATCATAACCATAGATCATTCTTTCAATGATACGTGACTTTTCTTGTTTCTTCTTTTCAATAATCATATCTATCATCTCTTTCCTACGTTTCTGAAAGTATTCTTTAACTGATTCAGTTGTTTCTTTGTTCTTGATATACTCTTTAATCATCTTACTGTACTCTTTCTTCCAATTATTTGAAGATACTTTAGCATAAACCTTTAGATAAGCTCCAATAAAAGAAGTTTTGCGTAATCCGTATCTAGAAATAGCATTTAACAAATGAAGACGAGTTGTAGTAGTCCACATATCCATAAAATTTTTATATGTTTTATAAGCTGTTTAGGCTGACTTTTTCCTTTTTGGGACAAGGTGAAAACAAAACGATCTTTGTCTAATTTTACCTTTTTTGGTAAAGATAAGAATTTCCTTTTTGGGTAATATTTGAGTATTTAACTGGAAAAAAGTTTTCGTCCATGCACATTTTACAGGAAACTCCATTAGGATATGCTTTACTTAAAGATAAGCCTTTAGAACTGGAATTTCTTGCTAGTTTTAAAGATGCTAATGAAGCTGCCCTGGCGGTTGATACGCCGAATCTTCCCCAGACTTTAATCGATCTAATTCGTACTAAGAAGATTAGCCGGATTGTAACTAGTCCCTCTTTAGTAGCTGGATTTGTGGCGGGACTGAGTAGTGCCGGGGTAGTAAGTGCGGAAATTAGTGGGGATTTAGATAGTACTATGGAAAGAGAGATTAAACAACGTTTGCCTGAACTCTTAGGAGTAAGTGTGCAAACACTGGACAGATCGGCTTTACTGCTAGCTCATGCAGTGGCTCGGAAGCGTTTGCAAGCGGCTGCTTTATGTCCGGACTTAGTAGTAGTGCAGGGGGCGCGGGCTTTAGACCGATTAGATACGGATATTAACAAGAAGTGTATGCGGATTAGGGAGTGGCACGGCATGCACTTCCCAGAGGTCAGTGAAAGTACACCGGATAATTGGGAGTTCTTAGTACGCGTAGCTGAGCACTTAGCTGGTGGAGAGGCTGGTGGAGTAAGTGTAGGAGGAGAGATGGACAGTGAAGATGCGGCCGTACTAAGTGCAGCAGTTGAGGAGGCTAAAGGTATGTTTGTAGCTCGGGAGAAGTTGCAGGGGCATTTAAGACGACGAATGGGAGAGATAGCTCCTAACTTAACTGCCTTAGTTGGTGAAGGTTTAGGCGCTCGTTTAATTGCGGCGGCTGGATCTTTAGCTGAACTAGCTGGGAAAGCTGCTTCAACTATTCAAGTAATGGGAGCGGAAAGAGTCTTATTTAAAGCCTTGCGTGAGAAGGGGAAGACGCCTAAGTATGGGGTGGTGTTTAATGCGGTGAGTGTAGGAGCTGCTCCTTTAGCGGCTAAAGGTCGGATTGCTCGTACTTTAGCTGCTAAGATAGCTTTAGCCGTGCGATGTGATGCAGCGGGTGAGTGTGCGGATGGTAGTTTTGGACGGAAAGCCCGGGCGACAGTAGAAGCCCGACTTGAGGATGCTAAGTCCCGCAAGCCAGCTGCTAAATCCCGACATACCAAAGGACCAGTTGGCCGACGATAATCAAATTGAGTTTGGATTGAGTTGAGTTTGTTGGTGGCTTACTTGCATTTATTAAACATAAATAAGATATGATTTGGGTTAGTATTGTAGTGGTGTTTAGAGTGAGTATTTAGATATGTATTTTTAGCGGTGTATTATGACAGTATATTAAATTAGTACTATGTTTGTTATTACGTTGAGTTGTATTACGTTGAGTTGATATGTGCAAATTGAGTTATATTAATTGAGTTGTGTTAGTATTAGTTGGGGTTAGTTATTATTGAGGTGGTATTATTGGGTTAGTAGTAGATAGTATTGGGGTGGCCGTAGTTAGTAGTAGATAGTATTGAGTTGGCCGTAGTTAGTAGTAGATAGCAATAAGTTAGTAGTAGATAGTACTAAGATAGCACTAAGATGGTAATAAGATAGTAATAAATTGGTAATAAGTTGTTATTAATGAATCTATTGGGTTGGTAGAGTAATTGCTGGGTATAGGGATAGAGTATGGTGTTATTCGGGAGGTAAGATGGCTTTCTCAATGCGGACACCGGTGCTGCTGCACTTGATGGCATACTTTTCGCCACAACCACGTGGGGCTTTGCGCGGCTCAATGAGACCGTCACAGCGGATACGGCTTTTGGAGGGTTTGGGCTCAAGAGTGAGAATCTGGTCGAAGAATCCGTAGTTAAGATGGTCGACTAGATTGATGGGTATACTAACTAGAGCAATGGCGCCTTGAGTGCGAATGGCTGCTCTTAGTTGGAAAAGCTCGGTTTGGATGTTAGTACTACCCCATAGTGGTGAGAACATACTTAGAATACTAACTCGACTGCCTGGTTTAATACTGGTTATAATACTAGCTAAGTCTTTCGCCCAAATAACTTGGTCGGATTTAGGATGGGTTTGGCGTAGATCAAAACAACCCGATCGTTCAGCTCCGCCTAGTCGGGCTGTAGAACTAGTGCCAGACATACGGCCGTACCGCCAGGCAATTAGTTCGTTGACTACGGGGGCTGTAGTTGAACTTGGTCTTTTTACATAGGCAGGTACGGATAGAGTACTGGCATCCATTGAACTATGAATAGTTGGCTCATTCCGTTCCAGACCTTCAGCAATAAAGACGCGATGTATGCCCAAATGATAATTTACGCCTTCATTAACGGCTAAAAGTAATATATCCCCACCAACCATTCCCCCACCTAAAATCTCGTCTAATTCTTGACCACCCGTACTAAATCGCTCCTGTCTAACTCGACCTAGTCGCTTGAACATCTAATTTTCTAAAAATTGCCCAATCTATCCCAATCTAACTCAAAACCATTCCAATCTATCCCAAGCAGAGCAATACTTTTACAAGACTATTCAAACCGAACTAAGAACCATCTAGTACCCATGTAATACGAACTAGATCTCACTACTATGCTAATTAGCAGCTCTTTTTTTTCGGACATGTTTATCATGCGAGGATTAGGCCAGGCTTGGACCACTGCTGGATTTGAAGAAAGCACTCTTTTACTATGGGAATACTTGCTTAAGACCGATCCTAGTCCGGATGTTTTCTTATCTTTACTTAAAGCTTTATTAAATGCTGGTCATTTGGCCGCAATTTGTTGGTTAGTGCCTCGCTATCCCGAATACATTGAGTATGAAGAGGTCAAGAAGGTCTTTGCCTTTGCCATTAGTAAATCGGGAGTGGCAGCTCCTTCTGGATTTGCCGTATCTGGTAAACCTATGCCGGCGATAGATCCGGTGGTTGTAGAGCCTTTGGCTAGTGCTTCTACTTGTGCATTGTTCCAGAGCTTACTCCTGCGCGGGTCTGAGAAACGAGCGGAACTAGAAAGAGCTTTAGCAGCTGATGAACGTAATTTAGAAGCTTTGATTAGTGCGTCTATTCATTATACGAGTAAAACAGTTGAAGGATTGTTAGGACGGGTAGGAGATCGTAGGCTGGTGGCTTTGTATAGAAACTTGTTGTTGGATCGACCGGCATCCTTTACTCTGTTCTCCCGCGGGTTCTTAGCTCCCTTTTCCATTGCACTAGTGGCACGACGCTTGTTTAATGCTCGTCGGGCGGCTGAACTCTACCAAGTGAGCCAGTATGCAGCTGCTCTCTATCCAGGACACCATGAAGCGTATACAACCGCTGGTATGTACTACCTTCTGAACAACCGGCCTGCCGATGCCAAACGAGCTTTAGTTCAGGCTTTACAAACTAGTGCCCATTCCGGCCGGGCTTGGTTACTCTTAGGCCAATGCGAGTCCGCTTTATGTGAATGTGCAGGAGCTATTGGGTGCTATGAGAAGGCGGAGGCCTTAATGGAAGACTCTTTACCGGCTGCTTTAGGTATTGGGCTGGAGTACCATCGGATGCGCAGCTACCAAAAAGCCGAGGAGAAGTACTTGAGTATTCAGAAAACACATTCACTTAGTGCGTGTTTAGAGCCATACTTATCTCTTCTAGTAGCGACTCGGCGGTACGATGTAGCATTGCAGTTGGCCGAAACTGCTGAAGCCGGGCCAGGCTTACTACTACGATGTTGTTGCTTGCTCTTTGCTGGCCGGGCTAAAGAAGCAGCCCAGGCCTTAGACTTAGCTGGCGAAGCAGCAGTTAGTCCTGAAAGTCGTAGTCGATACTTCTTATTACGCGGGTACTTGCTGCACACAGCCCATGAGTACTGTTCAGCCATTGAGGCGTACCAAAAAGCTATCCTAGGCCCATCTAAAGCCGTCGGCACCTTGATCAATGATTTACTAGAACTAGCGATCAAAAACTCATTGGAAGAAGAGGCAAGTGATATTGTGCAACAGTATCGCGAAGATCTTTTTGATTTCCTCAACTTAAAAGGAGATTTCACTCTTGTTCTTTAATCCGGTAGATCTGGCCCGTGCGGCAAGACTAACTACATAACTAAATACTGTTATCTTTATTTGTTACTTCTTTATATCAACTTAAGTGAGGTTTCGTGGTGTTATATTGGTTTGAGTTGGATTGGGTTTAGTATTTGGTTTGGTTTAGTATTTGGTTTAGATTCTTATTGAGTTGTTTTACTTATCAGAACTCTACGTGTTGTCTGGCATAAAATATACAGTGCTATACTAAGCTAATAAGAGTTGTGCAGTGACAATAAGCTTTATTACTTAAGTTAAGGTAGAATTGAGGTGAGTAGAGTAGAGTAAACAAGCTATCAGTGAGACAGTTCAAGTAAATGGACGAGACGGGCCCAGAACAGACTGCTTATAAGTATGTGAAGAATAGGAGAATTGGGCATCCAACTGGACTTGAGAGAGGATGCAGACGACGACATGGTATTATGCGGTGTGGTAGGACTAGTATTGGGTGTATCATCAGCAAGGGTATCAGTAGTAGTGGCTAGATATTCTACACACTCATGAATACTAGAGGCGGTTGTGGTATTTGTTAACTGCGCATTAAACTGATCTTGTAGTTGTTTTGTCTTATCTAGTAGAAGCTTAAACCATTTTGAAACTTTCTCCAAATCATCGATTAGTTGCTTGATAGATTCAGCTGTAAATTGACCCATATTATTGTTGTATGCCTTTTCAAATGGACGGCCCAATCGAATTATATAATCAGGTCGCTTAAAATCCAATCTATACCTCCCTTGTAAGTCATCGATATACAATAGTTTTTCTCGCACCATCTCGGCAGCTTCATCTGTTGGCATGTTCTTTATCATAGCAGCAATGTTTAGTTTCAAAATGTCGTCTATGTGCTTTTGGTCGTCATTGCTGATTGTGATATTAGGATATGCACTTAGAGGTGATTTAGAAAGCTTCGAAAAGCTAGAGAGCATCAACTGCAGACGTAACATCTCGTACAAGACGTGTATGAGCTGTTTCTGTGCACAAAGGTCTGTGTTGGATACAGTTGAGTTTTTGATAAGCGTCTTCCAAGTTTCAATCGCTTCTTTGTTACTATCTTTATCCAAATCAAATGACAGGGTGTAAAAGTAGAAAACATAGGAAGGAATATAAGCCTGTATAAGACCACTAACTTCATTGTGAAGGCCTTTATACTTACTCAAATCTAATGATCCAAGTGAAGAGAGAGCGCCCTTTCCTGCAACACTCTTTGTTAGCTTTTCAAGCTCAACAATATAGCGCTGACTTATAGCATATCCCTTTTCAAAGACATTTATGGCATTATCTATTGCATACAATAGAGAACCTTTCTCAAGATCATTAGGACAAATATTAACATCCAGATTATGAATTTGGCGGCAGTTGTTTAGCATTGTAGCAATATACTTTGTATCATAATCACTTAACAACCCAAATCCTAACAATCGCAACCATTTAACTACATAATAATCCGATGGTTCATACCTATTAATAAGCTTCCTCTCCTTAAAGTTCATCTCTGAACACTCTGGGTTAGTATCATATGCAATTGCCACTTCAGCTATCCGCCAACCACGCTTAGATTCAACACAATAGTCTTCCCAGTTTATCTTAGTGTTATTATCTGCATCAACATCAGTCATTTGACCACTAGTCATATCACTACTCCAACCCAGCAACCAAGCCAGACCAACTCCTAACATTCCAAAAGAGAACTTCATTTATAACTATCTCTCCTCAAATCTTACATTTATACTTGCTCCAAACCCGATCTACGATCCTCATATTAATATAACATCGCACTAATACAATAAAGTGATCTCAAGAGAAAAGACCGAGTAGGTATTAGTATTGGTGTTGGTACTGAGTTATTTGCGTTGCAGTATGTTTCAGAGGAGATAAGCACAAGTTGGCGCATCTTTATTCTTCATCTGCAGCTCCATTGAGTTAGCAGTGAGTTAGTAGTGAGTTAAAGATTAGTAGAGGACAACTCCAAACTACAAGTACATGATCTATTTAGTTTAAGAAGATACCAACCCAATTGAGTACTGTACACGTCATACTTAATTTTAATACTTTATTCAACACCAACCCAATCCTATCTTAATTATATCTTGGTAGAAGTTAGGATTAGGTTAGGATTAGTTTATTGTTAGTTAAATGCGGTATGTAGTCACTTACCAACACAACAGCTAGTATTAGTATTGGTCTTAAGATATGAATAGTTTTGACCAAAACATGACTTTAATCTGGTACAGTCAATACATAACCAGTGGTTTTTTTAGTGGAAAAGAAGATGTCACAGGCTCTATTAGTGGCAGTTGAAGGTGTAGACCGCAGTGGAAAGAGTACTTTAGTTAAGGATTTAGTCCTGAAGTTACAAAGTCATGGACAGAGAGTAGTACGCTTATCCTATCCTAATAGACAAAATCAAACTGGACAATTGATCAATCGTATCTTGCGCAAGGAAATAGACTTTCCTCAGGAGGCCATGTACATGCTTTTCTCTGCTAATCGTTGGGAAGATAGTGCAACTATGCAAGCAGCCTTATCTTCAGCTGATGTAGTGGTTTGTGATAGGTATACTTTATCTGGACTAGCTTATGCTTTAGCTAGTGGTGCTAATAATACAGCAGCTATGACTGTAGATCAAGGCTTAACCAAACCAGATTTAGTTCTTTTCCTGGCCGATACAGCTGTAACTGCTTCAACTCGGCCTGGTTTTGGCGAAGAACTCTTTGAGAAGACGGCATTCCAAGCATCTGTTCATAAGTGCATGCTAAATTTACTCCCTAACTATGCTCATGTTATTATCACTGGTACGCCAGCAGAACGTTTACGTGCGGCTTATTTAGCGATCAAAGAAGCCCAGAGCATATATCAATAAATGTTTTGCTTAGTCTTAGATGAAAATAGAGCTAGAAAGTGCGGCCGTCATTGAAAAGATCTTTAGTGAACTTTCTGAAGATTCAAATACACCAGAAGAAGAACAAGTCTTAAGTGCAGTTAAGAATCTCTTCCTAAAGAATATCCGAGTAGGTTCTAGTGCCAATACAGCTGTAGCTGCAGCTGAAAGCACCAGGATTGAAAGATTACAAGCCTTGTGTGCTGTACGACGTAATCTACCGGAACAACTAAGAGTGGAAGTAACCAAGAGTTGTGAAGAATTACTGGACCAAGCACGACAAGAGATAGCAGTTGTAGCTAGTACTAACCAGGTAGAAGGACTAGAGAGTAAGATGGAAGCAAGTAAGGAGGTCAATGAGGTAGGTAGGCGTATGCAAGAACTAGCTAAGGCCTTCCCAGAAGTACTCGGCCAAATGCGCGAGTACATTGCTAGTGCAGAACTAGAGGTGAAAGAAAGCAATCCGCGCAATGCCGAAGTAGAACCAGAATCTCTAGCTCTTCTCTTCAAAGATGAACTTGATTTAGCTAGTTTAAATAAAGAGTAGTATTGTGTTGTGTTATGTTTTGGTAAAGATAAAGTTGTGTGTTGTGTGATGTTGTGTGTTGATTTAGATAGAGTTGTGCTTTGGTAAAGCTGTTTATCTGGGCATACTAACTCAATACTTAACTAATGCATACTATGTTAAAGACATTTCTCAATACGACATACTAACCCATTTATTGAATGTAGGCGATGATATGACGTCATACTAACCCAATACCAATCTAATACCAACCTAATACTAATGCGATCGGACAGTGAATAAACGATTTAGGATGGGGAAGGATTAGTGGTTGTGTAATGACATTACACTGAGTATATATATATTTAAGATAAGATACACATAAATAGTTTATTAATACATCTATTTAGTATAAGGGCTAGTATGAATTGGATTGTGTATTGGTTTAAGATAAGATAAAGTTGTGTTTGTTTTGATTTTAAGGAATTGGGATGTGTTAACTTATAAATAACTAAATCAAAATCAAAATCAAAAGATACCCGAATCAAAAACAAACCAAAACATAAGAGCATATACCTATTCTATCACTACTTAATCATCTGGTTTGATCTTCCCGGACTTAACTAGACTACGGTATTTGTCTTTGAGCTGCTGTTGTGAGAGATAGGAAAAGTTAGCATACTCCTGAATAGCAGCCCAGCACTTAGAATGCTTTTGCAGAGCTGCAATGAATCTCGTCTCCTCTTCAATGGTCCAAACTTTGCGCTTCTTTTCCGTATAAAGCCGGCCCGTGTACTCTATCGCTCCATCCGGATGCACCACCGTTTCCTTAAGCCGGTTAGGCCGTTGTTGTGGTATTTCCAAGCCCGGTTCACTCCAGACCGGCGTCGTGCCCGGTTTAGCCGTAAAGAGGGAAGGACTTTTACTCCGGCCTCCTCCCCCACTTAAATGAACCGGTTTACTATAAGCAATGTGTTTAGTATAGGCTGAACTACCCAAAGGAGACAAACTATGGGCATGAGCAGTTGGTTGCGTGTTTTCTATATAAGTACTCTCTAGACCGTCAACTCCTAAGCCACTAGCTGACTGACTTTGTTGTGTATCAAGATAAATAGAAGTTAGTTCAGCTGCAATCATTTCTAAATCTTGATCTTCAACCGTACTTAAAGTTGGTGGTGGTTTTGATTGTAACATCTTAGTTAAAGGAACAGTGGCATAATAAGGAATTCCAAGTCTTCCTTTGATTTTAATAACTTGCTCATGAAAGAGACTTCTTAACTGACTAATGTAACTGTATCGACTGTCTAAAGAAGAAAGACTACTCCCTTCCTTTCGATCACTACTTACATCTCGTCCTACTAATTCTTCCCACTCCTCAGTACTTAGTTGCTTATAGTACTCCCAAGTTGGATCTTTGCCTCCAACTAGTAAGTGGTACCCCCAAAGGACTAGTCTTTGTAACGTATCTAAGCGCCAAGGGACTGGGTTTGTGTACTGCAAGAGATCAAGGACTTGTCGAAACTTTAAGTCAACTCCGGTTTTAAAGAATCCACCAAAGATCTTCTCTTCAATCAAGTAAACGATATACTTAACTCGAACTTCTTCTTCCATCAGATATCCGACCTCTTTTAAGTTGTTTCCCACCGCTTCGACTGTGTTGGCATAATATTGAAATGTGTCATTCTTTTCTTTATCGGTGGCTAAATACTCAATATACTTGTATAGAACATAATCAAAATAGTAGATGTCTAGAACGATGCACTGCATGACAGTAAAAAAATAATAAAGCGGCTAATCCTATATAGTAGTGATGATAGGAGTGATAGGGGTGAGTTGGATTGTTCAGTGGGTTGGTAGAGGTCTTGGGTTGCTTTTGGTTGCTTTTGAGTTAAGATGACGTAATTTGAGATTGGTTATTTGGATTTAGTTGATTTGATTTCGATTTAGATTGTGATGGAGTGGGGTGGTGGGGTGGTATTAAGTGGTATTAAGAGGGATTGTGGTGATGGTTGAAGGTAGAGTGTGGGGAGAGGTTTTCGTGTTGGGGTGATTGTTGCTGCTGGTGGTGGGATTGTTGCTGTTGCTGTTGTTGGTGGTTGGCGAGGAAGGCGTCTTTGATTTGGACGAGTTTATCATTGACAATGGAGTAGAGGTGGAGTTGTTTGTCTTTGGTTTGGTTGTCTTGAAGGAGGTGCATGGTTTGGTTGCAGAGGCCGTTGAGCTCTTGTTCGAGTGAGATAAGGGTTTCTTTGATTTGGTGGGTGGTTGTGGCTGCGGCTTGAATATCGGGGAGGAAGAGTTGTTGGGGTTGAGATGGGTGTGGGTAGTGGGATTGTGGTTGGTTTTGGCGGGGTTGGGTTGAGAGGGCATTAAGAAGAGTTTGGGTAGATTCGTCTATTTTAGCTTGAATATTAGTGATGATAGTGGTTGATTCAGAACTGACTTGGTGGCGAAGGAGTGTGTTTTCTTTGGTAAGAGCTTCAACCTCTTCCTCGAGTGAAATCACTTGCTGTATCAATGAGGAGACACGTGCGGACTCTGAGAATTCTTGCATGGCTTAAAAATGGACAAATTGGGTTAGTACTTGGTTGTGTGGAGTTGGGTTGAGTTATGTGGGGTGGGGTTGGGTTGGGTTATGTTTGAGTAATGCTAAGTTGAATTAAGTAATGTGATATGCAATTGCTTGGCTTAACTGAATACTAACCCAAGTATTGGTCTAATTAGAAAGAGAATATCATAATAAACTACCTTGATCGGTTTATTTAGTCCTTGTGGGTGGCAAGAGTTAGCTTGATGGTTTGCCCGGCGATTTCAAGAGTTTCGGTGGTGCCTTCAAGTTGAGTGCTGGTAAGTTGGGTGTTTGGGTCGCAAGTGACCATGGCTGGATCGGTGCCTTGGACGAAGAGAGTAGCGAGGTCGGAAATTTGGAGACCGGCTCGTTTGCGGAGCTTTTGCACGGCACTCTTGATTTCTCGGCGGATCCAGAGATCTTTGGTGGCTTCGTTTTGAGTCTTGTCAACCAGGGCATAGACTGTGTCCGATGCTGCTAGACCTTCAATGTTGGCGGGAAGACCTTTGGCTTCGCGGCGATAGATGACTTCTTCTCGAGTGATAGTGAGGCCTGAAAGCTCGACTTTGCCGGTTGTCATGAGTTGAGAAATAGTCTTGGTATCTTGGTGGTTGGCCCGGATAAGAGAAGCTCTTTGCTGGACCTCTTTACCCGTATGAAGAGCACCGATGCGCTTGAAATCAGGCGTGATACTTTCATCCCAAGTATAGTCAGAAAGGTTGCGGAAACACACGGACATGGCATTGCATTCTTTGGCTAGAACATTAGCTAGGACGGTTGAGTGGGTAGAGCCGACTACTGAAACTTCACAGATAGGCATTTTGAGAGAGAGTCCGTTCTTTTCTCGGATGATTCGGACGGCTTCAACAACACTCTTGACTTCGCGAAGATCTTCCAGAACAGTATCTGCTCCCTTGGACATTCGCTTGGCCAAAGTTTTGATCATTTCGGTAATTTCATGCTGGGCGTCTTGGTGCATGATAAAGTGCACCGACGGGTTGGCAGTAAGTGAAGAAGAATTGGTGGGGGGTAGTTGGGGTAGATCGTCAACTGTTCCGGGTTTAACGAGGGCCAAGAAGCAACGCTCACTGAAGAATGGAGCAAATGGAGCCATAAAGACAGAGAAGATACGTAAAACAAAAGCCAGCACGGGCATTTCGGTGCCTCGCAGTCGTTCACGACTTAATCGAATGTACCATCGGCTAAGATCGCCTAAGAAAGCAACTGCTCTTGCAACTATGCCCTGGACGCGATAAGCTCTGCCTTCAGCTTCAATAAACTGAGCAAACTCTTTAAGCTCTTTGACAATCCATAGGTCTAGAAGAAGTCCGTCTTCCTGCTCACTAATGGAAATACCTGCCACTTCCAGTGCAATATCTTCTATTTCGCAGCCCGTGCTGGTACTGACTGAGCCGCCGGTTGTAAGCAAGAAGCGCAGACAGTTCTCCCAGGGAATTAGTAGATCGCGCAACATCCCGGCCACGCCTTGTTCCGTGAAGCGTAGATTTTCGGCTTTAACTACTGGTGAAGAGATCATGTAAAGTCGCATGGCATCGGCGCCATGTGTGTCCATAACTTGGGAAGGATCTGGGTAGTTCTTGAGTCGCTTGCTCATTTTCTTACCATCGGCGGCTAGGACTAGTCCGGTTACCATGACGTTCTTGAAGGCCGGTCGACGGTGTAGTAGGACGGCTAAAACGTGCAGGGTGTAAAACCAGCCACGCGTCTGGTCTAGGCCTTCGGCAATAAAGTCGGCCGGGAAAGTCTTTTCAAACCGCTCCTTGTTCTCAAAGGGGTAGTGGATTTGGGCATAAGGCACCGAGCCGCTTTCAAACCAGCAGTCAAGTACTTCTGGAGTCCGTTTGTACTGGTGGCCGTTATGACTAATAATGATTTCATCAACCTTATCCTTATGCAAGTCGGTTACTTTGGTGCCAGATAAAGACTCTAACTCAGCAGCAGATCCAATGCAGAGATAATCCTCTGGTTTAGGATCGGCTACATCAGTGCGCACCCAGATTGGAATGGGAGTACCCCAGTACCTATTCCTAGAAATAGACCAGTCGCGAGCATGGGCTAGCCATAGACCAAACTTGCCCGTGCCTACGGCAGCTGGTGCCCAGTTAATGCGCTGGTTCTCTTTCACTAACTCGTCCGTATGCTGTTTAACCCGGACAAACCAGCTAGGAATAGCTCGGTAAATAAGAGGTGTGTCTGAGCGCCAGCAGAACGGGTACGAGTGAACAATAGAGCCCGAGGCATAGAGACGGCCCTTGGCCTTGAGGTCCTTAATGATTTGCGAGTCCGTGTCCTTGACGTACTGTCCGGCATATGGTTCTATTTCAGCAGTAAAGAGACCGGCATCATTAATTGGGCAGGGTACTTCTTGGTTCTCAGTTAGTAGTCCAGCGGCCACTAAGGCCATATAGTCTTCTTCTCCAAAACCTGGTGCACAATGAACAACTCCAGTACCTGCTCCTTCGGCCACATAACTTGCTCCATAGACCTTAAAGAAGCCACTAGTCCGTAAAGTCTCAAAGAAAGCAAAAGGCGGCGAGTACTCTAGGCCTAATAAGTCTTGTCCCTTCAGCTGGGCCAAGATCGGTCGTTTACCAACTGAAAATAGACCAACAACTCCATACGTGCCTTCTTCTTTATCAGCAATCACAGCATAGTCCATCTCAGGATTAACTAGTGCAGCTAAATTACTAGGTAGAGTCCAAGGGGTTGTTGTCCAGATTAGTAAACTTGTTTGCGCAAAGGTCTGTTCGCCTACTTTTAAAGGCGCTAAGAGTTCTAAACGAACGGTTGCGGCTAAATCAGTGGCTTCCTTGTAGTTTTGATTGGCTTCAAAATTACTCATTGGTGTTCGACAGGCCGTTGAGTACGGCATAACTCGGTATCCTTTGTAAACAAGTCCTTTACTGTGCAGTTCTTTAAAGACGGACCAAACACTCTCCATAAAGCTAAAGTCCATGGTTTTGTAGCCATTCTGGAAATCAATCCAGCGACCCATTCGATTAACTGTTTCCTCCCATTCTTGCGTGTACTTAGTCACAATACTGCGACAGTATCCGTTGTAGGCAGCTACTCCTACTCGTTCTACATCTTGAGTTGTCTTGATACCGTACATCTTGTCTATTTCGTACTCAATTGGCAATCCATGACAATCCCAGCCAAAACGCCGAACAACATGATGTCCTTGTTGATAGAAGAATCTCGTAACCGTATCCTTAATTGTTCCTGATAAAATATGTCCATAATGTGGTAATCCCGTTGCAAAAGGAGGACCGTCATAAAAGGAAAACTCATCTTTGCCCTCACTAAGTTGCATTGCAGTTTCAAAAGCCTTAATGCTTTGCCAGTAAGTCAGAATTCGTCTTTCTGTTTCACTAAATGTGCCCATAGTAAGAAAAGAAAGAAAGAATATATAGGTTTAAGTTGAGTGGTATTGAGTAAGTGTTGAGTTGAGTATTGAGTGGGTTAGGGTGGTCTTGGGGTGAGGTGTGGGGAGATGATGTGTGGTTTGCTTTGATTTAGTGGACTTGTGGTTGGTATTGGGTTAGGTTAGGTTAAGATTGAGATAGAGATTGAGATAGATTCTAGTGATAGTTTGGTAGAATCAATTGGTAGTTGGAAATAACTAAATCCTAGCTTAACTTAACTCACTACTAATTCACTACTAGCTTAACTTGACTTGACTTAATAATATCTTATGGTAAGCAAAATTACCATATAAGGAAATTCTTATATTTTTTGTTATTTTGGTGAAAATTCTGATTTTCAATTTCCTTATATGGTAATTTTCCTTACCTTCTCCAATTAATGAATAAACAATTAAATCTGCCCTACAAACCAACCTGCCATTTATTCTACCCCAAACTAACTACTCCAACTCAATCCCACCTTAACTCAACCCAATCCCACCTTAACTTAGCATAAATACATAACTAAACCCAGTTTAGTGTTATAATAAACTCAAATGAAAGCCTTCCAATTCCGATAAGAATAGACTTGTCTCTTTTTTAATAACTATTTGGTTTATTATCATTGTTAGTAAATCTCTATTTCTACTCTAATATCTTACTTCAAACAATCAAACTAAGTATACGCCAGCTCAATCCACTCCTACCCACTAGTAATCCATGCCAAATACTAACTCAACCCTATCTAAGACCAACTCAACCCACTACTTATACTAACTAGATACAATTTTTTAATGCTTAGTGACTTAGGATGTGGAATTAGTGGTGCTTTAAAAGGTCTGTTTACTCAAAAAGGCAATGAAGAGAAGGATTTGAACTTAGCCGTTAAAAAGATAACAACATCTTTGTTAAGTTCTAATGTAAGTACTAGAGTGGTTTTAGGCGTAAAGAAACGAATTCTAGAGAGATATCAAGCAATCGATGTACCGGCTAGTGCTAAGAAAGAGAAGTTGCTGCAGAAGATAGTCTTTGAAGAGTTGTGTCGTATGGTAGATCCGGGTAAGGAAGCTTTTAAGCCTAAAAAGAAGGATGTTTCTGTGGTCTTATTCGTAGGGCTACAAGGCAGTGGAAAGACAACTTCATGCTGTAAGTATGCGCGATATTATCGTCAACGCGGGTTTAAGGTAGGTATAGTTTGTGCTGATACGTTTAGGGCAGGTGCAGCAGAACAGGTCGTGCAGAACGTAGGAACCATGGATGTGGCCGTTTATACTTCTTCAGTAGTTGATCCAGTAGCAGTTGCTCGTGCAGGTGTTGCTGAACTTCGAGAGAGTTGTAACTTGATTTTAGTGGATACCAGTGGCCGGCATACTCAGGAAGGTGCACTTTTTGATGAAATGGTAGAGATTGAGGCGGCAACTAAGCCAACCGCGACTATTTTTGTTGTAGATGCATCGATTGGACAAGCGGCCGAAGTACATGCGAAGGCTTTTATGGAGCGTATTGGATTGGGAGCCGTGATTATTACAAAAACAGATGGAACCAAGAATATAGGAGGAGCTTTAAGTAGTGTAGCCGAGACACAAACTCCGGTAGCCTTTGTAGGTACAGGTGAAGGAATGGGCCAGTTAGAACCGTTCAGTCCCCGTGGGTTTGTGAGTAAGCTAATGGGTTTAGGAGATATTGCAGGTCTTGCTGATAAGTTAGAAGGACTAGGTATGACTGCTGAGCGGCAAGAGGAGTTAATTGGGAAGATCAAAGCAGGAGAGTTTTCAATGGGTGACTTTTATGAGCAATTTAAGCGTATATTAGAGCTAGGGCCAATTTCCCAACTATTATCACTAGTACCGGGTATGAATGCAGGTATGTTGGACGAACGCACATTCCGACGAATGGGTACTGTCTTCTCAGGTATGACTAAGAAAGAGTTACGGACTAATGGCGAGGTCTTTTTACGAGGCAATGCTCGGATTATGCGGGTGGCAGCCGGTAGTGGTGTAGCTCCTACTGAAATAAGGGCAACGGTTAATTCGTACCGAATGATGTCTCAGATGTTACGGAAGCTATCTTCTAATCCAATGTTTGCCGGGTTATTTGGTGGAGCAGGTGGTGCCGGGGCAGGTGGACAGGTTGCTCCTCCCACACCGGAAACAGCGGCAGCTCAAATGGCGCAACTAAAGAAGATGATGCCGCCTGGCTTCTCATCACTCTTTGACCAGATGGGGAAGTTTATGTGAGGGAAGCATAACGAATAAATAGGATAGTATTGAGTTGAGTTGTGTTAGTATTGAATTGGGTTATGTGGAGTTAGTAGTGGGTTCAATTTATTGATTATGTGGTTTAGTTTGTGTTGGGTTAGCTTTGGCTTAGTATTGGCTTGGCTTATGTTGAGACTGTATTGTGATGTTGATAGATATGGGAACATAAAATCCTCATGATTTATTGGGTTGGGTTAGGTTGTGATGAGTTAGTGTTAGGTTGTGATGAGTTAGTATTGGGTGGAGATGATGGAGATAGTGGAGGGCTGGATGGAGACTGGGAGGGTTGGGGTGCTGGGGATTGAGTAATTGGGGTATTGGGATGAGGTGTGTTGGATGGCGATGTGGTACTTTGAGGACAGGCCTGGGCATAGTGGTCGGGTGCGGAACAAACAAAGCATTTGAGGGATCCTTTGCGGTTCTTGCGATTNTAGTGATCCTATCTTCAAGGTCTTTGATTGGGTTTAGTAGATGGAGAGGACAGCTGGTGGCACAGGGACATTGTTGGTTGAGCTCTTGTTGGGCCCAAGTAGCAGCAATAGCTTGGATTTGAGCTTTAACTTCGGGCCAGCCTACTGTCTTTTCGATGGTAGATAGTTGGGCGCAATCTATAGCTTCTTTAAGCAAAAGTCTGTGCGATCCATTGAGTCGTTGGGCAAGTGCAGTTATAATGTGTATTTCACTTCGCGGATCCAGTTGAGTTACATTATCTCCCTTTTTAGCAATAGCCGAGCTAAACCTATCTTCAATGGCATTAATGAGAAAGACGGCACGTTCAGTGTACGTTGTTGTGGTTTTGTTTATCTCAGAAGTCATAAGAAATTGACAAAAAAGTGTGTATTTAAGCGCTATCTTGATTTAGGTTTAAACTACGCCGAGTGGTGTGGCGTGAAGTAAGATAAAGCAAGGCGTGCTATAACGTGTTCTTTGACTTGCCGTTTAAAGAGTCCAAGCCACAGTACAGCTTAGTGCAACTCAACTAAACTCAACAAATAACTTAACCTAACTCAAGACTAACTCAAATCAAAATCAAATCAAACCAAAACCAGCACCAATCTAGCACCAACCCAATCAATTAAAACAAGCCAACCCAATACCACCTCAATACGAACACTAGCTTAACACCAACTTAACATCCAACTAAACTATACTGTACTAATACCAACTTAACATCCAACTAAACTATACTGTACCAATGCCAACTAAATCAAACCAAACCAATACCAACTCAATACTAAACTAAACTAAACCATACTAATAGCAACTTTACTTATAGCTTACCCACGGACCAATCCGTGCTTAGCTCCAATGGATCAGAAATACTAATGCCATCCTTGGTGACCTTAGAGATCTGTATGGCACCACACGCTCGCGTATCACGATAGAGTAAAGTCCGCATAGCAGTCATTAACAACTCTCGGGCTTCAGCTTCTTCCAACTCGCCATCAGCCACTCCCTTCCTTAGAATAGGCAAGGCAATGTGAGCACCCAGACCTGTAGCTATAACATTAGCATGATAAAAACCTCCCAATGGATCTATAGCTGCTAAAAACAAGCCATTAGGATCACATTCATACGGAACGGCTTCTCGCGGCTGTTCTTCAATTCCAGCCACTACATGGTAGTTCTGCTCTGGCTGGCCGCGGTTGCGCTTTTCGTACATATGATTCCTGAGAATCTCAAAACACTCTCTGGGCCCAAAAACAGTGGCTTCTTCAGTAATTGGGTTCATTTCCAAGCGCAGCATATGCACAACCTCTTGAAAGTTACTGTATTCCCCAGAAGAGACCAAGAGAGTATTTGGGGATATCTGAGCCGCTCGCGTAATATTCTTGTACTTAGCATACGATCCGTACGATGCTTGTGTATCTGAGGCAACTAAAATACCCCCTTGAAATTTCACAGCCAGCACACTTGTTCCCATAATATAAGTATTTGAATGGGTCGTCACTGGTGCGTCTTTCAAAGTATAGATGCCTAATTCTTCCATGAGATGACGCATTGTTTGGAAAATAAATTAAGCCGTAAAATAGGCTGTTGTCATGAGATAGACTGATACGTCCATTCCCTGGTATGCCCTATCTCGTGGATGGTGTAAAGAAATCCCATATACTTCCAAAACCAGGTTCTTTTTGTTTAGATATGCCGCAATTTCTCTATCTATTTGGTGGTCTATGTAACGCTGATAGAGAGTGCCCAGATAGAAGAGAGTTAAGAGACGTAAAAGTCTCGTTCTTTTCCGGCGTAGAAGAAGAGAGTTTAGTTTCTGAATGATTTCGGACCATTCAGTTTCTGGGACTTTAGTATGAAGGACAGAAGGCAAAGACTCTTCTAGATGAAGACGGCCATTAGTAGAGAGTATGGGAATATACACAATACTCATGCTTGTTTTTATTTGTGATGCAAGAAGTAGGAAACAGAATGCGAACTAAGTGTAGAACTGAGCATTGGGGTCGTGAAGAAGTGACTTTAGGAACAACCATTATGGCCATACAATTTCGGGATGGAGTTATTTTAGGTGCAGATACGCGGACTTCTATGGGAACGTACGTCTCAAATCGAGTGAGTCGGAAGATAACTAAGATAGCCAATGGGATTTATACTTGTCGTTCAGGATCAGCTGCAGATACGCAAGCTGTGGCTGAGATAGTATCGCATCGGTTGCACGAACAGGAAGTTTGTTATAATGAGCCGCCTACAGTTGAAGATGCAGCTACCTTAGCCAAGAAGGTGATTTATCAGAACTCGCATTTAGTGGCTGGCATGATTATTGCTGGTGTAGATGCTGAGGGAAGTCATGTTTTTAGTATTCCTTTAGGTGGGACTTTAATTAGGCAGAGTTGTGCGATTGCAGGTTCTGGATCTATTTACATGTCCGGATTGTGTGACCAAACATATCGCGAGGATATGACTCGAGAGGAGGCCATTAAGTTTGTGCGAAGAGCTATTTCGCATGCGATTTATCGAGATAATTCATCTGGAGGATGTATTCGTATGATGATTGTTACGGCCGAAGGCACTGAAGAGTTGTTCATTCCCGGGAGTGAAATTAGCATTACGGATTAGTATTGGGTTAGGTGGATGTATGGCGGGTGGTGTTTTGATTGAAAGATCACAAGATCACGCCTGAATAAATTGAGTTGGTTTAAGTTGAGTTGAGTTTAAGTGTGGTTTATGTTTAGTTTATGTTGGTTTAAGTTGTCTTTAAGTTGAGATTAAGTTGGTTTAAGTTGAGTTTGGTTTAAGTTGAGTTGAGATTGAGTTGGTTTAAGTTGAGTTTAGTTGGCATAAGTTGAGATTGAGTTGGTTTAAGTTGAGTTTAGTTGGCATAAGTTGACATAAGTTGAGTAACACTAACTTAAACCAACTTAATATTAACCTAACCCGGATTTATTTAAAGAATAAGTTGACTTAATTATTTCCTAATCGGGTAATTTTAAGAGTATTTAGTTTTTTACTATTTTAACCCCTGTAGTGTGAATACACTGATATTGCTGTGGTCTAGAGATAGATATAGTAATTTCATCCGTGGATGATGAGAATAGCCGCCCCAGTCTGATTAAAGATGTATGGATAGACTCTGACACATTTAAAATTGAATATCTTGTGCGAGTGCGTTGAGTTGGTATTGAGTTGGGTTCGTATTGGGTTCGTATTGGGTTGGTGTGTGGTGTTGAAATAAGTTGGTTATTTGGCGGGTGCTGGTTCTGGGTCCTCTGAGGTTGGTGGAGGAGTGTGGTGGTTTTGGAGAATGTCTTTGAGGAATCGAACAAGATCTAGTTTGACTTCAAGTTTGGCCATGCGGTTGTTGATGGACTTATAACGAACAATAAGGACACAATTATGACCTTCGAGTTTACAGGAAGCTTCGGACTCGGACTGAATGGTAAATGTTTCGTAGAAGATCTCGCTTTTGGAACGTAAATAAACGAGTAGACCTCTTTTGAGCTCTTTGAACTTTTCGGGTGTGGTTTGGGGAGTGAGTTGGAAATTAACATGGATGAGTTTTTGGGGTGCTCGGGTCATATTGACGATGTTCTTGGTGCCGAGTACTTTGTTGAGAAAGGATATTTTGCCGCCGTTATTACTGAGGACTTCGGTTTTGTAAAGACTGGAGCCGTAGATGGTGTAGTCTTTGCCATCAATAATGACTTCGTCACCAATGTCAAAGGGATGGGTAAGAATAAAGGATGCATTCCAGTAGAAGTCTTTGATAACACTGCTGATTAGGAAATTAAGCACTACCGCACTGCTCAGCCCAAGGGCGGCTAGTTGGCGAATGGGAAGGCCAAGTACAATAAGGTAGAGGAAGAGAAGGGGAATACAGACGACAATGGTGGCTAGATTATCTAGGAGTTTGACAAATCGGTTGAGGTTTTCAAAGGTAGTTTGGAGATTCTTGCGGTCGTAATGGAACATAGCTAGTGTGTCGCGAATGTCTTTCTTGGATATCTTTTTGGCGTTGTCCGTATCAAAATAGAGGAAAGCCTGGACAGCTGTTTGGGCGTTGGGGAATATTTCGCAAAAGCTGTTGAAGGTGATATACTCGCCATCTTTGCTGCACTTGAGGAAGGTATCACGAGCCAGACAGAAGATTTCGTGCTGGGAAAGTTGTTTCTTTTGGAAGATCGAGGTAGTAAAGAGGTCGCCAATGATATTGTCCATGTCGCCTTTGACAAATTCCATGCCGAGGTTGTTATTGGGGTCGTCGTCTTCATCTTCAAAGCAATTGACTAGGAAACAGGAAATGAGTTTGTCATCGGAAGTTTCACCCGTTTCATCGTAGCAGAAATCGCGCATTGAGTTAATAATACGCTCTTTGATTTCAACGTCTTTAGACTTCTTCTTAAGAGCACTAGCTAGGAAGTATGTACGGAACATTTCCATGAAGATGTTCTTACAGATGATGATGAGAAGAGAAATGATGCCGCATGCAAAGAGTTTGTCCAAAAGAGCGCGGGCCCAGGGCACCCGCGAATTGAGGTATATCCCTATTGGAATAAAGGAAAAGATCCAGATACCGCAGGTGACTTCTAACTTAACACGCTTGCTATGGAAGACTTTGTTGTTGGAAATGTTATCTTTGATAATCACAAACACCACATGAACTAGCAGTTTGGCCATCAGAAATATGAAGGCCAGGAAGGCTGCGACAAAGCAAACATGCATCAAGGAGTATCCCTTGACATAAATAAGATGCCGGGGGATAAAGTACAGAATTCCGGTGATAAAGAGGGAAACTCCAATGACTCCCATTGAAAAGGGCGTTAGTTTCTTGTAGATGCTTTTTGCCCACTTAGTTTCGGCCGGATGTTCTTCGACATCTTCAAAGCCAAACTCAGCAGTGTCTTCAAACCAGTCAAACTCCTTTTTGGAGTTATCTTCGTCTGCTTGCATTGGCTACTATCTACTTAGGTTATATATAACTTATTTGGTGCAATAGTATGAAACTTACCCAATAAACACAACTTAAGTTTGAGATTCTATAAGGTCATGTGAAGTGCTCATCGGCCGGTCTATCAAGTTATTGAGTTGAGTTAGTATTGAGTTGGTATTGAGTTATTATTGTGGTTGTGTTTAGTTGAGTTTAGTACTGAGTTAGTCGAACTGAATCGGCCAACTTATCATAATTCACACAGTAACCTAATCTAATCTAACACAAACCCAATAACCCAACCCAACTCAACCCAACTTAACTCAACTCAACCCCACTCAACTCAATACGAAATGTAATCTAACTAGTATACTTGGTGCTTTATTAGGTTAATTGATCGCTCTGATGAAAGTTAGCGATAGATAACTGTTTCAGCGCAGGAGTCGATGTAAAGACTAGCCCTAGGATCATCAGGGGCAAACACACCAGAAAGTTCGCCTTCCTGCGGGGCCGGGCCTTTCTCTTGCAGACTAGCAAGTGCTTCCGATGAAACCAAGGCTCGAACAATTGGCGGCGGTGTCAGTGTAAAGAAAGCCCCATTTGGCGGATACATCGTTGGAATGCCAAGTTTAGTTTCAATTATTTGTTGCAGCCGCTTCATCCGCTGAATATCACCATGCACTAGCACAATACGGTACGGATTGCAGTGCTGAATTAAGGAAATAATTCCCCGCTGATCAGCATGGGCGGAGAAAGGCATGTTTTTAACCTGCATATTCACCGGATAAACTATCCCGGCCGTTTCTATCTTTTTAGCCCGATTGAGAACCTTCTCGCCAATTGTCCCTTTAACACAATACCCCGGGAAGATCACAAGGTTTTTGGGATCACCACACCATTTTTTAAAGATAGATAAGCTAGGCCCAGAATGAAGCATACCAGGCGATGAAAATAAAACCATAGGGCCCTCGGCATTGGCATATCCCGATTCAAAAGGCCGAACGTGCTGAAAATCAAACAAATTACGTTTGTGCTTGTTATTGCGAATATGTTCATGAGTGTAATCAATAAACTGCTTGTAAATCTCATTAGCCTTATGCGTAAGCGTAGCTGAGGTGTAAATTGGCACTTGCATGCCAGTCTTCTCCCAATGCGTATCTAGCAGGAGGCATAATTCGTGCGACCGACCTAGTGCAAAGACCGGAATAAGAACTTTCCCGCCTTTCTTCACACAAGATACTACTGACTCGACGAATTCTCGTTCTCTTTCCTTGCGGCAGTCACGAACTAGTTGGGCATATGTGCACTCAGTAATCAGCAGACTCGGCCGTAAATTAGGCAGCCAGGCCGCATCTAAGTGCCGATCCGGTGACATGTTATAATCACCAGTATAAACCACCGACTCCTCACCCACCTGGACATGAAACATAACTGCCCCTAGAACGTGTCCAGCATAGTAAGCTGTAATAGAAAACCCCGGCTCTATCTCAATAGTTTCTTCTATTGAAATTGTCTGGATCTTGTTCATGCAGTCTTTGACATTTTGTTCGCTATACGTCGCTTGGTTACGCGCCGTGTCGTCTTTCTCGCTGTAGACCTTGCAGTAGTCCTGGAGAATGATTGGTAAGACGGCCCGAGTCGGAGGAGTCATATAAATTGGGCCGTTATATCCACACTGTTCGGTAAAATAAGGCAAACCACCACAATGGTCCATATGGAAATGGGTGATAAGCACACAATCAACTGTACCGGTGTATGGCCGCGGTCCTAAGAGGCCAAAGTCCGGGAACTTACGTGAGTCTGTATGGCCCATGTGCATACCACAATCGAACATTATAGTGCGATTCCGCATAGTCACCACCACACACGACTTTCCTATATCCTGTCCAGCACCAAGTATTCTAAGTTGCATGCAAATATTTGCACCGTTAGCATTAGTACTTGCTGATCTACTGGCCAAAAGGTGGCTAGTTAGTCTATGTACAGCTGAGCATCTCTATGAACTGTCCTGTTTTAATCCCTCTTAATCCCATTCCTTCTCAAGCAATCTCAGGATAGTAGCAAAATACTATCTCAAATTCCCAATCAACCCAACCCCAAGATCAATAAATTACCAGCCACTTCTTATCTAATTTCTACTATCTACTTAGTTACATCTAATTAGTTACATCTAAATACTTACATCTTATCTAATTACTATCATCTAATTATTTACATCTTATCTAATTTCTACTATCTACTTAGTTACATCTAAATACTTACATCTGATCTACATACTTACATCTTATCTAATTACCAACTAGACATCATAAAACCATTACAGAAAGACTAGATAAACGTTATATTGGGCTAGTATGTTTATTCATTTAAAGATGTGTGTGTATGTACGAGGTTATAAAAACCCGCTCGGTCGGTTTCTCTAGTATATATAATACTGCGATTGCGGAACTGGAAACGGTAACGACCTTCATTGTCGGCCAAAGGCGAATTGGGAACTAAAGGCATAATAACTGGGCTTTTGTCCATAGTTGAGGCTCTTTCTTCGGCCTGGACATACTGCCGCATGATTGGTGAACTTGGTGTGGCAATAGCAAACAGCTCACTAGCTTCAGAACAAGCATCACTAGCAAATGAATAGTCCTGGGCATGTACCATAGTAGAAATAGCATTGTAACAATCATCATACGACATTGAACTTGAAAGTAAAGGTGAAGAAGCAATTTCAGCCATTAGTGAACAGTCAGTCTTCTCACTGCCTTTATAACACAGTCCTTGTGGCTTAGGCAGGTCAGAACTTCTTTCTGGTTCAGAGAATTCACGGGGCATATACTCATTGTTGAAAAAGAATTGGGAACTACTGGACTCCCTTCCACTTTCTTCACGCTCACTATCCGATGCTTCTTTCTTGGACTTCTCTTTGGCCCGTTTGTTCTGGAACCAGATTTGGACACTCTTGAATGGTAGACCAAGAGCTTCGGCTAAATTCTTCTTGGTTTTCTGGGACGGATGAGTATCTTCATTATAGGCGGCATCCAGACTTTCTACTTGCCAGGCCTCTAACTTAATCCTGGGAGTTTTAGGGCCTTGCTTCTGAGTAAGACTTCTCTTGATTTCTTCCGTGAAATCGATAAAGCGAACTGAACGACTTTGAACTAACTGATGGGACATTATAAGATTGTTGATATTCTTTATAGGTCTCTTATATGTGTTTATATGTCAGAAAAGGAAATAAAAACCTTACCAAAATCTGATTATTTGTGGACAAATAAGGATATTTCCTAATTGGTTGTCAAATATTCCTTATAAGGAGATAGGTCAACTAGACCGCCAAATCCCTTGAAAGTGACCCAAACTCGAGTCAAGACCAGATCAGTACCTTTCTGATGCTCTACCAAGCACATAATAACACTGTCTCAACCTGTATTTCCTGGTATCTATCTTTATCTGAACTCAACGACCAATTTCCTTTTTGGGACAATCTAATTTAAAAACCAAGACCAATCCACACCAACCCAACCTAATCCAAACCCAATCCAATCCCAACTCAATCTCAACTCAATCCAATCTCACCCCATGTTAATTTCATTCTAATTCTAAAATCAATATAACACTTTAAGAACCCGGGATATCAAAAATGCAAATTAAAGAACCGAGTTGCCTAAAATGGCAAATTAAGTTATAAATTGAACTTGGAAGGCAAATAGCCGTGTTGGTCGATTTTAAGAATTGGATTAGGATTGGGATGGGATGGGTTGGGGTTAGTATTGGGGTTGGTATTGGTTTGGAATAAATAGATAAGAATTGATAGTGAACTAAAAATTACCATATATGGTAATTTAACTGACCCAATATACATTTAAATTTTCTTTTCAGATTTAGTATGGTATTTGGTAGTAATTCGCTTATGAAGACTAAAAGCGTGGAAATGTCGGGTATTAACTGTGTTTTGAAGAATATTGATGGTATTATTGGTATTTGTGATATGCTTCAGAGCTCTTATGGGGCTGATGGGATGTATAAACTAGTTGTGAATGCCCATCAGAAGACAATTATTAGTCGATCGGTCGCTTCTATCTTATCAGGATGTGATATTGAGCACCCAGCCCTGCGGATGCTAGTGGAGCCAGTTGCCCACTTGGCTCAACTTGGGGATTGTACTGGTTTCTTTATGGGCGTACTAGGAGAGGTACTAAAGAAGAGTGCTCTGCTGATTGAGCAGCAGGTTTTACCCACTGAAATTGCTAGTGGTTTGCGAGATACCTTAGCCGATCTCTCTGAAGTTTTTGATAAGGTTTCTGAGAAAGTAGAGTTTTCCCTAACTGATAAGGATGTTTTAGCTAAAGTAACTAGTGGAATTCTTAAAGAGGGAAAACTGGCCGATTTACTATCAGAGGCCATTGCCGGGATTAGTAAAAATGGATCTTTTGCTTTAGATAGTGTTCGTGTAACTAAGGTAGATACGGGATCAATGGAAGATTCCGAGCGTTTACCAGGTATGCTTTTAGAGATAGCCCCGGCTGGCACTGTTGAAATGGGCCAGAATTTAAAGACGGCGATTTATACCTGTCCTCTAGCAATGAGTAATTTAGAGACTAAGGGAACTGTTCTGTTCAAGAATGCCGAAGAATTAGCTAACTATGCCCGCGATGATGAGAGCACAGCTAGTGAATTTGTTGACTCAATAACGGCCAATGGTGTAGGCCTGCTTGTTTGCAGTGGATCCGTCGACCCTTTGTTACTAGACTTCCTGAATGCCAAGGGAGTGGCTGTACTGAGTGTCCACAGTAAGTTTGACTTGCGAAGATTGTGTCTTCTCTTTGGCGGGCGCTTTTCACACACGATGCGGCCTATGGAACCGGAATTTTTAGGAGTGTGCAACTCTTTGGAGATCTGTACATATGGCGATAGGCGGTACACTAAAATCACTGGACCCGGTCGAGTGAACACCCTAGTAGTGCGTGGCTCTCTACCAGCCCGTTTGGAAGAGAGTGAACGTCTAATTGGCAAGGCTACTTATGCCCTGCAAACATGTGCTAATGAATCCATGCGTACAGGTAAGCTACGTCTGCTTGCCGGTGCAGGTAAAGGCGAAGAGTTGTTAGCTGCTCAGATCAAGCAAGTAGTAGCTGATAAGTCAGATGCACAAAAGATTGCTGGCGGAGTAATTGCCGATGCCATGAAGACCGTTGGAGCCCGATGCCAGGCCCCAGACTATCCCGTGTATGACATAGCTGCCATTAAGCAGCGAGCTCTTGAGTACGCTCTGATTTTAGCGGCCGATATTCTAAGTGTCACCCAAATGTTTATCACCAAGAATGAAGATGCCCTCCAGGCGCCCAAACGCCCGGGCCACTGGGATGACTATGACTAACTGACCATACCAGGCCAAGTCATTACTAAACAACAGCAGCAATAAAGCTTACTCATCACATACTTTAATTAGGTCAGATTATTAGAGAGTATTTAATTACATCATATTGCATCATAGTACATCATATTACATCCTAACCCAACTCAACTCAATACGAAGTCCATCTTAACTAATACTTAACTAATACATACTCTATTAAAGGCAGTCTTTGAGATAAATGCCGATGCCGCTTATTAAGTAAATAAGGTTAAGTTGAAATAAGATGACATCATATTAAGTTGGCATTAGTATGAGTATTGAGTTGAGTTGAGTTGAGTTGGGTAGTGGTCGTATGACAGCACTACAATTACATCCTATTACATCTTATTACATCCTAACCTAACTTAACTCAACCTAACTTAACCTAACTCAACTTAATACTAACTTATCTCTATCTTTATTGTTTCTTCTTGGTCACTCCAGTGAGAAGGTATTTGCCGGGCTCGTTCTTACTGGCTTTGGTAGTGCACCCAAGAGCTCGCATCACCCTAGGAACGTTGGCTGCTGAAATCAGCTTTAGAATTGGCATTGTCTCGCCAATGATAATCTCGCCATTCTGCAGTAACAACAGAATTACTATAATACGGGCAAAGACTATCTCTCTTTCTCGGAGCGACATAGAAACTTGTCTGGCCGTCAGTAAATCCTTTAGTGCTAATGCTTCTACAATCCGTTTAATTAACTCACTATGAATTGGAGTCAATTTCATACACAGATTAGCTACTGAACTCTTGTTCTGAAGAGTTAAGATACGGACTAATCCATCCATAATCAAAATCAACTCCAGCTGTTGTCGAGGCCAGACTTTTTGTAAGTACGGCTGAACTAGTTCCGAAACATTAAAGTACTCAGCCGGATCGATTAAATTGACTGAAGTAGGAATGTCCTGGAATAGTAAAGAAGGGTCATATCCTAAAATACAATCAGGAGTGTACATGTCTAATGGTTTTGTTGGGTTTGGGTGCTGTGGTGGTACAATCTCTACTTGTTGTAGCAGTTGGTCCGGTAAGATTTGAGTTCTTTTAGTCTGGTACAAGCTCTCATTATAACTCTCTAAACTAGTTCCTACGGACGCCATCAACTCACTTTTCTTGTGTCGCTTACTAAACGCATTCGATCCAAATTCTAAAGACAATCCGTAATTACTCAAAGGATTACCACCACTCTGCTCAACTATTTCCCTTTTTGGAATACTTTGGCATAGATAAAACGGTAAGACTTCAAAGGTCATTTTATGTCCATCTATCTCAATTACTCTTTTCTGTTCATTTTCTAAATCAGTAGTCTTTTCTTTATCTTCCACTTTCTCTTCTATTTTATCGGTGACGTCATCAATATCTACTCCAACGGCATAAATACAAGGCATATCTTGGACTTCTTTTGCTACATTACAAAAATAACTGTGCTTATCGTTCGTTTTAAGGACTTTTTCGCCATCTTCTTCAACTAACTCAAAAACACCACTTTTAATCGGTGAAACGATAGCTCGAAATGTCGTCATCTAATGTCTAAAGAAATATTTTACTTATGGTCAGAGATTCAACTTCCAATCTTGCCTTAATTACCTCTACTCAACCCAACCCAGGAGTAAGTAAGTCCTTAAAAAGGGCTATCTTCTCATTTGTTAAAAGAATAGACCGATCTGCTACCTACACATCCTACCAATTAACTCAAAAACTCCTTCAAAGACTTCAACAAACCAGTACTTCTTTTCAATCACCAAGTTCACCCCCTCCCCAAGCCAGTCCACATAATCAAGCAATCCATCTCTCACTCCCTCACCTTCCAGAAGTCCCGGCCATTCCCTTAATCTATCTTAAACACGCTCCACCTTCCCTCCGCACGCGAGTCTTCCGTGAAGGCCTCACCCAACGAATAAATGCCAATTACTAATTCAGCACCACTAACATGTACTTTCCCTAACTCCATTCCATCTCACATTAAGTTAGGTTTGAGTTAAGTTGTGATTGAGTTTGAGTTGAGTTAAGTTTTGATTGAGTTGTGATTGGGTTTGGTTTGAGTTAAGTTGGTATGTCAATTTAGGATCTTATTGGGTTGGAGTTTTGTCTTATCTCAACTTATCTTATCTCAACACAATCTTAACTTATGTTATCTCAACTTATGTTAAATCAACTTAACTTAAACACAACTTAACTTAACTTATCTTAACTCAACTCAACTTATCTTATCTCAATCTTAACTTATCTTAACCCAAACATATCTTAACCCAACCCAACTCAACCCAACTCAATACTAAACTAATAATAATCTAATCTAATTTAGCAATCTAAAAAACCTAGAGAAGTCTTCCTATTTGAAACTCAATTCCAAACACTTTAGTTTTTAGTTTTAGCTGTTATAATATTCTGATAATCAGCTGAAATTATGATGTAATTCAAAATAAACTATTTCAAAACAAACCAAACACTTCCTATCTTAACCCAAACACATAACTAAACACTTTACTTAATATAAGCAAGCACCTAGATGCATAAAAGGACCCTAAATTTAGGCTTCTTATTTGTTTTATTTTTGCGCGATATGCCCGAAACAATGAATAATCGAAACTCAAAAGGCCTTTCCTTTGAAGAGTATCAGGAAAAGAGTACTCAGAATCCTAAAATAACCGTTTCTGACTCAATCTCTCTTTTTGGTCTTTCTTCAGATTTAGCAAGTTACAGTGAAGAGATCTATGATATGTTATTGAGTCATTTACAACGTATCGAACGTGAAAAAGGAATGGGCGGGTGTGTATCTTTGTTACTAGATGTCTTAAAACAACCTCCTAAAACAGAAGTTCAATATGCCCAAATCAATTCAGTCTTAGAGATAGTAATTGCTAAGGCTAAGCAATATGAAGAGAAATGGATGCCTAAAGGTCTAGAAGAACCCAAACCTAAACTAGAACCTACCCCTGAAAAAACAGCTAAACCAGACTTATCTACTGAAACTCTCAAACAACCTTCACTGATTATTCGGCCCAACCGGTTTAACCTGCGCAAACTAGCCCGGAAAAGGCGGGAAATGAGGTTACAGGCCGAGAAAATGCAGAAGGCAGCTGAAGCAGAAGAGCCTGAATCAGAGAAGGCGGCCAAGACTCTAGAAGAAGTCTTACAACTGGGCAGTACTGGATTGATTCCTCTCTTACTAGACACAGCAGCAGGTATAGATTTGTTTAAGCTATTTTCTGGTGATTGGGAAAGCTTTCCTGCCCCAAACTTACAGATAGACTTTTTAGGACTGTTTTATACGTATTTGGAAATGCATGTAACCTTATCTTTGATTTTTGATAGGGAAATAGTTGAAGCAGATCGGATCAAAGACTTATCACAAGCTAATTATAAGGTCTTCTTACAACTGTTTGCTGGTGCTTTTGTGGAGGAGTTAATGACTGAGTTAGTAGTATCTTTTAATCTATCAATGTGTTTATCTTTATTGTTAAAGGGCAGTGCTCTACAGGACTGTTATGCATTATTCTCACAAGAGGGGATTAACTTGTTTTCTGAGCGGAGTATTTTAGGACTGCAATCTTCGGTTTTTAAAGTCTTAGGGCTTCTTTACTATAAAGAGAAGAACGAGACGATTTTAGATATTGTGTTATCTTTCTTTACTACGCAGTGTTTAGATGCCTACACGATTTTACAGCGGAAGAGCATTATTGAGAGTGCAGTGGATGCACTAGCTAAGTCAGTGGCAGAAGAGACTATTTTTCAGCTCATTAAGAAGGTAATGTATGCCTATGAAAGTGCTGCCCAGTACTCGGAAAGCATAGCCCAGATGATTTCTATTTTCTTATCATGTATCAAAACAAAAAGCAAAGATAAGATTAGGGAGATAAACGGGTTTTTTACTAAAATAATAGCCAGATCACCTAACAAAATCGAACATATTGAATCCTACTGCAAGTTCTTATCTGCCCATGAAATAGATGTACCTCTCCACCACCTTGTACGGCGTTATGACCCCCAGTTCATTGCTACGTTCTACTCCACTTACTTCCGGCATCCCTTTACGCTAGAGAAGGGTACTAAGGCCGTAGGAGACTTTATTAATTTTGTAAACAGCTCGGATAACTTGACTTATATCTACATTATGAATATGGTGCCTTTTATTCCTACTTCACCCTTTATCATTCATAAGTTGTTTTTGATTTACAAACGTATTTATGCTAATGCATCAGTCTTTCCTCGTGGGATTGAAACTGAGTTCTTACTTCTACGCATGAAAACTCCCGCCTTAGTAGGTATTGCTGGGTTTATCTTTAGCGATCCTAAACCGCTCCTTAAGAAGCGCGTTTGCCAAAAACTAGCCGAATCCGTTAAGATCAGCAAAAGTTTCAATGAAGACTATATCGTGTTTATGGCCCTTCTCTACTCTATTGAAAGAGCTAAACTGGAAAACTACAACTACAAAGGTATTCTTAGCTACTTGAAAGATGAAATCACACTTAAGTACCTTGAGAAACACCTTCTTCAGATCCTTAAAATGGTCCATCAAGAGGTTTCTCTTGAGTCCAAAGACTTTACACGTACTTATGCCTGTGAACTTCTCCAGATAGCAGCTAGTAATACGGCCTACCCTCTTTCTTTGCGTATTATTGCTGAGATTCTCCAGATCCTCTTTGAAAAGGAGCCCTCGATTGTCTTCTCAGAAGAGTTGCACATTCGATTCCGTGAGGCCTTTGATACCTTCCGTACCCGAGAGTTTTCCCTTTATCGCACCAAAGATATCTTCCAGATGTTTTCAGTTCTTTATGGTGCCATTCTTAAAAAGCTCAAGGAAGAAGTCATTGAGGCTTACAATTACGTTGTGCTTAATATTGTTGATTTAGGGTTATTCCATGCTTTACCGGTTATGCGCGATGAACGGGGTATCAAAGAACTTTTAGATAGATCTAACTTGATTATGCAGGCCATTCGTGAATTCCCCAGTACAATCATGCAAGGCACTGAGATTTGGGAGTGGCTCTACTCCCTCTGTGTCTGCCGACCTCTCCCTCGAGGTGTAGCAGCCAGTACACCTTCTACCGCCCAGAAGACACCTTTAACCGAAGAAGAGTACAACCATCTACTCTATATCATTAACACCGAATGGATTGGCGATCTAATTACACTACGTGGTGATGTACCAGGTATTATTGAGAATGCCCGTAACTACTTGCGCTGGATTCTCTCTGAGGAGTACTTCCTAGAGACTTTAATGGTACTCTTAAGAGTCTCTAATCGGGAAGAGAAGAAAGAGTTGCTTAAACGAGCTGTACTCAAGGGATACAGTGCCCGAGAAGATACTTCTGTCTACTATGAGTTGTACAAAGCCGCTAAAGGCACCTTCTATGAGTATCCTCTTTCTCAGACTTATAACTTCCTTAGTGCCTTAGAGGGAAGCAAGAAGTACTTAAAGCCACGCGAGTTACGCGAACAAGAGTTGTACGAACTAGAGATTGATGAGTTAGTCTTTCTAAGCACAGAGTACAATCTCAAGAAAGTAGCAGCTGTCCTGATGAAGAAGCAAATTGTATGCTGTTGTGGGTTCTTTTTAGATGCGAACAATCTATCAGTGATTGAAGCCTTATCAGTGATTGCTAATTCTGAGGACGAGCAAGAGATAGGCAAAGCCTTTAGTCGGTTGGAGAAAGAAGAGAGTGACTCAGGTCCAGGTCTAGTCTTTTATGTGCCCCAGATTGTGCAGTTACTTCGTAAGACCTTCCGGAAGAACTCAGCTGAGATCAAAACAGCTCTCCTGCGCATAGTGAAGAACAAAACAGCCCATGCGATTATTTGGGAAATCAAAGCGCAAGGCCAGGCCGGACTAGAGGAGTACGAAAACTTGATTATGCAAGAAATGGAGCCAGAAGCCCGTGAGCAGTACAGTAAGGTAGCTACTTTTCTACAAAACTTCGCGGACGTCTCAGGCAGATTGAAGCAGTATGTTTCTCTTGATCGCGATAGGAAAAAGGCAATGATTAACCAAGAGATTTCCCAGGTGACTTTCCCTGAAGGTTGTTATTTGCCAATAACGGGCGAAACAGTTATTCGTGTTGTGGAAGGCTCAGGGAAAGCCTTACAAAGTGCGGAAAAGGTTCCGTATATGGTTACTTTTAAGGTGCAACGACAAAACTCTGATGAAATCATTGATCGTTCTGTTATCTTTAAATTTGGTGATGATTGCCGACAAGATGTGCTAGCCTTACAAATCATTCGTCTCTTCCAAGAGATCTTTGAAGAAAAAGGTCTATCAGTCTATCTCTATCCCTACAAGGTTTTAGCTACTGGTGATGGCTGTGGTATTATTGAAGTGATTCCTAAGGCTGTTTCTCGTGATCAAATAGGTCGGGAGCGAGTGAACAACTTAGTGGACTACTTTGCCTTGAAGTATGGATATCGCGAGGGCCACAAGTACGTTGAGGCTCTTAAGAACTTTGTTGAGTCTTTTGCCGGGTACTCATTAGTCACTTATATCCTTAATATCAAAGACAGACATAACGGTAATATTATGATCTCTGATGATGGCCATCTTATTCATATTGATTTTGGGTTTATGTTTGATATTTCACCAGGAAACATTAATATTGAAAGTCCAATCAAAATAACTGATGAGATCTTTTCCTTACTAGGTGGGGCTGAAGGAGAAGCTTTTGCCCTTTACAAAGACCTTATGATTCGTGGGTTCTACCTTCTACGCAAAAAAGCCCGCGACATTATTCTTATGGTTGATTTAGGGAGACACGGCGGTCTACCTTGCTATACTTCAGCTACCATGAGCAATCTTATTTCACGTTTCCGCCTTGACCTGAAAGACCATGAAATCCCAGAGTTCGTCAAGAACCTTATTGGTTCCTCCACCAAGAAACTTCGTACTTGGATTTACGACCAGTACCAGCACCTCACCAACAACATTGCCTTCTAATATACACCCAAACACACCCAATACTAATCCAAAGCAATCCATTAATAAACCACTATTATGTTCACATAAACGCATAAGTTTAAATGACATCATCATTCATTCTATTCACAATACACCCATCCAATTGTGTTAGTATTTGATTGTGTTGGTATTTGATTGGGTTAGTATCAACTTAGTATCAACTTAATACCAACCTAACATAACTCAACTTAACTCAATCCAATATCAACCTAGTATCAACTTAACCAAACCCCACTCAACTTAACTCAACTCAATCCAATATCAACTTAACTCAACTTAATATCAACCTAACTCCACTTAACTCAACTTAATACTAACTCAATAAATGCTAACCCAATTTATTTTGTATTATGACGACAACCCGCACTCCTAATGGTATTATGGCTAAAACTAGCCTAAAGATCTACAATAGCATTACAAAAGAAAAGGAGGTATTGAAGGTAGAAAATTCAATGCTTAAATGGTACACTTGCGGACCGACTGTTTACGATTCAGCCCACTTAGGACATGCCCGTAGTTATGTTCAACTTGATAGTATTCGCAAGACTCTTGAACGATACTTCAACTACCAAATTACTTATATTATGAACATTACGGACATTGACGACAAAATCATCATTAAGGCCCGAGAGGTAGCTAAGAGTCTTAAAGAAGCACCAGGCACTCAGATTGAGCAACTAACCCAGCAGTTTAAACAATGGGCTATTTCTGCCAAATTAGATACCGAAGAACAAGAATTAATCCATTATGCAGTTAAAGAAGTTAGTCGTAAATACGAAGAAGAGTTCTTTGAAGATATGCATGCTTTAGGTGTAGCCCGTCCAACATACACTACTCGAGTTAGTGATTACATCGAAGAGATTATTCAGTTTATTACTAAGATTGAAGAAGAAGGCTTTGCTTACCATGCCCAAGGTTCAGTCTATTTTGATACTAAGGCGTACAGCCAGAAGAAGCAGTACCCTTTAATGTGCCCTGTCCAGAGCAGCAGTCAGCAAGACTTATTGGAAGAAGGTGAAGGTAAACTAGGCAGTGAGGGCAAGCGCAATAAAGAGGACTTTGTCCTCTGGAAGGCTAGTAAGAGCAATGAACCGGCATGGCCTTCTAAATGGGGACCAGGTCGACCTGGCTGGCATATTGAGTGCAGTGCTATGGCAGCTAATATTGCTAATGGCCGGATTGACTTGCATTCTGGTGGAGTTGATCTGACGTTCCCTCATCATGACAACGAGATTGCTCAATCAGAGGGTGCTGGAATTGAAGACTGGGTTGGTCATTTCTTGCATACGGGTCATCTTCATATTGATGGACGTAAGATGAGCAAGAGTCTGAAGAACTTCGTGCAAGTCAAAGAGATGCTTAAGAGTGGTACAGCTCGTGAACTGCGGATGATGTTCCTTTTACAAAGCTACCGGGGTCCGATGACTTATGGTGATGAGGCTTTGGAACGGGCTAAGACAGTGGAGAGACGTATTTTCCGGTACATCTCTCTCTATCCTGAAGATGAGAGTGAAACCACTACGGCTCCCTTTACTGCTAAAGAGCACGAGATTTTGAAGCGATTTGATGAACTAGTTTTGGAAATTGATAGTGCATTGAAAGATGATTTTAACTTCCCACGGGCCTTAGGACTTGTGCAAGACTTGATTACTGAAGCTTCAGCAACTACCAGCCGGCAAATCAACCAGCAAATTGCTAAATACATCAGTCGAATCATGCACGCTATGGGTTTAGAAGCAGTTACACAATCAGCTGACTCAGCAGTACAAACTGAACTGATTTCAGTTATTTCTAACTTCCGCAATACGGTTAGACAACTCACCAAAACATCAGCTGAGAAAAAAGCATACTTCATGGCCTGCGACACTCTAAGAAGTGATCTTGCAGCCCTTAACATTATTGTTGAAGATGCAGCTAACCCTCAAGAGGGTTCTTCCATTCGAAAACAATGCTAGGTCTTTTAAACCAGCTTGACTTTATTACTTGAACTTTTGTCTTATTACTCGGGTAGTATCTCTGGAGGAATCAGATTATTTTGATAGTATTTCTGGAGCACAACTAGATAATAAACTTAATTTAAGCAAGTGTTAGTATTTGAGTTGGTATTTGGATGGGATGGTATTTGAGTTGAGTTGAAATAAGATAAGATAAAGCTATATGGTAATATTAAGGCACTGCTAGCCTAATTGGGTTAGTTTGGGGCTACCCTCTTTTGGATAGCCTTAATCATTCCCGCAATGCTATGATCTGGTTGATGAACTAGATAATAGATGGCCACACCCAAAATCACAATTACAGATATAATTGCTAGGATTTTAAACCTATGGGAAAGTAGACCCACAATTAACGACTCAGGATTAGTAGCACTATCAGCAAACAAAGCATACACCATTATGAGTAAGGAGATAACAAATAGACTAAACTTAACCACATTGATAATAACTGCCTGTGGCCAATCAGCCGGACACCAGGAGCGTATTCCTAATTGAAACAGTCCAAATAATAACCCAATAATCAAGAAGACAATACAGCTAATCCCAAAAATTATCAAACCCTTCATCACGCGATACCATAATGAATGCCCTTTGTTTCCTCGAGATAAAGTCAGGTAGATATAAAGCAAACTAAGAACTATTAAAATAGAACAAACCCACATATATCCGTATGCCACACTCGCAACAGCATTTTTAACCTTTGCCACGTCATCAGAGAACTTAGCGTAAAAGAACAGCTCAAGAATTGGATAAATATTTAGGGCTAGCCAAGTAGCCATTGCAATGCCACCCAGCTTATTAACCAAAGGTATACGGCCTAACTCTCTTAGCGCCTGGCCAAAAGTGTTCTTAATGGGATCGTCTAGATTTGGCCGATTTAAATAAGGGAGAGTAACCGGGTCCAATACCTTATGCCAGCTCTGTTGCGCATTTATATCTGAATCAGGGCCATTTCCCGGTTTAGGAGGCAGGGTTATAGTTGAATCGAAATTATTGGTTGGGTTTTGCGTTAATTGCTCAGCAGATTCATGTAAAGGGGTCTTAACATAATAATTATCATTACTAGTGGGTCTAAAAGACATTCAGGTAAAAATTAAAGAAGCTTAGCTTTTATACATGTATTTTCCTAAAAAGGTAATTTTTAAAGTATGACGTAAGTCCTTTAAATTTCTAAAAATGGTAGTCAAAATTTAATTTCCTTTTTGGGTAATTTCCTCTTCCTAATCCAATACTAACCAAATACCAATTTAACTTAACTTCAAAACAATTTAAAGACCAACACACTTACACAGCCAGATAGCAGTAAAACAAACAGACCAAAATACCCACCCCAACCATAGCCAGTATAACCACCAAGTTCAACCGCCGCTTCCTTTCAATAACAAACACACCATCGCCATCTCTACTCATACTCATTAAAAAATCAAAAGCTACTCCGATAGAAATTAACTCAACCAAGTCACATTCACCTAAACCAAATACCAACTCAATATCCAATACCAACCACTCTTCTACTCACTTTACTTCCAATACTAACCAATCCTAACCAGACTTCACCCAATTCCAACCAACTTCAACCAAAAGCATGATTAGCCTCGTCAAAATCTTCAAAATCATCAAACTCTCCATCCTCTACACCTTCCCCTGGCATATCTGCCCGATCCGACAACTCTTTAAGCAAAGTCTTCATAATCTTATTCGTACTCCGCACAACTCCTTCTCCTCCACAAGCACTACACTTCTGTAGAACACTTTTACGTGAAGGCGAACAAAAGAGTACTGTTTCGGGATTCCGGCACTCCTTACACAACACCAACTCATCAATAAAGTTAAACAAGTATTCCTGGACACGTTCCTTATCATGTGCACCATTAATAATATACTTAGCATTCTTATCATCAATACTTGAAAGAGTTCCCATCTCATAGGATAAGTATTTAGTTAAGATCTTTGGGTCCCTATTTAAGCTCTTAGCAATGTCCTCAATATTCACTAGTACTGTTTTTATACCATTCCCACGACCTTCTATTTTCACAATATTAGATGGCATTTTATAACGATAAAATGCATCAGATGAACTTCTGTCTATGTTGATACTCTTCATATTACACTAAAAAAAAGAGGCGCAGATTGGGTTAGTATTGTGTTAGTATGTGTTTAGTATGTGTTTGGGTTGTGTTGTGATTGGGTTGGGATAGTATGGTATGTGCTAGTAGGTTTAGGTTGGCTAGATTAACCTGACTTAACAAATTCAAAACCTAATACTATCTTAATATGACGTAATACAATCTTAACACTATCTTAATATGACGTAACACTATCTTAACACAACTTAATACAACCTTAATACCATCTAAACTCAACTTAATACTATCTTACTACTGACATAATACAATACCATCTCACTACTAATACTATCTAAACTCAACTTAATACAACCTTAATACAATCTAAACTTAACCCAATACAATCTTAACTTAACTCAACCCTATCTTAACTTAACCCCATCTTAACTTAACTCAACTTAACCTAATCTAAACTTAATATAATACTAACAGAACCCAATTTATTCATCTGGAGCGGCAATCAATTCCACGATATCTTGAATAATATCCTTATACATTGATTCATTTTCTTTGATCCGATCTAGACTTTCATCAATCCAAACTTTAATCTCCTTTTCAATAGCTAGAATCTTTTGAATACATTCATCACGATACATCTTAACTTCACGATCTTTGGCTTCCATAAGTGTATTTTCATGCTCTTCGGCCGTTTTGATAGTCAATTCTTTCAAGCGCTCTCTCTCCTTGCGTGCTTCTTGAATAAGCTCTCGAGCCTTCTTATCTGCCTCAGCTAAAGACTTGAAACTCTCGTTGTTCATGAAAATTCTGAAACAAAGAATTTGGACTTTTGATTGTCATTGGATATTACCATATCGAGACATAACAAAACCAAATGGAAAGATTTTGTTCTTTTCATGGAGACTCCTTTAGAATCTCATTCGGATAACTTAAGTTTAGAGGAGCCAGTTGAATTTATTAAGCTTTTTGAACTCGTTTCGGCTGGTGACTTAAAGAGTATTAAGAATGCTTTGTGTGTCTACGAAATAACTCATGGGAAAGTGTTTAATTTACGGATTGTTAATAAGTATGGGTTGTACTTGATTCATTCGGCCGCTTATTATGGACAGAGGGAGACAGTTGAATTTCTTCTCTCCTCTGTAAGTGAAGTAGAAGAACGAGATACGACTATGTATGAGGCCATTACTTCGGATAATTTGTCTTTTGAAAGTAATGATACAGAAATGATGTCAAACGAATCAAAAATCGTACCTATTACATTTGGTCATGCTAAATCTCCTTCCAGTTTTATTAATGTCAGATCTCTAGATCAAGGAGCTACTCCCTTGCACTTTGCGGCTATGGGGGGTAATAAGAACAATATTATACTCTATTTGTTGGCCTGTGGGGCAGATCCTCGTTTGAAAGACATTAAGGGAATGACTCCGCCAGAACTAGCTAGAGCCCATGGCCACAAGAAGACCGAAAAGACCATTCGGAAGTACATTCAAGCTATCAATAGCAAAATGTCACATTAAGTTAAGTTAGTGTTGAGTTGAGTTGAGTTGGTATTGGGTTGAGTTGAGTTGGTGTTGAATTGGTATTTTGATTGCCAAGATAGCACAATAAGAATAAAGATTAAGTTAAGATTAAGTTGGTTTGGATTGGATTGGGTTTAGATTACGTTGAGTTTATATGAATGTTTAGATCGACTTAGATTAGTAGTTAATTTAACAACAAGATAATATTCATAAGATATCAACACAACACAACACAACTTAACACAACTTAACATAACTCAATTATAGGGCAAACTCGCGCTGTTGGACTTTCATGAGGAGAGTGTGGTGGCTTGGAGTGGCACACGTATCGGGGGCAAAGCCATTGAGAGCAGTGCACCAGTGCGGGTCTTGTTCTAGCCCCGAGTAAGCAGCTTGGGCATCAACTAAATTAACCATAGCTACAGAAAACACTCCCTCCTCTTCTCGTTGTACACGGTCAACTTCACCATACTTGCTCAGAACGGATTCAATTGTGGCTGGAGCAATATTGTTAGTCGGTCTTAAGGAAAGTGTTCTAGTGACTCCGGCATACGCAAAGATAGGAATAGCCGGTATAATAGGTTGAACCTTACCCGGTCCTATCTTAACCTGCACCCCACGAATAACCGGTGGATACAAATTACTATACTCAATAAAAGCATTAGCTGCTACATAATCAAAGAAGGTCACAAACGCACACTTCTTCTCACGAATAACTTTCAGACCAATTACAGCCCCGCCCTGAACTACCGCTAAAATCTCACTAGCTGTTACATCAACGGGCAAAGACCCAAAATAAACCGTCCGATTATGACTGATCACTCCATCTGTCTCACCCGCTCCACACATATCACGACCAAATGCCACCCTTACTTTTTCAAACAAGCTATCTTCTCTAATACTACTCGCGAACTGCATAGCCGCAAAGAAAGAGAAGAACTCAATGTAACAACAATGTCGATCGCGTAAGTATTTAAGTGCTTCAATTTCACCGAATTTCTCAGCCTCTTCACTTAAGAACTCACCAGTCATAAAGTCTTCCAAACCCGATAGAGAAACACTACGCGTTCCACCAGCTGCATGGGCTAAGTAAGCCCGTTTACGATCAGCCTGAGAAATCGAGCTAGTTTGAGGTTCAGGCACAACCATAACATTTTCAATACTTACACCGTCTCTGATTCGCATCCAGATCTTGAACATATCAAAATAAGAGAAGAATGTGATTAGTATTCCTTCTGGTTTTCGCTCAATCGCTAACAAATCCGCACCTTTAATCACTTTTAGAACGGCCAAAGCGGATACATTTGAGTCTACTCTAAATAAAAGCGCAATATAATCTCCCATCTCTTCGGGAGTCTTCGTAATTACAGCTAATTCGGGCTTCTTCTGCATCTGTTTTGCTAATTTTTCATTTCGGAATGTATAGACACGCAATCTACCTCGGGGGATATCTTGTTTTACTTATCGCTGCTTGTATTAGCCACCACCGCTCGGGCAAGACTTTATACCATGTTTTAACTGAGATTGTTGAGAATCGAGTTGAACACTTCATTTTCTGCTCTTTATTGGTCTATTTAGTGTACATTATGGGCCGAGTCATGGTCAAAACCTTCATTGGCAAGTTAACTCCATTGGAGGTAGAAGGTGTGCAAGAAAGTAGTTTAAAATACTTAGGGAATATCTGTTTGGTTATTACTTTATTTGCTGATGATATTGGTCTGCGGGGTTTACTGGTCTTCTCAGTAGTCTTTGGACTGAAAGTAGTCCATTGGGCAGTTGGTCTAAGAATAGATTCAGTAGATAAGGGTGTAGTACGTCGAGATAGTATTTGGCGGTTGTATGGAATAAGTGCTATTCTGTTTTTGGTCGATGGATTGCTTATGTCCAAGACTTTGCGTATGGCTATTCAATCTCCAGGCGTGAATATTCTCTTTGCTTTTGAATTTTCGTTGTTATTTGCTTACATCATTAAGTGTATATACTCTTTAGGAATAATAAGTCTGGCGGAAGGCGGAACAATTGAGGATCGGATTCTTTTGATGTTTTATGGTGAGTTGTTCTATGGGGTGTTCAGAATAGTAGTACATGTGCTTTGTTTTATTTGGACTACAGTTAATTTCCGCATGCCAATTAATTTGTTGCGTGAATCAATGTTAATTGTGAAATCACTAACGGCCAAGGTCAAGTCAACCCTAGCTTATACGGCCCTATTGAAAGAACTAGAGAAGTATCCTAATGTTCCTAAATCTGAAATAACAGATGATGGATTGTGTCTTATCTGCCACGATGAAATGGAAGTAGCCAAACGACTGGAGTGTTCACATCTCTTCCATCTGGCCTGTTTAAAAGAGTGGCTCCATCGGCAGCAGTCATGTCCCGTCTGTCGTACCGAAATTAAACCCAAACCCACCACTACTCCATCCAATAATACCACCACCACTCCAAATAACAGCACTACCACGCCAAACACTGCTACAGCAAGCACAACAACCACAACTAGCAGCCGGGCAGAGTCCATCTTAGCCAGTTACTTCCAACCCGAAAGCGATGATTTTGAAGGCGTAGCCGTCAGTCTCCAAGACTAACCATCCAATACCAACTTAATAGTACGACTAACACTTAATGCCCACTACTACCACCACCACCCAACACCACCACCCAAACCAACCCAATACTAAACCAACTCAACCCAATACTAACTCAACACCAACTCAATTCAATACTAACTCAATTCAATTTAATACATTATAAACGCATACTATACTATCCTCTTCTTTTACGTCGTCTTTCTTGTTCTTTGACTACTGATACGCGGCCAGGAGTGTCGTAAGCAAACACGTGTTGTGACAGCCACTCGCCTGGTGGGATCAGACTAATTTTTGGCCCTGTTCTAGGTACAGTTACTTCTAAAGATTCATTTTGCAACATAATTTTGATTTGGCGTAAGATCTCTTCTCTAATGTAGAAAGAGAATAAAGTTAGTAATTCACCTTCCGGCAACCCATAAGTCAAAAATAAATCACGTGCATACACTTCGGGAGTGTTTCCTATGGGCAGTCGAAAGATAAGCCAGTCCTCTATCTTTAAAAAGGTCTCTACTTGAAAGTCTAAATGTACTGGAATTCTTCCTAAAGGAAAGCGCACACTAAATACGGCCAGATCTGATGTGTATCTTTTTAACTGCGTATCTATCTCTGAATGTAAACGTGAACAAAGACTTTCTTCTACCCCGGTAAGCTCTTCCCTTTCACTAACCCCAGGAAACATAGTAAGAATATTAGCCAGAAAATAGGCTAAGGAATACTTAGAGGCATTAATAAAGACAATTTCACTACTTTGGGGCGTGCCTTCAGAGATAGAAACACGAATGGGAAAGAGATCCATGACTGCAGAAAGAAAATAATATTTATGTCCGATCAGTTATTATAAATAGACCTCTCTATTTGCTATCTATGTGGGATAATAGGTTGAAGCCTAAGAACAAATCAGCGGTGGGAGAGAAAAATGGGGGGTATCCTGGTGGCAGAAATCCATTGGTGGTGTTACCCCGTATGATCAACGAAGGTCTAGAACCGAGCAAGCAAAGTTTAGATAAAAGACCTGTTCTAGGTCCTATTACACGGCCAAGTCGAGTTATTGCGATAGAAGGTATTGATGGGGCTGGATTGGGTGGTGTGGTTGGATTGGGCAAGGAGATTGGTCTGAGTGCTGAAATTGGGTTGGGCAGTGGTTTGGGGTTGGGTCGGCAATGGGTAGTGTGTCTGGGCTGTAAGAAGGATAATCGGTGTGTGCGCTGTATCTGCATGAGTGGAATGGGTGGCAGTACTGGTGGAATGGGTAGTGCTGGGGAGTTAGGTGTGAGTGTAGGAGAAGATTTTGTGGATGCGGCTAAGAATGGACTGGGTGAAGGTGGGAGTGAAGATAGTGAGGGGGAGGGAATAGTAGGAAGTGCGGGTGAATGGGGAGTTGGCGAGCGTATGGAGTTGTGCCGGTTTTGTGACCAGAACAAAAACTGGGTCTTGGAAACGGTGCAACGTGGGTACTTGGTGCGGTTTGCCGGTTTGGCCGATGCTATTGGGTTTTATATGGCCCATCGGTCGGTACTAAGACTGGCCTGGGCACGTGGGATGAGTAGTTTAGGGTTTATGGGGCAAGTGAACGAGAGTGAGGTAGGGGTGAGTCCAAAGTTGCAGATCTTACAGAAAGCCTTCTCGGTGTACGGACCTGGATGTAAAGCAGCACCACTTATGGACGAGTCCTTTCCGGCTGACAGTCCAATAAGCGAGAAAACAGGCGTGCTGTACACTGAGACAGAACGGACCAATGGCTTTGTTTATCAGGCCAGTGGGCGACACTCGAATATTACGCTGCAGGCTAAACTGCGCGGTCTTTCACAGAGCCAGTTGTTAGCAACGATTCAGAAAGTGCCATCACCAACCTTTTACTTTTTGTCAAAGCACAAGTATGGAACTTATGTCATTCAGTTGGTGATTGCGATGGCTGAGGACGAGAGTTTAGTGTTGGAGATAAAGAAGCTTTTGTTTCCGCACGCCTCAGCTTTACTACAGCACAGCATTGGGAATTATGTAGTTCAGAAGATGCTAGTTTTTGATGTTCGATTTGTGTTAGATTGTTTTTTATCTGATTTTGAAATGATTTTGAAAAGTAAGATAGGCGCACGGGCATTTAAAAACTGTGTCAAGAGTTTTATTCCTTACAAAAAAGAGATCTTGCCTCAGCTGTTGCTTATCATTTCTGGGAATATTCTCTTGGAAGAGCAGAAGATCCTTAAAGCTGTGTATAGAGAGCTTTATGGAAGCTTTAAATAGGTTTAGTTAGTATTGAGTTGAGTTAGGTTAAGTTGATGTAGTAGAATGTGTAAATAAATCAGAGCACGTAATTGGTTGTTTTGCTGTGTTTGTTTAGATTGTGTTGGGGTTGTGTTAGTGTTTTGTTATGATGTGTTATGATGTGTTATGAGGTGGTTGGGTTTAGTTGAGTTTGGTTGAGTTGAGTTGGGTGGAGATTGGGTTTAGTTGAGCTGGGTGAAGATTGGGTTTGGGCTGTGTTATGATGTGTTATGATAAGGTTAAGTTGAGTTGGGTGAAGATAGCGATTGAAAGTGTTTAATATCTTGTTTATTGGGTTAGTGTTGCGGCGGTTACTGGGCATACTTGGAAAGAAGAAGCATGTTTTTGAGCTCGCGAGTGAAGACGATTTCTAGGAGGGCGTCATCTTCAACTAGACAGTAAGGCAGACCTAGCATTTCCAAATACTTGCCAATTACGACTTCGCCTACCATGACCTTAACTGATCGCATTTCCTTGATCTTGTTCCCACTGCCTACCACTAAAAGCAGTGTATTGGGCAATAGTCCGGGAGCTTGCATGCTGTCGTAGAAGAGACCGTCACCGATGATAATATTGTGGCCGGTGGCATACTGCTCTTCAAAGGCCCAGGAAATACGTGTCTCTTGAGCGGCAAAAGTAAGATTGTCAACCAGACCCTTAATATTGTGGTGGGCCTGTACGGTCGTGCTAAAGGTGTAAAGCTCATAGGAAACCGAGAGAAGATCGAGAGAGTTGGCGATCGTAGTAAGACTGCTGATCAAGGGAATAGCCATGCCATTGTTTTTGATGCTTCCACTGTTATCCACAAAGATACGAATGAGATACTCTCGGCCTTGTGTTTTGGTTTTGCGCATCCAAATCCGGTTCTTCTGTCCATTACTGGCTACATAGGAAACGATTCTTTTCATGTTCAGTCGTCGACCACTTGCATAGTCGCCTTCATAGGAAGTCTTCTCGTTCTCTTCCAACACAATACCTAGCTGCTTAGTTAGCTCTGGATTGGTCTGGTGTTTGATACTCTCATAGTAAGTGGCTGGATCAACATCTCGGACGGGCTTTTTGAAGGCGGCTTTGCGGAGAACTTCTTTGGGCTCGGTTGGTGTAGATGGATTGTCGTAAAGCTCGTCTGTATCAATGGCTTGGTCATTAAGAGTCTCGCCGCCTTCTGCAGCTACTTCGCGTTCAGCGCCTTGTCCTTCTTCATGGCCAACCTGGTCGTCGGATGGCATATTCTCGGCATCTTCAAAGAGCTGCTCTGTGTTGGTTTCGGCCTCTTCAAAGCTGTAGTGGTGGAGATTGGTTTGGTTTTCTTCGCTGTCGTATTGCTCAATAGAAATCTCTTCGCTACTGCTTTCTTCGGAAAGGAGTTCTAGTCGATCTAGAGACTCTTCGTTGAGATCACAGTCTTCGGCTTCTTCAAGAGCATCATGGCTGAAATCAGAGGGTTCGTCACTGCACACTTCCATTTCCTGGATGTGCATATCGTCGCGCTGATCGGGTAGTTCGGGATCTATATCTACTTTTTGTGGGTCTTCTTCTTCACCTTCACTTGGGTTCGGGTCTTCTTCGGAGCCTTGGGTGCTGCCGTCTGAACCATTTTCGTCACTTTCTTCTTCGGGAGTGCCTTTGTCCTTCTCGGAATCATCCTCTGCGGGTGCTTCTTTGTTGCGCTGGTTGTAGTTCTCTTCGTTCTCGGATACACTGCCTTGTTCCAGTTCGATGTCTGGAGTCTCTTCGGCCCCGGCTGTGGTTTGAACTTCGCCTTCATTCTGGCAGTCTACGCCGTCTTCTTCGTTGATTTCTGTTTCTTGCTCGTCCTTTTCTCCTTGGTAGTTATCACCGACTTCTTCTTCGGTCTTGAGATTTTCAGAGATGTTCTTCTCGCCTTCGCCTAGACGCATACCTGCATCTTCTAGTTCTTCGATCAGGCCATCAAGCACGCCTTCGTCTTCGTCTTCTCCACAGAAACCGAAAGTTAGCAACTCGTAGAAGAGACCTAGTGAAACTAAGAGGAAGGGATATTCTTCGGGTGGGGCGGTGTTGAGGGCATGATTGAGCACGCGCACTGTGAATTCAGAAAGACGAACGGCTATTTGGTGGGTGATATTTGGCTCTGTGCGCAGGATGCTATCTCCCAGATGAATGATTTTAGCGAGGAGTTGGTGGGCGGCTGGGGTGCCGGTGAATTGGTGGTGGTAGAACTCAGCGGCACCGGGGATGGTATTGCGTGAGGTGGTGCGGGGCATGAGGGAGGAAAGTCGTTCGAAAAGAAGATAAAGCTGGCGGAGTTTGATACTGGTGCTTTCCTTCTCTAGTTGGGCCTTGCGTTGTTGGACTGTTTGGGCAAGACAGAGATAGCAGGTATCTGCGGCGCATTTGCAAGAAAGATCAAGAGTGTTAATAAAAGTATGCGGTTTGATAAGTGTAAGAATAGGTGTGGAAAGAGAGTCGAGTGAGGTTTGAACTTTGACGGACTTGCTAAGAATGGACTCTTCCCGGATGGGAATGATGGCATCTTTTGTTTTGATTTTTACGGCTAGCGCCGTTTGAATATCAGCTAGGTCCTTGTTGATGGCTTCTGAAATGCGCTCTTTCTTCTTGTGGGTGATTTCTAGGTAAGGCTGGAAATACACTTGGATGTTGTTGATTTGGTAGGGCGCGCCTTGTGTGACAGCATGGGCAACGTGACTAACTCTTTCTTGCATATCACCTAGGGTGGACTGGAGGAGGAATTCTTCAATGGCGAGAATGAAAGTCTTGATTTGGGATGGGTGCTGGGTGGCTTGGAAGAGATGGAGAAGCCAACCGGGATGGACTTGAGTATACTTAGGCATGTCATAAGCCGATAGACTGGCAAACTCTTTGTAGATCTGCATACGGGCTGTGTTAAGCGGAGTAGAAAGAAGGCCAATGTGGATGCACTCGTGGTTGAGTTTATCGAGGTCTTTGGCAACTACTTGGAGAGGTAGAGAACAGGGAAGTGAGAGAACTTCTTGCATTCTTTCGAGAACGTACTGTCCGGCCCCGTCTTCTTCTTTCCAAATGTTAGTGGAGTCTTGACAGTCTTTGGCTAGTTTGTTTTTGATCTCCTTCTGTGTATCGGTAATAAGAGTAATAATGGGAAGGGGAGTAAAGACTGCGGGTAGTTCGTTGGCTGTTTCATAGGTAAGACAGAGTCCTTTGGGCTTCAGGGATGTTGCGGTAGTGAAAAGAGTATCTATATCGCGGGAGAGAAGATAAGCCCGGCCTTCGGGGGCAAGTGCAGGATACTTGGCGCTAAGTGGGCACTCAAGCAGAATACTGGCGGCTAGTTGACTGATCTCTTCGGGCGTGCGTATGCCTCCTGATTGGACAGTCCAGAAGTGAGCGACTGCCTGGGCTTGGACTGGAGTTAGAGAGAGGTAGGATAGACCTTGTTTTTGGAGATACTGGGTGGTTTTGCGAAGGAAATGGAGGGGTGAGTGGCGGGCAGTAAGTGCGTCGAGGGCCCAGGCGCCAATTGGATGCACCTCGCGGTGCTCTTCTCGCTGGGCAATGCGCTCAATGCCGTCGCGAAGTACCGTGTAGGCAAAACAGTCCCAGAGATCGGCGTACTTGGCCATGTTTCTTTGTACGATTGAGAAGGCAAAGGCTTCGGGGTGGGGGGCATTTTGGACTTCGTGGATGACGCCTTTGAGGTACTCGGCAAACTTAGGGAAGTTACGGTCTTGGCGTTTCTGGCGAAGTTCAGCTAGGGAAGTGGAGTTGGAGGTGGATTTAGCTGGGCTGGGAAGAGATAGCTCGGTAAGGATCTTATCTTTTTTGATCTGTTGGCTGTACTTGTCACCGTATTTGTACTGGGCGTAAGCTTGGCGGATTTCGTAGACACACTTATTGATTTGGGCTAGAGCGGCTCGTTCAATCTCTTCTATTTCAGGGAAGATAAGAGGGTCGATTTGGTGCTTGAGGCACTCACTGATAAGGGATAAAAGTGCTTCATAGGCGGGTGGTCGGGTTTCTAGTTTGGCAATGGTCTTTTCTAGTTCAATAGGTAGAGAGTCGAGTACTTGGGCAATTTGGGTGATGATTGGAGTGTGTTGCAGCTTAGCTAGTTCTGTGTCGGGATTAAGAGTGGTTTCGAGTAAGGAAAGCTTAGCTAGTCGTAGCGAGACTTTCTTGCGCGGAATGAAAGGAAGGTCCATGGCTTCAAAGTAGGCACGCAGTCCGTTTTCACCTTGAGAGATAGTGGTTTGGAGGTAGATAAGATTAGCGAGTGCGCCTTCGAGTCCGGGCTTCTTTGGTGGTGGAGTGGTGGTGGGCTGCTCGCGGTAGGCTGCACATAGAACGTATGCTTCTTTGAGGGCGTAGAAAAGAGGTCGGTTGCGGTAGAAAGCTCGGTAGGACTTTTCAATGCCTGCTTCGGCGACTCGTTCAATCAGTTGAGTAAGCTGGGCTTGAGGTTGGGGATTACTGAAGAGAATAGTAGCTATTTCCTGTTTGAGAGGAGTTTCGGCGAGAGAGATAAGATGGGCTTGAATGCTTGCTTCGGTATGGCAGTTAACGAGTGGACTTTCTTCTTTAAGAGCGGGGAGATTAGAAATCAGGGGAACGAGATGGTCGTTTTGCAGAGCGTTGTAGTGCAGTAGCTGTCTGGCTTGAACGTGTGCGCGTAGGACAGCGGCACTAACGCGGTAGACCCCACGAGTGCGAAGAACCGGGCCTTTGTTGGCTGGAATCGGGAACTGAACGATCTTACAAATATCAACTGGGGAAAGAGAAGAGGAAATACGTGCTTGAATAGATCGGTTGATAAGAGCGTGCGAAAGTTCTTTGCCGGCTGCAGAGACGCCAAGGAAGAATCGCGTTTTAGGATGCACCTGGACAACTCGGACTTCTTCGCCGCCTTTTTCGTGAATCTCTAGAGTCCCGTCCTGTTCGAACAAACTGTTAAGTCGATCAATAACATCATTGCGCACTAGATTGACATTTTTAAGGAAGATAAGAGAACCGGCCTCGGCGGCTTTGACAAACGGGGCATCTTCCCAGATAAAGTCGGTGCCTGATCCTGGTGGGGCTTGGGTGTATCGCCCAAGGAAGTCACTGGGCTCCATGTCTTTATGGCAGGGCAGAACAAAGAGATGGCGGCTGGTGTGTCGTGCAATGAATAGAGTAAGTCGACCCTTGCCGACACCGCCGCGCAGAATGACTGGCCAGTTCTTTTCAACTCCCCAAATAACTATTTCTAGTGCGGTGAGATTGCCATGCGTAATTACGTACTCTGGATCGTTAGCTAAATTGCCCGGTAGAATGGCCTGGCCTACTTGCAGTGCGGTAGCCGTGGCTTGGTACTCTGGTAAGTAGGTTGGGACTAGCTGGGTCTCAGTGACGGCATAAAGAGAAGGAATAAGATGGGTTGAGCCAATGGCCATGTGCTTGAGACAGTCACGTAGGTTAAGAGGATACTTTTGTTTGAGATGGATGATTTGGGATAAGAGAGCCTCTCGGTTATTAGGGTTGGGTGTAGGCGCCCGCCGAAGAATAGTGACTAGATCGGCCTCTGACATATCGCCACGGAAAATACGTATAAACCGGCTAAGGAACGATTTAGGAAGGAGTTTACGTCCATCTGCTCGTCCGGATTTAGGGTTCATGGTCGCAAAAATCACTGTGCTGGGATGCAGTTGCACTTCACCGAGCTCGGGAATATAAAGAGCTCGACGGTAGTCCAGGCACCCATTAAGACCTTCAATCACACTTTGGGTGGCCAAGTTAATCTCATCGATAATAATCCAGTCGCCTCGTTTAGCGGCCCGCACGAACTCGCCCTCTACAAAGCGAATGCCTGTAGCAGTAGGAATGCACCGGCCGGCCAAATCGGCCATTTCGGTTTCTTTGCTAAGGTTGATACGAGTGACTTGCTGGCCCAAGCGAGCGCCTAGTTCTAAGATCATTTTGGTCTTACCTGTGCCCGGTGGGCCTTCTAGAAGTACATTGAAGCGGCAGAACAAAGCCTGCAGGACCCGGAAAAGTGTCTGGCGCACAGACCGCGGCTCAAAAGTATAAGCACTGCTGGCTTGGGTGTCCTGGAGTGCACTTTTCTGAAGAATGAAGGGTCCAGCCCCAAACACGCTCTCATTATCCACTAGATCTATTTCCTCCTGTGGTGCTCGGCCTTTAACTAACTCAATGGCCTCTCGAATTAGTTGAACAAGATACTGCGAGGTATTGGGTTGTGATGAGGTGGTAGTAGGTATGGTGGTAGTAGGTGAGGCAGTGGTAGGCGTGGCAGTGGTGGTATTAGATGAATCGGGGCGGTTAAGAAGGTACCTGGCTAAGACTTCGGCCTCACGAGCACTTTCAATCTCGGCCTGGGTTTGGGCTAATGCCTTGTGCGCGGCCATGTACATCTCTGCTTCCGTGTACTTAGCTAACAATCCGTACTTCTCAACGTAGTACATGAAATACTTGAGTGACTCTTCCAGATCACCGGGCGGGTCCACACAAATAGTAGTAAATCGGCTGGAAATACTTTTGCCCACCTCTCTTTTACCATAATCATCACCTGGATTCATTGTTCCAATAATACGGAAACTTTCATGGGCTTGGCAACTTCTTGAGCGTTCATGAATGCGTAGGGACCGGTCGTCAAATAGTTCGTTTAAAGATTCAAGCACTGAATCTGGGACTAGGTTAATCTCATCAATGACCAGGGCTGCGCCATTTTCCATGGCTTCGATCAAGGGACCATTGCGCCAAAGGAAGTGTCTCTCACTAGTACCGGGCGGGGTGTGCTCGGAATAACTACCCACAAAATCTGATAGCTCTATACCTGCATGCATACCCATGACCGTACACGGAATGCCAAGACGGCTGGCCGTATACTCAGAGAGGTACGTCTTGCCAATCCCCGGGGGACCAACTAGAAGAATACTCTCCTGGGCCAGCCAGGCAGCTTCCATTTGGCGTAATGTGCGCACAACCCCTGGAACAAGTAAGGGATCATTGTCGGTTGGAGATAGAGGCACTGATAAGGCGTCGCGATAATCTTCTAGAGTGAACTTTTCGCGGAACATCTTTTCAAAAGCTGTTATGATAGTTGTGATTACTTTTTCCTTTTCGGGTCTTTCTCTGATCTTTTCGGTTAAGACCATCATCGTATGGTAGAAGAGTTTTTGAGGGTCAGTTGCCTTTTTGTCTATGAAAGATGGTTGGGCGGCTTGGTAACGGCGAATAATACGCATGATCTCTCTAAGGGTAATGTACTGGTGGGCACGGTTGCCGGAAAGACTTTTGAGACTTTCATAGATCTCCAGGAGAGTTTTAGCAGATACTTTGCCGATCTTCTTACCGAGAAGAATAGCTTCCATTTCCGGACGAGTCTTATCTTCCACATAGATTTCAATGAATCTGTTGCGGAATGCCTTACTAAGATGTTTTCGGTTCTTGTAATCAAGTGACTCGGCTGGATTCTGGGTGGCAAACAGGGCAAACTCGGCGTGGGCTTGAATGACCTCCTGGGTGGCCGGAATGAACAGCTCACGATTACTGTCTAGTAGTCGGTTGAGTGATTCAAGCACTTCAGTGGGCGCTAAGTTCAGCTCGTCTAAAAGGACCCAGTGGCCATTGCGTACGGCATCAACTAAGGCGCCTTCGCGATAAATAAACTGTGAGGTCGTTTTCTGTCGCTTTGAGTCATCCGGTGAGTCAGAAGAGGTTTCGGCCACTGAGTAGGCTCCTAAGTACTCGGCAAGTTCAGTATGTTCGTGGTTGTTGATGCGAATGATTTGTTTATCTCTAAGCTGGGCTAAGTGCTTGATTAGAGAGGTTTTACCTACGGACGTACTTCCCTCGAGGAGAACTGGGACTTTGGCTTCAATGGCTGCGGTGATTTCATCTAAGTACGTCTGAGTAGTTGGAGTAATGATGTAGTGGTTAGTACTGGATGGATGTGTGGAAGAGGTAGTTGAAATACTAGAAGGTGTAGTAGTAATTGGGAAGAACTGGGTTAGTAGTTTGCGCCCGATCTCCTTATGAAGAAGACAGAGCTGAGTAAGGAAGTTTGTTTGGAGCGCCTTACGAGGCGAAGTATGGGCCATTTGTACGGCTCGAATGAGATTTCGAATACCAAACAGAGCCGGACGACCACTACCCATGCGTAAATAGTTCTCTTGCGCACACTTCTTGATCTCAATGTAGAACTGCGTCATTTGCTCAACGGTTGTCACGGGCACGTTTTGGCGGTAGCTAAGTGCGACTTTAAGAATATCAGGCGGATTAGTATCTATCTCATCAACTGCTAAGGTAATGGTTTGGTCCATAACTATATCTTTCTTACCATGATCGTCCCCAGGGTTGATACACTGGAAGACCAATGTCCGTGGGTCCTTGGGCAAAGAAGTACCTGAATCTTCAAGCAGGAACAGAGCAGACTGCTTAAGCGCAGAATTAATGTAAGCTAGCGTAGCTCGTGGGGCTAAGTTACTCTCGTCCAGAAGAATCCAGTACCCATAGAGAAAAGCCCGGGTTAAAGGTCCCTCCATAAAGGTACAGATGTTCTGAGCACCAGCCTGCAAGCGCTGCATAAGCGCCAGAGTCTTTTGCAGCTTAGCAATAGACAGAGCCTGGCGAGTGTTCTGAGGCGAAGCTAAGTGCCGCTCTTGGAACTTAAGCAGTAGATCTTGCACGGTCTCTTGTAAAGTCTCAATCTGGCCCTGGCGCACTAACTCATCTAATTGGGTCAGGAACTGTTCGTTTTTAGTGGGCACAAAGAAGTCAGCGAAGTATCCCTGCACCGTATCATTAAGTGTAATAGCTAAACCTTCTAAAGTAGCAAACTGATAAGATCCTAAAAGATCAGTTGTATCTGTATCTTTGGAAAGATTGATACAAAGCAATTTACGTGCATCTTTATAAGTAGAACTGATTAGATCTGATCTTTTTTGGAAAAGTTTTTGAACTGTAGTTGTTTTACCCGTTCCTGTTTCTCCTATCAGTAAAAAAGAATAAGCAATATCTAAACCTCGTAATAAACCCAACAATAATCGCTCTGCTGATTGCGTTAGCACATACTCTTTCTCTGCTTGTAAAGGTTGCAGCATCCGGGCAGTTTCAGCCTTCTCATACTCAGCAATTGCTACTGCTGGTAAACAAAGCATCTGGGCCAGCTCTTCCTCTAAATCAGCTCGAATGGTCGCTTTATGACCAGCCAGTAAAATATCTCGAGCTCGCACAAACATACTTACTCTACTCTCATCAGCCGTTCCCGGCCTCTCTAAAGCCTTTAGCAAGGCACTAACAAGCAAGTTAAAGAGTCGGCAGACTCCTTCTTCTCGTCTAATCAATTTAACAACTTCATTCTTATCTATCTTATCTATCTTATACACCTCACTACTAGTGGCCAATTCACTGCCACTAATACCACCCACGCCATTCTTACTTAACTTAAACTTCCCCAGGGCCACTAAAGCCGTATCCAGTAGCATGGCCGCATTGCTACTCGGTAAAGTAGTCTGAAGCCGCGTTAAAAACTCAACTGGATCTTCTGGGGCCGGAAACCGAATGGGATACGCTCCGCCACGGTGTTCAGTCTCAGTGCCGGTGTAGTCCTTGGCATGCACAAAGACCTGGAAGGTTGGGGCTGGTCGTTCACCCCGACGAGGACCGGCTGGAATAACGGCCATTTCAGCAATGATATAATCAGTGACTGAATTCTCTCTTTCAGCTGAATTAACAATCAACCAACTGCCCGTACTCATCGCTCGGGTTAAAACGCCTTCTCGGGCAATAATAGTTGTTTCTTCTAAGTGAATTTGCTCAACTAGAGCAGAAACGTCCTGAACCTCTGCGGCTTCAATTTCCAGCACCGGAATGTTGCGCTGCTCGGCTAGAGCATAAACCAACTCTTTTGCTTGGATTAAAAAGGGTATTTGAATGGGTAAAGATAATTGTGAAATCATATCATACTCAACCGAAAATCGCAAGAGCTGTTCTTGCGTAAAAAGACTGAAAAGAGCATTAGCTCTCGATGGGACGCATGGAAATGTGTCCGTTGTCCTAGGATTCATGAAAACTTTGCCCGGGATTTTCATATATGCAGACTAACGACCAGATTAGTAGTGAAGAAGAGTACAGTTTAGAAGAGTCGGGTGATGTTGGATCTTCTTTTGAAGAAGAAACAAGTATGGAAGAGCTTTCAAGTAGTGAGGGGTCGGAAGATCCACAGATATTTACCGTACACACTGGTGAGTGCAGTGGGACTTTTGAGCGGGTTGACTTGATTCTGGAGAATGAAATGCCAATGGTTAATCGGGCTGCTTTAGAGGAAGAAGTGCGAGAGAAGATCTTTAAGGGAATCTTTGTTTGGGCCGATGCTGAGAGTACTGAGGATGAGCCTTGGATTACGGCTTTCTTTGCAATGGTGCCATATGTGGACTTGGCTGGGGCTATGTTTGCTGGGGTGCAACGGGAAGTGGAACGGCTGGGGAAGAAGGAGCGGATTAAGTTGCTGATTAATGGACGGTTTAAGAATGTGCCTGATGATGTGGTTTGTGAGATGTATACGGCCCTGCCTAATTGTTTGGAATTGGACGAGAAGGAAAGGGTTTTATTACTATCTTTGGAAAAGCCTATTAATCCTAAAGAGGAAAAGGAGATCAAAAAAGTGTTTCCAACTCTTAACTTGGCCAAAATGAAGAACTTATTCCCTATTCATTCTGAGGAGGTTTTCCTTTACCTTAGCAACTTACCGGCCGCCTTTACCACTCATGGTGATGGCTCTATTATTAAGGGGTATCTTTTGGATAAGAAAGGTCTGAGTAAGTTTATCTCGGCCTTGCGTGAGTACTTAGAAGCGGAATAAATGGCAATAAGTTAAGTTAGTTTAGTATTGAGTTGAGTTTAGTATTGAGTTAAGTTGAGTTAGGTTGGTATTATGTTGAGTTTAGTATTGGGTTGTGTTGAGTTGAGTTGGTATTATGTTGTGTTAAGAAGTGTTATGTTGTCGAATTATGGTGTTGTTAGTGCTTACCTGAGTTAACTAAACTAAACTCAACACCAAACTTAACTTAACTTAACACCAATCCAAACTAAACTAAACTCAACTTAACTTAACACAATACGTAACATAATAGATAACTTAACTTGATCTGTGTTTATTTAGGGCGGCTGTGTGGGAGATTAGTATTGGTGGTTGGTGATGATGGCGGTTAGCTCGGCACGGGTCTTTTCCATCTCCAAATCAGTGACTTCGCGGGCTTTGGCAAGCATTCGGGACAGACCTACACGCAATGAGTCCTTGAGAGTATAGGTGGTCTTTTCTTCCGTGGAAAGGAATGTGGCTAGATCAGCTACCACGGGATCTACTTGGTAGATTGCTTGGACTGAGTCGGGTGGGGTAACTGTAGCAGTAGCTGGAGTAGTTTGTGGGGTTTGTGTGGCTTGTGGAGTTAAAATAGTTGGATTGGCTTGAGGTGGGTTAATAGTGGCTCGGGGTTGAGTGGGCGGTGGTGTTTGGGTTTCGGTTTCGGTTTGGGTGGTTGCAACGGGTCGCGGACTGGAATCAGAAGATAGGCTGGCGGTGGTTTGAGAGTCAGAGGACTGGGGGCTAGCAGGGGGACTGGGAGAGTCGGATGGTGGTGAAAATGGGCCGGATGGTGCTGACATTGGCGCTAGACTGACTTTAAGTGCATTAGGCTGAGGTCGGTGGGTAACGACAACGGTATGGGGAGTTTGGGCTAGATCTAGCTCATGATGGACTAAGTCAGCTGGAGATACTTGCAGGGAAATTAGTCGGTATAAGAAATGCGTCGGCAAACTATCCTTGTTACCTAAAGAGTCGGCAGCTAAAGAAGCCCTTCTAGCTCGGCAGTGGGGAGAGAAGGCATGGTGCGCCTTTCTAATCGCAACAACAACAGCGACGTGCCTGTCCCGGCTATCAATTAAACTACAATAAAACCCACAGACGTAGCAGAAGAGATCATTAGAGGTCTTATTGAGATTATAAAGAAAAAGGCCATCAGTGGCCAATGCCGTAGCCACTCGCGGAAGAAAGCGCAGAGTGCCGGTTTTGAAAGACATGGTCCGACTCTCTATTAAATGGGGCGTAGAAAGGATACAATGCGGAGAATGCCTAAAATGCTCCTCTGCTGGTATTTCCTCGGGCAACCAGCCCTCTAGCTGTTTTTGACAATAAACACAAATAACTGCATCATTAGTGGGAGTCTCGCGATCATTGGTAAAACCGGTGTAGGCCAAAGCTTTCTTGGCTGGTAAATCACGTCTCCATGGCCTAAAAGACTGCAAACGATCTTCTAGCGATGTATGCTTTAGATCTACCATTAAGTAGCAAAAAATATGAGAAGTACTTACACTACTGAGCGAATTCCCTATGAACTAGAGAAAGATCGCTCTCGAGCTTACTTTTCTCCGGCCGGTATGCGTAAAGCTATGCTTAAGCCGGGTGTTCATATTAAAGTGATAAAAGGAGATAAAGAAACGATTTTGAAAGCGGCTCCGAAGTTTGATGGTGATGATTTGGCTATTTATTTACCGGCGGAAGAGTTGGTGGCTCTAGGAGTTAGTTCGGGTGAATCGGTTGGGGTAGAAAGTGCTAAGCTGGACTTAGTGGTGGCTGAAAGTGTGAAGGTTCGGTTTGTAGCTATTAAGAAGACTGTGGAGGCACTAGCTAGTGTTCGCATGGTTTTGGAAGATAAGAAGGCGGTGCGCACGGGAGAAGTAATTAATGGCGGGCGAGTGGATACCGGTGTGACTGGTGGGTTTGTGCAGGTTACTGAGCAGACTCGGGTAGAGATTGTAGCTGAGAATCGGGGGGTGGTGGCTGCAGTTGGATTGGGGAGAGAGATTGAAAGTATTTGCCGAATAGTTAGAACAGCACATGCTGGTAAAGAAGGTGCACCTCGAGGGGTGGTGGTTGTTGGTGGAGTTGGGATGGGTAAGAAGACTTTTTGTCGGGTCGTGTTGGATCGTTTGGGCCGAGACTGGGTGCGAGTGCGGGTGGTAGGTAATGATGCGCGAGAACTAGTTGAGGCGTATGCTTATGCCAAACTGAATGAGCCGTGCACGCTCTGGATTGATCGGGCTGATCGGTACTTTAGTGAAGAGAAACTTGGCGCGCCCGTAGTGGAGATAGAAAGTATGCTGGAGGATATTCACTTGCACCAAAGAAGAATTGCCGTGGTGGCAACGGCCAAAACGGTGGCGAGTTTACCGGAAGAGTTATTGGGGGCGCGTGTGTTCGATACGGTTGTACATTTGGCCGCACCGAGTTTAGGACAGCGCCAGGAGCAGATAGTTCAGGCGGTGGCTGAGCACCAGAAAGAGCATGGATGTGTCTGTCCGGAGGAACTGATTGTGTGTGTAGCCCAGAGAACAGCTGGATTTTCGCGTGGAGAGCTACACCAGCTCTTGCGAGACTCGTTGGATGTACCTTTGTCCTCATTAGCGGGTAGTAGTGAGCATCAAGTGGCTATACTTGGTGGTCAGCTAGAATCTATGCATATCTCAACCGCATCCTCGGCTGTATCGGCATCTGTGTCTTCTAATTCTAGTAGTGCCGATTTGGGTTTGGGGTGTATGAAGCATCTTTTGTCCCAAATAGTTAGAATTGTTCCTAGTGCCTCTAATGAAAGTTCAGCCGAAGTACCAGATGTAAGATTTAGTTCGGTCTTTGGTCAGACTAAAGCCAAGGCTAAGCTGACTGAGGCTGTGCTTTGGCCGATTCAGCACCAGGCGTTGTTTGAGGAGGAAGGAGTTGTACCGCCTAAGGGCGTATTGCTTTATGGCCCGCCGGGTTGTGGGAAGACTTTGTTGGCGCAGGCGTTGGCTAATGAGAGCGGAGCAGTCTTTTTGTCCATTCGTGGTCCGGAAATTATGGGCAAGTATGTTGGGGAGAGTGAAGAGCGGCTGCGGCGTGTTTTTGCTCGGGCTAGAGCTTTAACTCCCTCGATTGTCTTTATTGATGAAATTGATTCGATCGCACCGCATCGAGAGGCCGAGGGTGGCCAAGTGGATAAGCGCGTTGTTTCTACTTTGCTAACGGAAATGGATGGGGTTGGCAGTGGCGCAGGAGTTTTTGTATTAGGGGCTACCAACAAGCCATGGAGTATTGATAGTGCCTTGCTGCGTCCCGGGCGGTTTGATCACCACGTCCTAGTGGACATTCCTGATCTATCCACGCGAACCCAGCTTCTGAGCAGTAAATTAGATAAGATATGCCTTGGAATAAGGAAGTGGGCGAAAAGCACAGAGGACCTAGCTGAAAGCAGGAAAGAGCTACAAGAATTCCTTTTAAAGCATACTTCGGTCTTTACTGGGGCTGAACTAGTTGGTCTGTGTAACGAACTTTCTATGCAGATCATTCGCATGCGGCTGGACAGTCGAGGATATACGCCCAATGAGATTATTGAACAACTCAAAGCCACGGCTAGCCACATTCACTCCCGCATTACGCCGCAAGAGCATGATCTTTTTGTGCACTACGAGCAGGCATCATCTCGTCAATAAATACCATCTGGTTGATATTTGCGTTGGTATAAGTTTGTATTGAGTTAGTATTGCATTGGTATTGAGTTGTGTGTTTGTTTGTCGGCCTAAATAAACTCAATCAAATACTAATCCAATCAAAACTAAACCTAACCTAATCTAATAATAACTCAAATAAATCAAAACTAAACTAAACCTAACTTAATCTAATACTAAGTTAAAATAAAATAAACTAAATCAAAACTAAACCCAATTCTAAAAATGAAATGAAGACTTGTCTTTTATTTTCTTGATACGGTAATTAATTGAATTATAGTTGATTTGTTTTGATGTTGATTTGGGTAGTATTGGGTTGTGGTAGGTGGTGGTAGGTTTGAGATGGGTTGAGTTGATTGGGGTGGTTGGTTTAGTATTGGGTTACTTTGGGTTAGTATGTATGCATCAAATTGGTGTTGAGACTTAAAAGGGGACAAATTTATTTGGCTACTAGTATGGATGAACTTCGGGTTCTTATTACCACAGATAACCACTTGGGTTTCTTGGAAAGGGACCACATAAGAGGAGAAGACTCTTTTAGGGCATTTGAAGAGGTGTTTGAGCACGCTTTGCGATTGAATGTAGATGCGGTTTTAATGGCTGGCGATCTCTTCCACGATGTAAACCCTTCTAAATACACCATGTACCGTACTGTAGAGATCCTTCGCAAGTATTGTTTGGGAGATCGACCGATTCACATCGAATGTCGTGATAATGGCAACTTCACAAACCTTTCTAAAGAAGCTCGGCCGGTGAACTACTACAATGCCAATCTTAATATAAGTATGCCAGTTTTCTCAATCCATGGCAATCACGATGAGCCATCAGGACATCGTGGGGTTGCATCTTTAAACATCTTGGCCGAGGCCGGACTAGTCAACTATTTTGGCTGCATTGACTCAATGGCCAATACAATTGAAGTCCGCCCTATCTTACTCAAAAAGGGACAGATTGCGCTTAATCTCTATGGGATTGGTGGGCTGCGCGACGAAAGGATGGTTAAGTTGCTGGCTGAAGAGCGAATCAGTTTTGAAAAGCCAGAGGGTGGCACCAGTCTTTTGGTCCTTCACCAGACTCGGTGTTGCCGTGGAGCGAATGTCTACCTACCCGACCATCTTCTGAGCAGAGACATGGACTTAGTAGTTTGGGGACACATGCATGATTCCTATCCTGTTCCGGAAAAGAACCACCAAATGGGGTTCCATTCCGTGCAGCCGGGCTCAACAGTGCAAACCTCTCTTTGCCAGGCTGAAAGCCGGGACAAGCACTGCGTTCTTCTTAAAGTCACTCCATCCGGCTGGGCGACTGATTCTATTCCCATGCAAAGCACCCGTCAGCTCATTTTCAAACACATTGCTGCCGCCGGGTTGGATCTAGTCACTACCATTCAGAGCGAAATGAAAGAGATTCTAGCGGGTTATAATGGCGCGCATCGGCCGCTTGTCCGCTTAAGAGTTGATGTATCGGATAAAAGCCAAAAGACTATCATCCAAAGAAGAGTCCTGGAAGAGTTTAAAGATAAAGTTGCGAACCCGAAAGACGTCCTTCGTCTTATCTACCGCCGCCAGAAACACGAGAAGGCCAAGGACACACAAGAGAACAAAAGAGAAAGCAAGACCCAATTCACTCTTTCAGTCGACGAAACCCGCATCCTTTCACCCGATACTTTTATTAGTGGGATTCTCGAGTGCATAGACAAGCAAGACAAAACCGCCGTGTCCAAGCGCTACAACGAAATTATATCCGGGGTGGTCAGCGTGCTCAAGTCGCACCGCTGGACCGACATTGAGGCCGAAATTACACCAGCCGTCCAAGAAATCGACCGCCGAATCATGGGGGCCGAAGACTCTACCAATCGTCCCAAAATGCCGCGAATGAGCACCGAGATCCGATCCATCCCCGTAGACCCCCAATCTGATGACACCTACGACTTTGCCAATCTGCTTGAAAATCAACCAACCAGCGTTAACACCACAACCACAACCACAATCCATACTAACCCAACGAATACCAACACTAACACCAACACCGCCACCACCAACACCACCACTAACAACACCGATTCAAATAAGTCACCAGAAAATGATTTCAATCTTGGTAGCCTTTGGGATTAATGCAATAAAGATATTATGTTTGCTTTAGTATTAGGTTAGTATGGTGTTGGTATTTGGGTTAGTATTGCATTGGTATTTGAATTGGTAGTCTTTGAGATTTAAGTTAGCATAAACAGAAGCTAACCTTACAACCCAATACAACACAACACCATACTAACGTCACACTAACACAACCCAAACACAACCCAACTCAACACCACACAAACTCAATACAACACCACACAAACACAACTCAACCCAACTCAATACGAACTCAACTCAACTCAACTCAATACTAAGTCTATATGTGTTTTTATTTGTTTCGGTGTATACAAGAGATGGTGTTTCTACAGCGGAAGGCATATATTGGCATTAATTTGGTCGGAATCGGAATTAACCTGGCTTTAGCCTTGCATGAGATCTTGTATGGCCATGATTCGCTTGTCTTTCGGGCTATAGTGATCGGATACACGGTTATTGTTTCAGTTCTTTGGTATTTGCTGACTCTGAAGCGTCTGTCAATTGATAGAATGCTTTATGCTATTTATTTGGGCTTTACTAATTTGCTTGTCTTTTGCCTGGTGATTTGCTTGCGAGTTCTTTTCCGCTTTGATGCAAAGCATCCCTATGCAATTCTGATAGCCAATATCCCCATGATGGTTGTTGCCCAGCTGGCCTTGGGCACCACTATTTTCCTAATTATTGTGCGAAAGTATATGGTTCAGGGGCTAACTAGCCCCACATCCATCCAAAGAGAAAAGGGGATAGAATCAGCCGTCATGACAGTAAGGAGTGAATATCCCGAGATCTTTCAATAGCGAATCATTTCCATGTAAAATAACCAATCAGGGTGATGGCCAATCACCAGAATAAGAATAAAACAAGTCCATGAGCATTTCCCCTATGAATTCAGACAACACAACAGCAACAAAGGAGGCCGTAGCCAAGAAAGTTTCTGAAACCGACAACAAAGCGCACGAGCACGTCAAAAAGCTCAAAGAGTCGTCCCTTGGGAAAATGGTGCCCACCCAGTACAGCAATGTCACTTGCCAGCACATTGCGCTAGGATCCTTTATTCTTATGGCGGTGGTAAGTCTTTGCACCTACATGTTCTGTGTGGCAATTGATGGAGCCGATCCCACCTATGGCCACAAATTTCCCACCTGTACGACTGGAATCATTTTAGCGATTGTTTTAGTGCTGGCTAGTTTACACGACGGTTATGTCTACTTCGCCAAAAATGGCAAAATGCTCCTTTCCTTTTTAGGATTCCGGGCGTTAACAATAATCGCAGTAATTGTGGCGGTTTTGTTTATTAACAGTGACAATGCAGGATTTACTTTCAAAGGTTTCCTTTTGGTCTTCTACGGCATTGTTTGTCTATTTTACACGTACATCTTCTCTATCTTTATCTCTGAAGTCAAGCATGGCGCCAGCAACTCCGACCCAAGTGAGCACCAGGCCGTTTAATTGTTTCAAAAGTGAATCGTAGCTCTTTAAATAAACACCAGGCACTTATTTATCCACACTTATTGATATGGCATTAGTTTTAGTTAAGTATTGAGTTGAGTTGGTTTTGGTATTGGTATTGAGTTAGTATTGAGTTAAAATAGCTTGATACGGAATGAGTCATTGGATACGTTGGTTTTGAGATTTTAAAGTCAAAACGAGTTAAGTTGAAAGTTTGTGATAAGTCAAGCACCAATCCAATTAATCTAAGATTAAGTGGCTGTACCAGTGGTCACTTCAGGATTCTTTCTGCGCAGCAGATAAACTAGAGTTTGTTTAGTTTACCTATACTAAGACAAACTTAGCCAAACCAAACCTAACCTAACCCAATCCTTACACATAACTTATACGAACACACTCCTAACACACTCCAAACTTATACTAACCCAATCCTAACTAATCCTTACACATAACTAATCCTAACTAATACTAACTAATACTAACCTCTATTAAAGACATTCCATGGGATAAGTGTGGGTACCATTTACCAAGAAAATAAGAGTGAGTTAAAATATGATGACGTCATAATAAGTTAGTGTTAGGATTAGTATTGAGTTGGTATTAGTGCTACTAAGTAGTGTGTACTACATAGGGAGTAGCTTACCAGTGATCAGATTAGTATTAAGTTAGTATTGCTGGTCGTATGATAGCACTACAATAACTTATACCATCCCAATACTAACTTAATTAATGATTGGGTTAGCCGGAACCAATCTAATCAAAACAATAAGCCCAAAACCTAATTGGTTATTTTAATCAGATAATTGATATGACCGTTATCATTGGTTTACAATGATTATCCATTTATAACCCAATTTATTTTTTTCGAACTGGAAGTTATGAGGTTCTTTTCAACATCAAAACACATCAAATTGTATGTATTCTTTGGTTTATGTCTTCTATTATTCGTTCATAACGCCATGGCTATGGCTCCGGGCAAAGTGGGCAGTGGTGACAATCAAGTAAAAGAAGCTCCAGATACGTTATGGGGATCTTTTGTGCTTTTGTTAAGTAGTATTTTTGGATTTGCCGGTGTATTGTATCAAGCACTTTATGTAACATCTATGTTGTACTCACCAACACCAATGCATATTGGGTTAAGTATAGGTGTATGCCTGCTATCAGTTGTAGGATTGTATTCTTTGGTTAAAAGCGAAATGCCGCGGGCTTGGACTGAGATCAAAGCTGTCTTAGGATACAACAAGTCTAAACTAGAGCGTGAGAAACTTTCAGCCGCGGCTAACGTTCAACAAAGCTACATTCAATCACTTAATCGTATTGAGAAGGGACAAAAGACCAACATAACCCAAGAAGGATGGACCAAATTCGTTATATCGACTATTTCTAAGATAATTGCGTTTATGATGATGACAGTTATTATCGTAAGTGTTTTAAGAACGGCTTTTTATTTCTTTGGGCTTGGGGCGAATGTAGCTGATTACATGAATTGGTTCTCAGTTAAAGACATGATGTTTCCAACTGCAGATGGAACCCTGGTTGGCTTGCTTATCCCTGCCGGTACAGTTTCGTATATTGGTGTTTTGAAGATTATTAACCTGGTGGCAAGTGGCCCAATCTTTATTATGGGGTTGGGAATTATTACCACCTTTGCTGAGTTGTTTAAAAACTACTATAAGGTCGATAAGAGTTTAGAGATTAACAAGGTCGAAAATTTGAAACATGCCAATCGAACTGTGGCAGCCATGATGTTGTTCCGTTGTTTGATATACGGTCTGGTTTGGGCAACTGGTCTAAACGTTTTGATTTTCTTTGTTGATCCACTCTTTAACTATATTAGAAATAGTTCTCTGGTAGATACTCTTCTTGATTGGATTAAACCGCCCGGTACACTTCTAGACTATGAAAAAGACATATACACGGACATTGATTATACGAAGCAGAAGCGAATTCAAAAGGTGCTGACTATCACTAGTATCTTACTATTGGTTCTCTTTTCCGTCTTTGTAGTTCAACAGACAATTCAAAAGGGAATAGAGTACAACTGGTACGATCGATTGAAACTTGACCAAGAATCGCGAGCCGCTACAGTTCTGGGAATTTTCTCGGCTATATTCTCGCCCTTGGGCTACGTGACGGGGGCTGTGAAGTAGTGTGATCGGATTGGGTATGGTTATTTGCTTAGGCATAACTCCTATCTTAAAACTAGAAGCCCGTGGTTACACCGGACTTAGTACTTTCCAGTTGACGAGTTTCGCTGTCGCATGTGTATCATTCGCCAAGCGGGTAACAAGACTTGATATTTAGAGACTAAAATGGGCTAAAGAGAGCGAATAAATCGAACCCCGTTAGGAATATCTATTTATAGCCGTGTTTTTGTCTTTTAATACTAACTTAGCCCACTATTAACTTAACTCCATATCAACTTAACTCCATATCAACTTGATAGTAAACATTTCGCCTACGGTTAAAGGGTGTTATGCCTATGATAAAGCACAGTTTCCTCATAATCATCAATTGGGCCTAACTGTGGTGTTTGTACCCACTATGCAACTTAATAAGATTCTCAAATCACCTCTACTTCACACGAGTTAACTACATATAGTGTAGATGTTTCTTCCTTACTACTTTAAACAACCCAATACTAACCAACTAACTTAACTAAACCAATTAGAGTATAAGTCTACAACGAAGATTGATAAGGACTTTCTAAGACTCTTATGAAGGACTACAGAAGAATATACCAACTTAATACAACTTAATACAACTTAGTACATTAGTCTGGCTGATGATTTGCCTCTCGTGGAGTACGTGTGGATAAGAAGTCTTTGTACTCCCTTTGAACCCAACACTAACATAACCTAAGACTAAACCGTACGTATAAGTTAAAGACAAGGCATGTCATATTTATTAAGTTACTATTGAGTTGGTATTGAGTTGGTATTGAGTTGGTATTGAGTTGGTATTGAGTTAGTATTAAGTTAGTATTAAGTTAGTATTAAGTTAGTATTAAGTTAGTATTAAGCATCAAGTAAAGTATCAAGTAAAGCATCAAGTAAAGCATCAAGTAAAGCAACAAATAAGCAGCGGTAATCCAATGGGGTTTCAAGTCAGATTGCTTACAAGCAATAAAGCCAGTTGTGAGTATGTGTGGTAAGCAGGGGCTTCTTTACTTACTTCCTTATCACAGTTAGTAGTTTCTAATCAAGTCTGAGACTGAGTTGGACAAACGGTCAGTTGGATTGGAATTAGGCTGGGATTGACAGCGGGGTATGATACAGTACAAACTAGTAGTCAGCTTTTTGCAAGCAAAGATTTGCGAATGCATAGGGCAATATTCATTTGGTGCTGCTTCTGGATGGTAGGACTCCTTTGGCGCACAATCAAAAACAACACCATTGAAGAAAGCTTACACGAACTAGTTCAGGGGGCCAGAATGATCAAAGAAGTCGCTCGTGGCTGTTTAAAAAGCCCAACTTCTTTTCGAATGGCCCATATTTTTGATAGCCTTCGACAAATCGGACACGGTCTTATCTTTTTAGGAAAAACAGCTAATATTATTTTGGTGCTTTTTGTTTACCGAATTATCAAACGAGTCTTCTTTTTTAAACTTCCAGCCGTTATTTATTTAGCGATCTTTGATTATTTTGATCAGCGCAGATACCACGTCATGAAATCACGAGGTAGTTTTGATGCTATCGTTTGTATTTTTCTCTTTCTACTTCTTTTGTACAGCTTACTGACTATCAACTTAGAAACGGCTAGATTTCGCGAGGCTTATCAGCAGCAACGGATGGCACTAAAGGCAAATCTAGTAAGAAGTGAGTAGGAGTAACTGATGAAAATAAATTGTTTTGAAAAATCCAAAGAATGGCCGAATTATTAGAAAATAGAGGAGAAAAGGCTTATCAAAGTCTTCTTCAGCAATTGCATATAGTTGGATTTGTGCGGGTCTTATGTCTATCGCGAGAAATAGAGTGTTTTGCAGCCGTGTTCATGTTTTTAGGTCTTTTGGAGAAACAACTTGTTAAGTATGAGGTTATTTGGGAGGCCAATGAAGGATCAGAAACTGGTGATTTTGAAGTACTGATTGGTCCTGGGCCTAAGATAAAGAATGGTGCTATTATAACTGATGTTCCTGTTAAGGCTGGTGGTGGGGTAATTGTGATTAATGAGGAGAGATTGGAAAGGGCCATGTTTAAGTTGGGAAAATATAGTGGGCATTTGAGTTCTGATTTGTTATGGGGTATTTGCATTAGTTTGTATGCTGATCCGGAACGGCCGGAAAGGAGTCTTTGGAGTGGGTGTGTGCGCAGTAGTATTGGACTGGACGAGTCGAGTGAGGGGAGGGGCGAGAGTGAGGACGAATTAAGTGAGAGTAAAGGAGATGTGCACGAGTTGGGAGGGTTGCGGACGGGGACGCCTTTTATTCGAGAGATTGAAGTTGAAATAGAACGGCTGGGACAGCAACAATCAGAAAAGCGAATGATTGAGATTACACGAGAGATTTATTTCCCTTTTGGGCAGTGGCTGACTCTTTACGAGTCTTTGTCTCTGGACATGGGTACAATTGAGGATTTAGGACTCTTCTTTCGCCGCAAGGCACATAGTAGTCGGGCACTGAGTCAGTCGGAGTATGCTCTCAATCAGTTTTTGGCAAAGCTAGGTGTATCTGTTGCAGCTGCGCAGAGTGCATCGGTGCATAACTTAGTGGGGCCGGTGCAGAAGATTATTCAGCGGGCCATTCAGCCACGCAGTGTTTACGTACGGCACTATGAGTACAACTTACGGGTGTCCCAAGTAGAGGCTTTCTTTGCGATTTGTGGGTTAGTTCGCAAGAAGAAGTACATTGAGGCTCTGTTTGCTTTTCGGGACACCAAGCACCTTAATACTTCTTTGGGGCAGCAAGTATATCGGCGGATGATCCAGAGCATTAAAGACGGGTTTGCCCAGAGAAAGGTGTTGCGCCATGATGAGCTAGATGTTGTGCTTATTCCTAAAGGCGCGCTGACATTCAAATCCATGGACGAGATAAGTATCATGAAAGAGGTCTTTGTAAATATATGCCGATTGTGTAGATACAAGGCGCCACAGAAACAGACAATCATGGTGGCGTATGCTGAAGAGCAGAGTACCTACCGCGTCTTTTATCAAACAGCCGAGCCTATTATCTGGGTAGACACCAAGGAAGAGAGATTGTTGGAGCAGATCAAGGAAGTTGTCCAGCAATTAGAAAGTGCCATTTAATGTGTGGGGTTATGTTATGTAATGTGTGGTGTTGTGTTACGTATTGTGTGGTGTTATGTATTGGGGTTATGTAGAAGTTAAATGAGCCGATTTGTGAAGTACGTCAATCAATTCTACCCTACCACACCCCACCACACCATACCATACCATACCACACCCCACCACACCACACCCTAATACTTCCATACTAACAGAGCTAAGCCAATGATAAAATAAAAGAAGATGGTTTGCAGATAGTGCTTGGGGCTGGTTAGATCGAAAGGAAGAAGGTCAAGTAAGATGCTGGTCAAAGGGATGTGCGGTGGTTTTATAGTTACTTGGGAGTGAGCTGGACAGGCACATCTGGGCTGTTGTAGGCCGGATGCAGCTAGCTTAGCTTTTCTTAGACGAGTTCTTTTGGCAACGCGTTCAAATAGTCGCCAAGGCTTGAGTTTATATAATTCAAAGGTCTTGACATTACTACCAGGCATAGAGTAAACAGCAAATATCGCAGAATAAACAGTAAGTCGGCAATTGTTGGTGATTTCAGGCGGAACGTTGTTTTTTAAATGAGTACCAGGACAGGCCTGGTCGTGAGTGGCGAGAAACAAAGGCCGGGCAATGTAACCAATCCTCTTTGGAGAAGAAAACGTAAAGGGGCCTTTTCTTTGGGTTGTGTTGTGAAAAGATAAGAGCTCATTATCTCTAGAACACCTCATAAAAACAAAAAACAAGATCGCGATGGGTGATTAGCATTGGGTGATATATTATTAAGCATACGACTAAATAGAAATTAAGCTACAGATGATCATTAAAACATATAAAAGTATCTTTATCTCTTTAAGTAATTGATTGACTTTCAAAATACTAACTTAATTATCACTATCGGGATTACGTCTCAAGACCCGAAGCTCCAAATTTAGACTAACTATTTGTCCAGCACAAGCTCATCTGAACCTAATCTAAACCAATCCCAATCTAGCCGAAATACTACATCGAGTTAGATAGAGTTAGATAGAGTTAGTGTCAAACCAATCTAACTCAATACTAACCCAACACGAATCTATCCCACCTTACCTCAACCCATCTCAACCCATCTCAACCCACCTTAACTCAACTTACTCCCAAGAGAAGTTGGGACCAGTATGGGGTAAGCTTGGTTGTTTCAAACGAGGCAACATACTGATCCAAGAATATACAGCTGAAGGAAAAGATGACGAACAGAATCGAAATGGCGCCCAAAAAAAGCTGGCTGTGAATATAGGTGTTAATTGGCTCTCGCTCGGAAAGAATCTCTTCTAGACCAACAAACATCAGGGCGATGGTTGGGTATAGCCCAACAACACCCATTAGTATGTTGCTTGTCAGAAAGAGGGTGGGCATAAAGACAAGTATATGTGCACCAAGGAGTTGAAAGAACTTCTTGTTGTCCAAGAAGTGGCCACTTACGAGAAACAAAGACCAACCGTTTCCTGAGAATACCCCGCACGCAGCAACTAGCATAAGAATCGTGCTGTGGCATAGAAATAGATGCTGCTTTTTTCTAGATAGCGAAGAGCGCTGAACACTCTTTCTCCAAAGATAGAACGAGGCTACAATAAACAGAATAGCTGACACGCATGGAATGACCACAGGCAAGTTGTCTTTAGTGATATGTTTTCCCAGAGTCGATGCAACTAACACGATGGAGTAGACAGCCACAAGTACTTGGATGAGTACACGGGTATAGTAGAGAAAAGCCGAGGTGAATTGGGTCCGAAAGGGAATGGCGGGCTCTTTCTCTTCGGCTTCTTTGTTAGCAGGCGGGCGTGGTGTAGACATTAATTGCGCTGAAATTGCATTTCTAATGTAGTGGCTTAGTAATGTTGATGCGAGCTTGCGCACTTGGCTTTTATTACGCGGCAGGGTTGCAAAGACGAAGCTTCTTAGGAAGTCGGCCTGGTATATGTTTGCCGGTAGAGCGGGGTGATTTTCGTTTTGTGGTCGATCCTGGGCTCGGTTGAGACATTCTTGGTTGTGATGGGCTAATTGTTATTGGAGAGCTATCGGAATCTGTTTGATCTTCAAGATTAATTTGACTCTCAAGATAGGCTTGGTATTCGAGATAGGATTGGTATTCGAGATAAGCTTGCTGTTTGAGGCGGGTTTGGTATTCGGAATCGTTTTGGTATTCAAGATTGGTTTGACTCTCAAGATAGGCTTGGTATTTGAGATAGGCTTGGTATTCGGAATCATTTTGGTATTCGAGATTGGTTTGATTGTCAAGATCAGCGTGGTCTTCTGAGTCGACTTGGTCATCAAGAGTAATTTGATTGTCAAGATCAGCGTGGTCTTCTGAGTCGACTTGGTATTCGAGTTTAATCTGATTCTCAAGATCAGTTTGACTTTCTGGATCGATTTGGCCATCAAGAGTAATTTGACTCTCAAGTTCGGTTTGGGCTTCTGAGTCGGCTTGGTTTTCGAGAGTAATCTGACTCTCAAGATAGGCTTGATATTCGGAATCATTTTGGTATTCGAGTTTAATCTGATTCTCAAGATCAGTTTGGTCTTCTGGATCGACTTGGTCATCAGGATTAATTTGACTCTCAAGTTCGGTTTGGGCTTCTGAGTCGGCTTGGTCTTCGAGAGTAATCTGACTCTCAAGATAGGCTTGGTATTCGGAATCATTTTGGTCATCAAGAGTAATTTGACTCTCAAGGTCAGTTTGATCATCAGGATTAATTTGGTCATCAAGATCGACTTGGATTATTGGGGGTGGTTGACTATGCCCAGTGCTGTTTTGCTGGAAGATCTCTTCGAGGGCGGGTTTGACGTCTTTGAGAAACTTGCCGCTCATAGGTGCTAGCATCTTTTTGATGCTTGGCACGCGATCAGCGCGTTTTTGCGTCTCTGTGAAATGACGGTCGTGGATGTCGATTTTAATATACCAGTTACGTCGGTTGCATGCAGCGATAAGTAGATAGTTCATTTGAATGTTATTAATTGGGCTTGGTTGTGTGGTAGCGAAGAAAGCACTTATATCGCTCGGTTGAGCAAGGAAAAGTTGGATTGCGGCTGCGTACGCAAGGTTTCTTTGGTTCAGTAGCATGCCAATGCTGGAAGACTCACCAAATTTCTTGTTATAGATCTGAATTAGTTTAGAGTCTCTATTCTGATAGACTCTTTTGATACTACAGAAGAACATTTTTATCAGATCTATAATTTGTTTGAATCTTAATGGGTCTTGCGCGCTTATTTGTACGTCAACGCGGATGCAGAATGCGGCTTCTAAGGGAACTAGTGATGTTTTAATAGTGGGGAATTCTTTTGTAGGAGTGAGCACTTCCTGTTTGAAGACTTCATAGCACGTATTGAATAATTGGTATAAGAAGATAAGGATCTGTTTGTTGTATACTATGATGCTGTTGAACAATGGGATAAAAATGGTCATGTTTGATACGTTATCGATGGATTTACGAGATATAAGGAGTTGGGGAGAATTAAACAAAAAGGTATGCATGTGTGTATTAGACACAACTCCTTCATGACGTTTGGTTATCTGTTGTTGACTGTAGTGCTGGTTGTGGTGGTATTGACGGAATAAATAAGCCACTATATCCGATGGCTCCTCAGGCGCAACAATTGCGATTCGGGTATTTGGGAAGCAGAATGTTGCGTTCCATTCACGCATGACTGAGTCGTCAGATATATTAGATGTGGATCCATTATGGGTAGGCGATGACTGATACTTTGTTTTGGCTTCAGCAAACACTTCTAGGCTGAGTGGTGTAGTAATAATAGATTGTAAGAGTTGTAAAGGAGCCAAACATCCTGGATCCGTTAGTGAAAAGTTAATCGTAATGAAATAACCCCCATGTTTGATAGTATAGGGCCCCTCGGGCTGGGCCATGAAACTGCTATATTCACTGCGGCTGGTTTCTAGACTTATCTTGCATTTGAGAATCTCTTCTAACATGATACCGAGGTACTTGTACTGAGATATGTTAGCATAGAACCGTTTTCTAAACGCTATACTAATATAGGTATCTGAACTGCCCGGGCAAACAATAGCAATACTGCTAAGGCCGTTAGAAAAGGCGAAAGAAGAATGACGGCTAATTGTGTATGTGTTATTTGTTGCATTCTGGGTAAGAACTACTGTCTTACAGATCCCTAAAAGAAACAAGAGAAATTGAGCTAGGCTGCATAGTGAACTGTTTTGATGTCTACTCATTGGGTTAGAAAGGATGAAAGGATTTATTGAACAGCAATGGCTTTGTTAGTATCAAACTGATTTTGGGTTGGTATTCAGCCTGAAAGATTCACAGCTTTCTTTATTAGTAGTCACAAAACAAAAGAACCCAATATAGTTGATAAGATTATATGTAGCAAAAGAGCAATTCATAGCGACTTGTTTATTAGAGAGGTGTTTTTGAAAGTGGGTTGAAAGGCGTCTATGCCATCATGGCCAGAATCTGGAATATGTTTTCCTGTTCCAAAACAGTACACAATGTGTTAGTATTTATGGTACCAATTTCTAGCCCAAGTTGATTGATGCTTTTGCTCTTGAAACGGCAGATAAGGATCAAAAAGAGATGTTGACTTGTGTTTGTTCCCTTGAAACAGATTACAATGCGACTGTCGTAGTATCAAGGAACCGTATTCACTAGCAAAGAATGTAGTGCCATCACTTGAACACCATCTAGGCATTTGAACTCTATAAGTGATCCAATTGGACCACTTGATAAACCAGTAACTGATGCTTTGGCTATACCTTTATTGGGTTAGGACAAAAACGACCAGTAAGATAAATCGCCTAACTTACCAAAACAGCATTAGTCATCTATAAATGGACGTTGCTTAGCATGGCATATGAACAGCAATACAACCTGTGGGCGCAATAACCTGTGGGTTCTTTTTTGTCAATTGGGTCTACTGTTAGCACTAGTGGGGCGATTCGGTCTTTATGCTGCAAGCCACACTGAATCACTATCAGTTACAATCGATCTTAAGAAAACTATTGACTTGCTGCCAGACCAGCCGTCTCTACAAAACTCCACCATTGCCTTGACAAGTACATCAATGAGCACAGCGGCTGAATGGAATGTGTTTGCAGCCAAACTACAGAACAAAACCAAGATAACCTGTAACCAAGTTGCCATCATTGGGGATGAAGAGAGCTATTCACAAACACGGGCGGTCATTCCAATGAACATCATGGGGTACTTTCTGAGGATCGCAGATACTTCGAACGTTGTTGTTTCTCAGGTTAGTAGCTTTAGTACGGAAAATGCCTTGAATCTTTCTCATCCTGAATCGAAAATACTAACTAGAATTACTTCGTTGTCCTTCAAAAAGTGCCATGCATATGCTATTGGGTCAGTTCTTAATGTTTTAAGGCATCGTTTGCGGCTAAAAAGACTCACAATTCACGAATGTCCAATAGACAACATGCCTTGGCTCGCGACAATAGCATGGGATAGAGATGAAGCTGTCATTGATTTTATGGGCGACCGTAAAGGCCCTGTCCCATTGACACTGGAATTACAGCACATGGAGGCAGTACATGCCACCAACAGAGAAATTTGGCTCTACAACCTTCCGGCGGGCTCTATTATTACATCCGTCATGCCCAAGGGTCGTAATTTTGATCCAAACAGAGGAACTACTTTTAATCTAGCATGTGATGTAGATGCTTGGCATAAACTTCTAATCGGCCCACATGACTACCATTTATCTATCCCTCGTTTGTTTATAACCGATTTAGCGGATCTGACATCGGATTTAAAGAAGATCCAGGCTGACCCCAAGTTTGAAAAGCTGGCCGAGAAGAAAAAGTCGGCTCCCTACAGCTTTGGTGTGATCTGGGCTGCAGGAGCCTGGGAGTTTGGGCCGGCCACAAGAAACATGACTACGGAATTTACTGCCTTTTTAGCTACTATTGGGGCAAAGGCGCAAACCATGAATGTTGGCGTGCCTCCAGGAGACGAATTTGTTGGATGCTCGGACAACTCAATGCACATAGCCGCACTCACTAGTCCCACTGACAAATTACTGACACATCTGTTTGGTACAAAGAACTATGTGTGTATACTGCCAGAAAGATGGCCGGACTCAGCTATTGCAAATTGCGCATTGTCTTGGGTTAAAGTAGTGGAGCCATTTAGTATGAGTTTCACAGAGACAATTAATCAAAATCTAGATAATGATGACTTAACAGCTTTGCAAGGCAATACAGAAGGCAGTTCGACTTCAAAGCAAGCACAAAGCGGTTCTAACAGCCCAAACCCATTCGATGGTCCCGCTCTTCCCAGTAGTTCACCAGTTAAAGCAGACAGTCCAACATCTAAAAGATCCCGTTTTGGTCTAGCGAAATTGAGAACTGCATTCTCTAGCCGCTTGAAGAAATCTACTAGCATAGAAGAACAGGGCAGTACAGATCAACCAGCTCGCGTGCCTCTAGGATTTATTAATGCACTTAAGGAGCTAACTATGTTGCCGGGCAAACTTGCAGAAGGCATCTTTCGTGTCTCCGGCAGCCAAACAACCATCTCGAAGATGTTCCAGGACAACATCATCAACAATAAGCCTATCAACACCAAGGATCTTGAAAATAACGCTAATAACATGCAGCACTGTTTAACCGGGGCCATAAAGAAATACATTGCAAGCGTCCCTGGCGGCATCATCACTAAGAAGGTCTATGATTTGGCGGTAGCTCAACTAAACTCACGTGGAGATTTTATGAGTGCCACCGATGAAGACTATCAAGCCGCCGCAGTTCTCGTTTTAGAACATCTCGATATTGATGCGCAGTGGATCCTAAAGAACTACAGCTTGGTGACTGAGGAGGTTGTTAAACAGATAAAGACTACTAAATTAGATGAAGAAAATCTAATAACTTGCGTGACGGTTTCTTTCTATTCAACGGATGCAGTATTTGTTAAATCCTTGGATCCCGCTAAGCATATTGGTGAAATAACACTTAAGAGAAAGCTTCTGATAGCTATACTACGAAAGGCAAGAACAATGGTATTCTTGCAAAGAACCTCAGATGCAATTGAGTTGAAATTGAGTTGAGTTGTGATTGGATTGGGTTGGAATTGAGTTGAAATTGAATTGAGTTGAGTTGAGATTGGGTTGAGTATTGAGTTCAATTTATTGATTCTGAGTGTTGTATGTTCCTAAAGAACATTCTCGGTTTCTAAAAAGACGGGAAGGAAATTACCTAATAAGGAAATTTCCCTGTCTATAAATAGATCTGAAAATGAATAAATACGAGAGTTTGAAATTGAATTGGGTTGGGTTAGGTTAGTATTATGGAATGTGCGACGATAAATAGTAGATTTTCGGAGTTACTGCAACAATAACTCGTGTTGATATATTCTTGCTTGCTGGTCTTTCAATTTTTTATCTTGGTTTTTGATTTTGAAACTTTGAAAACATCCATATTTTCACAGAAAAGCTCTACTTCTTAATCCGTCGATAAATCGAAGTTATTTATTGGGTTGGGTTGGGTTGGGTTGGTGTTGGGTTATTAAGAATTGATATTGAAGGCTAGCACATATGTTATTCTGTTTATCGCGCTTATTTAGCATGTATAGTTCGGTAAGATATCTTTGGTCGAGAGCAAGCCGTTAAAATAGTAGAATTACTTCGGCTTTGATAGCAGCAAAACACAGATATAGTCTAGTGTTAGTATAAGCATATACCTGCAGAAGAAATGGCTATGCTTATACTAACCCAATACTAACCCAATAGTGGTTGTAGATAGCACTAAAATCGGTCAAGGCGGTTGTTCATGCCTTCCGTTCTACATGTTTTATAACAAAGACGGATTAATTCGTGTGTTTGTTGCACTTAACTGGATATGAATCGAAATGTGTCCTTTTTAAAATACTAATTGTTGATATGCTTTGCTAAATATCTTTCAAAATGCACATTACAAGATCTCGATGGATTTTACTGCTTGTTTTGTTACATTATGCTGCATGCGGCATTGTTGGGGCTGCTCTAGAATTGAGCGTTAGACCTAAAGTTTTAGTTACTATTGCTCGAGTTGTCAAAGCTATCCAACGGCACACGATTGACCCGGATGACATTCCGGACAATAGAGTTGTGGTGCCGAATTTATCCTCTTCTAACCCGGCTACCCACACAAACGCTGCTACTTCCTTGGCAAGAGCATCGCAAAGTAAGCATGCCAGCGCCCATTCAAGCTCTTTTGCACATATGGACAGTAATCCTTCTATGTTCTAGAAAGCGGTTAAGTCCTTTTCAAAAACAACTAGCTTACCACCAAACAAATAAAGATATGTGCTCGTGGCCACAAAACATGCTGCAGTATACTAACCCAACACCACCCAATAATAACCTAACTTAACCTAACACCACCCAAATGGCAATGTAGTGTAATATTTTGAATTTGATTGGGTTTAGTCGAAGGTTGGCTGGGCTAGTATTAATGTGATTTGGATTGGATTGGCTTGGGATGGGTTAGTTGTTGGGCTAGTTGAATGTAGGAAGGCGAGAGTATTTCTGGCCATGTGCCCAACTTGGGTTTGGAATCGGAATTGGTGTTTGGTTGGGGTTGGAATTGGGTAAATATTGTCGTGTCAAATGGAATCGGTGAGGGTAAAGTGTGGCTGGATTTCCATGTAGCTAAATTGCCTGGTAGTTTATAAAAACAGTCCTGGGTCTTGGTCCGCTGACTGTGATACTGAGTTAGTATGTAGTCGCTGAGATCGACTGGCTGGATTAAAATGGGTTCGGGGCAATTAGAATAATTAGTGACAGGTGGTGTGGTTGAAGTACCAGCGTAGGTGTTTGTGGACTGAATTGGAAGGGCCTGATAGAGTTTATAAATTGGTATTTTATCAGCAGCAAAATCATTAATCATGTCTTGATTGATTGTGCATTGGCAGCAAATGCGGATGTCTTTGTCCATAATTAGCACGTGGCTAACGTTTGGATCGAAGGGAGTGGGCGGGAATAAATCATTGTTGGCGGCGTTACAGCTGTTGCATGTCCATTTGCAGAGATCAATGCGGCGGGCGAGAAGACTTATTAAGATCGACATATGGCATGGGTTGATGAGATTCGCACAGGTATGGCCGCTTCTAATGTACAAGTAGAGGTTGTATGATATGCTGAATACAAATCGGCTGGCCTGTGTGCCATCGAGCTTTATCTTGGTAGGATAGCTGTAGTTGGTGATGCCAATACGCGATTTCTGGGGATTATTGTCGTCAATATGAATGTTTAGCCCAATTGCGTTGATTGCCAAATGGTTGTCAACTATAAGGATGGTGTAGTTGTTGGGTAATTTCCATTTGAGAGCTTCGCTCTTCTTTATATCAAGAGGCGGATTGTATATGTTGATTTGGGCTATATTCGGCATTCGAATAGCACACCAGTCTATGATTGTCTTGATGTAATGGTCCTTGAGAAGGTAGTGGATAATGGGTGTTTTTAAATGGTAGTGGGTTTGTGCTGGATTAAGAGCTTGGGCTGGTGAGGCCTGTTCTTGTAGTTGTTTGGCAAGGGATGAGTCTAGGGCTTCAATTGGGGTGTTCCAGGGCTGCAGTATAATATCCCAGGCGCGCATTTGGGTTAGCACCGGGCCGGGAGGGGAATCGGCGGGTTGTGTTGAAGAAAAGTAGTTTTGGCACTCTTTCGCCATGCCTTGGTGGCAATAATAGCCCAGTTTGAGCGCCGGCATGGTGGTATATTGGGTTAGACAGGCTCTAATGTCTTGCACATAGTTGTATTGGTCGGGGCTCGAAAAGTCAGTGGGCAGGGTGTTTAGAACGGCCAAACCGGCGAAAAACTCCTTGTCATTCAGAGCAGAAGGAAATGGGCCATCGTCAACGTACAGCTTGAAAGACATGACCTCTTTCTGTCCGAGGACGGCTGTTTGAGTGAGAAGAGGTGAATAAGCATGGGTTAGTGCGTTGATGTAAAGTAGGTTTTGGAAAGGATAGCCAGATGGTGCACACTTTGTAAGAATGGCCAAGAGTTCTGGATATCTGCTGGGGCCTGTGTAGATGCGGGTGTTGGAGTTGGCAAACACACACTGCGTTAAAATATACTCGACGGCGCGTGGGTGACAACCAATGTTAAAACAGATTCGGGCGGCGTGGACGTGGCAGGGTGAATCGGGTGGAGGCAGTGGCTTTTGTCTGCTAGCAGGGTCGGGAAGATCAACGAAGTCTACTACTGCGGCGTCAGAAAGTTTAGCGAGTAAGGTTAGAAGAGGGAACTCTTCGTCTTGGAATTGAATGGTGAGCGTATGCTTGACCACCAGGCTTCTGATTGAGCCAGCGCTTTCGGAAGTCAAGATGTTTTTGAATGGGTTTGCAATCTTTTCAGTTAGATAGGGAGTCGGTGTGATGTATATGTCCAGTTGGTATTGTGAGATTAGCGTTGGGTTAGTATTTGATTGATCGGGCAGTGGCTGGTAGGGTCTATTTTGAAGTCCATTTATACAATTGCAGAGGGCATTGATCTTATTAAAGGCTTGCATGAGCTCAAGGCTAGTTGGCTCGGTGTCAATTTGAATAATAGTGATTGGGTTGATCGGAGAAAGGGTGGTGATCTTCATATATTTCAGAACAATCTTCATTGTCGCAAGTAGGTGTTTCATTGAGATAGTATTGGGTGTATTAGAGCTCTCGGTGGTAATGACCTTATTCTCCCAAATAGCATCATAGATGATTTGGACAGAAGAAACAACTAAAACAGGGTCCTGTGAGCAGCCGGCACAGCAACCGAGCAATGCTAATGCCCAATCACACCCCCGGGACTGTGTGTCCATCCAGTGCACAACTCTTTCCACCGAGGCACTCTGAAAATATGGCTCGTAGAGAATAGTCAGGTTTAGCAATGTTTGCAATGAATAGCCGTCTTTCTTATTAGGCGCAAAGATCCGAAGAATATCGTAATCAATAATTAGCTCGGTGGTGAGTCTGTTGGCTAGAAAGTCAACTACAACCTTTCTTAGAGCCGGGGACCGGAAAAGATGTCCCTCTATCTTTCCCGCGCGATCGTACTTGCAAAGAGTTAGGGAGCGGCAGCTTTTCGGGCTAGACAAGCAATACTGTAGTGGCTCGGGGGACATGTCGCAGACCAGAACAAGAGTGTAATTATCGCACCAGGCAAGTCTAGCGAAAACCTGCCATGTGACTCTTTCGGCATTAGTCGCGGCGAGAGAAGTAGAAGGTACTAGGTTGTAGCTAGTAATGGCCAGTGAAATAACGGGTACTATCGTGTAGACGGCGTCTAACAAGTTGATGATCCAAGCGCCATGATCGATCACATTCAAAGCAACCGGATCTTTGCTAGAAAGACACGCTTTTTGCTCGTCGGTGAAGTAGAAGGAAATAGGTTTGGCATTAAACGCGGTGAATACTCCTTCTTCCAAATCAAGCACTTTGGGGTTGGCAAGCAACAGCAGTCGCTGAATAAGCTGTCCAGAAGCTGACGGGTTGTGTGGTATGCCAGCAATTCTGATCCGAGTGGCTTGTATTACTGATAGCTGGGTCAGTGTGTTTAATTGACCGGTGTCCCGAACTATGGTTAGGATTTTAGAGGCATCTAGTAGAGTATCTGGATGGAGTTTTAGAGCCCATTGCGAGCCCCGGGGCTCTAAGTTGGCAGGGGCAAATGGTGTTATAAGATTCTCGTCTTCCTTCAATGGGCGATAGGTTTGGTATAGATCGAACATTTGTTGTAACTGGTGCAGCAGTGTTTCTTTATCCATCAAAGAGCTGGTTTGGGGCTGGTTTTTATGTGATTCTCTGATTAGAAGCGATAGTTGGGATTTGAATGTGGGTGTGGGTTGGGCACTGGACAGGATTAGTTGAAATATTAGGCAAAGAAACATTAGGATGGGCTGAGTTAGTATTGGGTTAATGTATCTTGAAATAGATTTCATGAAAATTAAAAAGCGTATCTATTTAAAGTTGTTATTTACTTGGGTTAGTATTGGGGTGGTATTGAGTTGGTGTTAAGATAATGTTTCAGTGATTTTCACTTTAAAATAAGTTATATACAAGAGCAGAGGTCTTTATTCCTCATTGGGCTGGTGTTTTTATCGAAGAGATTGCTCCTAAATTTTTGAATTTTGGTATCACAATTCCAAACTGCAATATAGTCTGGAGTTAGGAAAAGACCATTAGAATAGGAGCTATAAAACCCAAGAATCCCAACTCAATACCAACCCAATGGTAAGATCAACCATAAACTATCGTAATTTATTCAAAACGCTCTCTATTTAAGCTTAAGAATGTGATCGTTTACGCCTCCTATCTGTATATATTGAAAAGTAAACAATTAGCTATGATACGTCATTTTGAGATTAAAGACAACTTGTTCTTGAGAATCAATACATCTTTCATGTGAATACTGCATGGCCCGTGGACACACAACACCTCTATCAACTTATATCAACTTGGGTTGGTTTAGTATTGGGTTAGTATTATTTGGACCGAATAAATCAAAATGGTCTTGAAAGTTAAAGAGACAAATACAAAAATGAATTGAATGTGAGTTTAATTCTGGCTTAGTATTGGGTTTAGTTCAGATTTTTGTTTGGTTTGTAGTGTTGATTTAGTGTTGGATTAGTGTTGATTTAGTAGTGGGGAAGGGCAGGAGACAACAAAAATGCCTGCTGTTTAATGAAAGACGCCGTGCTGATATCTAGTACTTACTCTTGGGGCAATCTTTTTGAAATGAAAGAGATAAGAATGGTTACATTGTCACTTAGGTTTATTTGGGTTAGTATTGGGTTGGTGATGGGGTTAGCCAGTGGACATATGGAGTGTGCCCAGATTCAAGAGATCATCAATTACGACAAGTCTAAGAGCCTGATATCGCAAATATACTTTATGCGGGCGGACAAGGCTATGTTAAAGCAAGAAATCGGGCCGGATGGGATAAAAGCTAAACAGATCACTCTGATTTGGCTACAACTCTTATCGAGTGACCTTAAACGAGAGGAGGCCGCTGAAATTGAAGGAAGGTTTAATGACATACTGGGAATAAAAACAACCACCCGACTGACAGGAATCGTGGTAGAATGGGTTAAGAGGTTGTACAATAGTGAGCCAATTATGGAAAGGTACAACTGTCTCTTCCAAAAGATCGGCGTATGTGCCAGAGACTCGTTTTTGCTCCTATTGAACCCAATAAACCACTACCCATCAAGGAAACCGAACGCCAACCCACAAAGCGCATTGCAACTCGTCCAAAGCTTACTCAATGAGAACCAGTGCAAGTTCGTAGAATTCTACTGGGCGTTAGATCGTGGCGGTATGTATCAGAAGATCAAAATAACCATAACATACGCCTATCACACCCCCTATCAAAATGTCAAACTGGCTAGCTTAGTGCTGCTGGAGAATAATATAACCAAAGCCAATCTCACCATAGTTGGTCGAGGGTCTGAGAGCATATCAATGAAGAACCCGTTGGAAAATCTGATACTGTACACACCGCACACGCAAATACAATCAATAGCGGTGGATGGCTTTATTCTTGTCAATAGTCTCGATGTCTGGGCAAGCAGGTGGAGAACGAGTTTGTGCCAAATCTTTAAGACGTCCAAGCTATCACTAAAACTGAGCCGGCTTAGGGTGGGCATTAAGAAGAAAGAGATATTCGGAAAGGGCGATGGGTGGTTGGTAGTGGATGTTAAGATACAGTTTATGCAGATCCAGCAAATCATAGTGTATGACTTCGAAGGGGGCTTTGAATCAGAGTTGTTGCGCTACAAGTGCCTTATTCTGCCGACGGTTGCTCATCTGGTCATGATTACAGGGTTCAGGCTGCCCAAGACCCGGGTGGGGCTGATGTGGATCGGCAGCAGCGACCAAAGTTTAGATTTTAGGGCGTGTATGCCATCTGCCCGAACTTACTTCAAGATAATTTATTGGGATGAGGGTGGAATTTGGGTCAATGAGATGATAAACAGGCTGATTACCTATGGAAGTATGATTAATAAGGAGTTAACTGGTGAGATTAAACAAATGCTGAAAGGGGCCAAAGAACTAGGCAAACTTGATATTGGATATCACGGAGTCAAGGTCATGCTTAAGAGCCACCAGTCTTTCCCGGCGTGCGTATCGGCTCTTCAATGCTACTACAAGGTTATTACAGAACTGTTGCAGAATATAGTGTCTAGTCTCGTCGACTTGAAAATTAAGCCACCCAACCGGCCGAAGCTCTTGCAAATCTTGGTCAAGGTTGCGTGTGCGGGACAGATAATTTCCAACTTCCTCTTTTACGCCAGTATAGAGAACGAGATTGTCGTCGACACCAAGGAATGGGATCAGAGCCTCTACGAATACAACCAATTGCTTATTCAGCTGAATGAGAAAGCAAAGGCATTTGAGCTGTCTAGAGTTTGAGGTTGAAGGCCAACTGCGCCAAAGAATAATATGGCAGATAATATGATTAAATTGAATCGAGTTAGTTTTATTGGATTAGTATTGGATTAGTATTGGGTTGGTTTAGGATTGGTTTAGGATTGGGTTGGGTTAGTTTCAATTTATTGATTAGAAGATGAAGTTGTTTTGCCAAAGGGAATTAGGCTGTCTTATGGATATAGAGATGGATTGGTATAGAAATGGATTGGTATTGGGTTGAAATTGAGTTGGTATTGAGTTAGGTGGCATGAGGATGTCAAAAAAGGCGTATCGGCACTAGCCTAATACCAATTCAACACCTAAACAATATGGATGCACTGTGTGAGGTAAGTCGCGAAGTTGTCGGTTGCTATGGGATTATCGTGATAAATTGGGTAGAAATAGATTTGGCTGTCGCCCCAGGTTAATCTTTTAAGCCATTCGAGACTGGTAAAAGGAACGCTAGTACTGCCGCTTGCAAAGACAAAGTTGAACGCGGAAACAGCCCTAATATCGCGAAGTCTCCTATACACCAGCTCGTGTCGACATAATGGACAAGTAGAGGCTTCTCGAACCAGAAGCTGAACTCCGCATTCATTACAAATCGCATGCCCGCATGTGAAATAGCAAAAGAGTTCAAAGTTGTTATCAGAACTAAATTCAGCCACAGGCAGTGCAGGGTCTGCTTCTTTTGCGTTTGTGTCTAGTTTCTTCGGCGCAGTATAAAGGGACTTGTAGCAAATTGGACAGAAGATCTTATCCTTGTTGTTTTTGCAGTCATTTATGACCATTTGAAGTGGTGTATTGATAACAGCGTGTTTGGGGGCAATCCGGTCGAGTTGCTTATCGGACATAGCAGCCAGCCGGGCCAACATTCTCCGTGATACTATCGTGATTTCGTGCTGATAATTGGAGACGTTCGCTAGCAAGCAGCTGCCATATAGTCGGAGTTTCACATTAGTGGGCGGTTCGTTTAGTTTGGTCGGCTCTATTATAATGGCTTTAAGCTGCTCAAGACCCATAACCATATAGTTACGCGACTTAATAGTACACCGCACGTGGCTTGGCATATTGATATTAATGAGCCTTAGAAAGTTCATGTCTGTGAACTCGTAGGCTATCCAGCGAAGAACGGTTACGAGTTGGGGCTCAGTTAATGGGTGGCTGTAGTTGAAACACAACACTAACGACTTAACGGATCTTCTCGGAATAGATTCCAACTGCGCTTGGGTTAGGTTTATGGCCTGACTATCGATGAAAGCAGCTGTTATGGCAGACAGGCTGACGTTGTACAAAACAAACTCTTCCCTGGCTACAAAGATAAGCCGCTTAGAATGAGTTGATGTGCTGGCGAGGTAGGTCTCGAATGACATGCATGGGAATTGAATTCCAAAACTCCAAAGTTCGTATAGGAGTTCACTATAGAAGCTAACATCGGTGCCGTCCACCCGTAGGAACAGTTTGTGCAGGCCAAGATCTTCCACTCTCATCCCCTCTTTGGTTTTGTTCTTTATATATCTGAACAGTGAGAAGCCTTTGATTTTCTCGCGTTGGTGGCAGTTTTTGACCTCATTTAGCTCAAGGAAGTCGCTGAGCCAGAGTTGTGAGATATTCTGGGCTGGCGGATGAGCGAGAATCTGAGCAATGGCCAGGTTGCTGAAGTGTTGATTTCGAAGATGAATTTCTGTTGGCCCCACAAAGGCATACAGCATCAAGAGGCTATAGACAACCTGCCCATCAACGTTGTCCAGCACCAAGGTTTGGATCTCCAGCCGGTACTGGGACTGGTCATCGGCCTTTAACTTTATAATAGCTTGATGAAGGTTGGTGCTAAACTGCCCAGCAACCCGAAGATTCAATATTTTGAGCTTCTGGGCTGTGATGTTGCGGAAAAGAGCTAGAACAGCAATGAATTTAGTGGGTAGACTTTCACTTGGGACCCCAATACCATCAATTTCTATAACTGTATAGCGTATGTTTTGGCAAAAGCATAGGTATCCTTGGGCTTTGTAGTTGCTGAGCTTAGTGTCTAAATAACCCAGGCTAAGCTGGATAAGGACCGACTCTTTAACTTTCCAGCCGGGAACGTTAAGAAAGTCTCCATCGCAGATAACATCCAAGCCCTGGACCTCGCTAGGTATTCTTATCAAAGCTTTGATGTTCCAGAGCGTTTTAAGAGTCTCTAACAGGTCGAGCCTTGGGTTAGTGTACTTGATCTGAACTTCATTAACCGCCATGCCGTATTTGGTGCAGGCTTCTCGAGTGTATATGTTGCGGTAGAGGTCTAAGGAGCCGCACGGCATATTGAAATCAACCATGAAAATGGCCTTGGCTGCAAAGATGCGGGGTGTGGGGGTGACTTCTTGCTGGATAGCCTGGCGCATCAGTTGAATAGATCTGGTGTTGATGTTAAGACCCAAAATTGTATGGATGAAAATGAGAGCCGGGTTGTGCCTTCCCAGGTATTGCAGAAGTTGCCAGGTTATTTCCAGAACTAGCTGGAGCTGAACCGCTGACTCGTCCATGAGACCGACCAGAGTAAGTTTCGTCTGTGCCGAGCCTGAAATATTGACCTGGCCACATTTAGCAGAGAGTCTTTGCAGAAACTCCAAATCAATGCTGGCTGTTTTGGGCAGGCATGTAAAAGAGAGAAGGTAGTCCTCTATTAAGGAAATCTGGGTGAGAAGGTGTGTGTGGTTGATTTCTCTGCCGCTCAAGTTGACATGCGAAATTGGCCGTAATACAACAATGCCATAGAAGGACAGGTTGAAAAGCTTAATGCCGGGCGAAGTCGAGAATTGAACTTGGCACGGTGTTGTGTAGTCGGCATGGCAGATGGTTTTCAGAGCCTCTATCCGGGCAGTGGCCAAGCCAAACACATCAACGCACTTCTTGTCCGACAGCCCAGAATCAAAACATAGCACCAGGACGGCACAATCAATCATATGGATAACGCGAGATATAATTTGCAGGTTCAGTAGAAGACGCGCTGAAGTGTGCTCAGCTGAAGTAACCCAAATGCGGCAAGAATGTGGCGATCTAATAACAGCAATATTTGCTAGCTCAACCAATGCGACCCGGGTCTCATCCTCATCGAGGTACTCTGGCAGCTGAAAGTAAACGCAGGGGCCCTGATAATCGATTATATACCTAGGTGCCAGTGAGACAAGGTTATGATCAAAAATTGGAGTGTCTGAGCGGCTAGGGGTGTATGGTAGAACCGTTATAGTCTGGCTAGTGTCATAAAACGCAAATCCAAGCCATTGCAAGGTCTTGAGCATCTTATTCGAGTCCACAAAGTCCAAGCGGTCAGTTGTATTCGAGCCACCGGCACCTCCGAGTAGCACTAACACGGCACACAGCCCAACAATACTAACCCAATGGTGGCGTCTCTTAGCGTTAAGAGGATAGCTTCTAGGAATGGTAGCGGCAAGCATTATGAGTAGCATCTGCATGATTTGTCTGCCGAATGCAATGGCAAGGCAGCCAGCTGAAGGTTGTTTTATGCTATGTCGCTTATTGGAACCTGGTAGTTTATTCATATAAAGAGATAGTGGCATAAGATCTGGAAATAAAAAAGAAGATAGCAAAGCCTGGCCAGGATGCCTAAAAAGGAAAATGATAGATAAGATGGATGTTTTGAGAAAAAGTGTAGTGTCACCAGGTTATTTATCTTCACTAGATTAATACAATCACCAGTATTTCTACCCAATACACTTAGTCCTGCGATACTAATTGGGTTGGTGTGGTGTGGTGTGAAGTTGGGGTTGTGTGAAGTGGAATGGAGTGGAGTTGAGGTAGTGTGGAGTGTTGGGTTGGGTTGGGTTGGACTTGTTGTGAATATAAGCACCAGATAAACCAATACCAACCCAAACTAACCCAATACTATACTGACATAGATATTTTGTTGGGTTAAGGCCAGTCAGACAACAAGTAGATCAGATCAGCTCAACGCAGAAATCCAAAGTAAAGTTATGCTAAACAATCAAAATGATTGATGAACAGAAGGATTGATATTTACTGAAGACGGAGAGAGCAAATTTGCATGTTAGGCAGGTACTCAAAAGGCTTACGGATCTGGTGCCATTGTATTGGCGTTTGGTTTAGTACATTTAGCGCAACTGAAGTGCTTGGCGTGAAGTTTGTTGATTCGTCCGACCGTACTGATGGTAAAGACTCCGAGAAGCCAGGTCGGTCTGGATCGTTTACGAAGAGATCTTGTGCGATAGCCCTTGCTAACTTCCGGCGCGTGGATGCCGCGATCACCGCGGTGTTAGATGCTGCGTTAGAAGAGCAGAGAGACGAGCAAAGCAGAAGCCCATCCTTCAATGCGCCGGCAGACAATTATAGCACAACAGACAAACCAATGATAACCCAACTCAAACATCCCGGTCATTTTGGTCAATCCAAGACCACCCCCAATCCAGCTCTAATCGCCCGACTAGAGGAGCTACTAGTCATTTCCAGCGCAGCCGACCACACCTGGACAGAATATTCCTATGCGGACGGCCAATCGGAATGGGTTCTTGAGCTAAACACTGAGGCTATCTTGCCAGTCATATCGAGTAACTACAACAACTACCATGTCATTGGTGTATGGGAGCGTTGGGGAGAGAAAGACTACGACCAGTGTGTTGAAGACTTGCGCTCGTTGCGGGTCATCAAAAGCGCCATCCCTGTGCGGATTTTAGGCCTCAAGATGGAGTACGCGCAGAAAGCTGGCCGGTTACTGCTTCTTCTCATGCGAGTGCTGGACGTACCAAGGCTCAGCATCGACTGGCTCGACCCAACTGAGGAGGGTGACGCGCTTGATCTAGAGGACATGCGAGCATGGGTAGCAAACATACCGCCGCACATAAAACGGCGACCAACCACATTCCACATGTTCAAAGCTGGCCGCGGTCGGCGATGGGATCCGTTCTTTGCGCTGGTCAACGAAAGCTATACCACGCAAAAGAAGCGATTAGCAGGCCATAAATAAAAGCCATGTGTTCCAGATTAGCTAGCAAATTGGATTGTGTTGGGTTAGTTTGGGTTGGGTTAGTATTGGGTTGGTATCAATTCTTGTGGGTTTAGTATAAATAAATTACTTATCTAAGATTGTACAATAAGAGGGAAGCTTTGTGACCCGGCAATCAACTTGTGCCAGATAGAGGACAATGTGATTGAATGGGGGTTAATGTTGTGGGAGTATTTATATTGGGTTAGTTTGGGTTAGTATTGGTACTATTGGGTTAGTATTAGTACTATTGGGTTAGTTTAAAAATCTAACCCAATTCCAAGATAAGAAAATTTGATGTTAGGATTAGATTGGAAGTTAGTATTAATGAGATTATGCTGCGCTCTGGTTATAATTGGCGCGGGATTAGCCAGTGTAGATGGCTATTTGGATACGTTTAGTGAGTTGATAGAAGATATCAGCCCAGACTTTGAAATTTTCACTGACATTGTTGAACCAGCATTCGGTGAAGAGGAAAACCAACCCAGCCCACAACTAATCGCGGCTTTAAAAGCCTTTGAAGTAATTGACGGAACGTCCAATTACCATTTGACAAAATATGTGGACTTGGCGAACACTACTGCATACTGCGCTCTTACGGTCAAGTCAAAAAGCATGGAGAGCACTAAGAGTTCCTGTTTTATTACTATTACTCTCGGCCTAGCCACACAAACGCCAGCTAATCAAGACCCTCAGAGCATGGGCTATGTATATGTATCAACACCCCCGGAAAACTGGTTCTTTTTGGGAGCCACAACCAACAAAGGAACCATGGTTATCAAAATACTCTTGGATTTGCTGCAAGCCACGCCCCCTCTTACAATCGGCATAGATTGGGTTGACACAATCAGCTCGGTAGGCGACACTCAATCGGCCTCAGATCACATTCCAGACAATGAAAAGACGCTAACGCTTTCTATTAATGTCAATATACTAGATAATTACGAGGACTGGATGCCAATATTTAAGGAAATCAAAAGAAAGTGCGAAGCTTCAAAAAGTAAGGATGTTTTAGTCTTTGACGACAACGGTTTACTTAATGATTAATCTAAATAAAACTCTAGCCAGCAGCACTTAATGCTTTAAATACTAACTGTCGTGCACCGGGGAAGGGATAGTGCCTTTCAACCAAACACACTCAACTAAAGACTGATTTTGAAGTGGACAGATTAGTATTATGATGATTTATTTGAAGATTTAATAGAATTCTTGCAAGATAAGGAAAATAAATGAAGTGGATGTGCGTATTAATGAGAGTGTGTTACATTTATGTAGGATTGGGTCTAGTAATGGCTAGTGCAGACGCTAATTCTAATCCCAGCTCAATTCAGCCTAGTCCTAAGCTAATAGCCGCTTTAACAGAGTTTGGAATAATTGATGAAGAAACTGAGTATAGCATGGTAGCGCCTAGCGATTCTGAGAGCTCAAGTGCCTCAAGTGCCTCAAGCGAAACAGACAACACCATCTGCTGGGATCTTAAATTCAACCCAATGAATACCAGAAACGCCCAAAACACATGCTTTATTATCTTAACTTTAGGCCCAGCCGTTCCAATTCAGGCCGAAGTAGAAGAAATACTTCAACAAGACTTCAAAGCAAGTGGGGGGGTGTATATAAAACAAAGCCCAAATCAACTGGATATTTGGGGAATAGCAACAGACAAGAATGACAAAGCAGCCAAAACATTCTTAAACCTTCTGCGAGCCATGCGTCTTGACCAAGCTGGGTTAGACTGGATTGACAAAACAGAAGCGGTAAGCAATGCAACTGCTGTACTTAGCAATCAAACCGCACCAGAAGGCATCCGGGACAAAGAAGAGATATTAGAACTTAGTCTTGAATTTGATGTTACTATAGTAGAAGGTGTCGAGCAGTATATGCCACTCATTGGGTTAGGGTAGTGCTGTCATACGACCACTACTCCTTTCTCACGACGATCAACTTAATTGCTGGCAAGCTACTCACTACTTCGTACAGGATGTTTTAACCAAAGTAACTTTTCATATCTTATATGCAATTCGATATGACGTCATCCTCTCACTCAAACTCACATATATCTAATAAAAAGTGTCGGTGTTCGTAGCAAGGAAAGTCTTTAATGGAGTATGTATTGGGTTGGTGATGTATTGGGTTGGTGATGTATTGGGTTGGTGATGTATTGGATTGGTGATGTATTGGGTTGGTGATGTATTGGGTTGGTGATGTATTGGGTTGGTGATGTATTGGGTTGGTGATGTATTGGGTTGGTGATGTATTGGGTTGGTGATGTTTTGGGTTGGTGATGTATTGGGTTGGTGATGTTTTGGATTGGTGATGGTTGCTTTTGAAATTTAATAAAATTTAGAGATAAGAAAAAGGAATGTCAGGAATGAGTTTGAAGTTAGTATTAGTGTGGTTATGTTTTGTTGTGGTGTGGTTTGGTCTAGTATTGGGTAGCGCGATTGGCAACCCAGACTCTAACCCAATGGATAAGGAAACCTCCAACGCATCGGCTGGTTTATCTCATCTAAGAGCCAATGAAAATCAGGCTAAATGGCCTTTGAATTATCAATCCAACCCAATAAAACCAGATACTCGACTAGTCAACTGGCTGCAGGAGATCCACATGATTAAGAAGTACGATGACCATGAATGGGTATATGACCCTAAGCTATCTAAGTGGGACCTTTATTTAGAGGGGGATACAATTCCCAGGCCCACTAAATATCCAATGTATCTTATACTCTATACAACAGAAGAAATAACCGCATATCGTTGCCAAGAGTATTTTGAACAGCTTAACAAGCTAAACAAAGTCAAGTGCAGTATTCCCGTGCACATTGCACTTCTATGGAAGTGGCGGGGCCAAGGAGTATTCAAATTGATTCTTATTCTGTTGCGGACTTTTGACACCCCCAGGTTAGAGATTATGTTAGCAGGGAGCTTATTCAACCCCAACTCAATACAAACGGAAAAGGATCCAACAGAGCTAAAGTACTTACTAAAAGACATTCCAGAGGAAATGAAGAAGAGAGTGACTATTTTCTCGGCTAAGGAAAAGCACGAAGATATGAAGTGGCATAGCTTTTTTGAAATGATCAAACGAATCTATATCCAATCTAATACTACCCTAGACGAGCCCAACTCAACTCAACCTAACCCAACTTAACTCAATAAATACTAAGTGTCTACTAAGTAAGCGATAGTCGTTGCTAGCACTAATTTGCATCCTAATTTAACTCAACTTAACACTTTATTGAGTTGGTGTAACAAGATGGAATGAGATAGGCTGTGGTGGAGTTAGTTAGATGTTAGTTGCAGAAGTACCACAGAAAACAAGCAAAGGCAGCTATCCAATGCGTATCCGCTGACTAAGAATGAGACACAACTGGCTCTCAGCCAAACTTCTGTTCTTTCTGCTGCGAGTCATGTATATGTTTGGGTTGAGTTAAGTTAAGTTAAGTTAAGTTGGGATGAGTTAAGTTGAGTTGAGTTAAGTTAAGTTGGAATGAGTTAAGTTGAGTTGAGTTAAGTTGAGTTGAGTTAAGTTGGAATGAAATGGTTTATGGGACGGAAGAGTGAAATACTCAGATTAAGGAGATTAATAAAGTTAAAATAGTTGAAATAATCAAAAAGATCAAGGGATAGTGAGATAGTAAATTAAAAAGCTAGAAGAGATAGAAAATTCGTATGTTCAGGTTCTTACAAGCAGTACAAGTTAAGAGATCTTATCTTTGGGTTTGTGCTCTGTTGGCAGGTCTTGGGTTAGCATCTGGAATCTATTGTTTGTGGCAGCTGAATTTGAAAATAGCCTGTAGTGATGCAGAGCAGCCAGAGCAGTCGGAGTCTTCTCTCCCTATCCCAATAGGCCAGGCGAATGGGCGCATGGAAGTACACCGAGTCGATTCCGCAATTCAAGTAGAAGAGAACAATCCACTCACTCCATCCAGCGCAGTATTATCATTACCACCCATTTCGTCTACCCTACCAACCCTACCAACTCAAACACCATCTAACCCAATAACACCCATTGCATCCGCTCCATCCATTTTATCCAACTTAGAACGACCTCGACTCCCTCTATTACCACCTCCACTCCTATCACTAACCTGGCGACTAAAGAACTTAAAGATAATTGATCAAAACACCGATGTTACCTGGATAACTCACCAGAGCCAATACAATACGACTAGTTGGAGTCTTATACTAAACCTAGATCAAATGGCTCTAAACAGTGAGCCGGTGCATAGACCAATTTATCGCATTGTTATTCCTAAGTCGTGGGATAAAAACGAGTACAACAACTCTTGCCAGGACTTGGGTGTCCTGCAGAAGCTCACAGGCCAGGCGCCCGTAGTTGTTCATGGTCTATGCTTGGACTATGGTCCGGCGTCCTTTAAGTTGCTTCTTCTGCTGCTGCGCATCCTAAACATGCCTCGAGTAGAAATACGCATGAACAGTCAGGTCCTGCACAGCGAAGATATTCAGACCACACGGATGCTAGCTGGCATAGACTACCTACTTGACGACCTTCCAGAAGACATAAGTGGCCGAGAAACTCTTTTACGTGTGCATACACCAAATACCGTCGAGTACTGGAGAGAGATCCTCAAGTTAGTCATCCAGACGTACAGCAAGTTAGAATTAAGAAAGTGTCCTGTTAAGCTCAAATAGGTTTAGGTAGGTTAATGTGCAGTGAAATGGATTAAGTTAGTATTGGGTTGAGTTAGTATTGAATTGAGTTAGTATTGGGTTGAGTGAATGACTTGAGTAAATTGGCACAGGTTGAGTGAGGATGAAATCTTGCAGGTGAAGATTGCAAGGGCCAAATTGAACAGATCAAAGTTGTTAAAATAAAACTACGAGATTGGCAGTATAGTTTGTGTTTAGTATGGTGTTAGTATGGTATGGTGTTGGGTTGTGAAAGAAAAGGGGTGATTAGTGGGTTTCAGGTGCGGAGATAGAGTGGTATATTCCTGTTCTGGCAACTCAACTCAACTTAACTTAAGTGGTGGTGAGAAAAAGGGCTATAAGAAGAGTCAGCAAATGGAGTAAGTTGAGATGGGTTAGGTGACATAAATCAAATTGATAAGAGTGGTATAAGGAAGTATTTGAGGTAGCAA